CCGGGGCCGGGGTCAGGTGAGGCCATGGTGTTGGTGGTGTTGGTGGTGTTGGTGGTTGTGGTGGTGGTGCTGGATGGTGCTGAGGGCGGTGGTGCTGGTGATGGTGATGGTGATGGTGCTTGTGTATGTGAGGGAATGGTCTATAGCTCTCATATTAGCTTATTGGAGGCCTTAGAGATACCTAAAAGCTGCAAAAGGCGTGGTGTTGAGGGGAGCTTACGGTGGCGGAAGTGAGGTGTTGTGGAGAGGGAGGCAGCTTCACGGTGGCAGAATTTTACAGCGTGCGGCAGGTGCAGTGTGATCTTTGTGGCTTTCACTTGCGGGAACCTATTTGCACTGAGATTACTACCGATTTTTGAGGCAAATGGAGCCTCCTGGCAGCGTGGGGGTATCTTTCACCGGGCCCATTGGACTCCCATATAAGGCAGGCACGCAGTGTTTACTGTGCGGGACAATCTTTAATAGGACCGCTCTGGATTGGCTAGACAGGCAGATAGCTTTACGAGATATACAGCAGCCACCAAGAGCCTGAATATTGTTCTGTAGCTCACTCCTATTTAGTGGAAGACCCTAATTGCACATGAGGACTCCAAACCCGTGGATCTGACCTCGTTGCACGCTTTTATCACAACACTGAGCACCTTTCTGTGCCCACGCAAGCTATAGCTCCACATAATCAAACCTAGACTGCAGAGGAAACGATCTTCTTCATCTAACGTGTTTTACAAGCGAGTCGCCAGTACAAGCGAGTCGCCAGGCCCACCAACTTCGTGCACCTCTATAGCCGTACAACTCAACCACGTTATAAGATAATATAGAGATATTAATAAAACAGATCAAGCAATATCTAAAGAATCTTTTTTGCAAGTACGTGAGTTGTGCCCAGGCTCTCTGCACTTTGTGCATCGTGCCAGAGCCTGGCGGCTAAGACCTGATTGTGCACCACCTTGACGCTGTTCATGAGCAATCTGCTCCTCAACCTCTTGCTGAGCTAGTATATCCTCTCCTGCTCCCTTTGTTAAGATTCCATGCTTCTGGATCCATTTCTTCTTGTGCTGCCTCCGTTTTATAGCTGCCTCATTAGCTCTCTCAAGGCTAGCAATCCGATCGCGCATTAGCTCAGCTGAGAGCATCATTACTTTAGCCCCCTTCTTGAGCTGATCAATCATCTCAATGATTGAGGCTGGTGATAAGCTCTTGTGCTGCCGAATGCGATCACATATTAGTGTTGATTGAGCCTCAAGCTCACGTATATTGCTTGGTGTTCGAGCCTCCCAGAGAGCCTCTACTAGGGTAGCTGGAGGAGTAGGCGTACGGAGCTACACATCAAGCTTTGACAGAACAATGTCTGGCTGGAGAGGAACTAGGCCTGTACCTCAAAAGGCTGAGCAGATGTTGGTTGATGTAAATGATTGATTAAAGGCTGCCTTGAAGGCTGGCAGAAACTCAAGCTTCGTAATGTGGTTGATGTGGTGGCGGATCAGAGCCTCAATCTCACGGCTGTATACATGCTTCAATGGTGCGAAGCAGCCAACGTCCAGAGGCTGGAACAGGTGAGATGAGTGAGCTGGCATGTACAGCATGTAGATATTATTCTCCTTGCAGAATTCTTGAAACTCAAGGGAGTGGTGGCTCTCGTGGCCATCAAGGATGAGCAGGTGATGAGCACCTACAACACGAGTCTTGGTATGAGCATTGAAGTGCTTTAGCTACTCAACTCCTAGCTCGTTGTTCGTCTAGCCATTGTCACTAACAGCGATTGCCCAGTCGCGTGGGATATCAGCTTCCTCGTACCAGGCAGAGAGATGGTGTTGGCCAGCAAAGATAATGAATGGTGGGATAGCCCAGCCAGCAGCATTGATTCCTTGGATGACCGTTACCCACTCACGATTGCCTGACTGGATAGCCTTTGGCCGGCCTCTCCTCTCTGACCCTGTTACAACGAGCTGAGTAGTGATCTTGCCCATCATAAAGCTAGCCTCATCGAAGTTGTAGACGTTCTCATCACAGATGCTATACTTGGCCTTTGTCTGCTCTACCAGCTTGAACCAGCTCTTAATTAACTTAGGATCCTCACATAGAGCCCTCTGCCTATCGTACGGCTGATTAAAATGTGTTGTAAGACTGTCTGTATGCTTGACGAAGTTGCGTGGCCAGTGGATGCCAACATGGCCTGCGCCGTGCGCAGCTAGCAGGTTGTTGGCCATATCACGTACAGCTGCATACGTAGGTGCAAATCCACATTGATCTAGATCAAGTATATTTGTAACAATCACCTCCTCTTCTAGCTCAGTGAGCTTCTTTGAGTTGGGCTGGCAATCACGTCATAGAGGCTTCTCGGCACGTCGGTCATGCAGCGTTGATCGAGGAACATTATACATTTGGGCAGCGCAGCTAGCACTTTTAATTTGTTTCTTTTCAATAGAAGAGATAGCAAGAATTAAATCTGCTTCGTGATAGCTTGATTGAGTATTATGTGGTTGAGCCATGAAGGTTGATAGTTGAGATAGTGTATGAAGTTGGTGGGCCTGGCGACTCGCTTGTACTAGCGACTCGCTTGTAAAACACGTTATAACGTGTTTAATCACCGAACCCGACAACTCACCAAACCCGACAACTCACCAAACCCGACAAAATATCTTGGCATCACCAACTCGTTGATTATTCCATTATGTCTCAACAGCGCAAGGCTTTATTAGAAGAACACAAAAGTAGACTTCAGCTTGCCCTTCAAGCCTACAATGCTAAGCAGTTTCGGAGCTATCGAGCAGCTGCTGCCACCTTCAACGTTAAGCACCATACCCTTACTGAGCACGCCAAAGGAAAGCTATTTCGACGTGATACACGACCTAATTGCCAGAAGCTCACTACAACCGAAGAAGAAACACTTGTCTGATATATTCTCGACCTCGATTCGTGAAGATTTGCACCCTGGCTGTGTGAGGTAGAAGATATGGCTAATAAATTATTGGAGGTATGTGGTGGTATGCCAGTAGGCAAATACTGGGCTAAGAGATTCGTGACGCATTCAGATCAGCTCAAGATAGCCTTCAATCGAGCAAAAGATAGACAGAAAATACTACAGGAAGATCCTGAGGTAATCAACATGTAGTTTAAACTGGTTGCAGATACCAAAGCCAAGTACGGTGTCCACAATGATGACGTCCACAACTTCAATGAGACCAGGTTCCAGATAGGTGTAATTAGGTCAATAAAGGTTGTTACAGGCTCAGAGAGACGTACAAAGCCTGAGCTCATCCAGCCAGGTGATCACGAGTGGGTTACGGTCATCCACAGTATCTGCGCTGCTGGGTATATGACCTCACCATTCATCATCTACAAAGGGTATGTCCACATCTCTGCATGGTACGAGGAGGAAGATATACCACATACTTGAGAGCTCTTAGTCTCTGAGAATGGCTGGACAAACAATATGCTTGGTCTTAAGTGGTTGAAGCACTTTGACATATATACAAAGCCACATCAAGTAGGCCAGTACAGGCTGCTTATTTTGGACGGCCATAAGAGCCATCTCAGCCAGGATTTCAAGGACTATTGCCTCGAAAACAAGATCCTCACTATCTGCATGCCACCTCACTCATCGTATATACTTCAGCCGCTTGACGTAGTCTGCTTTTCGCCGTTGAAGCAGAAGTACTCCCAATGCATACGAGACTTGGCACACTGGCGCGTCTTCCACATCAACAAGGAAGGCTTCCTCCCAGCCTTTAGGGACACATTTTTCGATATATTTACAGAGCAGAACTGTCGAAAGGCCTTTGAGGCATCAGGACTAGTTCCTAGCAACATGTAGGTAGTATTGGATCGCCTTGAAGTACGGCTGCATACCCCGCCAGCACCCCCACTACCAGAGACACCGTGGCAGTCGAAGACCCCAAGGAATACACATGAGTTTGGATCTCAATCTAAGCTTGTAAGTGACTCCTTTATGCGGTCACCTCTTACTGCTCAGGCTAGCTTCTCTCAGCTTGTAAAAGGTGCTGAACTTATGCTTCATCAAAATGCGCTTCAAGCCTCCCATATTGCAGAGCTTGAAGAGCAATTGGCAGTGATGACCAAGCGAAAGGCACGTAAAAGGAAGCGTCTTCAGCATGGTGGTACAATGAACTATGGTGTTGCAGCAGCGCAGTTAGCTGCTGAGGCATCTGCGGCGTCTCAGCGATCAAAGAAAGCTCATGGTAGTGGTGATCACAAAATAGGCCAACCAGCTCTACGGCGCTGTGGGAACTGCGGAGGAACTGGGTACAACACACGAACTTGCAAAAAGGATACAGAAGGATCTTCTGAATCTGATGTAAGCACGGCATATGCAGGCTCTCTCTTTGATAGTGATTAAAATGAAAACTCGTAACATGAGTTGGTGGTGCCAAGATATTTTGTCGGGTTTGGTGAGTTGTCGGGTTCGGTGATTAAACACGTTATGCTTTTTTTATTGTATACTCCCTCCTGCCTGCTCTCCACCGAACGCCTATCACGCCATTACTCTACTGTACAATAACGAACTGGATCTTCATGCGAGCCCATGAACAGTGTTTTGTCGAGATTATGTCCGGCGCGTGTATTCGAGTATTCGGGGATCCAGGGCACGTTGAAGCTACATTCTGTTAGTTATGATGAATGGGATTGGAAACAACATACCTCGTAAAGGCACCAGAACGACTGGCGCTCCTCAAGATCAGGGCTCAGCCTGCATGCTAACTGCCGGCACTCCGTCCGCATGTCTTGAGACACAGGAAGGCAAGAGGGCGCTGTCACGTCTCAGTAATCCGCTGTTTCTGCAAGATATTGTGGCGAATGACATGGAATAGTCGCTTCAACTCCGACGGCGTCTCACTTTAGGTGGTCATCTCGTGCAATAGATAAGTAGGATCCAAGCTTCCATAATCTCTCAATACGTTGGGTGCTCTTCTCAACAAGACGCCGGAACCGGGAAACCAATCCCCGCGGAGACAGCCGAGACGATACCTTCCTTCCTCGATGTGCCAGTTGATTCTGAGAAGATAGCCGACCAGGTGGGTGCTGAGGCCGCATGTGCAGAAGAGCAAGGCAAAGCCAGGCCTTCGAACGTTCATTGTGCAATTGCATGTTTCGCGACGTTCTCTGCGCTTCTCTAGCTTCTCCTGGACGAACATGAAACTCCATGGACGTTCCTAGGTTATATCATCGGCCTTATGGCCGACCTTTCGCAGCGTGATTCTCCAGCGCTCGAGGTCAACCCGAAGGGTCCATAGGTGCTGTTCGTTCCGAATCGCGACCGTCACGGCGTGGGGTACCTTCTGTCGGCTCGGTCCGCTGGATACAATTGTCGAGCTAAGTCCAGGTTTGACACGCGTGGCGGAGTGCATGTCCGGATCGACGGAGCTGGTACGCAAATCTGCATAACGCCATGACATATCTTGCTGGTACACACGAAGAAGGAGAGGACGAGGATCAAGCTGCGGAGGAAGCAGGCTTGCCGACTGTTCTTGATTCTGGTTGCGCTGTCAGTGAACTTGGCAAAAACCTACAGCTGGTGCTCCCCATACCTCCTCCGTTCTCCTTGACATCTTCAGAACTCTTGCAAGCAATCGAGGTAGAGGCTTTTCAACTCGCAGAGGCCGCGGGTATGAGGGTGCACAGTCAAGTACACAGTGGTGAAGGCGGTATCGGACCTGGCGCTGATTGGGCTCCAATTGGCCTCAAGTTGATTAGGTAATGAAGGCGATGCATTTTGGATGAGAGCGAACAGAACGGACACACCATTGGATAAATCTTACGACATGTGCATTACCACCTTAACAGCCCCTTCACATGTATACAAGTATATTGAGCAAATACAACTGCATGGCACGTTTATCATCAGTCTCTTCTCTGCCCGATTGGTTAGTTATGCTTTGTTCAATCAGCGTATATTAGAAGCGCCTACAACGTGGCATTATTACCGATCAACACCTTGTCTCCTCATCTGCAACCTTGCTTCCTCCCAGCTAACTTTGTTTGGTATCCAATCTGGCAGTTCTTCCCCGGCCATCCACGGTATCACTGTCTCGAAACGCGTCCTATCCGCCCTCCCAACGTTCCACGCGTCATGGACTCGATTACATTGTTCAATCACCCAATCCATCATCCTATTTGCTTTTTCCAAGTCTTCTGATACGGAAGCATACTGTAGTGTATCCTCCTCCAGGGTTTCCAACTCCTGCGTCTGCCGCTTCACAAGCCGATACCACGGACCCACCGACAACGCCAACGGACCAAGAACGCGCAAAGGCACAAGGGGTAGGGAGTTTGAGAAGAGGCCGCTATACGAAAGACATCGTACCATGGACTTGGCTGCCTGTATTTCAGCGTTTTCAACAGTGTGCAAGTCGGGCAGAGCAGCGGACGCGGAAGCCACAGGGAAGTGGCTCCATAGATTCTGAACCAAGGCAGAAATGTGGATTAAAAGGGACCAGTAGCGAATGCAGAGCAGAAGTTGTTTGAGGTCCTTGAAATGCAGGGTATCAGCGACTATGTCGCCAATCTCCGGTGCTGGAGGGTTTGTGATAGGTGTGACTTGGGTTGCGAGCAGATGCTCTATCTTGTTGGTGGGCAGGTGTGCCCAAATGGAGTTGGCCAGAGACAATGCGGACGTAAGAATGTGTGTGCTCTCTGGTTGTAGAATCGATTGGCGCACCAGACAAGCTAGCCGAGGGATCTGGATGGTGCAATGCATGATGGCCACTACCTCGAGCTGGTAGCCGGGGCATGCCACGGAGAATAACGCTGATCCGCCTGTCATGGTCAAATTGGACGAAGTGTCGAAGAAGGACGGACGGCCGTTGAACAGCGCTTCAGCAACCTTATCAAAGATTAGACACTCTCTTGTGTAATATGTCTCAAAACAGAACTTACTTCATCCAAGTAAATGCTGTCCATGAGGCTCCAATGATACTTCATATCCAGTCCTCTGGTGGAACCGATATTCAAAAGCCTAGATAGTCCTATGCAATGCGTGGTCCATGTATATGTCTCCGCAGTGACGAAGATCTGCTCTCGTCAGCGGTCAAAACACAACCAGGGATCCCGCCCTCACCTCTGCAAAAGAGTGCAGTTTTATGGCCAAGACTAGGTCATAGCTTGGCCCGCCTTGATAACGCTCCACCGCTTGCCGAAGGGTCTTCAAGGCTCGACTTCTTGATAATAAAGCCGCTCTTTGTGTAGAATAAGTGCGGTCCCTGTACGTAGCGAAACTGTTGACCACAAATTCAACGGCGGTATCAAGCACTGGGCTTGATCCTATCCGGGAAGGGATGGCTTCCATCCATGATCCAAACAGCGCACGTGAGTCTTGTTCCCATGTCCTAGGGCCAAACATACTCGCACAACGAGCTGCAAGTGGGTTCTCAAGTGGAAAATGGGACGGCACAGTGGGTACCGCGGGCGTGGAACGAGCTCTTTGTTTGCTGCTCTGCAGGTGTCTCTCCTTCTTTGGCCTTTGGCGCGTCAGTGTGAAAATCTGGAAGACGCCGTGTCCGCTGCCTAGCTCCTTCAAGGAGGTCAATTGTAACCCCTGTGGAGAGTCGTTGGACGAGTCCGAATCATAATGTGGACTGGTGGACCTGCTCGACGAGGATGACACGGGTAGTATCCCGCGCCCGACATGGCTTGAAAAGCGGGTGGGATTCTCTCGTATGAAAAGAGTCGCTCTTCCGTATGTATATGTACATGGGCGATTCTTCTTGCGGCAAGGCCCACAACCGGGTTTGGCTTCGTCACACTGGACTGGGTTAGGAAAATTTCCGAGTAGGTAGACTACCGTATTGTCGGACTGAGGAGACAACTCGAGTTTGGCATCCTACCTTCACTTTACGCATCCGGCATATATCGCATTTGCCGACTTGCGTCATCGTCGGATCTTAGACGCTTGGAATGCAGTTCGCACAGCACCATGCAGAGAGGTGGTGAACAATGGACTGGGCTGCAGCTGCAGGAACCGGTATACTCCGTGTATCTGTCGTAGTCGAAGGCGCCAGCAAAGTCGTTCCACGGTGGAATAAGAACGGAGACATGCTGCCGAGCGGCCTGCGCCTATTGCAGTTCTTATGGGATGTTGTTAGAGCCGTTCATTTTGTTTCGTGGCTGTGATGGATGGATGGAAACTGGACCCCACGCCCTGGGTATTATTCCAAGGTTTCGCATGGCACACTTAGCCGAAAATAAACAAGAACGCACGTGACTTGATGACGGTCCACTGGATTGGGATGTAGCTTGCACCTGGTTGTACTGTGATACAAGTAGACATTTGATGCTTTTTGAAGCCCCGTCTGGTCGCCAATCCTTTAGCACGGATCCTAGGTTTATTGATGTTCGGATATTCTGGCGGAGTTAAGACAACTGTGTAAGCGACCGGATACTCTTGGCAAGTGAATGTCAACCAGGGTTGGTGGACAATGCCAACCGTTGTTATTGCCAATGCTGCACATCACCCTCAGTCTCGCCACTGCTTACACTGACCATGTGGGGGCTGGTTTACTACTCACAAAGGGAAGTATTTACTGAAATGTAACTTTCATTGCTGAAATCTCCTGCCCCAGGGACGACATCTCTCTCACAGAACAGCATACCCGCCGAACGAGACCGATTAGCTACGTCCGTGATTTCCCTCCCTGCTGCGGCGACTATTCAGGAGTTACCAACCAAACTCCAAGTATGGAGACTACCTTATACATAACCTGCACGCCTAGACACTGAGTATCCTGATATTCTAAGCCGCCTCTGGGCCCTGGCTACAGGAACCACTTCCCAGAGAGGCCTGACCGCTCCCTCAAAAACTACCAATCCTACGGCGCACATGTCTGTTTGTCAAAATCACCGCCATCCAGTAGCCATTGCTACGGTTCGGAGGATAGTGAAATAGTAATTCTTCCCGGTATGTCAAGAAGAAGCAGGTTATGATCTATAGAGTTGGCTGGGGAAAGAATTCGCTTACGAGGCGTCCTTTATACACAGTACGTCAGAGTGACCAACTCTTAGAGCACAGGGCAGAGGGTATTGAACCCTGTTGGAAGGATTCAATCCCTGCATGTTCGGATACCAAAACCAATGGGGAGGAGAGAGCGCTTCTCACGTAAGCTCAATGCTAACCGTCAGAGCCATACATCTGGACTGTAGGAAATGGATAGTCGGTCGCACTTCCGCCGTGCCAACTCTGTCACTCGAGACACGACCAGATCATCGATCTGATCATACACTTTTGCCTCCCACGCAGTACCCATTCAGGTTCGGATAGGCTGTGTCTCAATCACCAGGGAGCCAGATTGGCTGGACAATATTACATGCGACTGTAAGTCCGTTGGTCTTTTTTTTCCTGCACAAGCCAAGGCCTAATCGCCGACCTACACTAGCCAGGGTACTTCTTTGTGATCCTTCTCTTTGGAACAGCCTTAACGCTTCGTTCATATCGGTGCACCGGAATATCTACTTTATACTCATGAGAAATTGCGGCTTAAGGGGCCAAGAGGGCAAGTGATTCGGATTAGAAGAAGCACGGAGATTGTGGGAACTGTTAGTCTGGGCCTGCGTTTGAGATTCCGAAGAAATAATGGAGCTCACTTACCCTAGGGTACGCTACAATACAGGCGATCGCTATAGACTTCTTGCGCCTCCCCGCTACGCTTCTCAATACTGTATACATCCGACATAGAGTATTTCAGTCGACTTCTCCTTATCCATCGAGATCAGCATAAACGCCCGACCCAACTACAACAGTATGATGCGGACAGAGTAGTCACAGCCTGAATCTTGTCCGCACGGTTTACCGTTCGTTGCTACTACTCGAACACATAACGTGAGCGGCAAGCGAGCTGATCAGGCAAGCAAGCTGATCACTCTGCCAAGGTTACACCTCTCTCAATTACTCATCTCAATGTCTCAACAACCAGATCTTGAATTGCTCCCTCGTGAGGATAGGATTATCCTTGCCATCGAAGCTATGAAATCCAATACGTCATTAAGCCAGCGATGCGCTGCTACTCTCTATGGCATTCCTCAAAGCATGCTTAGTAGCCGACACTCCGGAACAGCTGCTCGATGCAATATCCATCCTAACTCATCGAAGCTCACCAAGCACGAGGAGGAGACAATAGTCCAGTATATAAGGAAGCTTGATGCATGAGGATCTGCCCCTACGCTCGGCGATGTACGTGATATGGCTGATCAGCTGCTGGCTGCACGTGGTGGTGGGAACGCTGGAGACAAATGGGCTAGGAACCTTGTTCACCACAAACCTGAGATCAAATCTCAGATAACCAGACTTCACAATCACCAAAGAGTCAAGTGCAGTGATCTAGCTATTATTGGTCCCTGGTTTGACCTTGTACACAATACCAAAGCCAAGTACGGCATCCTGGATGAAGATACTTACAACTTCGATGAGACTGGCTTCCAGATGGGTGTGTTGGAGGGTCAGTAAAGGTGGTAACAGCATCTGAGAGATGACTGAAACCACTGCAGATTCAACCTGGGGACCATGAATGGGCAACATTGATTGCTGCTATCAATGCTAGGGGCTGGCCACTTCTGCTCTTTCTGATCTTCAAGGCAAAGCACCACGACCAAGCCTGGTACCACAACCCTAAGGGTTGGAGGATAGGTATCAGTGATAATGGCTAGACAACAAATGAGCTTGGTTTAGCCTGGTTACAGCACTTTATTGAGCATACTCAGGCTCGGACAGTAGGTAGTCACAGGCTGCTGATTCTTGATGGCCATGAGAGCCACAAGTCACTTGCTTTCCAGGAACTGTGTAAGGAGAACAAGATTATCACCCTTTGCATGCCTCCACATGCCTCCCATATCCTACAGCCACTTGATGTAGGGTGTTTTGCTCCCTTAAAGCAAGCATACAAGAAGGAGGTCAATGTCTTAGCAAACTGCTACATCAACCATATCGACAAGAAAGCCTTCCTAACTGCTTTTTCTGGGGTTTTTGATAAGGCTTTTTCAGAGAAAAACATTATATCAAGCTTCAGAGCAACTGGTTTAGTTCCACACAGTCCAGAGGTGGTGCTATCAAAACTTGAAGCGAAGCCTTGTATGCCATCACCAGCTTTATCAGGCCCTGTCTGGCAATCTAAAATACCAAGCAATGCAGTTGAGATAGATGCTCAATCAATGCTTATCTTTAACTGGATTTGAAGACACCGGAGCTCCTCACCAGCATCGATTATTGAGATGGTGAGGCAGTTTAAAAAAGGGGCAGAATTGATGGTGCATTCGCAGGCATTAATGGCTGCCAGGATCACGAAACTTGAGCTAGCCTACCAGGCAGCTTCTGAACGTAAAAAGCATAAGAAGAAACAGATTCAAAAAGGAGGGACCCTATCGCAGGCAGAAGCAGAGACGATAGTAGCTCAGAAGAATGCTGAGGCTCAGCTTGAGGCAGAGAGGCATGAGGAGAGGGAGGAAGCAGGTGCTGGTGTATGGGGTATTCGACGCTGTAAGATGTGTGGTGAGCCAGGGTACAACAAGCGTACATGCAAAAAAGATGCAGTAGATGTAGAGAATTAATTTGAGCTATTGTAAGCTGCAATAGCTTGTTGTAACGTTGAGATATTTAGATTTGGAGGTAGAGCACTGTATTTAGTGATCAGCTCGCTCGCCCGATCAGCTCGCATTGCCGCTCACGTTAACAATCTACAGATAATATTAAAGGGCAACCTTCAGTCATCTTTCTTCCACAGTCATCTCAAACTGAAGCTCCAACAGCTCGCACTCATCTGCAGTCTCCCGCGTCCGGCGTTCGAATGACCTGGTTGGGGTCAGATGTTCAAATCGTCTAGTTCTTACCTCATGTAAACAGCAGTCTAGCCCTTCCATATAATCGTAAAAGGTTCTTCTTCGGGGCACCACCTCCGGGCTCTCTGACAGTCTGCCGACCAATATTGAACTCATCGTCCACTCCTACATTCCCATCGCACGCCCCCTCCCATCGGTCTCGTCCCCAAGTTGGCTTCCTGGCACCGGCCCGATAGTTCGTTACTCATGGGCGTAGTGGCTTGAAGTAGCTTCTTCGCACTTGAGCAATTGAACGACAAAAGTTGATTCCACCAAAAGGTCGATGTCGACTCATGATACTGGGCGGCGAAGGAATCGGAGTGGGACGCGGGAAATCATCTAGAGCGCTTGGAGACGAACGTCCATCTCCCCTCTGAGCCAAGTGGTTCCCGGAAGCCGGCCAAATCGCAGATGATGGGGGGCATTCTCCGAGTAAGGAAACCGTGGAGGCGAAACTTTGGAAGATATAATGAGCGCTTAGGATTGGCCCTGGACGAATAGTGTGGCACCGCTCTCTGTCTGTTCATGTACTACGCGGTTTTAGCTGAGCTAGAGAACCGAGGGAGGAATCAGAAGATGCGCGAGGCGTTTATGCTTGTGCCGCATTCGGATACGAGTAACCTGTTACCGGCCGGAGTGTAAGTTGTACTCGATCGGGTTCAATCGTTTCTTTGGAGTTGGACTCTGCAGAATGGTGGTTTCTGGTGGCATAGTCTTCAGAATATTACTGCCCGTCATATTGTTGGTGCCATCACGGTGCACGTCTTAGAGTAAGTGGCCAGCTCGGTAGTCAATACAATCTATTATCCACCAGCTCTCGACCTCAACTTGCGGGCACCCCGCGCACAAACCCACGTCTTGCCCTCTTCCTCCCATTCGTAGTATCTAAATCCCTCTCAGTGCCTTCCCTCACTGAATCCCAATTGGCTCCCTGTTCCACCAGCACCGAACACATCCCCTGTGACGGAACCTGGAGTTTTTGCAAATCCTACCCAGCATCGGGTACGGCGAGCTCACCATGTCTGCGGTGATGTGCTTCTGCCTGCAGCGGGAGCACCAACAGACAACACACTCTCCAATCATGTTGACGCCGGGGATCGCCGGCATGGTGGTGCGTTGGTAGGTGGCCGTCTCGAGGCTTTGGGTGGCGGGGATGGATACGGCGGGGGGAATGTGGTAGATAGTGTATGTGATTCTGAGAAATGCGTGGGGCGAGATGAGGCTGGTGAGGGTGCTGGTGATGCGGAGCTGTTTCTGTATGAGGAGATGGGGCTTTATGTGTGTTTTGTTGGCTTGCCCTTGGTATTGCGGGTGCCTTTTGGGGGGTAGTCGCGGCGTGGATACTCAAAGTACGAGGTGCTTGTAGCAGTATACACAGATAGGCGGGCAGCGCGGTTCAACCGAGGATTGGTAGTGGGTGATGTTGAGGTGGGTGAACGAAGCTGGCAGGCGCGTAAACAAGCGTTGGCGTCAGTGCTGGTCACTTCCCCGTTTGCAACTCCCAATATGCGAGCACTTCAGTGTTGTTCGTCTACCGAAAATGCTGAGAATACTTTTCTGGTCTACATAAGTCACTGTTCCCTGGCTTGTATCTGTGGAGAACAAGGCTAACTAGTACAACAGGAAAAGTTGTGGCACCGGCCATAACTTTTGCTTCCTTTTTGGGCTCGAGTGACTCAGAAGGGCGCCGGTTCAAGTCTGACCGTGGCCGTTGTGTGAAGGGCCGGTGAAGGGATTTATTGCTTGCCTTTTTTGGCACCAGTACACAAGGTAATACCACGAGTTGTAACCCAGCCCTACAAGAACACTATACGTGCGCTTGTGCTTCAACTATAACTCCCATTTTTTCAGGCCCCATTAAGCAAATACCTTCCGTCATGGTTAAGCCCCGCTCTCGTTGAGGTACCTTTTACGCCATCCTCATGAGGGTTGTGCCGCAAAGGCAGAACCGTTTTCATTGCCCATCAAGCATTTGAGCTATCATGCGATCTTATCCAAAATTAAGTAGCCGAGCCTGACTATGTTATAGTTGGCGAAAATGCTCTGTGACCTACCGCAGGGGCGCTCTGAGTGCCTGGATGGTAAAAGGTTGACCAGTCAGGAGAATAGATGTGCGCTACTGCTCCAACTCCGTATACTTGAATCTCATGAGTACCGCATATTCCTCACTCTACCTAATTGATCCGCTGCTCGCCGGCTACATGGGACCTGCAGACGTGAAAATTGGCTCAGATGTTGCTATGCGCACCGCCATCACTCGGAGCGCTTGCATGAAGTGGAAAGTATTGAAGGAGATGCCGCATATTCAGAGTAATCGCTGCGCGTTCCATACGGCTTAACTACCCTCGCTGTGCTCTTCTCATTAGTGTAACTGTCAGGATGCGTCTCTTCCTGCTACGGATCGGAAACACTCCAAGCTAATGCAAAAGCAAGAATCGGAAAATCCTTCAGATTTTCACCTGCCGTTCTTACTTCCGCCAACATGGATGCACGAGAACGGAAGTCCTCGATAACTTGTCTTCAGGATTATCCTGGAGTAAGCCAGATGCACACGTACTTTATTGAATGTTGCAGTATAGTCCATTGTACAAATTTGCGAAAGCGCACCCAACAAAATGTCCACTCCGCGTATTCTAACTCCGTCCCATGTCCCCCATTCCTTCACGTGAGTAAAAGCACGAAATCTCACCGAGGAACCCCACGTGGAATTCCCAAGTTCTGCCGAACCTTGGGTGAAATAGAGTCACGTGAACGGAAGCCACCTGCAGGAGGGTGAAAGAGTTGATCACGTGAACATGGACTGCACTACAGGACTCGAATGTCGAGATTTGCGGAGCAATGATGATCCCATCCACATGGATCACACGTACTTGATCAAGCATGCACGAAAATTCGCAGTTTACGGTAGTTTATGGTTCATTATTCATGACTTGGAGCGCCCACTTGTATGGCTACTTTTGAGCGCGTTCCATTTATCCAAGCTTCATAGCACGAGCGGCGTCCGAATGATGCCACCGCAATACCCCTTTGGAAATCCAAGCCAAAGGGCTCGACACACAAAAAGTACCCCTCCATTGGGCCCTCAGTATTGCCCTTTCGGCAGCCCAACCTTCCCTTTATTATCCCTAGAAGCACAGCAAACACTATGCTCCTCACACCAAGCCCTTACCATATACGTCTCCAACTCCTTCTCCACGACCAGAACCTGATCACCACCCTCTTCCACGCTGAGAGCCTCACCTCCACGTTTCTTAATCTCCTTGTTCCAAGCCTTGATCTGCTTCTGGGTTGCCCGTCTGTGTGCTCGAATGGAGGTATGTGCATTCAGATACGCTGTGAAGTCCTCGACGATGATGGGGTCATACATCAGCATCTTCTCGTACCAGGATGGGTTGTTAGGATCCTCGGTAGGCGGGATGCTGCGGATATGAGATGTGATGAGGCGGAAGATTGATGGCTTGATGTTGGCCCACTCCAGCTGTGATGTAGCCACATGGTATATTCGCTCCAGTGGAACTTCCATGTTTTCAGCCGGCCGGTTGAGCACGAGTGGTAATGAAGGATACTCTTGGAGCGGCTTTCTTCTAGGCGGAGTGGGACTGAGGGCTTCATCATCTTCAGAGTCCAAGATCTCCTCTACTTGAGCGTAGCGCCCCCGAGACTTTGGGGGTGTGATTGGTGGACGGGATTGTGAGTTTAGCCTTGACTCTAGGGTACTCGGTATGTTGTGGCTTGGGCCATGCTTCTGCAGCACTGTCGATGCTGGCTTCAAAGAGGGGCTGGGCCGCTTCTTCAGGGGCGCATCAAGTTTAGTAGGGGGGTCGATTGTGGCGTCTTTGGATTTGGCAAATGGTTGTGGAGGTATGATATCATCTATATCCAGAAAGCTCGAAGACTCCGGTTGATGTGAAGGAGGTGGATCAGAAAAGGCGTCAAGGTCGTCGATTGTCGGTTTGGTGGGTGGAGCTTCTTCGTTGCTCTCATCATGGTAGTGCGGGGGATTCTTAGGTTTGGTTGCCAGGGGCATTGGAGAGAGGCAGTGATCTATATCGGCAAAAGAGGAGTCGCGTGTGCCATCCATGAGAAGAGGAATATCCTGCGTACGGTCGGGTTCAGGCATGTAGACAGGCTCATGTTCCTCTAGAAGCAAACCGTCTTCGTCTCTGGCACCAGCAGTCCATAACCTGCGGTTGCCTTTGATCTTTTCAAGCTGAGGCATAAACATTAACCGAGTGATAGCATCGGGTACGTACTCAGAGGGGGCGAGGTCATTCTCGGAAGCCGATAGCGCTTGTTGTATCTGACGGATCATTGTGGGAGACTCCTCGAGCGCAAGCTGACTCGAGGTACCGAATAGGACATCTTGGTTGTTCAGCCGCGATAATGCAGATGCTGGACTTAGCAGCTTGTCGGCTGCCATCTTTGGCTTTGCACCGGACTTTGAAGGCTTGCCTTTCTTGGCACCCCTTTTGGATGGTTTGGACGACCGCCCCACCAAGGCCGCTTTGTTTCCAGCCGGGCCCGGAGGTAAAGCATCGTTCAAAGGCACAGATGCAGTATTCGTTCGAATGCCGAAAACGCCGTCACCATCCGTTGACTCGGTAGGCAGATCTTCAGGAGCGTACTGGCCTGTTACAAGGTCTGTTATAGTTCGGGCTTTCTTCTTGGGAGCCTTCCCTTTGCCTGGAGGAGAGGGGTCTCGAGCGACTGGACCGTTGCCGGGAACATCTAGGAGTTCCACTCTTCGTCTCTTCATCCTAGAATGACCTTCTAATGGTGTGTCTTTAGCCAAGGCAGGTTGTCGCGCTTGGGTTTCTTCAGCAAAGGCAAAGTTGGAGAGCATAGAGGTGAACGGCGCAGAGGGAGGTGCCGCTGGATGTGGGGGCTCCTTGGCAGCAGAGTCTGTGAAAGATAAGTCGTCGAAAGTGTCTTTAACGGGCGTCCAATCACGTCTGCGAGCAACTGCCTCATCGATATGTGATTTATTGTCATTGAGCGGATCCTGATGCCTTATGCCACTGTTGTTCTGAGACGGGCTCCCTGGCACATCCCATATCCTCGAATCATGCTCTTCTCGCTTCTTGTGGACCTGCAGAGGAAAATGGGACGAAACAGACCCAGTAGTCTTCTTCTTTGTCGCCGCTGCTCTTAATCTTCCCTTTGCTGTGTTGCCAGACACATTCGTCGTCTCTGCTAGTATCATTGTTTCCAGGCTTGTCGGCGTAGCTTTCTTCGAGCGCGTCTTCTTTGCCCCTACCACTATTGCTGCTTTCGACAGTCCCACAGAATCGATGTTAGGTAGCAAGCCCAGAGGTTGTAAGGATGCGTTGTCGTCGAAGTAAGAAGACGTGGTGGTAGCGGATTTCGCAGGCGCTCCCGAAAGGGGTTTCTCGTTATCGGTAGCTCTTGTTTTTCTCGTCCTACCCTTTGTCGGAGCCGGTTTGAGAGTAAGAGCTGTAGGTTCGCACACCGGCGTAATACTATTTGCCGATGCTGTTGTCCTGGATGTACAAGATGCACCCAATGCTCCCGCATAGTCTCCTGTGCTGCCTCCGCTGCTGTCTGCCTTCGCCTTGCGGACGCCGGGTTTCTTCAACGTCCGGTCTGCATCGCCAGCTGTAGATTGCGTCTTACTGCTTCGCTTTCTGGGCTTCTTGGGACCCTCATTTGCTGTTCCCCCATTCTCCCTCGATACACCGGAAGATTTCGCATTCCGGATGCCTTCAAGCTCGCCTTCATCGTCTAGCGTCAGTTGCTTTGACTTGAGCAGACTGGCTGCTGTCGCGAATCCGATCGATGCTCCGCATGGTACAGGGGCGGCTCGTGAGCCTCGCTTCAACGCGCCCGCTGGCTTTCTCGGGGAGGTCTGGAGCTGCTGAGGCGATAGAGGCGCATAGGCGGACATGCGGACGCGTTGTGGGGAGCTTGGGGGACTTTCATGGGGCTTGGCAGCGCCGGCCCCAGCACCGCTCGTGAGGGGAGACGAGGAAAGAATGACAATATCAAACTTCGTCATTCCGGACCTACGTGGCCTTGCAGGCCGTACGAGGGCCGTCCTGGCACAGAAGAGGTAGGTGCGTGGGAGAATTGTGGTTGTGTGGTTGTCCGGGTGGTTGTGTTGTGTTGGGGGAGTCGCAGTTGACGCCACAGTCAACACCAGCTAGAGAAGCTCAGCGCTTTCTCTCACGGACCCCTCCTCCTGCACCACAATCACAACCACCCTACTCCCGGCCACCACACCGCACCACCCTCTGTTCGCCATGAGACGGAGAGGAAATGCTTTTCTTCCTTCCATCGTTATTACCCTTCGCTCTTATCTGAAAGCGCCATGGCTTCCCGCGCCGGACATGCCGCCCTCGACGATCAGTTTCAGACATTGGTCTCCAGCTCCTCTACGCAGCTGGCTCATGGGAAGCTCAATGGGACGCATTCCAAATGGTTTCTGAAGCTTCTCTCTCGCTGCAGCGATGGCGTATCGAGCTCCGATGATGGTTGTGATGCCGCTCAGGGATGTGTTGCTTATGCTAGCGAAGCAGCCTTTTCCCTCCTCCATCACCACCACCACCACCAGACAGCAGCGGCAGCGACGCCGATATCTTTGAGCTGACATCGAGCCCGACGCTCATGGCCACATGGCCCGGCGGCGGCAAGCACGTACTGATTCTGGACATCTCATGCTCGTCTTCTCACTCGGCTCCAGGGGCAAGGACTGGACTTCACCCTTTCCAAGCCCGTCGGCAGCAACAACGATCCGAGTCTAGCAGGATGAAGGCAATCTTCAGAGGACATAGATCGTATCTGACGACATATATACGCCTTTTGATCAACGGGCGTTGTCCTCGAAGCCCCTCTCACACTGCCGTCCTCGTCGAACCTTGGAACCGGGGCTTTGACCGATCACGTGACACCATGATATCCCGTCGAGGGTTTGAATAACCGAATCACACCTGCATCCGTCGAACCGTCTGGATACCATGGCTCCCATGAGAAAGAAGGGTAACTCGGCCGATGCTATACCTCGTGCGAGTACTGGCAGGGTATGAAGCGACACGAAGCGGCGTTTGGTTGCGGGTGGTATATACCCGTCGCAATCGAAGTCGGGCCATGGTGAAAATAGGACATACGCACTTCCCACATTGGCGCATGTAACATATCGCTGCTGGCACAATCCGGACTGTCGTTGATTACTTCCGCCGTTGCAGACGAGATGTGGATGGGATACAAGGCGCCCTGGCACACGGAGGAGACCGTTTGAATCCGCGAGTGTGCCAACCCGCCTTCCAAGAAAACATCGAAGTGGACTTGCATTGCTTAAGTTCCACAACATAGATCGGGTGCGCGGTTGCAGATATCCTGGCAGCACATGGCTTCTCCATTCCCGGGAACTCGATAGCTCTTCCAACTGAACGATGTGCATCCGGCCAACCATGTGCACAATATCCCATGGTTCCCGAACGCACATGCATAGAAAGTCAGGCTGTCTAGGACTATTCGCTGACGCAGAATTCCTTTGCAGGCCAGGGTCAGCCTTCGTCCTGTCGAGTTTTCCCCAGACTCCTTGGACCGAGTTCCATGAAGGCAGCGGTGTACTTGATCATCCGATTCCGCAATGATTTCGGAAGCATACCGGAAGTCCCACTGGTGGCCAACACGCGATAGACTCCATGTGAGGCCAAGAGAATCTGCATTTGGGTAGGCTGAGGGTTAACACCAAATCTCAAAGTGGATCTTGCTGGCACACGCTCACCTACTTCAACTAGAACTGCATGAGCCCATCACCGATGCCATGGCGAACGTGACAACGCCTCATTTCTGGTCATGTCATGGCTAGCGATTGCCTTTCGATCCTTGAAAGTATTCTTTTCCGGAAACCGTGAACCTCAATCGCTAGGATCGGAAAAGGAATACCCAAGAGGCATTTTGAAGTCCGAGACGATGTAGCGGAGTGACAGCGGAATACCATCCACGATACACTCGGTGACGATATTCGCCAACTCTTTCGCATCTGCTAGCGTCAAGTCGTCGGCAGTAGGATATCACAGTTGGCATGAGCTATGCGGAGCAGCCACTCATCGCAAGCCCTTAAACCCCTTAGATCGTTGCAAGAGATAGATGAGGTACACGGATGGTCCTGTCAGAACGATCTTACGAGATGGACTGCTCTGCGTGCGGATGTTCCCGTATCCACCCTCAGTTGGTAAGGCGCCTTAAGGGGTCGTATGGATGCGCATAACGGCTTACCCACGATCATAACAGTCTGTGGGGTCTTTCTGCGATGGCCAGATATCTCCTCAACGTCAGCCTGCTGCGATATGCTGACGCGGGATGAGGGACACCACACTCCGAGCACATTGTCAAGCATCTTCCTCCACATGTCATGCGACGTCCCCTAGTCGGCGTGTGGATCCCTTTCAAGGATTATCCTATGCAAATGCATAGAACCCTCGCATCGCTGCCATGCTGTACTCCGATCATGGCATCTGGCCTATCCATCTCAGATCAGAGCTCGTTCGTCCGTATGGATTGCTTGCGGAGATGACTTGCTAGCCGCGCACGACTGCCCCCGTCCAGTAGGAGTGTTTACCATCTTTTCCTCATCGTGTCCATCGGCCTATACCTGGAAATCGACGCTTCTCCCGCCCGCGAGTGATTACCTCACATAAGGGTGTTGAGTTCCCACTCGTCCCTTAATATTTCTCCTCTCAACGATCGAAGTCCTCCTAACAGATGTTGACTGGCCATACATTCCTCGCCGGAGGATGCTTCAGATGGCTTCGCGGCTGCATGATCTGTTATGGTCGACTCTCGGCGATCGCAATCGCGGTTCCCCTCCTGTGTCCTGTTGATATTCGCACCTGCATCTCTTCTTGCTTGGGGCTCCCAGTGGGGTTCGCATACGGTGCTGCTTCTCGAAGACGATTTTGTATCCGTGCCGCTCTCGCCTGGCTGCTCGAACGAATCCCGCCGGCTCTATAAGCCGTCCGCAAGGCCGTCAAGACTGGGTATACCGTCGATCCGCGCACTTTTGTCAGCCTGTATTGTTAGCATGTGTGCTGGAAATCAATCCACGCCTTGTTTGCTACGTCGCTGCAATGGTTACCGACTTACGAAGAGTTTCTACGCGCCCTGAACATAGCAAGAGTGTGGGATCATGTTGGGGAACGCCAGTGGCCTGTGGCAACTCGTTCGCTCTACCGTTCTGCGGTAGAAATCGTCTGTCGAACTTCGGGTCAAAGTCGTGGACGGCGCCCTCGTGTGCGTGCTTGCCATTGCGCTGTTCCCCGCACCTTGGATAACCTTCTTCGGATCGACGGCTGTGATGAACCCCAACCATTATACCGATTATCCTGATCTTCCGTTCTCGAATCTGGCCAGGATTGAGGCCTCAACCCTTTCGTCAGGATGTGAAGCTGCCGGTTGTGTCTCCGTTGTTAACGCCGAACATGGAAGGCCTGGTGGCGTTCAGCTTCGCTCTGATGAACAGTATCCGCGGAACAGAGTCTGGAATAACGCAGCTACAAGCGCACCACATTGATGAACAGGCGCCAGGTAGTTTGCCACCGCGTGCGATTGCTTGAACAGTTCAGCAGCAACCTGGCTGGCCGCCGTGCGCCCGTGTTCCTACCCTGTCCATATCGATCGAGTCTTGGCGAAATCCCATAGCAAGCTAGGAATTGTTTGCCATGGGAGAGAACCGGGCGGTGCAAATGCGCTCTCAAGATCGGACTGGCACATTGAATTCTCTTGAAACCGGTTTCGCTGGTAGGCTGGCCGTCGAACTAGCCTGATGTTGCAGAGCCTCGAACGACGCGCAGTACTGCAGCCCGTCTTAGCCCATCTGTTTCCAGCACGAGCAGATAGCTGCTCTGCTTCGCACAGCTCCTGGGCTTACTCAGGGCTTCGATGAGGTCCCCGCAGGTGCATGTCGGGATGGCAAGGCGCGCCAGGTGTTGCTGTAGTCGCCGTTGCTCTCCGCCAACCTTTGCGCGGAGATGCTAAAAGGTCGTTCATGATGAACCTTGTCATCATGGGCGCTGATTCTTTGCGCACCGCCGTCTTTTCTCCGCAGTGATCTGGTATCGCGACTAAAACTGGGTCGGAGTGCGTGGGCCGTTCGGATAAGGCGGAGTGTCACAGCACCGCGTTGCGTCTCTCCCCAGAAGGTCATGGAGTCTCGTTCAGTCCCTTCCGACGTGATTGCATGCAAAATCTTGCTCTGATCTGATTCAAAATCGTCGTGGAGGCTTGTGTTGTTGGTAGAAGGCGTGCCGCCCGTCCGCTTCGGAGCAGCCCCCCTGCAACAGCTTATGGTTCTTCAGTGCAGCGTCGTGGGATCCCTCCGGTTGCTAGAGCGACTTGCCCTGTATATTGAACGACCGGACGTCTTTTCTCTCGGCCGTGGGTGTGGTATTGGCCTTTGGTGGTGCGCTGCAGTACAGGAGAAGAAGCAAACTGCAGCTGCCGCAGGGCTACCTAAGGGCGCCGAGACACTCAAGACGGTCGCAAAAGAGAGTTCGAAATGACGCCGCATGCCAGAAAAGCCAACCGCGCAAATACCGATTGTAATCGGCAAGACGTTGGTGGTGGGGTATGGTGGTGTTTTCCGATCCCCAAACTCAACACCACAACGGCGAGACATCACGATAACGCACGGACCAACATTTCAAGCTCAGCGCGCCCCCTAGCCTTCATCCCATGAATCAGCAGCATGAAGGAATGTGTGAGCTGCGTCTCCAATTTCAGAGCTTTGGGGCAAGATAGTTTCAGCGCCTTCCCTGAAGATCCGTACCAGAACGAAACTTCCCGAAAGCGTCACGGTGTACGTGGCAAGAGAGCAATCAAATCCCCGGAAGCAGTCATTACCTGTCTTATGGGGTGGCCAAATCGAGTTTGCTCAAATGACTGGCTTCGTAATCTCTGGGATCACCTCAATCCGGCCAGGAACGACACCCACGTCATCTCTGCTGTGTGCACACCTAGCTTGTGTTTCCAGGATCGCAGTTCTATCTGGCTGTGATACCCACAGTGGGCACAAATTGATCAGTTTCCATCTGTGCAGACCAGCATTCTGCAATCCTGCTCTAAGTGGAGCCGATGAGATTGCTGTCTATCAATTCTCGGCGAAGTACTGAGAGCATTTATGTCTCTGTAACCCAACGGCTGCAATCACAACGGAACAACTGAAGACTGCCGAGTTTGTAAACTCACTTTCCCATCCTCCCCAGAGGCACATCCCCTAGATAAACGTTTGGGGTGGTGCGCTTGAGACTCCCTTGCAGCAATATCTTCGTGCCGATATTATCTGCCAATCTCTGCGGACTCTTCACTGGCGCTCCATGAGGGTGCTATTATATGCTCCTGGTTCCTCAAATGTGCTATCAAGGGCTTCCAGAGCTGCTTATTGCTCCATCCGGATGTTTCGTCCAATTTCGTTATATGCCTGGCCTAAATGGCGACCGGTGTTCCCTTCTCTTTCCCCATTCCTTACATCACTGCACTTCCCCTTTTTCAAAGTCCGTCACCCTTCCTGACATTCGAGACTCCGTCCCCTATGGGGCAACGAATGATATCTTCCCGTTCACAATCTTCCCATTCTATCTTTCCCCTATTCCCACTCCACCGCCTATGGCGGTGAGTATCATCCACCTCACAAGCTCTCGCAAAACCACCTCCCATGGAGGTTGAGTATTCTCTTCTTTTAATTCTAAACCCGGCACCGCTCGCTTCCGATGGTAGCTTGAGTATCACCTCCTTTTCCTACTCTGCCACCTCCCGTGGAGGAAGAGGATTCCACATAAGCCCCTTTTCCCTCTACAGTCACTCTCCATGGGTGGTTGAGAGTTGTCCAAGTAACTGCTTCCCTTGTTGCCTTGCATGGAGGCTTGGGTATCTCCTCTGGCTTTCGTTCAATATCCCTGCTTTCCGCCATTCTCGCAGTCCCCATTCGTTCTCGCTTGCTATGGTGGCGTGAGTGTCTTGCTCCCTTCTTTTCCGTCTCGCCTCCTATGGGGGCTGAGTACCAAGAACGTTTCCCGCTCTTTCCACTGTCACCTCCTATGGGTGTTGATGAATATTTCTCGTTGTTTACTATCCTTTATCTCATCTCCAATGGAGACCTGAGTATCCAATCACCCTGAAAGTTCCCCATCACTTCCCATGGAGGCTGATTCGCGTTATCTCCGTCCATTACTTTTCCGTCCTGCCTCCCATGGAGGCAGAGTATCAACTACTACCCTGAATCCTTTCAGTACTGCCTCCGATGGAGGTTGGTTCAAGCCTTTTCTTTCTGCACCTTTCCTTCATGCTTCCTATCCTCTCCTGGGTGCCGCCTGTATTTCTTGAAATACCTTTATCCCCTGTCTAGCCTCATGAGGCTTTCAATCAACCACGCCTTGCTGGAGGTGTGCATGCGAGAGTTTATTGCTCTCTATCCTCTGGTTGTATGACCTTGGGTGTTGAGTTGTTTTTGACCAACAGCACAGTTGCTTACCATCTTCCTATGTGCAGAGTTGCCACTCTCAAACTTGTGTGGAGAAACTGCGAGGTAGGTTTTAGCGCATGTTTCCTTATTCTCCTGGTGTCGACTTTGCAAGTTGAGGCAGGCGACTTCAAAACATGCATTGGCTTGAGCAGAAGAAACAATCTTAGGGGGTCTACCCGATAATTCTTTCATCTTGCTATATCTCCCGCCTCATGGAGGAGCAGTCGCAACCGGATAGGAACGACTGGAATATCTTTGCATCAGGCCTGAGGGATCTCTGAGCAAATACAGGTATTCTTGTCGGCCCGTGGGAACCTCAGTGATGATGACAAGTTGCCGATTGATGTGACTTGTCTAGTTGGGGTACTCTAGTGGACGCTGTCTCAGTACATGTTGTTGTGAGGGAAAGCGTGATTGGACGAAGCCTTCGACGATAGATTGTGACTGAACGCGAGGGCAATGCGTAGTTTCTAGGTTTGCCTTGACCGCGACCGCTTTTCTTTACTCATTCTGTTGTTTCATTTTCTTTTACTATACTAACCTATCATCTCTGGGACAATAGCCGATGCATAAGAGCTCTTGAGGGTCCCTATGGGAACCCATGGCAAGGCCAATGCACTCTGACGGTCTCAAACGCACTGAGACAACATTGAAACCACGGATATTGACCGTATCTTGCCCATGATTGGGCATCGTCGTCCTCATTATGGAGTTGATGGCTGTTCTTTCCTCGAGGATGGCATATATGGAAACCGCAAGCCAAACCCCACCGCAACGCCAGACCTCCCTTGTTTCATTACTGTCCACTCCATTTCCGTCACCTATGGTGCTCTGAGTAATATCCTCGTCCTGCAATTCCTTGATTTCATTCTCAGGGATGCCGTCCTTGTCCTCCTCCTTCGCGGTTATGGATGTCAACCTTGCCCGATACCGGATTCTCTCAGACGTCAGGATCTCGGGTCACCTCCTCGCCCCGCTGGTTATCGGAGTTCCCAGTCACCGAGGCGGCTCATCTCGTAGCCGTACGGCCACACACCACCCTCCTTTTCGCCGCAAACGCACCTCGCAGCAATCATGGCTAACAGTATGGCAACGTCCACCTCTTTTGCCATATAATCTGTAAGTTTTCGAGTTCTTTCGTCCTTCGGGGCATTGGCGACATGGGCTGACGAACTGCAGGTTTCCAAGCTATCGGCGCCCTACGGGAGGCGTTGGGTTCGAGTCCCATAAACACAGTTTTTTTTTCGGCCTTCTTTAGCCTGCCTTGCTCCTCTTTTTGCGCCACCTGGCTGCACCACCAGTCACGCCGCAGCCAAAAGTGAATTTCTGCGTCTAGAGCATCAGTCCAGGCGGAAGTCTCATTTCAGTCAAGATCTGTCAATGCGCGAGTGTGGGCTGCGAGCCAGAGGGCAGGTTGCACCAGCACAGCATGTGCGTCCCACAGAGTGCACATAGGGGACAACTACAAGAGTGTGGCAGGGGAGGCAGCGGCGTCAGCAGCAACAGCAGAGTCACCCCCAGCAACTCTGTGTAAAGCGACTTTGCTTAAGGAGGGGCTGCGTGCAAGTTAAGCATAGCTGCATTGACTCGGGCGTATCTCGATGCATCGTACCTCCGCAAAGCGATAGCAGGATACGACTCCATCGCGCTCTGTCACATGAAGATGCACACCAGCACTGAGAAAGGGCCCAATTGGCCGATCGCTGCAAGATCGCGGCTTCGATGTTTTGGTGCTGCGTCTACATAGCCGTGCAACTTCCCTACCTAGCCCTGCGCGAGCGCCGGTGGTCTGCTGCTAGTTCCAGTCCCACAGTATGGCAGCCGCCGCGATGGATTTTCATGCCGCGCAATGGACCCTCTTGGAGCCCACGAAGGGAACTGCATCGACGACATAAAACACCCTTCCGAGATGGCGCGTGAGCCAGCTCTAGCGTTATGTTTGGCGAGTGATGAACTCGACTGAGTCTATGAAGTCCCTACTGAAGGCGGTGTGACATCCACCCCTACATGTCAGGCGTGGGAGAGATTGGTCATTTGAGGTGTCGCTGGAAGAGGCTCTAAGTGCATCCGTACTGCCGCGGGAGCAAACGAGGAATTTCTCACTATGGGTGCATGAGCCAAACGCCGACCTAGTGATTTGGCATTGAGAGAAGGATACGTCATCCATGTCACCACTGGAGGAGGGCTGACCACTCCTGCGGGAGCTGCTTGGCCTTTCACCGGCGTCCTGTGGGCTATCGAACCAGGGCGGCAAGAATGGGGCGCCGACATCTCAACCAGGCACAGGCACCATATTCCTAAAGTGCTTCCACACGGAGCTGCTTGCGTCATGATCGTAAATACCGTCGTCTGTTGAGTTGTCGGCAGGTATAGATGCGCCTCTCCTCCACGTCATTCTTCACAGAGGACCTCGTCGAGGATAGACTTCATAATGGCTCCGCGCTCCCGGATGTAAGGCAGTAGGACACATTCGTAAGGCACCCCGCCGCGGCGAGGAATATAAAAGGACGACCTGCGGATCGTCCGTGAGTCGAACGGATGGTGCCGGCGGCGAATGGTTTCCCGCAAGCCGGTTTCAAGGCCGGATCTCTGCACCATGGTGTGGACAGATCCGGGACTATGCATCTAGCAGTCACCACTCCATGCGTCATGTGAACATGACCGGCCTGCCACAATACACCAAGCCGAGATTTCATCCGCAATGAGGCTGTGGGACGAGGCAGCAGCGTGAGACGAGAGCATATAAGAAAAACAAAACGCGGGACCTTTGTCAACGAAATGTCCGCTGTCTGTTTCGCCGTGGACGGGTCAGCGGGTTAGAGACATGCGGCTGCACGCCACATTGCTCGATACTTGCGCGGTTTGCTTGCGGCGGGTGTCTCTTCAATCGACGTAATAGGCGTGTGCACAAGGCCAGTCAGTTAATGGGTTGGAGCCTGTTGCCTCTCATTTTCGCCCTGGCGTGCTGAAGTACGCTCCGGGTCCGCAGAGCTACTATCTGAAACTCTGGAATCCGTTCATGGAGAGACTGGATCTCCGCAATATGGCCTTCCGCGAGGGCGCAAATCCGCCCAAGCTTGCACCTCACTGGACCGCAACACAAAAACTGTAGACAAGTACGCGACGGCCGTATGGTAGGCCGCCGATGGATCTTTGATATCCCAGATGCGGCTCCCCATGGTATTGTTGGCTTGTAGGCGCAACTGGTCGCCCGTGGCCTCCCTCCGATTGAAGTGGTGCACTCCACGGCCAGGCCTAGCCCTCCTTGCTCTTCCGTACCCTCCCGTGCCTTCCATTCACCGTCAACCACTGCACGCGCCCACAACAACGCTGCCACCCTCTACATGGAGCTGGAGCAATAATTCACCTCTTTTGCTATATAAACAGCACGAAAGCCAATTCTATCGGTGTCGGGATTGGCAACCCTGGCACCCATTGTGGACATTGGCTGACTGGTTAATAGTGTTACTGCGGGCCCTGCGGGAGGCCGTGTTCGATTCCGAGACTTTTTTTTTTGCCCTTCTTTTTGCTCCTCCCCCGCAGCCCCTAGCCACCTGCGCAGCAAGGGCGGCGGTATGGGTGCGGTGAAAGGGGTATCGAGGTATATGAGGGATAACAGCTACTCGGCATTTCATTTTTATCCTGAGCAGGTCTGCAACGGGCTACGTACGGTTGGGGCTGCTCTGCGCCTTACCATCCTTGGAGAAGGGGTTGCGACGGCGGGCTACACAAACCGTGGCTCTGAGCAAGTCCCACGGCACAATCAGCATCGACTGAACAGCGGCTGCGGATCGCTTCCATGTGCTACTTCTTCAGAGGCAACACTTGATCCCGAACCTGCAAGAACGGCAAGAGGCAGCTGAATGGAGAATGCTGCGTGCCTGCCGCCGTCATTGCGGAGTTTGGGAAGCTGTAGTGACCACGCCAGAGAACGCCTCATTCCGGGACTCGACCGCCATTCCTCTTATCAGGGAGGCTCGAACAAATATCACTGGAGCATCACGGTCATCCAAAGTACCTTGAATGGTTTAAGTCACGCTACGCAAGCACCTGCACTGTTCAATTCAAGCATTGCGAATCAGCGGATCGCTTCTGACTGGCATTCTTCTCTATTTGCCGGAGGACATGCCCCCAAATATGCCCACATATCCTATCCCAATCGACTTCTAAGCGGAAGAGGACCTGCGGGATTCCAGCTTCACGAAAACCGCGTGCCACAATATATCTGTGGCGCCGCCTGCTCCACATCCACCCGTATTGTGTATTCCAAGTTATCTGGACTTGCAAACCATTATGTTCTCCTCTCCAAGGGGAGTCGCCGTATCTACTGCAGCCGAATCGTCGTACTCTGTTCGAAAGAGGCCTTCCCGGATGCTATCCACAACTTCGCCCTTCTATTAGCTGAGTCTCATCCGAACGAAGGATTACTCGTACCTCGAGCTGGTGCTGCTAGCTTTCAGTGTCCCCAACAAGTGCAAGTAGCAGTACCGCTGAGAGGCGCCCAGAACACGAAGATGCCTCCGCCGGGGTGCAGGCGTTCGCCTTCCTGGCATCAAGATGAGGCGCAGGACATGAGGTATAACTGCCCCCCGGCCCCTTCGAGAGGTGGGGATGGAGCCCGCAGGCTCCTCGCTGAGGTGGGTTCGGCGGAGGGGAGGAAGGAGCTGGTGTCGGCGTGGCGGAGGGAGCCTGAAGGCGAGGCGTCAGCTCTACCGTCTCTGCCGCGAGAGCTCGAGGGTTTACAGCAGGAATAGCTCACTTCATGGGGTCTCGAGATGCCGAAGGGCTATCTCTTCTGCCTCCTCGAGAGGCTCGTCGTCGTGGAAACGCTGCCCATCACGGGGCTGGCGGCGCGCCCATATGTTGAAGCGCGATCTAGTAAAGGCCACGATGAGGCCAGCGAGGATACAGGCGCCGACGATGAGCCCAATAAGGTCGGGGGATTCCATGGTGATGGATTGTAGTCTGGAGGGATGATGTGGGTGGTAGGTTGTAGGCGGGATAGGTTTGTGAAGTTGTGAGGGGAGAGGTCGGCGTACGCTGCCCCAGGGTGGTGACTCGACTGGCAGCCGAAATCGACTTCACCACCCGAATCACGACGAGGCTGCACACACCATGCACGAAGAGAACGATAGCAAGCTGCCGCTCAGCGCAAGGAGCACAAGTTCTTAGAAGCAAGTGCGCAACAGAGAACAACAGGAAACGAGCTGCGAGACGTATGTGGGGAGAAAGGAGCGTTCATCTGACAGATACCGTATAGGACGACATATTGAGTATGCTAACGACCGGAGTAGCAAAGGTAAAGAAGAAACCTGCAGCGAGGAAGAATGAGAGAAATGTAGCTCATCTTGCTCGCCCTATCCCCCTTTTTTCGTTGTCGGCGTCAGGTCGCGGCTACATCTTCGCTTTCCACCGGGACGAATGCGATACGTGGTGGCGTATCCTTCTCCAATGTGCTGCATTGTTTACGATGCTCATGTGGGAGAAAGCTCTTCAGCTTGCTTTCCAAGTATTCAGTAGGGAAAATAAGGGATATAGCAAGCCGTTTCTCCGCAGAAGCAGAAAGTAGTATCACGGTGTCCTTGCATGCCGATATCAGAGTGATACAAGGTGCATTTCCCCCTAACCCTTTCTCCATACTACCAGTCTGTTCAAGTTCCGTGGCTCTCCATGGCAATCTAGTATATGTTCTGTATACTGGCATTGCTGATATGCCTTTGAGTGGCGTTGGAAGCACTTGTCCGCTCGCATCAATGGCGGGTTCCATCACATATCACATACAACTTGTTGCTATACAACCTTGCACCTTCCTTCTGCAGGGAATAGGATAGTCTCATATTGGTAAACCCCTCCTTCGAGCAACGCAGCTGAAAGTCTGGGTCTTTGTAACGAGTTCGCGCCGGGCGACGCTCAACTGCATGTACCACGGATACAAACTTCCATGCAGTCCCCCCACTCCACACGAGCGATTCTCCTATCAGAGCATGCTCGAAGCAGTTTCCGTTATTGTGAAGTGATACACCCGCATTCCAGCTTCTCTCATTCTCTCCGCGTGGATGCCACGTGCTCGAGAGTATGAGTTTCTCGTCCATGCTTATAGTATTGTTTCCCGTCAATGCTGTCGCTGTGTTTTCGTTTGACAATGGTAGAGATGGGGTTCTCGTACGGCTTCGTGCCGTATGCCGGTGGGCTTGGGCTGCGCTCGGGAGCGACGAGCATGCGGCCGGGCTGCCTTGAAGTGCGACTTGCGGCGGGGGTGGTAGTCGGAGATTCTGCATTGTTTCTATGTTCCAGGTCATTTCTGCAGGCTGTGATACAGTATCCTGGCTTACATCGCCGACGTGACGGTTTCGAAAGGTCTTGACGTGGGGGATGTGGACGAAGGCGAAGCGGAAGGCCTTGGCGCAGCGCAGGTGATATTGAATGAGTCTAGCTTGCTTTTATTCAATTGCCTGCTTCCGAGATATTGGAAGTTGTGGAGTATAGATGATATGCGAGAGGATGACGGTTTCGAGGCGCCGTGATGTGCGAGGCGGTGGTCGGGTAGGGTGGTTTTGGGGCATGCGGCGGCGATGCCGCAAAACGGAAAAAACGAACGTGAGTCGAGATTCAACGATTGCCTGCCATTTGTATAGCTATATGTTAAGAAGAAAATTCGCGTCCTCATGGTGTGGCTCTTCTGGGATGGTCGGGATTGGCGTGGTGCAAGCTTGGGGCTTCCGATCCGTTTTCGCGCCCACCATAGCAGAATATGCGAAGCGTGCCTTCCGGCGGAGAGCGGTTTCTTGTTTGAGTCTTTCTCAATGACATCGAGGAGTTAGTTTATATGTACGGGTCTCTGGTTTGGTGTTGCGACAATGGGAAGGGATCTCGTGCGCGCGCCCCGCGCTGCGGTGATGGCGACGGCGCAGGAGGATAGGCTTGATCGCGGCAATCTGAGTTGGAGCAGCTTGAGTTTGAGAACGAGGGACCTTTTGAGCCTTTCTTGGAAACAAAGAGGCGACGAAGTAGACTCATCTGGGTTCCCGTTGGGCGCGTGGCGATACCAACGGATCCACAACTGAAGGCGATCTCCATCCCTCTCAGTGCCACAAAGCAAGCCTTTGGCAGCAGATATACGCGCATATATACTCTGAGTTCCTATCTATCTCCCATTATGCGGCATGTAACGACTAGTCCCTTCATTACGTCTCTGGATACACGTTGCGATGCCACCCACTCTCACCTCACCGCCGCGATGCCCCGCGAAGTCTCATCCGGCGCCTCAACACCACAGTCTCTCTTCAACGTGCTCTCAAGCTAGCTTAATACCCTTGAGTGCGTCGCAAATTACTTCTACTTGAAGGAAAAGACCAAAGAATCTCACGGCGTTGCACCCTAGCCAACAAGACTCGACTACTCATGCCACGATAACACACGTCTCATCAGAACAAGACGGCAATGAGTCACACTTAACACGAACAGGAAACAACAAAACAGCTATGATCCTTCTTCCTCAAGTCTCCAGCAAGCCAGAGATCTCAATGAAAAAGATAAGAGGTCGCGTCAGCCTGAGGTAGTGCAATACAGGCGACACTGTGCCTTTTCCTTTAGTCAAGACCAGGGAGGAGAAGGCCGGGTACAAAAATTGAGTGAAGGAAAGGCAACCCCCTGGCGGAACCCTTGGCAACCACAAGGGTATAAATGCTCAGAGGAATTGCATGAAAGGGATGTGGAGAAGGAAAGGAGGGGAGAGGAGGGGAGAGGCCTTTATATACCCTGGGAGGGCGCCCGGATCACACTGTTACTAAGCATGGCCCGAGGGGAGCCTGATGGAAGCTCGTAGACTCAATACGGCAGGAGAATCAGTGATCCGGAGAGCGTTTGCAGTGACGGTTACCGTCTGTGATTGGTGTGATCCAAGGCACCTTTGATCTAGGCATTGATCTCGCACCGCCCTGTATCACGTGGAGCTCCTCGCTCCGTGGGCTGTCCATCTACTGCTGCAATTCGCTCCAGACGTACCAGACTTTGACGCCCACTTCAAGCTCCTCCCTGTTTCCGCTTCGTGCTCCCTCACACTCAATATCCAAGCCACTGTCATCGTTTAGCGCAACCTTCGCCCGCCGTTGCAAATACAGCACTTGCCGTCGGGGGTTTTTGGTGTCTCCGTTGCAGCAATGTCTTCTCGCGCCACTCCCATGGTACCTTACGCCCTTCGGGCTGATACCGTCATATCTTTGCCTATCTAATATCTATAGCCTCATCACAAGTCCGCAGCATTTATGTCGCGTCTCCGCGATTTGTTCTTCAAGGCAGGAAATCGATATGCCCTAGAGGCGGCGAAGGAGATTCTGGATGGCGGCGATCGTGCCAAAGGCCTGGAGCTTGCCAACAAGGCGGTAAGGCTCATCAGCCGGGGAAAGACATGTGGTGAATTTGTTGCCAGACGGGCTCTCATCGTAAGTGTCTAATTTGAGGCCAGTAGTTATGCCTACTGACATTCCGCGCAGGTCGATTCCGAGGGCAATATCATGATCCCAACCTGCCGCACCGACTTGCGAGAGACTATGGAAGAATAACTCTGTTACGGCGAGCAGGGTGGAAATATGTTGGGTCGCGTGTGCTCTGTATGAATAGACAATAAATCTTCTAACGGTGCCAATTCTTCCCTAGCCGCATATGTCATGTGTTATTCTATGTCATTTGGGGACGCAGGATTGCATTGAAATCAATATATATGCTCATTGAGACTACACGTAGAAAAAAAGCCGTATCCTGCTCCAAAATACCGTCTGTTGCATTATACACATATACACCATTATTGGTTGAGCTAGTTTACCCCCCGTCTTCCCGAGAAAGTGTTTTCGTTGCCCTAACAGGCTCACTTGTTCATCTGGCAGCCCAGACAGATGAATCCTCCTGGCGGACCACCGCAACATACCTGACAGTTGGTCAAACCTTGACCTGGAGAAATGGTGTCGGCACGGATGTGATCCTCGGCGAACTCTGCGGCCATTACGAATCCAGCGGTGCTGAGCTCACTTGTGCGAACGTCAGGCGTGAGAGACCCTTCCGCCGCCCGACTATGGAGCTGTTGATTGCGATCCGCAATTGCCAACCATTGCTCCACCTTGTTATATCTTGTGAGCATTGCCCATTCGTACGGGTGAACACCTTTAGGTGGAAGTATCCAGTCGATGCCAATGTAATCCGACTCCCTTGGGTGCTCGGGATCCATTACCCAAAACCACACCTCGATCCTCCCAAACTTTGAGAATTGCTGCCACACTTCTTGATCAACCCCAGCCGGCAATATATCCCAGTCATGATCGGGATACATCCATTCTCGGGCGTGGACGGAGAAGAGCATGTTGTTTTGGGCTGGAAGGGAGACAGGCGGTTCGTCGATATCATTCGGCCCCGTGGTAAAGAACGGCTTCTCGAAGTTGTACTCTGGCCTGTATGGGTGTAACTCGTACAATCTCCCGTCGGTAAGTTCATCCCACCCGGGGTAGACTAGTGGAATGCCTGCCGGACGTAGCTCTGATGTACGTGGCTGAAGAAGCTCATCGGAGAGGCCACTGGGAGCCTTTGCTTAATCAGTACGCTGCCATGAAGGTAGTATGTGGATTCGACTCACATCTTCTACTACCTCACTTGATTGTTCCTCTCTCGAGAGCCTCGGGTCGGCGGGGTTGTTGAGGACGAACAACGCCGCGTCGGCTTGTATCTCGTCTCTCCATTCGCGAGTATGCTCCTCCAGCGCGGCGAGGCTTGAATTCGACATGGTTCGTGCGAGTCTCTGATGAATAAATGACGGCCGAGAACGTGATTGGGCAATGAGCTACCTAAAGTACATGAGCTGTGTTCTTGTATGGTTGCATGCGGATGTACTGTCGGACCTGCCTAACGGGGGAGTGCGCAGGCGAAATCGCAATAGCTGATAAACTCGTTTGGTTGCTGCAGGAGAGGTTGGATTCGGTAGAGGGGAGAACGGGTACGGGTTGTGAGTTAAGAATGACTGGAGTTTTCAGGTTGTGCTGGTGCCATTTTTCTGCTTGAAGCGGTCTGGTAGGTGAACGCCAATGAAACCCTGAAGGGGAGTCCGAGCGCCTAGAGCTTTCATACTTGGCAGAAAATTGTTCCTGAAGCCCAGGCGACTCTCATAATCTCATTGATTACATTTCGTCTGTTGACATTTAACTCATGTTTTTGATTTGAGGTGCTGCGATGAAGTTTGCCTTCGCTGATATGCCTGAAGGCCGGACTGCCTTCCCGAACGCTTTCGCTCCGTCGGGTTACCAGACTCCATTACAACTGCGAAGGCTCTTCGATGCAATTCGAATGGTTGCAACTCACTATATAATTCGTCGGCGCAAACCACACACACTGTATTGGCTTACTGATTCTCATACCGTCTGTTAGGGCCGCTCGTTACTGCTCGCACCCTCCCCCGAAGCAAATTCCGACGATCCGACACTTCTCACCATTTGAACATCATACAACATCATGAAGTGGAATTTTGGATAGCTCGGGCTCAAAATAAATCTGTCGTTCTGCGCTCTGACCTCTATTCCACGCCCCTGAATGCTGACTGAACGATGAGAGCCAATGACGTTCCTCCACTGCGAATTCCAAACATGTTGTCCACATCCCCCACCACCAGACTTCCTAGCGCCACATAACGATCAGGCGCTGTGAAACATCTCCTGTTATTCCATCCACTTCCGCGACCCTCATAAAGTATTGTTGAGCAACTTGTAAGGACTGGCGCCATCGTTGATGGTCGTCGTGCTAGCGCCAGGAACACAGGCGTGGTCGGATCGTTCCCTGTCCTGTTCTTAGCCGCCGCCCCGGAATGCGGAACCGAAAATGCTTGTCCTCATAGCTTGTTCGAACGTCACATCCTCCACGAACCGGTATCCCGACCGCCGTCATCAAACAAACACACAGAAACTGTATCGGGCTTGCGACAGCCAGCTTTCGTTTAAGACCATGGTGAGGAAGTGAGGCTGGGAATAACTTACGCGAGGCGTGTCCGCAAGCCACGTTGACGGTCGGCAAAGCCCAGTACGCTTTTATCTGACCGAAAAGTTTCGGAGGAGGTGCGCAGGCGACTGGAGTGCGATGCAAGGTTGGGGAAAACCGAGGGATTTCTGCTGTTCCTGATTACTGGTTAGCTTTAGGGTCTCAATATGTATTGGAACAGCAAGGAATCGAATCAAGGGTCAGTAGGATGACACGAATGTCAGCATGGTTCGAAGCAACCATTTCCATGTTGCTTCTATGCCGGTTTGTTTCTCATCATGTGGAATAACAAGGTGTGGGGTGACTTGCCAAGTGGACGACGAGGGCGCGAAGCACGCTGGTTCCGCGGAAAAAGACTGGCATTGCTTGACTGAGGCGGATAAGAATTTTGTATTTCCCTCTCCAAGTTCCAGAGAACCGGCGTGAAAGCTACAAGCAGCGACAGAGAAGATGTTCCTAAATTGTTCCCAAAATTCAGCTATGCTCATGATAGGTATCTTGAAATGGTTACACTATCCTCATTGCTGAAGACGATCCAGCGTAAACAAAATTTGACATGCCTGTGGGCTTCTCGCGATCGTACACATGTGCATTTGAAAATCAGCAGTTGCAAATGGCCTTATGCCTACCTAATAAGTTAGCTTTCTCCCCCTAAGTATACGGTACTAACTCTGAGTTGCCAAAGAGAAGAGTCAAAATAGTATCAAGGAAAAATCATCTAACGCCAGACGAGTCTACAGCATGTGAACGCCGCAGCGTGCCTGACGTTATCCACAAAGTGCTCAGTTTATTCTTCATCATTCTCGAGAAGGAGCCAAATAGGATTGGAACTCGACATACCTATTGGAAGCCAATCGACGTTCCCATCACCGCGCCGTTCCTCGTAATATTGCAGAGGGACCCAGAGTCCGTTGAGCTTGACCAGTTGGAGTCCACCCATACCAAGCCACAAGCCATCAATGGATGGTAGACCGGCATGCCACATCAATCGTCAGAGCGATGTTCATATAATTGCCGGGCGGCATAGGTACGTTTGATGAAGAACGACACCCTTTGTCGCACCGACCGTGGGAAGGAACTCGGATACGAGATCGCGGATGATGAGCTTGAATGTGCTTTCATGCGCCCTGAGACCAGCTCCGCATCGATCTAAACGAAGTTGGAAAGTTAGCTTGGTTCGATAAACTTTCCAGTGCTGTTGAAATGGTACACAGGGCTCAGGTTTAGTTAATTTGAATCATTTCGAGGGCAAAAGACCAAAGCCCCTGTAGCGCCGGCTGGTCGTGGCCAACCATTAACGCTAAGCCAAAGACCCAGAGAAGGCTAATCGCGACCGACCCAAACGCAACGAAGACAAAGACCCGCTACCACCGTAATCGTATCTGTAATGCAACCCAAGGGTTGCTCATCATTGCCTACAAATCAAATATGGAAGAATCAAAACTCTGACATACCTTCGCATTCTCTCTGGCCTATGACCTCTTCTTGGAGAGATTGAAGTCGTGGCGAGGAGGGTAAAATGCGTCTGAATCAACCACGGATCATGCCGGTTGCCACCATTGACACCATACCCGCGGTGTAAGTAGCTTAAAATATATCTGTACAGCAAGATTAGCTTTGCTCTGTAAGGAGGAGAAAAATGGCGTGATAACAGTTCGTTGCTCAGACAGCGATGTTTATAACATTGTCCTTCTTGACTTCAGGAAGCAATCCAGACTATTATGTTGAAAACTACCATATGAAGATCATCATGGCGACAGTGTGCTAAGAAAAAACGGGAATACGTACCGATCGATCGCTGAGAATAGAGAATACAATGCTTTGAGCAGTTCCTGTACGGTGATGCCAGCCTCCCTCCGCATGGGAAGTGGACTCCGCCGAGACAGGACTTGTGCAGCTCGGAGTAGCCATCCAAGCAGGTACACCCTTGCTAGGAAGATATAGAGAGCTTCTTCCCTGACAGTTTTGAGTCCTGGTGCCTATGGCTTGTTATTTTCGCCGTTTTACCGTCGAGGATACTGAATCGAAGGAGGGAGTCGACAAGTCACTGTGGTATAACGTTAGCCTTAACGTCCCAAATGACAAAGCGATATGAAACAAGATGTTGGTGGCTCAGTCTGAACAAGTTTTTGACATCATCCGCCTCAATCGCCTGGGAGGCAATCGAGACGTCCGCGTTGAAAACTCGGAGGATTGTGTGCTTGGGCGTGCTCCTCATCATTGCCAGGACGAAATTCAAACGCGGTCGCACGACGTACCTTTTGACGCTGAGTATTTTGAATATGAGTGCGGCTTAACCTGTCTGATGATATTAGCTTTGGTTTTACTTCCGACATTGAAAGCGAAGAAGAGTCTGCGCTGCTCATGCAGATTGTGGAAGTCATCGCGAACCTTCCAAAGGAGGAAAGCCCACTAAGATTTGAAAACTACATGGGTAACCAGTGCTCGTATTGACCCGATCATCACTGCAGGTGAGATACAAGAAAAGAGTACTGTACGTACCAGCAAGGTGCCATTCGTGACGCGAGTGTGATATGGGCCGCCCTGAAGATGTGGGTGAAATTGGACGAGGCGAGTGGATGGTAACTGAAGGCGCTCACCTTCACGGATTGAGCTGGTACGGACTTTCTCGACGGCGATGGCATGAGAAACGGGCGGTCGAGGTTAACCTCCAAATGACACCAGTTAAGAAAGTATTGGCAGACGAGATACCCTGAGGTAGATGGCCTTGAGCAAGGTGCCGTGAAGGTTGTGCCGCTGGAAGAACAAAATACGCACGCCCTTGAGTCGTATCGTAAACCAATAGCGCTTCAGGAACGCCTTCAGTCTGCGGACGGCTTCAGTGGTTAGGAAATGAGGAAAGAAGGAGATAATGAAGAGAAAAGAAAGAGACCACGCCAGTGTGAGAGTGATATAATGAAGAGAAGAAGCGCAGTGGTGTGGGTGTTTTTGGTTGTTGTGGGTATTGTAGGTGAAAGAGCTCCTCGCTCCGGCCGACGCGCCTATGCTGTTATTGGCCAGCATCGGGGGATCAAATCTGCGCGTGGATCATTCTCGCTATCAGAGTCGCCCCAAAACAGGAAGGAGGGCGATACAGTGTAAATAATATCATAGAAGAAATCTGCCATAGGACATAAATAGACGCCTCTTCAGAGACACTGCCGTGATCTATGAGCAGAATGAGAATGAGCGTAGTAATAGGCACACCCACCCCATTGTCTCCCAGTTTTAGGTCTTCCCAGCCATAAGATATATCAATCTTGCACTGTGGTCTCCGTTTGTTTTCTCAGTGAACCTAGGACTGCACGTGCCAAGACTCTTCGTGCTGTTGAGCCGTATACTGTTCCCTTCCCAAACGCTGGTTCCTCTACAACACCATCACACTCTCACAGTAAGTGCTACATTCTCTGTCGGGCAATAATTTCTGCATTTGTGCGTGGATTCGTGCTAACTAATGACTTAAGCCTCACATTACAAACCTTATTCAAGATCTTGCGCGGTCTTTAAGCCCCCTTTTCGACGGCGTAAATGAGGATGGCTTCAGCTCGGAAATGTTTCCATCCTTCGACGATGAGGCGGAAAACCACGGTGCCGTCTCAGAATGCACTCACTGCTACATCCACTGCAGCCACAGGGTCTGTCAAGAGCTCATGGTCCGATCGAGGAAACTCTTAAAGCAACAAGATTGTTTTCTCAACTGTTCATGTGGCCCCATCAACTACATCGAGCTAGAAGTCGCCGCGCCGGCTCTTCCGCAGCAAATGGACGCAGACCTTGTACAAGACATAATTAACGCAACCGACAATATTGCTTCCTCTCAAGAGTTCGCGATTCAATCCTCGGACTGGAAAAGCATCATCAACCTGGTCCAAGCATACGCAGACCAAGACTCATCTAGGGGATTGGGCACGTTGCGTAAACTCGGCACCACGCTCAGAAAGACTTCCGACTTGAAGGCTGCGACCTACTCTAGCTCCTGCTTCTTCAACTGCTTGACGAAATACTTCTCCTGGTCCATGGCAAATCCCGATGGTTCAGGTACTCTGACATGCCGCACGATCACTCCGCAGAAGCTCAAGGAAGAAATCAACATATACCTCGACACATACCTGATCGACTACATGGAGCGATATGGCCAGGAATATCTACGACTTGTGAAAGATATAAACCTAAAATCTCCTCTGACCATTGCAACACGTTTCAAGGAGCGCGGCGCCATCAAACACGTCTGGGATTACTGGCAATGCATGCTGGCGATGACCGTCAAGATGCTGCAATGGCGTCACCTCCAGTTGCAGGCCGCGTCAGCGGAATGAATCTCTACGTCAAAGTAGGTCATCACTCATCGCATATCCTCCGGTCGAGAACCGGTAGGATAGATACTGATGTCAGTTCGCTAATGCGCGTAGCTTAGTTTGATCCCTCAGAACCAGATCCGCAGTGGCTATATTCGAACCGTCCGCTACCTAGTTGTACGATATATGCAGCAGCGTCGCTATCATCGGGCTGCTCACAGGAGTTTCGGCGTTGTTCCTTTCCATATACCCATGCAACACTGCTTTTCAGAAAGGGGGCCACTATCTGGATGCCATCTGTATTCCATCTGTCTACCCTTAAATGCCCTCGTTACGGCAACTCGCCGAGGGTGGTTCTGGTTCGATGTTCGTATACTCATCATGCTCAAAATTCAGTCATCGCAATGCTTGAAATTTCTATTGTTGACGTACTCGCATATACATAGTAGATGGAGTTAGATCGTATTGGAGGAATATGATTGGCTGTCATGATGAACGGGTCGTGTAGCCTTGTGTGGCGGAGATGGGGGAAGCCAAGTGCCAAGGCGCCTCGCTCGTTCAGGGGTTGGTGATCCCATCGATGACGTCCCTGGCACCGGACATCTGCTGCCATCGATCGCTGCCGAGCAGGATGTCGTTTTGCGTGCCTGTACAGGAGAAGCTGATATTTCGCAACATGTGACGCGAAGGCACTTCTAGTACCTCCCTCTCGAGACCTCTTTCACGACGCCGGCAATGGCACTCATCCCGCTCAGCCTCTTCCTCGGCGGCAGCGTTACAGCTATCCCAGTTGTCACGGGCATCGCAGAAGGCGTGTCGCATCAAAAGAAGCAGAACGAGGAGGCTGCGAACGAGAGCCGCATGATAAAGTTCAACATTCTGATATCCTGCGACTCGAAAGATGAGCTGGCGGAAGAGGTGGACAATGGCATCGCTGTCTTGCGACATGACAAAGTACATTGCATGCGTCCCCTTCAGGAGCGCTGTGGTGATAACCCGCGTGCAGGTGTGGATAGTCCCGCGCGAAGACCGAGATGGAAAACCGTTCCCTGTACCGCCCATCCCGAATATGCAACCGCCGCTCCACGCTTTCGCGGGTTTCTACATACAGTACCCGGACGATGATCGCGTCCCCCCAGAGCGCGGACTGGTTTCCACGATATCGGATGACCCGCCGATGCTGAACTGGATATACGTCGATAAGAGTACCTATGAGCTTCGGTATGGGAATCGCACCGCCTCAATAGAACACATAGTCGGCGAGTGGGACTGGACAGAGGATGAGATGCGTGTCATGCTTGAGGGCTGGGAAGGCTTCGTTGCTGTGGACGAGAGCTCGGCGATGAGCGAAGAGGAGTGGGAACAAACTCCTTGGGGCAAAGAAGGATTGCGATGGGCCATATATTATGACCGGGATGATAATGGATTGAAAGGCAGGAGAGGAAAGAGGAATGTGTTTGAAATCGTGCTGCACAGGCGGCTGCAGAGCAAAGAAGACCAGCTCAAGCAGCTTGAAGAGGCGGAAAGGAAGATGCAGGTGAAGAGCCGTGGAGATTTGAAGACACAGTTCACAGCGCCAGCAGCGGAAAGAGAGCGGGCATCGCGGAAATAAGATGCATGCGGGAGGGCCTGTGGCATTATACCTTTTCAGGTGAAGGGGTCCCGAAGAGGCCTTGGACAACGTTCAGAATATCGACCGCAGTTCTCTGTGGGTTTCGGCGCTATCATGCTACTGGTATACCCCTTGCGAATGGACTTGGCTGTTTAGACCTCAATATATGGCTTTCATTGTATGGTCCGAAGGAGGATGCTCAGGGGTAAAGTGTGGCTTGGGACAGGAGACCGATAAGCTCTTGATGCGCCAGTCGTATGGCTGGGGTAGTGGGATTGCTTTCTCGACCTGATAAGCCATCTAAGGGTGCAAGACTGGTCGAGCCGTGGCGCTTGCGTAGGTTTCCCATAGTATAGAGATACATTCCCGCTTCAGTATTCTCAATGCTCTTGTGTCACCCATGTGCTCTAGTATCTATACTATCGTATGTAATTCCTCCTCTACCATTGCTAGCGTTCCATAATTCGGTGCCACCAGAGGATCCCCCAGATGGATTTCCCGAATCAGCTAAAGGCCGCAGCGCCAGTGCAGGGGTCAGCTCATTGGTGTCCGAGCTTTCGAACGTCATGCTTCAACCTCCACTCTCGATAACATCTTGATTGCACAACAACATCTCCTACTTGGGTGTTATGCGCACTTTGGCTTCCCTTCTGCATGTTTTCACCCGACTTCTCTTCGAATGAGACCCCTTGAGGAGAAAGCCGTCATGGCGGACGAACGCACGCCTCTCCTTGCCGAAGTAGAAACACGGCGCCACCGCGATCGATACCCGCACCACACGCTCCGCAAAATATGCACGACTCTCCTTTCCGCTGTCTTGATATTTGGCATTGGAACTGTCATTCTTGTCTTCATCTTATTTCCCCTCGACGATGATGACAGCCTAGCAACGTCATGGCGCGCATACTTGCCAGGGCATGCGCAAGCGTTACCTCCATCGTGGCCGAGAACTACAGGAATGGAGTATAAGGATTTACAAGAGATACTCTTAACAGTTCCAAGTCCGAAGAAGGCCCGGGAGTGGAGCAGATACTATACGGCTGGTCCGCATTTGGCGGGTAAGAACCTGAGTCAGGCACTCTGGACAAAGGACCTGTGGCAGGAATTCGGCATCAAGAACACCCATATCGTTGATTACGATATCTATGTCAATTATCCGAAGGACCATCGTTTGGCGCTGCTGGAAAGGAACAAGACATCGAAGGGGCTGGAAGTGCTGGGGTCTGCTGATACCGATTCGTGGATGATCAAATACGAAGCATCCTTAGAAGAAGACGTGCTCAAGGAGGATGGCACAAGCGGCCTTTCGAACCGTATTCCGACGTTCCATGGTTATAGTGCCTCCGGAAACGTCACCGCCCCCTATGTGTTCGTCAACTACGGCACTTATGAGGATTTTGAAGAGCTGGTCGCTAAGAATATCAGTTTGGAGGGGAAGATTGCATTGGCCAAATATGGTAATGTGTTCCGGGGTTTGAAGGTCAAAAGAGCTCAGGAGATGGGCATGATCGGAGTGGTTATGTACTCTGATCCCGGGGACGATGGTGAAGTGACGGAGCAGAGCGGTTACGAAGTCTATCCCAAGGGTCCGGCTCGGAATCCCAGCAGCGTACAGCGCGGAAGCTGTCAGTTCCTCAGTAAGTCTCCTTTGAATATCGCTGCAGATGCGCCACTAACAACCAGGCTTCGCTCCCGGTGACCCAACCACCCCGGGATATCCGTCCAAACCGGGCGTCCCTCGCCAACCCGTAGACCACGCCATACCGTCCATTCCATCTATACCTATCTCCTATAAAGATGCGCTACCTCTCTTGAGAACACTGAACGGCCACGGCCCGAACGCGTCATCCTTCAGCAAGTATTGGCACGGAGGAGGACTTGGCTACAAAGGCGTCGACTACAACATTGGCCCATCCCCTGACCACGTGGTCCTGAACCTCGTAAATGAGCAAGAGTATGTAACAACACCTATGTGGAATGTCATCGGCATCATCAACGGCAGCATCCCAGATGAAGTCGTCATTCTTGGTAACCATCGAGACGCATGGATTGCAGGAGGGGCTGGCGATCCAAACAGCGGGTCCGCGGCCTTCAATGAACTGATTAGGGCGTTTGGTAAAGCTCTGAAATTGGGCTGGAAGCCCTTGCGAACCATCGTCCTTGCGTCTTGGGATGGTGAGGAATACGGACTGCTGGGCTCTACTGAATGGGTTGAAGAGTACATACCGTGGTTACAGGCCTCTGCCATTGCGTATCTGAATGTTGATGTCGGTACCAACGGGCCTTACTTAAGGACAAGCGCAGCGCCGCTCCTCCACAAGGTGCTCAAAGAGACGGGTGAGTTTCCTCCCTTGTTGGCTCAAGCACACGTTGACAGCTCTAGCGTACCTCGTCCAATCACCGAACCAAACCATTCCGAAGCAGACTGTTGGAGACACTTGGGACCATCGTATTGCGACTATGGGCTCTGGCTCCGACTTTACCGCTTTCCAGGACTTCGCCGGCATTCCTTCTCTGGACATGGGCTTTGGCGCCGGCGGAAGATCTCCCGTTTATCAATACCACTCGAATTACGACTCGTTTGACTGGATGGAAAGGTTTGGAGATCCAGGTTTCCACTATCATGCTACGATAGCAAAGCTATGGGGGCTAATTGCGGCCAACCTTATCGAGACCCCTGTCATCCAGCTCAATGCCACCGACTATGCGGAGGGCCTAAACTCTTACGTCGCGTCTCTCAAGGAGAAGGCAGTCAACGAGACGGACATAGACCCAGCTGCGTTCGTTCTCCTGGACAAGGCGATCGATCGCTTCCAAATCGCAAGCAGTGCACATGACGCCGTTGCTGCTTCCCTTACTCAGAAGCTCCTGGATGATGATATTCCATGGTGGAAGTGGTGGGAGAGGGTCAAACTCTACTATGCCATTCGGAAAGTCAACACAAAGTACAAGCTACTTGAGCGTCAGTTCCTGTACGCCAAGGGCCTGGATGACCGGCCGTGGTTCAAACATATCGTATTTGCGCCGGGCAAATGGACTGGGTATTCTGGGGCTACCTTCCCTGGTATTGTGGAAGGTATCGAGACCAAGGACTTGAAATCGGCGAAACGGTGGATAAATATTGCGGCGGGTATAGTAGCTAGTGCTGCGGAGCATTTGGAGTAGAGAAGAGGGAATTATCTGGCCACTGTCTCCATGCACATGAGCCGTTTAAGTAAAGCATTGAATATCAAACCAAGATTCTGAGACGTGCAGAAGCGAGGTATATCGAGAGTACCGTGAGTCGCTGATCGAGAGACAGCAGTTCGAGATCTAAGGTGCAGTGTCCCAAGTCCGAGGGAGGGAGACTAGCGCTTCACCTTCAATACAATATGGCTTCCCTCCGCAAACGCCCTCCCCGCTCCTAGACTCTAGGCTCCCTTCCTACCCTCCTCCATTTCCACCTCCGCTTCCCTCTCAGTGCACATCCTACCACTTCTTCTGCCGCTCTTCCAGCTCTGCCGCTTAACTTTAAATCTCAAACTACCAAAGCCCCAATATCCATCACAAACATCACAACAACCCTCACTTCCACCACCCCATCTCCACCACCAATGCCGCACCCTCTCACCACACCTAAGCCGGGCACGAAGCCCCCCGCCACCCCAGGCCAATGGTCGCCCACCCAACCGCGAACTTTCTCCGTCTCTGCGCCCCGGCGCGCCGTTTTGACAAGTCCACTTGGGCGGCTGGAGATGTTCTGGAGGGGAAGCGGAGATGGGGGAGTATTGGCTGCTGTTTGGGCGAAGAAGGAGGTGGAAGGGAAGCCGACTGGGGATGGAGGGGGGAGGAAGGAGAGAGAAGGGGCGAGTTATGGGGATAAGGTGGAGGAGGATGTGAGGAGTGGGAGGTTCGATCCGTAGGCGTATGGAGGGAAGGGAGGACGGCCCGGCTGCGGGAGAGTTGGAGGAGGGGAGGAGAGAGATGGGGATAGGGATGTGGAGGGTGAGTAGTTTGAGATAACCGGTTGTTTTCTAGGGAATACATACATCGTGGGTTCTCGTGGGTGCGAGACTCTCTTCATCGTCAAGTTTGTTGTTTCTTCATCTGTGTGATGAGTTTTCATGACGTGGGATCTCCGGCTCGCGCTTGCGGCTTGGTAGGGCTCGTGCATACATAGTGAGAGGCGAGGAAATTGATATGCTATGTGCTATGGCGGCGGTTTTATTTCCACATGGGCACTCCGAAGAGCAGCTACGGTGACGCTACTTGCTTCCGCACGCCTGGCTCTCCAAACACAGAGTGAAGGGAGCACCAAGGACGGATCACAATTGAGGAGCACAGTAAGACAATTGAATACTAGAGTTTGATCGAACGGCGGGAGATCGCGCCGTCACGACCTCCCCATCTTACCGTAAGCTGCGAAACGCGCCGAAGGAGGGCCATCAAAACAAAGCGTGTCCGCTCTCACTGTTATATCACCGCCCTCATCACAGCCGGGCAAAGGGCTCAGCGGTTGAGAGATATGGTATACAGACAACATTTGATGAGCAATTACGCATGGTCATAAAGGCACCCGTCCAAAAAACACGATTTGCGCGGCGCGGGCACTCAACACCATGGCGGGGCGTGGGGAGCCGCCCACTGCAACATGCCCGGGAGACATCCACGTCAACAACAACAACAAAGTTGTTATAGCATGTCCCTGAGCCATCGGACTACTAGAATACCCTACGAGTATACGTTAAAGCGCACAAATAACCGTCGTGCGCAACGAAGAGCACGCGGAGGGCAACAACCTGTGCTCCAAACGACAACAACAACGCGCTCATTCCACTCCAAACGTAGAACAGCTTCCTCACTTCCTCCCCTCTTATTTCTTCTTCCTCGAAAGACCAGACAAGCCAGCCAATTCAATGAAAAAGAGGTTGCCTGGGATGAACCCAGGACTTATTTTCCAAAAAGTAAGTAATGCCCCTGCACTAATCGAGACCGAGAGAGAGTCACCGTTTTGGGCATGAGAACAAAAGAAGAGGGAGAAGAGGGAGAGGAGAGAGGTTTATATACACGCCCGGAGGACGGCTTACTAACAGTGTAGTAATTCGAGACCATAGCCGGAGCGAGAGGGTGCCCGCCGGACTGAGAGGGTGCCGTCTTGCGTTGGGGAGTGTCTCTCATACGGGGCCCGGAGGGGGTAGCGTGCCTCATTGGTCCGTTCGATGGGCAACCGCTGGTGAATGGGTGCCGCGTAATCCGCAGAGGGTGGGCCTAGTGGCTGGTGGGAGGAGTGTGGGTCAAGCTTCCCCGACACTGAAGGGGCATCGGCTTCCACAGACCTGCTGCATTATCCGCTGCCATTAGAGCCGTGACTTTTGCGTTTTCAGTTGTGCGAAATGTATCCTTTACTCAGAAGCAACTCAATTCATGATATGGCTCTGTTGCATTCTTGCTCGATATGCGTGGGCGACCTCACGTATCTTACAAGCACACCTTCCTTGTTATTTAGGCCTGCTTTGCAGATAGCGTGCAGAATCTGTCCAACTGATGGACGCCGCTATTGAAAGGTCTAACACAGTTGGCGTGCCAAAACATTTCATGTCGCCCGTTGCGGACAGTGCGGAAAGCTTGCTCATCTGTCTCGGGCGGGGAGTGGACCCAGCCACGTTCTGCTACCACATCACGACTATAGGTTTCTACAGTATCTATCTTGTTGAATGCAATATCATACAATTCATTATGTGCTAATGCCAGGAAGCCTCCAGCGCATGCTGGATCTTCAGAAATCAAACAGAGGAAGAAACAAAAGATGGAAATCCCGCCGTAGCCGCAGCCTGTTGCAGACTACACTACGGACTTACCTTGAGCAGCTCGATAAGAGGGCAACTCGTACCACTTACCTCAACGCGAAGTCCACTGACCTGCGGACCTTCCTTCGATCGACGAGCCGAACCGCGAAAGCAGCACGCCTTGCTATAGGTAGCCCTCCCTTCAACGATGCCGCTTCTGAAGCTTTTTCGGACGGTCAGCACTCCCATTCGCATCTTCAAATTCCATCTTACGCTTTCCATCAGTTCTTCCCTCTCCGCTACGCGCACGCATATCTCGCAACACGTACAACCGAATCAAGTCATTTACGGCGCGTCCTCAAGCCTTCCAAACCTCGCACGCGATGCCATCATAGAAGAGCATATCCTTGAACCGCCTCGGTATGAAAGGAGGAGCTGTACCATGGCGAAATGGGCCGGACGCATGTTTCCAGTCGCACAGTGCTAGTCGCATATGATTCGCAAGACCCGTCTTCAGCATACGAGGGGAGATAAGTCGACTCTGCTGCGTAAGCGGGGTGAGCGTGCTGACAAGATACCCATAGATACCCTTGATGAGATACGCCTCAGCCGTGGCAGCAAGCCTCTCACGGTCTGGGAAGGCGAGCTTCAAGAAAGCGCGGGTCTGTTTCAGAGCAATCTTATCCATGGAATCGCAGACTTTGAGCTGGCGGAGGAAGTGCAGAGTCTCGCAGAAGCGGATCTCGATGTCCTTGTCCCAGTCCAGCTTTCCAAAGGCTTCAAACTCCTCAGCAGATATGTCACAGTCGAGAGTAATCTCTGTCGCCGGGCATAACCGAATGGGTGGTGGTGAGGTGACGCTGGAGTTCTTGCACGCACAGGAGAAGTACGTCGCGCACTTGAAGAACTTCGCCCTACGTTCCGCCCTATTGCGAATGCGCTGGCAGGTCTGGTGCTTGCAATGTAAGACACAATGAGCAAAAGACGCATCTTCGGCATCGGCGGGGTTATGATACTGGGGGAAAGGCTCAGTATCCACAATCGGCGCTGCGGAGAATTCCATCGGATGGTCCTGCTCGAGAAGATTTGTGATGACGGGCAGAGGCCCATCCCAAGCATTCTGAAGCCGTGAGTACGCCATTATGGAATTCTTGCAGCGAAAGGGCGAGCCTTTGCGCCAATTGTGGGGGAGCGCCTTTCGTGTCTTAGGTGCGTTTCCGCTTGGGAAGACACCTGAGAATGATGACTTCAGAGGTCGTGGAAGTGTATAACACTGTCTCTGGGGAGGCTATAGGGCATATTGAAGGTGTATTTATGCAGCTAAAGTAAGGTGTACAATGTAGGATAAGACCTCACTTGTGAAGACACGGCACGTAAACAATGTCAAATCGTCACATAATTCCAGCATCAGTGTCTCAGTAACCTCCCAATGCACACAATGCATGTGTTCTCGCTATGCTACAAAGTAAAAGAGTCAGTCCTGGAGCTCTAGAGCACGAAACGCGCTTAACCTAATTAGGGGGTGCCGATTTTGCACCAATTCACCTTTCACCACCGTTTGCCGGGTGGGTCAGGCACCCAATGTCCAAGTTGAAATACGTTCCTTCCTCGCTTCTCCTCTCTCTCTCCAACCCTCTACAACACCTTTTTCGACTGCCACACAAAGTCAATTCTTCTTTTTTTTTTTTCCTTCAATCCTCAAGTCCGCGGCCATGGGTCGCGTCAAGCAGTTCATCAAGAAGGCCCGAAAGGGCTTCAAGAAGTTCGTCAACAAGATTCGAGGCCGACCTCCCTCGCGTAAGCATATCTTCTAAAGTAACATTGAAGTTATTTCACGTACTCACATATGTTTAGCTCCGCGCTCACCTCACTACTCTCCTCCACTCCCGCCCATTGGGCCTCCTCCTCCCCCTCCTCCAGCAAGGCCTCCGCCCCCGCCGTCGCCTCAGCTTCTGGAGAGGTTCCAAGAGCGATTCCGCGCGGGTCTTCCCCCTCCTCCGATTCTCCCTCCCGCCTTCTCCTCCGGCTCCGCCTCCCCCCCGGCTCCGCCTCCCCTGGTCTCCCGGTGGTCCCCGTCGTCCTCCTCCTCGTCCTCGGCCGCGCCTGCTCCCCTGGTGTCGAGGTGGTCCACCACCTCCTCCTCTTCGGCTTCGGCCGCTCCTCCCCCTGCCCCGGTCTCCTCGCCCTCCTCGGCTGCTCCTCCTGCTGCTCCAGTCTCCCGCTGGTCTTCCTCCTCCTCGTCAACCTCCTCCTCCCCTCCTCCAAACCATGTCCCAGCGGAGGAGGGCGACGAGACGGAGGGCCCCTTCGGCGACTTTGCGGTGCTGAGGGAGTAGATTCTGGGTTCTCGTGGGGGATTTGGCGGGTTCTCCCGCGTCTGGGTTGGTGGGTTCTCTGGTGATTGTGCTGGGTGGGTGGGTGGGATTTTTATGGCGCTGGTGGTCGGGTTTCTTCTGCGGTGGGTGCGTGGGTTGGGGCGAATGCCCTGAATATACTGGTGTTTTACTGGTGCAATGACTTTGTTTGCCGTGATGTGATGTGTTTGTGATGCTTCTTTGAGCTGCTTAAGTGGAACTGTCTATTCTCTTCCTCATTGAGCAGAGGTTACAGTGAGGTGCTACACTTGCTGTGGAAGAGAGGATTCTAGTTTTCCTCACCGTGACAGATAACAGTATTTGTCTGCTTTATCTTATCACGTCCTAAAGGCTTGCAGTCATTGTCCATCCGCAATACATATACACTATAACCTAAAAGCGTGCGATGAACAGAAGAACGCTTAAACTAGTACTAGCCATCACTTCTACTGTGATTGCACTCTAAGTATCGGAGAGTCTCTTATTCTCCATCCCCATTCAGCAGTCATAGCATAAGCTTGAAAACATGCTCCTCCCAAACTAAAGTTATTACCTCAGGTACAGTCAATGTCGACCGCCAGCTCCCAAAGATACCATCATCCCGCTCCCATGCTAGCATGCTCCCGCCCAGCATTACATACAACCCATCCCTCCCTCCCCTACGCGGATTCCCCCACAACCACCGAGAAAGTTGGCCGTTCCAACCACCTCTCCCAGAACCCATCCTCCTTCCTTTCGTCCTCCGGTAACACCAACTCCGCCCATGTTAACTTCATCCCCGCTCTCGCCGCACACCTCTCATACACCTCCTTCTTGAACTGGAAACACTCGAACGAGATGCCCGCGTCGCGGAACGTGACTCTTGTCTTGGTCCCCAGCACCGGAGCCTGCTTTTCCGAGCCCACACATTCAGGATCAGCAGGAGCAGCAGGAGCAGCAGGAGCAGCAGGAGCAGCGGCAGCAGCGGCAGCAGTGACGGAGGAAGTTGACGGCAAAGGAGAAGAAGGAGCGCGATACTCCGGGTTCAAAACCTCGACATCTATGCCGTAGAAATCGTGCTTGGGCAGATGCATCCTCGCATCCGATACATCGGTCGTAATCCCCCCGAACCTGCCGCCTTCCGCCAAATTACTCCTGATAACCCTGAACATGCCTTCTAATTCCTCTTCTGTGCCGGCGTAGTTGAGAAACCAGCCGGCGAAGATAATGTCGAAGTTCTCATTTGCTTCTCCATCTGGTTGGTCAAGCGGGAGGGGCTTGCTACAATCCGCGACGGCGAATCGGATGTTGGGATATGTTTCTGCTGGGTACGAGGATTGGGCGGCGGCGATCATGGCGGGGGAGATGTCGAAGGCGTGGATGGAGGCGGCGCCGAGGGTGTGCAGGAGGTGGGTGTAGCGGCCGGTGCCGCAGGCGAGGTCTGGGAGAGGAGGTTAGTAGATGGTACTTTCCGCTGAGAGGAGATATCGGCATGGTAGAAAGCCGTAGTGCTAAAGGATATGGGAGAAGGGAATGGCATGTCACGTGTCGTCCTTCCTGGTCCTACCCCTTCCCATCGCCCGAATATGGAGGCCAACGCGATTCCAGCTGGAGGAGGTTTCCAATATTCAAGAAGTGTCATAAAAGAGCACGAAGGAGATGGACATACCAAGACACCTCTTCCCCCTCACATCCCCAAGCGCCTTGATCACACTCAGCGCCTCCGGCTCCACAGCCGGCATCACGAACCCTTTCTCATATTTCTTGCCGATATTGTCGTACTGTGTACTTTGCGGTTTATTCTGCGCAGTGCTCATATCCTTTTCCACAGCGTACTCAGCAAAGAGGATGATGGAAGTCAGGGGGATCGGGCGAGATTGCGTAAATTGCGATTGAAGGACCAAAACGTGCGAGGATCGAGAAATCTCCTGCCGTACGATGATATTAGGATCGTAAGCGTCTGTTCCAATTGATACGTAGGTACCGTGTCGTTGGATTAACCGCGCGGAACGGGCCTCGGGATCTTATCGAACACCCCACGCGTTCCTTAGTCTAGTGGGGTTCGGCACGGCACAAGGAAAGCGTCTTAGCCTGTGAGGCTTGGGGTTCTGGGCTTTCGTGAGAACTAGACTTGGTATAGCGTCGCCGGTGTGAACAAGCGGGATTGCGGCATGCACAGAGAGATCGGCTATCGTCATAACATCGCGCCAGTCTTCGTCCCACATACAGATATGCCACAACTCATAATCAAGAATGGACAGACAATGCAAGAATCCATTTGAGGTATTTAAACATCAAACAATCGCTGAATCATAAAGAGTCCGCGCCGCACGCTCAGGCACCAAACCCGCACCGCCCGCATCATCGAACTAAAACAGCATACAGGCCCTACCAATCCCTCCCCTTATAGCCACCGCCAACGCCATCCCAAACCATATTTTCGAGTAGACCAAGCCTACATGCGGCTGCTGCCGCCTCAAGACTAGTCTTCCCCTCACAATTCCGCATGAACTCCTCCATTCCCCTTGATGTAAGGCACATCTTGGCTCCGCACGCATCCGCTTTCCTCTCCTACCGGATTTTCTGGTCGGCGGTCGCAGTTTGCTTGACGGAGAAATCTTTCGGGTTCACAAGATAAAATTGGTTTCTTGGACCGAAGAGCGGTTGCAGGACGTCCACGACACGGCCTAGGCTGGGAGGTGGCACACAACCAATAACTTGAAGGAAGTAATGGAGAGTTAGAGGTTGATGACGCTGCTGGATTGCGGAGGGGCGCCATTCCAGTCGAAGACACGTTTACTGGCTTCTCTCTGTCGTACAGGAGATGTCGTAAGGCCTGTGCCACAGCCATCCTTGTCAATGAAATCTGTGAAGCTCGATTTCTGCCTTTACCTCGATTTGTTAGTCTTTAAGGTGTTTCTTGTTAGTGAGCTTCGAGTCGATAATGGTCTTGATTGTCATGCGGCCCCGAGCGAGCAAATCGTCAAGCCTATTCCAGAGCGTGTATGATTGCATTCGCGGTCGTTGTGACTCTTCCCTTATACTCCTGAGTCACCTGGGAGTATATCTGTGTGTGGACGTAGCGATTTCCGCATCGGGGCTGAAATCTTCATGAGGGACGTCCCTGGTCTACATAGGTAGTTCGATTTGAAGAGTAGAGCGTCCACGTCGAGACGGGCCGGCCTTAGATTCCTGGTTCTCCAGGTTTCGTAAGACCCTCCCTTCTGAAAGCCACTTCACCAAGGTCCCTGGAGATATTTCGTCAAACGATGAGGCAACCAGCAGTCTCAAAGGGGCGCACTAGGGTGAAAATAGGCTGCGGCTGGGCACAATCGATTCATTCGTCCAATCGACCAGGGATGTAGCATGTCCAAACATGCACGATATCCTCATGTCCCTTTGTTACGATCAAGCCGATCTTCGTTCCCTGCTCTGCGGAATTGCGCCGGTCCTCGCCGTCGTGTCCATGGTGGACGAAAACGAACTTGCCATCCCAGCCGCACTTCTCCCTCATAGTCTTGATGATCTTTGTCATATTTTTGCGCACCCTCATTATTGGTTGGTGACAGTAGCGATGGTCCTCGTACGCACTATCCGCGCCTTGGGCGTGGTGATACAGGTGTGTATGAACGTCCTGGTAGCAATGAAGTTAGCATAGCGCACAGAGCAACTCAACGAGCTCAGAGGGACGATTACACTTACCGTCCAACGTCGGTACCGAAGATATATCTCAGGAGTCATGATGGAGCTCAACTTAGGGCCTTCTGCCTTCCATGCTTGCGCATCGCAGTCCCCTTCTCGTAGTTCTAATCGTCTTAAGGACCAGCATTGTCGGTGCCCCGGGCTCCCCAGCTACGCGGTCAGATAGCTACGAGCCCCTAGATGATGATTTCAATCGCTGCCATAGTTTTCTCTGTCTTGACGATGACATGTGCACAACTGGCGGTGGTTGTGGCCAGCTCAGGGGCACCTAATGATCCGGCTTGGATGGGATGGGGAAATGGTTGCTCGCGACCAAGGCTGGTGCTGTGGGCATCTGCGCCGTATCTTGGGCATGCAAATAACCTTTTCGAGGTGCCCCTAGCCTTGGGGCCGTGTGGAGCTATCGTGAGGGAGGACCGTGGGGGTGCAGATGGAGGGGAATAGCGAGCCAGGTTGCGCGAGTCAGGTTTGCGAAAGTCGTGGTAGGCTATGACTCTCGTCTCAGGGTCGATGGGACGATTGTTTCCTATCATAGTTATTGCACGTCTTTCTAAAATTCCTAGCTTGGTGCAAATGATAAGGAAGAAGAAACCATTATTCGATTGAATTGTGGCACGGAAGGGCAGCAGTCCCTACTTGCTCTCGACGAACGCGTCTGGGTTTTGTGCGGTCTAATCCCACCATCGAAGACATGCTAGTGAATATATCCAGGTCCAAATCCGATCCAGGTAAGGAGCTCGGGTGCAACAGGTCCAATATGCCGATGGGAGTGGTAAACTTCAAATCCAACCTTTTTTCTTCTCCCTTTTGGAAAGCCCTGATGCAGAATCTGGGGAGATCTGGGAAGGGGAGCGCTCTGCCCTCACCAGTCTTGGCACGACTCAACCGTCGGATTTGTACCTTGCTGAAGTCTCAACACCATCCCCGCTCCACTCCCAATATTCATTCAGGACAGGAATATTCATTATCAACGTCGTCTCGAAATTTGGTCGGATCTAGCTGCTATGCGACATCTCCCGCACGCCCAACATACCTCGATACCCCGCACGGATATAGATAACCCGAACGATGACCCGCAGGTCAACTCCACGACGCCCCTTCATCCAACTCCATCCAACAGGATGACATCAAATCTGGTGCGCCCGGCATGCCAGCCACACTTCTTATCTGGACTTGGCTGCGTCAACGGCGAATGTGCCGTTGCGCCCAACCGGGGAAATCAAGGCTAGCGAAAAGCTTCGCGGTTTGGGATGTGATCACCAACGCGGGGTGAAGGTCAAGGCGCACGGCAGCTGTCCCCAGGGTCTGCTTGATGGTCTCACAATTTGACATGAGAAAACCCTCTGCTGCTTCTCCAAGAGCTCGGAATATTCCACTTTCGATTTATGCAAAGGCTTCGATTCCATATCCGAATATTTAGGTTAGGTGATAACCGTACGATCTCAACAACTGCAATCCCCCACTCCATGCTCGTGCATACAATCCTTCGCCAGGGTTACGGATTATCCCTTTCCTCACTCCCGCATCTCCAGTCGCATGACCCACCAACCAGCTTGATGTTCGACCCTGACCCCGGACCGTTGGTTGCACCAAGGCACACGTCGCCACATCACCTACCCTTCTCGGTATTCCCCCTCCTCGGCTCATAAGATCTCCACCGTCACTCAATGGATGACCCGCCGAAGGTCGTGGCAGAAGCGACAGCTTCCCTAGCTGTGGGTTTTCCTCGGATAAGCTGGCGCGCATATAAAGATTGTTGATCCCTCCACGTCAAACTGTTCTTATACCTTGGAGACCAGGTAGACGACCACCTGCCCCGTCGCAACGGAATCCAGAGATGGCCACAACCTACGAACCGGCGGACCCAATCGCAAAGGGCACTTTCGCCACTGCTAAGCAGTCCTTATCAGACCTCTTCAAATGGAAGCAAAGAGTCGTCGTCACCAACGAAGATGGAGAAGAACACACCGTATGGGAATCGCCAGAACCGCTGAAAGATCCATTCAGTCTACTGGCTCAGCTACATGCAAAGGATTGGCTGTACTTCATTGTCGGGTTCAGCGCATGGACCGCCGATGCTTTCGACTTCCACGCTCTTTCCATCCAGACCACTAAGCTCGCCAAGTACTATCACCGAACGAATACGGATATCACGACTGCCATTACCCTCACTCTGCTTCTACGGTCTGTCGGCGCGGCCGTCTTTGGCCTCGCCGGAGACAAGTTCGGACGGAAATGGCCGATGGTTGCGAACATGATCGTGCTAGGCCTGTTGCAGGTGGCTACTATCTACTGCGGAACCTTTCGGCAGTTTCTGGCGGTAAGAAGCTTGTTTGGTCTGTTCATGGGCGGTGTGTACGGAAATGCTATCGCCATGGCGCTGGAAAACTGCCCGTAAGTCACGCATTCGAGGAGGATATTCTTGGGATTAGAGCTAATAGCGTACAGTGTCAACGCAAGAGGCCTCATGAGTGGTATCCTGCAACAAGGCTATTCCTGCGGTTATGTACTTGCGGCTTGCGCCAACCTCGGCGTTGGCGGCTCCGTCAACAGTTGGAAAACCGTCTTCTGGGTTGGCGCTGGTCTGTCCATTGGCGTTGGCCTTGTCCGCATCCTATTCCCTGAATCCAAGCAGTTCATTGAGGCAAAGAGGCTGGGGAAGACGAAGAAGTCACATGGCGTCTTCTTCCGCGAGACGAAGAAGATGCTGATTCAGGAGTGGCGAATGTGCGTCTACTGTGTTATCCTGATGACTTGGGTTCGTACTCTTCCCGTTCCTTGAAGCGGCTTCCGCTGACGGAAACAGTTCAACTACTACTCCCACACCAGCCAAGACAGCTACACCACCTTCATGCTCACCCAGAAGCACATGACCAATGCCCCCGCCACACGAGCCTCCATCCTCATGAAAACTGGCGCCTGCGTTGGCGGCACAATCATCGGGTACATCTCGCAGTGGTTCGGGCGGCGCCGCACCATCATCGTCGCGGCACTGATATCCGGTTTCATGATCCCAGCATGGATCTTGCCCGAGGGAGAACGCAGTCTCTCCGCTACCGGATTCTTTATGCAGTTCTTCGTGCAGGGTGCTTGGGGTGTAAGTCTTTCTTTCTCTATCTGCTTGTACCTTCCCACTTGAAGGGTGATCTCTCTTGCTAATTAATCAACAGGTCATACCGATCCACCTCAACGAACTCTCCCCGCCCGCCTTCCGCTCCTCCTTCCCCGGCATAACCTACCAACTCGGCAACATGATTTCCTCCCCCTCGGCGCAAATCGTCAACGCCATTGCCGAGTCTCACCTCATACGCACCAGCAAGGGGAAACTCGCCTCGGCATATGGACCCACGATGGGCATTGCTACGGCGATTATTGCCTTGGGCATTGTGGTTACGACGGCGTTGGGGCCCGAGAAGAGGGGTAGGAAGTTTGAGACCGTGGGGCCGCCGGTGGCGGTGGATGGGAGTGATGTGGAGAAGGGGAGCTTGGGGGATGGGGAGAGTTATAAGGAGAAGGACGGTGGTGTGCGGGCTGTGGAGGATGTTGGGGAAGAAAAGGGGCAGAGGAAGGTGGAGGTTTAGGTGGGAGTATTTGGAGGGTATGGGTTGATTGAGTTGGAGTTACGCTCTCGATATACGAAGGATATGTTGATTTGATGAAATGATATGATTTATGCATTTGATGACGATTAGCATAATGTAGTAGGGGTAAACCGGTGCTGGGCTCCCAATCGATTGCGTGGGCTTGGAAAGGATATCCATATACTGCCCGACTGGTATCACACTGGCGGAGAAGATTGTATATTGGTGCCGTGTTTCACGGTATAGCTTTCTGAAGGATGCCGTCAGGTGCAATATAGCGTGTGAGAGGAATGGACTAAGTGGTATATATGCCCATCCAAGCCCTTAAGGTATCAATTCACTTCAATTCACCCAGCTATATCCAACTTGCGAACACGATCCCGCAATCCTACAAGTATATCTACGCTACTCCGAAACCTGCTCCATCCTCAATACTAATACAGCTATCTTCCACTACCCTCCCAAAGCTCTCCCTACAAGGTATCATATATACAAACTCACTGTCGGCATTCCAATACACGTTAGCAACCCAAAGGCTTCATCCGCCTCATCAACTTCAATGACGAATTATACAAGCACGTAAACGAACACGGAATAGGCACGGGAGAAGGATACGAGAGAAGAGAGTTGGTATTTAGAAAAGAAGAAAAAAGAGAAGAAATCTATAAAACCCCTCCCTCCCATCCCCCTACCCACCCAAGAAAAACAGGCCTCCCGGCCAGGAAAACTCCTAAAAAACAAAACAAAAGAAAAAAAGAGTCATCGTCGTTGTCGTCGTCGTCGCCCTCAGCTAAACACCACAATCAGCAACCGCTCTCTACCGTTCCGAAACCACCCAGGATTAGGGTATGTAACTTACTCCTTGCCATAATCGATCCTGGGCTGCCACCGCGTCCTGCCCTCGGCGAAGTCGCGCCAGGCGAAGACGGCGGTGCGCAGGCGGGTGATCTGCCTGCCGCGAGCGGCGTCGAAGGCGGCGCGGTCGCAGCCGCGCGGGTAGGTGTACACGTTTTCCGCCAGGAAGAGCTGGATAGGGGTGGTGGTTAGTTGTGGGTTGGAAGAAGCCTTGGGAAGGGTTGGGGAGGGAAGAGAGGGGTGGGACTTACGGCTCGCTCGTAGACCTCGACGAGGCGGGCGGCGTCTTCTTTGGAGATCGGCATTGTGCCGATATGGTGGTGGTGGTGAGGAGGGAGAGGAGGAGGTGAGGTGGTGGTGGAGGCAGAGGCGGGTGGTGTTGTGGTGGTTGTGGTTGTGGTTGTGGTGGTGGAGGTGCTGCTGCTGCTGCTCTGCTGCTGCTGCTGATGTTGTTGTTGCTGCTGATGCTGTTGTTGCTGCTGCTGATGCTGCTGCTGCTGCTGCTTCTGTGGTGGAATCTGTCGAGCGTGCGAGCCGAAGAGGAGAGGAGGGAGTCAGAGGGAAGCGGGCTATTTATCTGGAGGCTAGTCTTGGCAGGCAGTAGCAAGATCACACACTCTGCTTCACCTAGAGATGGCCAGGGGAATAGCCGTCAGTGGCAGGTTTACGCGTGGGTGCACGTGCGTGGGTGGGTGCGTTTGTTTTCACTGACTGCTTGACTGCGGGATTGGATGGCAGTGAGGCGGCAGCGACGGCAAGACTAGCCGGGGAAAGGAAATCTGGTAGCAGTAGTATTGTAAAGTTGAATCTATGTCGGTAGGAATTGAGAGATTGGAGAGTACTGTACACATAGGATATCAAAACTTGCCGCGTCCCTGCTCCTTGACAAACTCCTTCTTCACTGACGGCGTGCTCACACTCTTCTTCGCAGCCGCTCCAGCTCCCTTCAGGCCCTGCAAAGCAGCATTGAAACCCTCTGCAACCATCGCCGATACAGCATCCATCTTTTCACGCAACGTCCACGGCACCTCCTGCAACCACAGCACCAGATTCCGCACATGATCGGGGTCAGACACGGCGAGGAACGGTTTCCGGATCAGATCCACATCCGTCACGGTGAGCGATATCCAGCGTAACACGCGGATCAACGCAGCAAAGACACGTCGTATTCGATCAGGGTCGAGCAATACTCCGATGCCAGAGGTGCCCCATCGGAGCAGACAGGTCGCGACGCGGTACGTCGTGTACAGTGACAGGAGCCGCACGCTGACGAGATACAAGGCCCAGAGCGTTTCGCAGAGATAGTCATACAGCCAGGTGCGGTAGACCATGTAGGTTGCAAGGAGAGCTTCGCGCCAGGAACGGGCTTCAAGTCGGTCGGAAGGTGCACCAGGGTCGGGTCCGGCATCAGAGGGTTCGTTGACGCCAGAGAGACTCTGGAAAAGGGGAGCGAAGTCTGGTCGCTCTGGGGAATCTCGTCTCCTCCGGGTGCTTCGTCTCGCCGCGGAGCCTTGTCCGGCTGGGGAGCTTTGAGTGGCGCGCGAAGAGCCTGTCGCCGGTGTATCTTGAATGCGGCCTGAGTGAGAAATGTTAGCTGGCTCTGGTCATAGAACCGCGGCATTAATGAGATCCAGATAACCGATGAGCACCCACGGAGGTGGTATAACAGAGAAAATAGGAGATCCAGCACTGTCCTTCCCAGCATACCCGCAGCCCGAGTATACGCTCACTGGAGCCGAAGAATCCACCAAACCTGTGCCATGTCCTTAAAGGACTATGAATGACAGGATATATTGACAAAGCAGAAGACTCCACCAGTGCTCTGCCATGTCTCCAAAGGGAAAATCCAAACGGGGAAAAAAAAAGAAAACTACTCACCCTCACCACCCCTCCGCCTCGCAGCCTCAACCACCGCCCGCACCGCTCCCCCTCCCGCCTCCCTCCTCTCCCCAACCCCACTCGACATCGCCAAACTCTCCCTCTCCCACTCTTCCTCAATAGCCCTCATCCTCTCATCCGGAAACCCCTCCCTCCACAACGCCGAACTCCACTTCATCACCACATATACGCTCACCGCATTCAGCACGCCGAGCGCAAACACGAAGTCCACGGACACCGCTACAAGCCAAATGACCAACGTGACCCAAACGGGGCTTGCCAGGAGCGCGAGCACGTGGTATCCCGTCCACTGTCCTAGGATCTTAGGACAGAGCAAGATGACAGAACCCTGGATCCACATTGGCGGAGCCAGAATCCGGGGTTCGAGAATCACGGCTGCAATCATCGCGGGGAGCCGACACTGCAGTAGCTCTCTGATATCTCCCTTTATCCATCCTCGGTCCCCGTCTGCATCGGCCGTTTTGAGGATGAGAGGGAGGAGGAAATCGGATCTGCTGTACGGGAATTGCGCCGCAGCGCAGAGCGTGACGCCGAGTTGGAAACCCCACTGGAGTTCCTTGATACGAGCTAAGGAGTCGGTGGAGCGGCGCGGTTGGCGCAGTATGAGGAGCCATTGGAGGAAGGCGATGGAGAAGATAAGACTGAAGGCGTAGAAGCGGTTATACAGGTTGAAGGCGGCCATGTGGCCGATTAGGAATGGGACCCATTGCTGTGCCCAGGAGCGGAGGACGTCAGTATTCTGTTGATGGGTTCCGATGGGTTGCTTTCAAGTGGGAATAGGAGAGGGGTGGACGTACGATTCTTCTGGGCAGGCGGTCGAAGCGACCCTGAATTTTCTCAAACCAGGCTTCGAAGGAATGGTCGGTCGTGAGCTCGGGATCTGGGTATGTGTCGAGGAAGGCGAGGGAGTTGCTGAGGGTGCGCTGGTCGTTGCGATCGGCGGCCATTGTGGGCGGACTGCGACAGGTTGATCTGGAGGGATAATTGAAGGATTGTGTAGAAGATAAGAGGATTCAATTGCGATTGCGGGGTGGGCTTGCAATTCCAGAGACAAAGGGTTGAATTCATTGTTCTTTCATTCCGCCGGATCTGGTCGTGCAGCGGTTGAGGCTATGAGCGAACAAAGAAGATGAACCGTGGAACCACAGATTTTGGAAACCAATGGGTCTGGCTACTCCAAGACCAATTTTCACCGTACATCATGGATGGGAATGTTCAAATAAAATTTGTGGCTGTGGGCCTTTCATGCTGCGCCTTGGTGTCAGTGTACGGATCGTCTATGACCTCTCGTTGCGGGTGAAGGTTACACAGAGCTACCCGAGATGTTCAATCATACCCTAGCTAAGCATACCAGTTTTGTTATCTCGAAAGTTCTAAGCATTTGACTACAGAAATCAAAGTCTCGAAAGTGTGCAAAATCCGCCAAACGTCCCCATCATTCCCGCCGCACCCCCCCAAACAACAGTCCTCTAAGCCGTCTCCCTCCCAATACCCTCCTTGAACCTCCTCAAGCACCTCTCCCTCGCAAATCTATGCTCCACAATCGGCCTAGGATACCCGTTCCTCTCCGCCACCCTCGCCGCCTCACCCCCCGCCTCATACGGATTGTGCACCGCCATCCCCTCCACCTCCCTCAACTCCGGCACCCACTCCCTGATAAACTCGCCATCAGGATCGAACTTCTCGGACTGCGTCCACGGATTGAAGATCCGAAAATACGGCTGCGGATCCACGCCCGTGGACGTGCAAAAGCCCCATCCGCCGTTATTGCTCGCAAAGTCCCCGTCGATCAGGTGCGTCATGAAGAACTGCTCTCCGAGGCGCCAGTCGAGCAGGAGGTGTTTGGCGAGGAAGGAGGCGGTGATCATGCGCAGGCGGTTGTGCATGTAGGCGGTGGCGTGGAGGCAGCGCATGGCGGCGTCGACGATGGGGTAGCCGGTGTGGCCGGTGGACCAGGCGCGGAAGTGCGCATCGTCGTATTCCCAGGTGATGTTTGTGTATTCGTATTTGAAGGGCTTGTGCATGCTGGGAGGAGTTAAGGGCGCGATTGGGTGGAAATGGTTGAGAGGAAGACGCACCAGATATAGGGCCAGTTGCAGAGAACGTGCCTGTAGAAATCCCGCCATGCGACTTCTGATATCCAACTTCTGATTCCTTCGTTGCCGCCATCGAGTTTCCTCGTGCTGTTGGCATCTCTCGCCATCCGTACACTCGTCCGCGCCGCCAGAGTCCCAGCGGCATGATGCATACTCACGCGTGCGGTGCTGTCCTTGGACGGGAAATTCCTCGTATCGTGATACTCTCCGACCTGTTCAGCCAGAAAATGCTGCAGACGATCCAGCGCCGCGGCTTCTCCTGCGGGATACAGCTGCTCCAATCGCTCCTTGAATTCCGGCTCCAATCGTTTGTGGTCCGGGGCTTCTGGTATCTTCTCGTCGAACAAATGGCTGAACCTTCCCGTCCGAAAACCCCTCGAATTTGACGTAGGCGCAGGCGGCTCTTGAAGCACCTCCGGATGCGCATGCAGGTAAGCGACCCACGCGCGAAAGAAAGGCGTATACACCGCGTACTGTTTCCCTGACCCAGTTTTCAACGTCCCCGGCGGAACCACGCAGTCATCATGGTGCGGCCAAAACGCAATTCCCTTCTCCAAGCACTTCTTCACCAGCTTCTCTTCCCGCCTCAACTCATCCGGCTCGTACTCGATATTGCAAAACACGTTCTTTGCGTCCCACTCCTCGCACAGCTCGACAATCCTCTTCGGAACGTTCTTCCTCTCAGGTACCACTTCCATATGCAAAGGGATACCCAGCTTGTTCAACTTCCTCTGCAACACCCGCAGAGATCTGAGTTCGAAATCGCACTTGGCCGGACTCACAAGGTGGGCCTCCCAATCCTGCGGACTGAGGATCCACAAGCCAATCACACCCACGCCCTTCTCTTTCGCCTTCTGGCAGGCAAGACTCAAACCAGTGTTATCACGGATACGGAGATCGCGCTTGAACCAGTGAATTACCGCTTCTCCAGTGGCCTTTCCCGCTTGGTCCCGCGCAGCTTGCGTTGCTTCGAGAGTGGATTCCAGCACTTCGATTGGACGCGGGATATCGTTGGCGTTATACATGGCGCATCTCTCGTTGCTGATTTCGGCGGGATAGAAGCGCCGGTCTACGATTCCTGCACGCTCTTCCGGGCGGGAGTGATCGAAGAAGGGTTCTTCGTCGTACAGGCCTCGGCCATTTGTAACGACAGCGGTACGCTCCGGTGGAGGATCTGCATTGAGGTTCATGGTTCCGATGATATACTCGTCGATCTTCTTCTGGGGTTTTGAAAGCCGCGAACGCTTGTTTGGTGCGCTGCCGGACGGGTCGGTGTAGGCGATTGCGGAGGCGGCGTTGGGGGGAATAGAGCGGGGTGTTGCTTTGCGTTTGGGAGGCATGGTGGAGAAAAAATACGGTTGTGTATATGTTGATACCGAGGACTCAATCGCAAGGAGGTGCTGTGCTGCTGTGCCAGGTCCTAGGGCTGCCTTAAGAACGTATCTCGATTGTCCGAGTAGTCGGAATCGGGTCATCCAAAATTACTGAAAGAAAAAAGGTGTAACTCCCCGCAGAGGTGGGTGCCTGCGAGGTGGAGGAGAGTAGCATTCTCGAGGAACATTGTTTTGATGTTCTTACTGTGATACATCCGTACAAGGGAGGGAGATAGACATGGGGATCGCCACATCCCTGCCATATCGATCGATGACGCGCACCGTTCCCCGATCCATCGCCAAGCACGTACCGCCCCTTTCCACATCCGTTGAGAAAAGCAGGGGGTCGCAGGGGGTCGCAGGGGTTACAAAACAAGGGTTTGGTTGGCTGAAAACCTGCCAAGCAGCCACTTTTTAACACCAGGTCGATCACGTACAGGGTATTGAAAGCAGCTGCAAGGTGCTTAATTGGCCATTTCCAAAGGCCAGTCTTCTTCAGGAGCGAAGGCGTACTGATTACCCACTAGTGGCGCGCTTTCCAGCGGATCTGGAAAGGGGTGGGAGATCCGGGGGATGTGCCGCTTTCAGCCACAGCAGCCACGATCGGGCCCGTATTGGGAAGTCCAGATTGTCGGTGGCATGATAACTCACAATCAAAAGAAGATAGACTCTCAGCTGTGTAGAAAACGTTTTCCCACGCGTGCGCTTGCAATTCACGGTCTGACCAACATGTGCTGAGAACTGCGCTGTTCCTACATCTACAAGGTACGCAACCGTCATCGTCATATCGAAACCCAGATGCAGAAAGCCAATAAAGTGTTGAGTTCATGTTGATTCAAAAAGCCGCAACGGTAGGCCAAACCAATCTATCAAGGGTATCTCTCACGCCCTACCCTAGGGCAACAATCACTGCGCCATGCATACCCGCCGCTCGAAGCACAATTCCCCAAAAAAACGTATGACGCCATAACCATGATCCATCCTTCTTGAAACTGACTCCCAAGCCCTAGAACGCCCATTCCCACATCCAAAATCATACACCCAGAAAAACAGAGTCAAAGAAATTCAATCATCCCGGTATCCTCAACCTCCGAACCCAGCCCACCACCGAACCCAACCCGAGCATCCCCTCCATCCCCCCCTCCGGCCCATCCCTCCGCGTCTTGCCCCCGAAACCACTACTCTCACAAGAACAAGAGCTTCCCAGTGGCAACGACTCCTTCACATCCACCGCATCTACTCGTTTCCGAGACGCGAAAAACCTGCCTGAGAGGCGAGCGGAACGGGAGGTGTGGGACGGCCGGCGTTCGGATGGTGTAGAGGATATGGGTCTGGTTTCTGGTGCCGGGCCGTAGGGGAAGGTGGATGGGGAAAAGGGGCCGCGCGGGCGAGAGTGGGATGATCCCATTGCGCTGGTTGGTGCTTTTGAGAGTTCGGGTAGCGGTTGTAGGTTGGGAAATCTCGGAGACGGACAGAGCGTGGTTGGATGACTTGTGGTGCTAGTTCTTCTCTTGACGACGGCGATTATGATCCAGTCACCAGTTCCGGTGTGTTGTAGTTGTATTGTACTCTTCGAACGTAGACACCTGGGGGAAGGAAATTCGTAAGGTTATCCGTGTAGAAGTAAAAGATTCGTTATAGCGAATGCGCGGCCCGCACGTCTTTGTTCTTCAGAATGGGTTATATGAAGAGATAGATGTATTGGACGCTCCCTGGAATTAAGAGAAACTGTCGCTCGATGGCGTCCTCAAAAGACTTCGAGAAAATATGTACATGCAAACCAGCTACTACCGGCAGCGAGAAACACGATTCTTATACCAACCCATGGGAACCCTAGAACCTGTCTTCTCCAAATTAGGGCCATATAGTACAAGGTACGTCAGCGCCTCGAACGTTCTACTGTACCTGACATCAATCGACGTAAGACACATGAATGGGTCGGCCGGGATTCGGGCCCCAATTTATTTCCGACGATGGCAATGTGGGAACCCCGAGCACCGAGAAGACGGAGTTACAGTAGGTAGGCTATGGTTCGATGACCACCTGATTTGTCGCCTCAGGCCACACGGGAGCTCTCCGGCTCGTGCGGTGGGGGCAAAGTATGCGGCTTTTCTCGTTGGTACAGGACAAAACAGACGAGGTACACTAGGTACGACTCCAGTACGGGCCCAGAACAGTGAAGAGGGCAGTACGACAGTAGGAGGCGAATGCCCCGCTGGCGTCATTGTAACAAGAGAGAGTAAGAGAGGATGTAAGCTAGTCCGTTCCCGGTAATCAAGTCGAGTCATGCTAGTGAATCTAGAACCATTGCTTCCACCATTCTTCTGCAATATGCATGTGGCTGCTACTGCACAATCACGCTTATTCGCTCCAGAAAATGCAACCAATACATTATCATATCCTATAGTATCTTATCAAAGAAATGAATTTCGGCGCACAACTCCCCAACGTATAAAATCCGCCCTTTTACAAATGCCTCCTCGCCACAGTCGCATTGCCTCCATTCCCACCAACCCTGAAGCTCTCTGGCGGGCCATTGTGACTCTCCCTCACGCCGCCCAGATCAACAACCACCTTCTGCAGCACGACATTGGCCTCCACAAGCCACAATTTCAGCGTATGCTTCCCCTTCTCAACCGCGCCCCAGCTCGTGGTGTTGTACCACGCACTCTGCGCAACAGCAGGGCGCCAGCCAACCGGGAATTCAGGTTGAGGTTGGTCGATGACGTATTGCCTGCGCTGAGGGGGGAGGTCATCGAGCTGGGCGATGTAGGCGAGAGGCTTCTTGGGGTTGACGTTGAGGGTTGGAGAGAGGATAAGGGTAACGTTCAGCCCCTTTGTGGCCGGGGTGGAGGTGAAGGTGTAGAAGTCGTATTCGATGAGCGGGGCGGTGGATGTGGTCAGTGACTCGGCTCGATTGTTGTTGAGCTTGATGCCGGAGAGCGTGCGGCCGTAGTGCGGAAGAACCTGGATGCTGAGGTCGCCTGCGGGCGTCATGCGCGTCCAGTGCTCGGCTTCAAAGGAGACATAGCCGGCCGTTTCGACGAAGCCGGACGTGAAGGTGGATGGGAGCGCCGTGTTGTTGATTTGGAGATTGATGGTGGGCGTGCCGAATTGGGTGCCGTAGTCGGTAGAGGAAGTGATGTTCAAGACGGACTTCTTGCCCGAGCCGGAGGCGATCTGGCTCCAGTCGATATCGATGTAGACGCGGACGTCATCGGACTCGGGAGACAGAGTGCCTGAGCTTTGCGTGAGCTTGATGAAAGGCTCGGCTTGAATGTTCCATTTCGTGGTCTGGGTTCCGACATTGAAGATGTCGATCCATCGGTGGGGTGTATAGGGCGTGATCAAAGCAAGGTCGAGGGAGCCTCCGCCGTTAGAGTGCCAGATATCGTCGCCCGGAACGGTGCCATTGCTGCCTTCAACCGCAACACCGAGGTCGCCAGCAAGGGAGCGCTCGAAGTTCATGACCCAGCGTAGCATAGGTGATGTCTGGCGCATGGGCTGTTGCCTGCGAATCCCGTTAGTCTGTGGTAGACTTACGGCGAACCGAATAACTCACCAATAGCCTTGATAACCAAGATGTGTCTGGTCCATCATATGGTTCCACTTTCCACCCAGGAGGCTATGGTATTGAACAGTCAAATTATGATCCTTCTTCATTCCATCAAGGACACGCTGGAACCACCTATTAGCACTGTTACGCGCCTGACCAGAATAGATGATATTTCTAGCGCCCGCAACCTGGATATCAATGAAATTACCTCCCGCAAGAACAGGGTGCAGAATCATCTCAAAGAAAGACGGCTTCTGCGCGTCAGGGAGACTGTCGTACACAGCCTGGGCCTTCTTACCCAGTGCCTCCCATTCGGCCAGGATTTGGTCGGCCTCCTCGTAGTTCAGCACGCTGTACGTCTTTGGCTCGACAAGCTCGAACTTGCGCATGTTCGCCAAAAATCCGTACCGGTCAACGATGTCAGAGATGGTCTTTGCGTGCTTAGCGTCGAATGTGCGCGCTGCCCAGCTCTCGATCCATTTGGGGACGCTCTTCTCATCGTAAGCATCGATATCATAAGCGATGTCGAACCAGTGAGAAATCGGGATCTCGTAGGGCTTGATGTCTCCGACATTGACAATCCAAAGGCGATCGGCCTCGCGGTCCTTGGCAAGGCGCATCTGGTCGTACGTCTTTTGGAGTTGGATGGTGTTGATCCACTTGTAGTTCTGTGGGTCCCCGACATAGTCAAAGTGCTTTAGATGGCGTTAGTAACGTTCCGCTTTGGCTCTATATGAATGATCGGTACTCACATAGTAGACACCAGCACCTCCAGACCTCTTCTTCTCGTCACCAACAGGGAGCCTGCGGATATTCTGCCAGTTGTCCTCGGTCCACAGCAGCGTGACGTGATCGGGCACCTTCATCCCCGCCTCAAAGTAGTCCTGCACCTCCTTGTATAAACACCACATCTGCGGAACTGCGGACGCATTCCCGTACACTTTGTCCAGAATGTCTTGCTGGGCATTGACAACGGCTTCCAACACATCCGTCTGCACATCAGGAGTCATAGCAGTGTCGTGATAACCGCGCATGCCAACAGTGACGACGTTCTCGTAATTCTTGGCGCGGACGGCGCCCTCCATGAAGAATTCGTAGAGACTCGCATTGTTTGTCGCCCACTGCCAACCCGCCTCGCCACCCTTGCCGAAGACTTTCCACTCTTTAGTAGCACGCACCATCGGTTCGGTATGCGATGAGCCCATGACAATGGCATACTCATCGGCCAGAGGTTGATTGCGCGGGTCATCGACATTGAACATGCTACCCCACATGGCAGGCCAGAGGTAATTTGCCCTCAGACGGAGCAAGAGTTCAAAGACATGGGAGTAGAAGTCTGCGCCGAAGGCAGATCCCCACTGAGACTGGGGGTACCTCTTATTCACCCACCCGGTAAGGGCAGGTGCCTCGTCATTGATGAAGAAACCACGGTACTTGACGGAAGGCGTTTTCTGGACCTTGGTGGTTGGGAGCGCGTAGATGGAATCGTGGGACTTGGAGGCAACGTCTGCGAACCAATGCCATGGCGAGACACCGATTTGCTCCGAGACATCGTAGATACCGTAGATGGTGCCACGCCTATCGCTTCCTATGGTGGTTTAGCTTTTGCATCCGTTTAGCCCAGTTGTACGAGAAACCTACCGGCAATAACCAATGCTTCCTTGGTGCCCTTTGTAGGGTTCTTGATCACAGCACTGACGTAGGCTTCCCATTTGCCCTTAATCTTGCTAACATCGAGCTTTCCCTCCTTGATCAAAGCATCGATCAAGCTAGAGTTACCAATGGTACCCGCAATGATTGTGCCACCTTGGTTTCCGTGCGACTTGTGAGAGCCTCCCACAGTCCAGTCCTTGCTGATACCGGTGACGTTGAAGATGGTCTCCGCACTCTTGGTGCCCTTCCCTTGCACGGTCAAGGAGCCATTGACTCCAGTGACACGGCCAAAGTCGACGGCGAGATCGTGTGCCGCACGAAGGACACCAGGCCAATCTGCGCCGTCAAGGAGGATGTTGACGGGGGACGAACGGGTAGCAAGCAGCAGGTTCCCCTTGCCAGGCTTGAAGTCAATGGTTGGCTCCCGGTCCGCAGAGACGAGGTTCGCGGTAAAGAGCAGGGAGCTCACAAGGAGCTTGGAGAGGAGCCCCATGGTTGCTTGCTCTCCGGATCAGGCAGAACGAATGTTGATCGACTGGATACCGGACCTCAACTGCAACTCTTGCGGGGGCACCTCGTGGATATTTATTACTTTTGGAGGGCCCTGGGGTAGATCTCCACATGGAGCATGATTCCCCTTAATAATGGCAACGTGCGGATACATTGGACTATCCACATGAACCCAATTCCCAGGAACGACTAGCCCTCCGCGATGCACGCCGAGCATGCGTCCCATAGTGACGATCCCGGGTATTCCGTCTGGATAAATTGGACATTCCGTATTTCTTCTAGAAACTCGATCTCAAGGTCCTTGGCCATGGTACGAGCCTCCATTGGCGCATTTGGTGTCTTGATGCTCAACAGACGATAACTGCGTCTTGGGATGTCCAATTCACTTGGGGGTTTCTGGGCTAGGGACGTCGTGTACGAAGCAAATTCTTCCGGTAGTGCACTTTCCAACGTCGACTCCCTCTTTTTGTGTGGGCAAGGATTGTCCCTCAATTCCACTATCGAGCAGCGGGAGTATGGGGCTTGGAAACGGGTCCTCGGGTTGAAGGAGACCACGGCATGCCTTGTCGTCCCTCTCCAGGCCGTTGACCATCTGGCTAAATTTGTTGAACCGTCAGGGCCGGAACCGTAAGCCCGCAACCCCCCACAGTACGCTATCCCCTGAACGAGTTAGCGTACCATGTAACAGCCGCGGTTAGCCAAGCATCGCGGCGGACTGGTAGGATTTTGATCATCAAAAATCATCAGGGCCGAGTCATTCTCCACGACCCACAAGAGATCCGGTTCGAAGTGTTGAAGGTTTCCCGCTTTTTCACAATGGCCCAGGGTGCAATCAAGAAGGCCAACAAGGCCAGTAGTGCCAGGAAGTATGTCCACTCCCCCTCACTGTCAAAACCACTTCGCACCCGTCCATGAACAGCTCTTGAAGCATACACTAACCGATCTCGCATTCAGGCCCTCACAGACCGGCCCCAAGCGCGGCTCGCGCGTAATCAAGCCGAAGAAAGCGTCCTTGATCTCTCAGCAAAAAATCAAGAAGAAGGTCGCCGCGGGTCTGACTGCGAAGACGGAGAAGTTGCTGGGAGAGAAGGCGGGACATCTGGAGATGTTGAGGGGCGGGAAGAAGGAGAAGAAGGAGGAGAAGAAGGGTGCGAAGAAGGGATGAGCGTCCTGTGGAGGGAAACAAGATCTTCAAAAAGTTACAGCTACCAGCTGTGCCATCGGCATGTGAGAAGGGCTTGGGCGTCGGATGGACTGTCCTGGCAAAGCGCATTGCTATGATGCGACCTCTGCTAAGAGAGGATAAGAGCATACTCCGACGATCAGGTATGTGGTCAAGGAGAACGACAGGATTTGAGGTTGGGGATAAATCGGGGAATGGTGCTGAATTGTCAGGGGCACAGCGCGCTGCAGTACCTGGTAACCGCAGAGTCGGAACGTGCACAGCGGACTGTAAGAGACTTGAAAAGCAGAACCTCAATCTTATGATCGGGAGATGCTGCCGTAAATTCATCATGTTGCAGAGGCGTGAAGCCTACAATAGCACTGGACATCCACACAATGAGATATCCCTGGGTTGATACTACTCCACAAATCCCAGCTCCACCGAGAACATATCCTCGTGTAAAAGGGTAGGAACGCTTCAACGCTGACTCAAATGATTCCAGCACGCGCTGCCTCACCGCCACCGGCTTCAACAACCGCCTCCCGTGCCTTTCCCCTTCCAATACCTCCCTCACCAACACCCATCCGGCGAGCAACATACCGCTGCGCAACAATACCGACAGCAAGACCGATCGTCTCCTCCATCCACTCGGCTACCCACTCGCGAGGATCTACACCCCCGCTTGCAATGATCTCTTGGATCTCGGGTGGCAGATGCGAGTTGCTCCCTTCCGCGTCTTCAGCAACAGGCGCGTCAAGCCACTGCACCCACTTAGCCGGAAAGGCTTGACTGAGCCCCTTGAAGCTGATGCTGTGAATGGGATCGTGGAGATAGACGGCAAACGTGACGAGCTCGTCCTCTTCCTTCGGCTCCTGCACACCTTCCGTCTTCTCCGCATCCGATGATGCTGAGCTTGCGAATAGGTCCTCCGGAGCCGGGTAGCTGACGGCCTGGAGGGCAAGGAAGATGTCGCTGCTCCTGACGGGATTCGATTCGCTGAGGACCTGGGTGGCATGTTTCGCTGCTTCCTCGACTCCGCCACGGGCCGCGAAGAACTCGTTCGCATAGGTCTCAGCGCTGACGCGAGCAAGCTTCGTGCCTTCAACCAGCCCCTTCACGACCCCCAAGTCACGCTTGTCGGTGTGGCGCCACCAGGGGCCGTCGTTCCAACCGCTGCCTCCTCCCCTGAAGCCATCGAGAGAGCCTCGATGCGTTGATTCAGATCCCCGTTGGATGACCATCAGGTCTCCTCCCTCCACTTGCTCCATGACGGTGGAGAAGGTCTGATAGATGATGGGATCAAGAGAGGGGTAGCCGATCAGGTCGTGAGTGATGTGTATTTGAAGTCGTTCATGCTGAGAGATGGGAGGAGCTAGGGTATGGAGGATGTTTGTGAAGGTTGGCAATGCGCGTTTTTGGAGTTCACCTCCTGTGATGAATTAGTATGTCGAATATCAAACGGAGGTCCTGCAGAGATACCGATGCCCTTCAATGCACCTAGTGCTCCCACATTCCCTCGTACTTGTTCCGCCCACCGCTGTGCTTCCTGGCTCTTCTGAATCTCACTCAACGCTGCTTCAGCCTGCTTCTTGGCGGCATTCGCTGTAGCGGTCGCAGTGGAAAGGAGTCCGCCCCACCATCCTCCAGACGATTGCTTCGGTTCGGGTGCGGGCTTCTGTGTATCCTCCTCTTCAGTAGGCGCAAAGCTCTGATGAAATGACCTCGCACTCTCCCCAGACTTTCTCGGCGCCTGCGTCTTTTCCTCGCTGGTACGACCAGAACCCGTTGACGACGGTGTTGCGATGCCTGCGCGGCGGGGATTGCTGGAGGTGGTGGAGGATGACGACAATTTAGGGGTGTTTGGACGACTTGATGGTCTCGGAATCTCGGGGCGCTGATACTTCTCGAGGGCCTCTAGCTCCTCAAGCTCCCTAAGAGCAGCATCATCAGTCTCTGTGGTGTGGTCTGCACCCTTGCGCCCAGCTTTGGTGCCCTTAGAGCTCTTAGGCGGAGGTGCGGCTGGGGCCTCCGCTTCCATTTCGAGCTCGGCCAGCTGCTCTTCGAGAGTCTTCTCCGGCATGCTGAAGAGCGAGAATGCTGACTCAATACGGACAATGTAGTGGAGTGAATGTGCGAGGGTACAATAGCAGTACGTGAAGATGAACGACTATTGTTGACGTTCTCCTCAAATGTCCGTCATTATCGGCGGGAATTCTGATTGGCTGCTGGGAGACGCTAGCGCCTTGGAGCGGATTTACTACAGGGCAGCCACACGACAAAGATCACCAAAACCACCTCCTCCTCCTCCTCCTCCTGCGCAGCAACAGGATCCATCATTCCTGCTTCTTTTTTCTGTTCGAGACGCTCCGGCGCTCCATCTTTGTTTCCTCGTGGAAATCCTTGCAACTGACGCTCGGATTCCATACTTCTATTTTCGCTTAGACCGGGCGCACGCATAGCGGCCACCCTGACCGGGCTGACTATCACCACGTTACGCACGTGTATACAAGAAGCGCCGTCATTTTAACGTCGACTCCAACATTTCTCTTGCGCCGCTTCTTTCTCTTCATTTAATCCTCACATAGCGATTACCATCATGGCTGGGCCACGAAAACCCCCGCCGCGAGCATCGCAGCAGCAGCGCAATGCAATCGTTGAGGAAGAACCAGCCATGCGCACCCGTTATGGCAGAGGAGTGAAATCCACACCAACGAAGACTGAAGCCACTGCCATTTCAAAGGCAAGCCCGACTCAAGCAAATGGCTCCATTGACGGAAAAAGGCGAAAACGTTACTTCTCACCCACCTTGTCGCCGCCCGAGACTCGTGGTCCTTATGCGGAATATACAGCCCCTAACCTCATCATTCGTGGTCTCCCAACCCAATTTCTACAAGAGCTTGCCGACAAGGAGACGCGAAACCAGAGGAAACAGCGTCTATATGCCGGCCAGTTCACCCAGTCCGACCTCGAAAACGACACTTCATCTGACGAAAGCGATGTCCCAACGCCTCCTCCTACTTCTGCCCGCGGTCGAGGTCGCGGTGGCGGTCGTGGTGGACGCCCCCGCGGCAGAGGACGAGGAAGGGGTCGTGGAACGGCACCAGCAGTCTCTCGTCATTCAACCAGTATCTCTCCTCTTCGCACACGCAAGCCTCGCGGTCGTCAGCCAAGCCATCATTCTGAAGAAGAGGATGATGGTGAAGAGAAATCAGCCAATCAGAGCGCAGAGATGGAAGGCGCCAAGCCTTCGCCTCTTCCGAATGAGGATATTCTCATGATGGATGCGCCAGACATCGAAGAGGAAGACAAGAACTGCGAGACTAATCGAGATGCACCACCGCAGTCGTTTACTCCCCCGGGCTCACCCCCAACAGGGTTGCCCTCCGGTATCCAGGAGGACGTCCGTCAACCAGCACTCACTGTACCCACCATCAAGGTCGCTCGGAATTCGTCCTCACAGACACCTCAGAATGGAACCTCGACTGAGGAGACCACGCCGGTCATGGAACTCATCGATCCTGAGGATGACGTTCTTTCCAACTCCGACTTCCCTGGGCCCTGGGTAGAAGACCATGTTCCCCCAGCTACAGAGGCCGAGGCCGAAGACCGTGCAGACTTCCTCCTTAAAAGACGGTTTAAACCATTGACCGATGTCGAAACAATCATTTCTAGCCTGAACAAGTTTAATCCCGCCCAGCGTAGCACTGAAAACCTGTATCGGTTGGCCGAGAACACGCAACGAATTCTCCTAGAATGGCAGAACGAGTATCTCCGCCTAGACAAATTGGTGCGCTTTCAATCTCAGTTCGCTGGACCTCTGCTGACATGTCATATAGGCCGCGCCGCACTTACATCCGCCGAAGAAGCCTGCCCATGGCGGACGTATTCCCCTTGATCCTCTCGTGTACGAAGACATGAAAGAAGCGGATCTGTATGGTTACATCTACGACGCCAGGAAAACTCCCGGCACCCAGGATCCATTCGCGCAACGCCCTGGCGCTCAGAAGACCGGTAAGCGCGAACTCCGTCAGAGACGCGGTCGTGAGAATATGGAATCTGGTGCTCCCAGCGAAGAAGAGCAAGAGCCTGAAAACGAACCTACCGGACCTGGTAGACGACAGCGTCGAGCAACTCGCCGCTTTGAACCTACGGAGCAGAATTCAGGTGCTACGACTCCGAAAAAGAATACTAACGGCTGGGGCGGCGCTCGAAAGCGAGGCGTTAGCAAGTTCGCACCAGCAGCATCGGAGACCCCTGAGCCGGATGGCCGTCCTGCTAAGAGGGCAAAAGTCGCGCCCAAACCCCTTCCTCACCCTCGTATACAGGAGATGCGCGAGGAATCGGTCGTTACCACTTCTGGCGACGAAGGTTCTCTTCAGACAGAAGCCCAAGAAAGACCGCCACCAGTTGTTGAGGAGCACCGGAAGCGCGGACGTCCTGCTGGCAGCAAGAATACAGGCAGACGGAGCGACTATGGTATCAAAAAAGGACCTCGAAAGAAGAACGTGGAGACACCAGCTGCTCCTGCAGCGATAGCACCAGCTCCCGTAGCAGGGTCTCCAGCTCCTCCAACGGTCTTGCAATCTATGAGAGAAGGCCAGAGCCAGTTTCCTCTTGAAACGCGTCCTTCTCCGCCGCCTCAACAGCATCCTGTACCCCACGAGCGGCCGCACCCACCCGCCCAAGCCATGGCGCAGCCGGTTGCAACGGTCTTTCAAGCGACTCCCCAACCATTGGCTAGACCAGATTCACATATGAATGCCGCTTCCCCTATGAGCAATCCGCCGCCAGATGCGTATATGCACACAGCGCCGCTCCATCAGTACGTTCAGCCCTACGCCGAAGAGGCAACCCCTTCTCCCGTCTCAGTCGCAAAGGGAGTCAAAACGCGCGTGAAGAGCGAAAAGCGCAGCCAGTCCATGACTATCTGGTGGGCGGAACGTAAAGCGAGGCAGAAGGAGATGGAAGCAGCCAACGCGGCCGCTGGCGGAGAGGCTGCCAGCCCCAAACCCGACGGCAGCGGCACTACGAGCAAGGGCAGCACCCCCAAGCCGCCCAGCAGACGTGGCAAGGCACCGCGAGCGGAACACCCTCTCCAACCCTATCCTGATCCCAACTTCATGCAGCACGACCAGATGGGCTATCTCACTCCTCATCCACCGCCTCCCCATGGCCTCCCACAGTATCCTAACCCGCACCTCCCGCCCATGGACCATCAGCACCATCCTCAGCGCATCCAACCCGGCCCTTCAGTACCTCCACACGCCCCACCGCCTCACCTAGTACAACTCCACACCATCCCACATCACCAACCCCTTCCTCAACCACCTCCCGGTCACGCCATCGTCCTCCACCCGTCCCCTCTCGCTGCTCTACCGACCACCACCGGGCCTCCACCTCTCGCCCCCGCACCCCCTCCGCTCCATCACTCCGCGCCGCATACGCAGCAGAGGCAAATGCCCGCTCTTGCACCCGCGCCAGGTCCGATTCCCCAGCTCAAGAGCTATCCTTCCCCGTATGGAGCCAGAAGGGGCAAACCAGGCGCCAGCAAACAACCAGTAGCGCTTGCACCCGCGCCATCACCGGCCGGCTTTGCCCCAATGACAGGAGCGCCGGAAACCGGGAGAGAGAGGGAGATGTCGTTCAAAGTCCTCGTTCCAGGACCACCGCCCTCGCAGGGCCCGCAGGGTGGTGGTGTGGCTGGTGAGGGAGGAAGTAGGGGATAGAATCCTTATGCGATGTCTCAGTATCCGGTACCTGCGAGGATGGAGAGTTTGGGAGCTCGAGCAGGGTTTGGAGTAGCAGTGCCAATGCCTCCGCCTTGTTGCGTTGTAATGGAGCGAGCTGTTGTTCTTCGGGGACCGCAGGCACCGCAAGCATCAGGGTGGGGTGGACAAGGGAATGAACCAGGGAGTGTGGGAAACAGTCGTTCTGGTGTGTGGCACCGGCAGCAAATTCAAGAATTTGTGCAGTGGGAAGATTACAGTCATTTCGGGGATGAAGAAGAGTGGGAGGGAAGACGGTGGGATTGTCGAGGAAGCGAGAGATTTGGAGGCACGATGTCGAGTGGAGGAGATATGGTATTGAGAGGAGAGAGTGGGGCGCCGTTTTTCTCGGTAATGGAGACGGGCGAGTATATGCGTACACGACATCATTGTCATCGCTAGGAGATGGGCGGGCGCTCGTCTTCTTGAACTTAATGATGGCTTGCGGGGTTTATTTTTGTTTTGCTTCACTGCCTCACCTCGTTGGTTAGAGGTTGGAGAATGGGATGGGATGGAATGGGTGTACGCGATATGGACTAATGAAGATTATGCTATGCTTTCGTTATACCGGTGCTGTTACTGCTGCTGATTCCTCGTCCCCTTTGAAGTCATGTGCATTACTACCCTAGGTCTACTAAAGTGTCCATGTGAAGAAAGGATATACCGCAAGATCACATCTATATACAGGCAAGTCTTTGAAGCTTCCCATGTCAAAAAGAAGCACGAAATGAAGATAATTCCCACTCATGGAGCGTGCCGCGCAGTTAACAAACATTCTTTCGGCAAGTTGAGTATTCTTCTTGGTGGAGGCCATGGAAAACATGGAACCAAGTTCCTTTATTTTTAAAGCTTACGGAGGAGGGTGTAGGTAAGAGGGAAAGAGGGAAAGACGCAGAGAGGCTGGGGAGTTTTATGGTTGCGATGTGTGTATGTTCACCTTCCTCGTTTTATAGTGTACGCTAGGGTACCCTACACGGTGGAAGACGAACACATGGTTCAGCCACTCAATCTTTTTGATTTCAATTCAAGACATACTTGAAAGGGATACATGTCTTTTTCAAAAAATGAAGCCAAGGGATGTAGGAGGGAGAGTCAGCCTGGCGGAAGCCCTTGGATTTATATATGCAGCGGTCACGGTCTACCCTATGTATGAATGTGCATTTTATACCCGTCCAAGGCGGACTCTGAGCACGAAGGCCACATAAGTGAGCAGCTCAATGCTTTCGATTTTGGTGGGCTTCCAACACATACTTGGAAAGGGCACATGATTTTTAGAAGACGAGGAGGGGAAGGGGATTTAGGTGAGGAAATGGGAAGGAAGAAGATGGCGATTTTATAGTTACGACCTCTATGTGCACTGAACATCTACAAACCCGTTTTTGGTTTGTGGAGAGCACGACGAACACATGAGTGAGCCGCTCAATGATTTCGATTTGGCTGGAGTTTCCAAACACATGTTTTTGATTGAATGGGCACTTTTAGAGAAGGTGAACAGGGAGGTTTAAGTAAGGAAGGAGGAGGTAGAAAGAGGGCAGTTTTATATAGTTGTGAAGAAGTAATGTGCACTGCATCTCTCCGTTTTTTGTGTGCGACCCGCACGACAAACCATATAATGCAACTGACGTGGATTTTGAGAGAGCTCAGCAATGTATAAGGCGTGCATATGCCAATTTTAGTTGGTATGAAGAAGGACGTTGATAGCAATTATATTCAGGGGCAGTTAGTCACCTGCGTAGATGGTGAAGAAGGGTTAGGGGAGTCGAAAGGGACAGATATGTTCGAATCAATGAAGTATTCACATTGGGATCTGAAATTGCCTGTCAAAGTTTGACGGTGATTATAATCACCAAGTCTCACAAACCACTCGAACATGCCATCAAATCAGAACCAACACATGCTCGTTACTGCCGATTCAAATCTAGGCAAAGGGACAGTCCTCCACATGCCCATTCTCTGGTCTCTTCTTAGCCACAATCGGAGCATATTGCCTCTACCAGAGCACTTTAGTTGCAGAATTCGGATTTTGTGTACGGAGAGAAAGTGGGTTGCAGGACCAGTATTTATATCCCCGTCCCTGCAAAGAGGTCAAGTGACACATCTAGGCGGTTGATCAAGGATTAGAGACCTCGACCATACGTACTCTCAATCAGATGTTGCTGAGTGTTATCACCATTATCATTATCACTTCGCTTCCAAGCTACGCCTAGCGGTAGCGTCTAGAGCCCGCTTTTGTTACACTCCAGGCCAGGGGACATATCGTGGGTTTGATACCGTTTTGTTGTAGACTGCGGAAGCTTTGAGGAAGGGGGGAAACAGCGTTGCAGGATAGGGGTTTATATATGTACTCGCTGGCAGGAGAAACGCATCTTTCGCAATGACACTGGATCTCTTCGATGGAGCATGTATACCCAATGTCCTTAGTAACTAGCAAACGTACTTTCTCGGGAACATGCGGCGACGGCTTTTCATTTTGGTTATTCTGTAGGACAAGCAATGCAGGGCAGATCGACGTCACTAAGTTACCGTAGATACAACACTCTTATATACTTCCTAGGGCGCCCGCCGCTCAGTACTCTAGCACTATAGGTAACTTCCAGAACGAGAGAGACGAGTCTGCCGGCTTCATACACACAGAGGATTAGGTAAACAGCATAGCGATGGACTTCTGAGACGGAGCGAGAAACCCATGCAACCTGAGAAAGAATCATCTCGTAGATAGGTCGTAGGTGATGAAATTCATCACTAGCACAATAGGGGTTCTTCTTGTGCGCTGTAGGAACTTTCCCATCAGTCCGGCTGAGATACACCGGCGCCCGGGAACATGTTTAGCTTTGCGATGCCTTCGAATTTTTGAGGCCGTAGAAGACAGTCTGTGGGAGAAGAGAATCAGTATACCCTTACGAGAATTAGCGTTTATATAGTTTTCCCCCGGAGTACTAAAGCCAGGAGTATAAGGGCATCACGGAAATAATCAGGTTAATTGCATCAGACATTTTATAGTTTTGCACATTAGACGCACTGCCAATCTTCGAGTAAGGATTGGTGCAAACGATCACTATCACTACCAATTCAAATCCGGCTACAGATACGACAAACAAAGCAAAAGACGCCGTAACACGCGGCGGACCACATACGGCTAGAAAGCTTCCTTCAGACACGCAGAGGGATCCCACTTCCATCAGCCACACCGTCGCGTGTCTTGGATTTTGATTCAGTGGCAGTAGAAAGGCGGAGTGGAGGGGCATAGGAAGGGAATTCCCAGGCTTTATATAGAAGAGAGAGGGCGCAGGCAAAGCACAGACGCATTACGATGTTTACTAGGCTTTCCAAAAGAGATCAATGTGGAGGCGTTCCATGTTGGCGGATACAAACGTATCTGACATGAGAGAATTCTTGTTGAGCTTTAGGACACGAATCACACACCCTATAAAAGGCACTGTTTTCATGACATGTGTGACCCTGGAAGGGCTACGAACTGCATACGCTAATAGTGATGATATTCACTGCTAGAATGCGCTCTAACACTAACCAACCAACAACCCCCTCTGCACCAGCACTCCTGGAAACTTCACAATATGAGCAGAATTACTGGAACCCATCCCCGCAACCCGCAACCCCGGCCGGGGAACCCCTCTCTTGACTTTGTTTGGAGCACATTGGTCAGGATTCTCACGACATAACCCATGGCCGGGTCTGGTTAATCAGAACTTGATGGAATTTTAGGAAAGAGGAAGACACAGGAAGACTACTCGGCGAGATTTATAGACGGATGTGCATGTGGATTTCAAATGTCTAATTAGATAACATGCATATTCATGATATGCAATCCAGCCGAGCAAGCGGTGAGAAGGTGCAATCGTTGGTGACGACGAAACCCATCACTACGGCGCCTTAATAGCATTACGCCCGCCTTGTCTACGCTGATCTCACACATCGACTCTGCAAATGCGGACTTGGAAACACGCATGCACAGCATGAGGCCAGAGTAGTGGTTGAAGCCTATTTTGAAGAGAACAAAGATTAAGAACATCAAACTGGCCAGGCGTGATTGCAGACTCCGCATAACAGAGGAGTTGTTTTAGTCTGAGCTGATGATGATGCACGTTATCATTACCACCTTGCACTCATCGCAAATTGTCCATCGAAAAGTCATCAGACGACTCGTAGACGGCGAGATCTCGCGGCGCGGTGTTCATCCATGTTTTTACACCGGAAGACTCCATACTTCCTCCCGCACGCTGTTTCCAGAGGTCTGTTCCTTTGGTAGGTTGAATGAAAGGAAGGATGCAAGCTAGCACCCTAGCGGTCAATATAGGATATTGTGCAACAGAGGTGAGAGACACATAAGGTCAAAGTGTGATAGTCAGGTAAAACATCATGTGGAAATAACGGGCTTGGACGTATGTATGATAAGCCCCTGGCCTTTGTCGTCGGTCAATCTCTTTCGAGTTCTGCGCTCCCGCTCAATCTGCAAACCTGCAGGAGCTACCGTAAGGAAATCTGTATGATCCCTAGATGGTTGATGTTGGACCTGTTCACCAAAATCATGCAGTTGGAAAGAAGAAAGGCTGCCATGTACAGGTCCTCGGCTCACAGTGGAGCGTTTCACGGGAGCTAAGACCGCTAAAACCAAAAGAAACAGACGGACTGGCAAGCCCCTGAACGGTGGCAACGCCGTTGTTCCAGGTTTGTAAGGGTATCCAAAGCATGGCGTTGCCGTGAGCCGATGGTTTCTGCTGTTGTGCAAGGGAACGCTCAGATGGACAGTCTGGGAGGGGCGTTCAGTGACCAGAGGAATCCCTTTTACCAGTACGACAGGACTACACCCAACACACGGCTGGTATCATTGAGAATCAAGCAAACACAGACGCTCGAAGGGAACAGATACGAGGGATAACGAGGAATTATCATGAGAGATGCATTTGTGGTGAAGGATGCGATGATGGAGTGGAGCAAGGGGGTGGAGCCAGCACGCGACAAAAATAGTGCCCAGGTGTGATGCGGTGTGGCGCACTGCAAGTGCTGCGCCTCACTCTTTCCCGAAGGGGCAACCATGACCGGGACCGGGACAGCCCTCAACCTCTCGGAAAACCGTGTTTACGCTTCTCTCCAACTCTTCCTTTGTCTCTGCGAATAGCTTCATCCTCTTCTTTCCCTCCCTCCTCTCCCTTTCTACCTCGTATCTACTCAATTTTCGACACTCCTCCCGGTTCCGTTGCTCTTTCCCGCTTCTTGACTGGACTCGATACCTGTTGCTGCGCCGTACGATGACGACGAACCTCCTATATCCCTGCGGTTACTGATGATCTTATTGGGACTTGTACACGCCGTACAGTATCCCCTCCAGGGATTTGGCCTTGTTGGTGGAGTCACCTCCCACCCGCGTTGAAGCCTGGACATCATATCCGTTGACGACTTGTTGCTGAGCTCCCGCGACCGTCGACCTCATTCGCGTCTTCCCTTGGGTCGCCTGTCCGTGTTGAGAATAGAAACCACTCAAATACATCCGCTCTGCTGAGCTGACCGCTGGCCTGGCCCACCACTGCTCTCCTCCACTCACACCTCATACGCAAACCGACCTCCCGAACTCCCGAAGCCACCTTATAGCGCTCTCCGGCAGTCATTGACTGCGTCGCTCATTCGTACATTCGTTCAGCTTCCCCCCGCTCGCTACTCGGAGACCTAATGTCTATAGGCATTCGCCCACTACAAAACTAAGCATCCCCGTTCGTTCGCACAGTGGCCAACGCAGCAAGAGCAGTAACCCTGTTTCATCCCATCTGCGTCGTCAGCTCCCGCGAACCTAGCGCTCCCTGCGTGGCTGCTCCCGCCGCTGATCGTGTACTCGAGTATACCCGACCTTAAAGTGCTGGCAATAAGTGTCTGGCGGTTCAGCTTCGCCCATTCATGGGCTGCCGTCAATGGAGAAGGATAGTGACATACCGAGCGACTGCGAGTATGTGCCAGAAGTTCTAATGGCATCTGTACGACAGCTGGGTTGCGCCCAGCTTCGTGCTTCACGCGACAACACGAAACGCGACGATATACCTTCGTTACAACCCCCTCTACCACGTCCGCGACCGCGCCGGCGCCCTGCCAACGACCGCTCCGCCCTCGTCTTCCTCCTCCTCGTCATCTCATTCACGGCGCTGGTGCCGCTGGCCCAGGCAGTCTTCGTTGATTTCAGCAATTGCTTGGATCCCAACTATCGCGACTCCAACAACCCGAAACGCCTCCAGTTTACCCCACTGCATGTGTGGGCTTCGTTTAATACGACTGCGCCGAGCCATCATCTCAACATCACTGTTTGGGGCAATGTTTCCGGCCAGGCTGTTCAGGGCTCATATCCTCCGCCTGATGATTCAAGCTGGAGTGATGTCAACAGCAACTTCGGGAAAATCGTCAACTTGGACAAGGACAACAATAAGCTTTCAACCCTGTTCTCGAACTACAAGGTACTGACTTATACGGCGCACAACGACCCGCCAAGGGAATTCTGTCCCTCTGTTGTCAACCAGCAGTGCCCTCTAGGACCAGCATTCAATGCCAGCCCGACTGATCTGGAAGACCTGTGGAAGTTACCGGCTTTCCAGGTGGGGCATGACTTTCACAGTACCTATTCATTCGCGACTCTGGAATCCACGATGCGAATAGTATCTGGATCACGCTTAGCGGAAACCTTGGGGTGTGTGTCCACAAATATTACGCCCGACCTCGGGCCCAATCTGTCCAATGCATTGCGCTACCTCCCTGCTGCGGTGTTGGCTCTTGTTGCCTTTGCAACCATTTTTGCAGCGACATGCAGTCCTTGGGGCACCTGGGATGTCTTTCGATGGTCCAGCAATTACGGGAGAGATGAGGATCTGCTCAGGCTTGTCACGCCCGGGTTCGGTGACTGCCTACAGTACATCCAATTCATTGTATTGGCAGGTAGCTTGAACCTGCAGTACCCTGGTTTCTATCAACCAGTCGTGAGTCAAGCCAGTTGGTCGGTCCTGCTCTTCAATGAGAGTCTTGTCAGCCACGGAAACGGCACACAGAGTCTGGTGGACGGCATTTATGTCGCAAACGGGACTTACGGCCTCACTCGACTAGGCCAATACGTCGGTATGTCGGAGGAGCAAGACATCTGGGCTGGAATGGCGGTGTGGCTCCTTGGGGTCATCGCCATCGCAACGCTTCTGGTTCAGATTGGCTTCTTCGGTCAGTGGCTCTACCATGTCTTTTCCGACAAGTCAGGGGATCGCGTGCGCGGGAAGAATTGGGCCTTCAGTGCCGGAAACGTCGTCCGGATTGTCTTCAACTTCTTCATGTTGCCGATCATATCGCTCTCTCTGTTCCAGTTGGTGGTGGCTGCACGATCCCCTGCTTCCGTCGTTGCTACAGCCGTCGTCCTTCTAGTTGCCGTGATGGGAATCGCCGCCTGGATCTTCTGGTTCATATTCACGACACGACCCCGAGCACATCTGTTCGATGACCTCCCAACTGTGCTCACCTACGGCCCGCTATACAACACTTATTCTGACGACGCAGCTCCTTTCGCCTTCATACCCGTCCTGCTGACTGTGATTCGCGGTGTGGCTATCGGTGCGATTCAGCCATCTGGGATTGCCCAGATCATAGTTCTCGCTATCTGCGAAGTAATCTTAATCCTGACCGTCCATGCCTTTCGGCCATTCCAGTCGAACACGTCCATGAACGCTTACCACACATTCTTCTCCGTAGTGCGACTGACGAGCACGCTCCTCCTCATCGCTTTTGTCCCGAGCTTGGGAGTGACGGAGTCTCGGAAGGGATGGTTCGGTTACGTCATTCTCTTGATGCACGCCATCGTGCTGGTCTTTGGTTTCTTTCTGAATGCTCTCCAGACGATAATCGAGGTCACTGCTCGTCTCTGCGGCGCTGGGGATGAAAGAGGGGGGCTCACGAAAGTGTTTGGCAAACGACAGCTGTCTCGAAGAAATCGACGCCGTCGGCAGCGCAGCAGTCTCAATTCGGATGCGGCTATGCTAGGGCAAGATGCGGACAAGCAGACGATTCAACTCATGAGCGGGCGAACTCGGAGCATGTCTGGAAGCTCCGGAGTACTGCTTGGGCAGCCCCATGGAGGTGCGGGCAGCCAAAGAGCCAGCGTGGGATACGATCAGTACAGCCAAGGAGGGGATGTTAGCTATAGTGCGACGACTCCTGGCACGCCAGCCACCGCAACACCTTGGAGCCAACTCGGAGGCGGTTCGGGACCAAGTTCGCGACGTCCTACTATGGGTGGGGTGGAGGCCGGAGAATTTTATCGGGCCCCTAGGCCACGGAAGCACACCCTAGACTCCATGAATCCAGTCACGATTGCTGCACGAGATGGCAGTACGGATCTTGACAACACTCCGTATGCTGACAATATCGAACAAGCTGAGACGGGAGATGGTGGCGAGGGTCCTTCGTCATGGTCTCCGAGCCGCAGCTCGATAACACCAGCTTATCTGCGCATGCAGAAGGACGAGTCCGATCCCGCGCTAGCAGAAAGGCGAAAGAATACGGATTATTCAGTACGGGAGTCTGATTTCTATTATGGCCTCGGCGGATTACGGGGTCCGGCGCTCTCTGACCAGCCGACTCGAAAACTCAAAACAGGACCAGCGGATCCTACAAGCCCTGTATCGTCCGCAGCTGGATGGTTGAAAAGTCTCCATCTGTTTGGAGGCAAAAAGAAAGAAAAAGGTAAAGGCTTCGAGGTGGTTAGAGGCACCCGCATGCCCCCTCAGATGATGATGCCTCTAGATGAGGAAGAAGACGAGGCGCATGCCATGCCTCAAGAGCCATACCGCGACCACCCTGGAAGTCCTCAACAGCGGGGCGATCGCGAGGGTGTACTGGCTGGTCGCCGGATGTCAGATGATAGCCACCCAATCGGCGAGGAGTCTCCAGGCCATCGCAACAACAGAATCTCTGATGTGGCCCCTTCGCTAGGCCCAATAGACACTGGAAGGGGGATCGAGCTTCCCAGCCGAATCGGTTCGCGGGCTTCAAGAAGTCATGCACCGGTGCCGGAACGGGCTCCTACGCTGCCACGGAAGAGCTCGCGACGCACGCGGTCCACTGAAGCGGCGGTTCTGGAGCGCAGTTCGAGGCTGTCAGCTGTAGTCGATACGTCGGGCCCTGACCAGCTCCTGCATCCGAATCAAGGAGCAATGCCTCTGCGGCTTCCGTTCGGGTCGACGGAGCCATCTCCCTCTCCGGAACGCACGCCCGGTTCCAGCCTCTACCATGACGGTCGGATCAGTCCCGGTGATGACCTTGAACCGCCTCCAGGAGTGCCGGGCAGCGGTGAGCGGCCATTGAGCACGGGATATGTCCAGCAGCACGTCGCAAGTGACAGCATCCAGAACGACCAGGCCAGGACACACCTCGAAACCTCAGCAGAATTCGTTGACCGTAGCCGGAGCATAAGCACTCATCGTAGTGGGACATCGAATCGGACACGATGATAATCTGGGCAAGGCATGAGACGGATTCAAGGTCTTGTTGTGGAATGGGAGGCAGTGCTGTATTCACGTCACGAATTTCTTTTCTTAATCCTACCAGAAGCGGCGTTGTAGCTTTCAAGTTATTTTGGAAGGTCAGGCCTACTTGCATTGAGAAGGGACCTGGGGCAAGTCGACACAGAGCTAGGGGATATTGGAGAAGCATAGTAGATCAGATGCCGTGTGGGAATTGGGGGTTCAGGATAACGATACCTGCATGCGCGGCGGATACCAGTACGTGTACACATAATTGTTGAGTGAGAGACAAGGTCGCATCCGTAGCTGAACATAATACTATAATCTTGGGATTCCATGATCTAGGTTTTTTTCAAATTTCTCGCCTGAAAGTGTCCAGAGGCAGTCAGAGGATCAATTGTGCTTTTGTTGTGTCTATGTAAATGTTGGAGCCATAGATTCAGTCCTGGGCCTGGAACATGAAGCTGGAGATACGCACGGACCAAGCATTTAGCTCCCAGTGCCCACCACCGAGCTGTCCCCCTCCCCTCGCACTTCATCATCACTCCGCACACGAACGCATTTCCCCACCCTGGACGGCAGCGAGCAGCAGCGCTCGACTGGCGGCCGGGCTGTGACGCATTTCTCTCCTTTTGCATCACCGCATACGGCCGATTCCTTCTGTTGTCAACTGAACCTCCGCCGCCTTGTCGCGGAACGCCGCATGCTCCCCCGGTCGCGACGTCTGGAAACCCACCCCGCGTGAGATGTCTGAATCTACGCTCCCCTTTTGACCTGTCAGTATTTGTCTTACTCCATGCTTTCCAGATGTTCCCAGCGTCTAATGTCACCGTGTAGGCATGTGCATCTTCAATTAATCCACGTCTGTCGGCCGGCCGAATCGTGACCTATATCCCCGGTGGCGTGCTTGCCAGTTGGAGTCTCGACTCAACAACCAGCTTACAAAACCATTTCCCCTCCGCATAACAGCACGTCTTGGTGGTGTCCGTACTTTGCCTCACGAGATCCTCCCTCATCTAACTACCCTCCGGGAACCGGCTGGAGTCGGACCATCTCATCGAATGGGTAGAAGGCGGAGCTCAAGCTCCCACCAGACCAGTTCCAGCATGGGGAGCGGACAGGATAATGGTGTCAACAACATATCAGAGAACAATGCCGGCTATCTCGCTCCGATCCCTCAACCTACTGGTCTTGCCGCAGCATCATCGCAGCAGTCAGTGGCGGCACCTAGGGATCGTGGGGTGCACGACTTCATGGCATCCTTACGCCTAACCGACTCTCAGATACAACCTGGCCCATATCCGCCTCTTTCACAGAACCCCTTCCGCAATATCCCAGCTCCACCGAACCCCCTCCCTCGTCATCAGGGCAGCCGATTCATCCATAATCAAGGGTCCCCTTATAGACACTCATCTTCAGGTACATCACGAAGCTTCGACGCACGACAATGTTCAGGACAAAGATCTATGCCTGGCGACTCTGTTATGCCACGACGAAGCACAATCACTGCAGCCGGACACTCCCGCACATCGTCATCCGCCCCCTTCGCATCCCACTCCCCTTCCGTTCCTAGTCGTCCACAACCCCACTCTCATTCTCCTATCACGCTCCCACCCTCACCGCACACCGGCGACATGCCTCTTCCCCGTTGGCAGCCCGATTCGGAGGTTGACAGCTGCTTCGTCTGTGGGCGCTACTTTACCTTTTTGAACAGGAGGCACCATTGCAGGTCAGTTTCTGCCAGTCTTTCGAATCGGCCACCGGAGCGTTTGAACTGACAAAACGTGTAGAAAATGTGGCCGAGTTGTTTGTGCCAACTGCTCCCCGCACCGGATCTACATACCTCGCCAATATGTCGTGAACCCGCCATCTCTGGTTCCTGACGATGATGAACACTCTGACAATCCGCTTGTCCAAGTCCGAATCTGCAATCCCTGCGTTCCGGATCCCAACAATAGCCCACCGCAACTGCCGGACACTGGAAACACTGCCGGTTCTCTGAGTAGTGGTTATCACTCGCGCACATCACTGGATGCGCCCCCGCCATATCCGTCCACTTTCGCTACGGCCCATCAGATGTGGAACGAGACTCCCCCGGCTTCAACTTATCCCCGACGCTATTCTCGGCCGATAGATCCCGCGTACATCCCATCTCGAGTGTCCCCGTTCATGCACTCTCCTCCTCGACCCGCGCCGCCGCCCACGCCTACGCCGGCCCCCCGACGCATCCGGCAAGAGGATATATGCCCTGTCTGTTTCCGACCCATACCCTCAATTGTAAGCATCGGCGACGCCGTTCTCGACGAACAGGAGATTGACCGGCGGCGAGCGGAGCACATCCAGTCATGTTTGGAAACACACAGCCAGTCGCCTCCCGCCAATATTCGTAGCTTACTGACGTATACGGCAACGGAGAAGGACTGTGCGAATAGCGAGGAGTGCGTGATCTGCTTCGAAGAATACGCTGTCGGCGATAAGCTGGCGAGGATGGTATGTTTGTGTCGGTTTCATGAACATTGCATCAGAAGCTGGTGGGAACGCAAGGATCCCGGGAATTGCCCTGTGCATCAATAGTTCGGTGGTCTGGGGAAAGCAACGCAGAAGTGCTCGAGCGGTGGAGTCAAGAAGGGTGGGAGAGGATGCGAGGAATTTGTCATAGTGGCTTTACTTGGGCTAGGCCCAGTTGTCATAGCGAAGCCCAGAGAGTTAGATGCATGCTGGGAGAAGACCTCCACAGGTTGCAGGAGAAATGCCCCGAAGAAAAGGAAGCCGTGTCAGATCGTAGGAAGAGGGAGGAGCGAGAAATAGAGAGGATGCTAGCGACACAGACGGAGATGACGCTGCGGTCAAAACCGTTCTGGGCGCTTGCGGATTGAGGGCAAGGATCCTATGCCTGATAAGGGTGGGATGTCAGGAGTGGTCGTGGGCTGTTACACAAGCGCATAGGAAGTTGCTAATAAGCAGGACCATCTCGGAGCGATGGAAGGAGTAGAAGAGAGACATTATGGCGGAGCAGCAGGAGATGGAGAAGCAACAGGCCGAGAGGGAAGAGTCAGAGAGGCAGCTGCATCGTGAGCTGTTGCGCTCGAACTAGGAGGAATCTGATGCTCGGCGGGTGCTCAACCCTCAACTGATTGAGGTAGATGATTAAGGGTGGCGGTTCACGACATCGATGGCGTTGAGTGGCGGTATGGGTTATCAGTGTTTGGCGTTTGGGTTGGGCTTTTTGATGATGTATGGTGTTAGGGGTGAATGCGCTGTTTGAGGGTCGTGTATGGCTTTTCTTCTGGGCTTTTTGTTCACACGAGGCGTCGAATCGGGTCAGGCCGGCTGTCGTGTTTCTGCTTATGGCACGGGAATTTTGAACGGGGTTGGTACGGGCTGGCACTGCGGGATGGTGAGGGGACGGGATGGGAATGGATGGGCTGGGAGAATATGTCAGGCGTTTTATTATACCCGCTCCTTTTGCAATCAAATGATGTTTGCTTCTTCGCTTTTTCATGCCCTTGTCTCCTCCGGGCGTTGGTCGTGCACCTCATTTTTGGGCGTGGATATTGGAGAGGGCAGGCAGAGGAGGACTAGGTGCTTTGATTACCTTGACACGCTTACAATGCAACTATAAGTGATAGACATGCCTCTAACACACCTGCTCTTGTTGTCTAAGCGATCCGTAATTCTATAGACCCATTTCTCTAGAGAACCACACACCCTAATCATACATACATGCCGTCCAGCCTCACCTCACCTCATCCTCCAACCCTCTCCATAAACCTCTCCGCCCACTTGACCGTCTCCTCATCCCTCCTCAGCAACCGAACCGGCTCCATCAAAATCTCCTTGCCCACACTATTAATCGCCAAGATCCTCGCCTCCCACTCATCCCCAAACTGGAACTCGAACGGCGCTTTCATAACCAACTTGACCCGGGCCCCGTAATCCACGATGCCCGCCCGCGCATAGCAGAACCGGGGCTCCGAGGAGCCGACCCAGACACGGAACGTCGCGGGGAGCGCCGCTTCCTTGTAGTAGTGTGCCCGAGTGAAGGCGGCGACGGTCCACCACATGTTGGCGTGCATCTTGATCGAGGCGATGAGCCGCTCCCTCGCCGCGAGCGTGATGATGGATTCCTGGATCTGGGTGCGCGAAAAGGGGAGGACCTTCTCGGTGCTCGCGATGCCCGGAGTCGCCAGCATGTTGTCCGTCAGCTGGAATTTGCGGCCCGTCTGGTGTTCATACCGCACGGCCGCCTCAATCTGCCAATGTGCCACCATGTCGCTGAATCGTCGGAGCGGGCTCGTGACCTTGAGGTAGCTGTCGAAGCCCAACGCTCTGTGTGGCACAGAAGTCGATTGCGCGATGGAGCGCCCCTGGGACTGCAGGAGCAGCGCCGCCAGAGGCCGCGACAGCTGGCCGTGTTTCTCATAGTAGGGTTGCAGGATCTTCTCCTTCAGAAACGTCATATCCACGGCAGCGGCAGGAGAGTCGATAGTGCCCCTGTACATGGCCGGGATGTTGCGTTCAGAGCACCACGCTCCTGCTGTCGCGCAGGCAAGCAACATCAACTCCATGACGATATATTGCGAATTGAACTTTTCTTCAACAATGGCACCCGAGGCGTCGCTTGAATACTCAATGACGGGATCACCGAGAACAAAGCGGGCTCGATCGGTTGATGGAGGCATCCAGGTGATTCCAGTTTGGCCGGGTTTCTCGAAGACTCGTGCTCTCCCGGTCTCAAAAGCCGCCCCAAGCTTGAACCCCACTACCGATTTGCGACGCTCGAACATAACCCCGGCTACATTGTACAACTCTCTCAAATCTTGGAGCTGGTCAGGCGTTAGACTCGGAGGCTTACGCTTCTTGACCGTGGGTGGTCGTCCACCGACAGTAAACCCAACAGTCCGAGCTGGAGCCTCGCCGAAAATCGTCGATAGGTCCTGATAAGTCAGCCTCGTGACATTTCTCACTATACCCGACTGTATTTTCCTTTCTAGGACAACGCCAGAGGAATCGACGCGGGTGCTGAAGGTAAGGACAGGTCGGTTGGGACCCAGGCTGAAGTAATTCTGCGTGACCCACGAGGGAAGCATGGGATAGGTCCTTTCAGGCACATACAGAGACTCGGTCGAGTGCGCAGCCATCCCAGAAAGCACGTGCGTCTTGTCAAAGAAGGCGGTCGGATTTGCAATGTGCACATGGATCCAGTATTGACCGGGGCTCTCTGGGACCTTGCACACAGAGAGGCCGTCGTCAATCTCCTTGGCGTCCGCGTCGTCAATACAGTAGACGGGCAATGAACCCCAATCCGTTCGTATCCCCTCCATGGCATCCCTAAAGTCAGGGCTGTGACGCATGAGCTCCGCCCTTTTGCTTAGAATCTCCATGTTTCGGGACGTTCGGACGGTAGGAAGCATCAGTTGTTCGTCGTATATGTCCGCTGTATCGAAAGGGGACAAGACCCCGATCTCCTGGAGGAGTAAGCTTCCCGCGGCCCTGCCCATGGAAGCAGCTCTCTCGCCAGAATCGGGGTAGTGGTATTTCAGATCGTCATAGCAACCCACGGCATGCAGAATGGTGGTGCATGCGGAAGTAAGACCATAGTCGTCTTGGAATTGGCCACTCAATGCGAACGACTGCAAGAAGTAAAGGATTTTCTGGTCGTTTTCGTCAAATGTCTCTCCCCACTCGGTTCGAAGCCCGAGAGATTTATCTGTGTTCCGCGAGCGGGTTTTGGTGGGACCAAGAGTACCCGTAGAGTAGTCACGGTATTTCCTGCTAATAGCAACCAATCGCCGCGCCTTGTCGATGAACTTGGTGATGTAGAGAGCCCCTGCCTCCATGTGATGACCCTTCTTCTTGCTGTTACCTGTCTGACTTTGGCGGAGAGCACGATATTCTTCGAATTCACGCACCCATCGACGCACCACTTCTACCGTCTCAACGTCGTCCTTGGGCCGAATAGCGTACACGTTCGTGAGTCGTTGACTGCGTGGGTCGCGGTTGAAGCGGTACATATCGTGGCTCAGGGCCTTTCGTACGGCAAGAAGTGAGGCATGATCAGGTATCCAGGAAGGCTCGTCCGGCTTGAGAAGAGTCTTTGCGATTTGCACAGCCGTCATCATGCGCATTTTCGTCTGGTCCGCTAAGACGGAATAGGCACTGTCCAGGACCGCAGCATGATCCCGGTATATCTTTTCTGAATCCTTTTGCAGCATTTCCAGTTTCTCCACGACTGGTGACACGAGCGCACGAGGGATGCGCTGCATTTGTGACAGATCGGAATTCTCCTGGGCGGGGAAATACGCGACAAGGGGCTTGACAAGAGCCGGGTCAATACCATTTCGAATTACAAAAGGAACGTTCTTCAGCCCTGCGATAGATGGACGGCCATTGACAGAAACGAAGTGACAGTCTTTGCCAACGTGCTGAACGAATACGGCGATAGTCTGCTCGGTACTATGCCGACTAGCAGGGGTGAGCAGATGAGACAAGGCGGACGGGGTGACGGATTGCTTACCATAGTTCGACGACATCGCCAGGTTTGAGAAAGACTGCCATGGTCACGACGTCATCCAGACTGTAGATGTCTTCATCCTCCTTTTCGCGTGGATCTGTCTCTTCAGAAGCCTGGTCCGAACGCACCTTAGTTATCGCATTCCGTGTCTCGGCGACCAGGTTTTGATACCAGTCTCTCGCGCGGAGCGTAGAGGCGTCGTCGAGATCCTGCTTTAGAATGCCCTGGGTATCCTGCCAGAGCTTCAACCGCTCGCGGATTGGACGAGATGTGTCGAGGATGGCGGGATTGAGCGCTTCGGGAGATGGCTGGGTAGCGGAAGTGTCAGGACGGGGTCGCTGTAACAATGAGCCTCAGTTTCATGGACGCAGGGGGCCATAGCTACAAAGTGAGTGGCGTGGAACGGTCGTCGGGCTCTGGTTGCGTTGGAGCCATTGCTGCGGCCATTCGGTCGTTGAGAGGGTCGACGGCGGGACAGATTCCATTCGCATTTCCAGCATATTTCGGAGATGGGCCACAAGGACGACCGACGGTGCATGTCTTGAGAATGAGAGTGGGCAGTGGAAAGAGTGGGGTGCACAAAAAAGTTGAGATTGAGGTCGGTGATCGGAGGAGTGAAGCTCCGTTAGCGGCTTGGCATGAGCAAGACCCTGCTTGGGGATCCGTGTTGGGAACTTTTGAGGGACGCCCAAACGCTCGCTCAATTCTCTTCATCCACATCACATAGTGTAGGTATGTTACTCTTCCCACACCTCGACTTCATCCCTCTTCTGTGATGATCTTCTTTTAAATTATAGCATGTATTATCCGACGAGCGGTACTCGCCGCTACTGCGGAAATGTTTTCTACCTGACTGAAGTCTCTCATCTCCACGGCTTCCGTTACAAGTGTACTTCGGCGACGTGTGTGCTGACGGATTCACAGAACATTGGCATTGGCGTACTATGGCGCCTGCCAAGGTGCCGCCCGGTCATTTCCCCATCCTGTACTTTGCGGCGGCGGCCAGCTTCACGGGCAAGTCGACGGAGCATCTTGCAGCGCCTCTCCCGTTGGGACGGCTCTTCGCCACACTGGACGAGAAGTACCCCGGCATCCGTCAGAAGGTGCTGGACAGCTGCGCAGTGACGGTGAACTTGGCGTACGTTGACATGGAGGGAGAAGAGGCGGCCGACCAGAAGCTGGTGATTCAGGAGGGCGACGAGGTTGCCATCATCCCGCCCGTGAGTTCGGGGTAGGGCGATTTCTTTGGAAATGGAAGGAGGAGGTTCTTTGCTGTGGTTTTGCCATGTCTCATTCGTCATGGTTCTGACGATGTATGGGACGATCAAGAATTGGAAGCGGATGGTTTCAGCCGAGGCAAAGGAATGGGAGAGGGACGGAGTAATTGTATCTCCCTGCTATGATTCTACCCAGTTCGCAGAAGAGATGGTGTCCATTGCCTGTGCTATCGAAGCTGTCGTTGCATGTGCCAAATGATTGGCACTCGAAGAGCATATATCTGGGTAGACAGGCCCAGTCTGGTTGTCTGCATAAATTCTGCACGTGACATTGCTTGGCGGGTTTCTGCCCAACCTCGCACAAACTCAGTCGAACCGTCTCACCTCGACTTGCAACCCACCAGCCAGCGGCGGCATTTGACAACCGCCGACTCGCCGACCCGCCGACGACAGCAACGGCAACAGGACAGAGAGCAGCAACAGCCTCACTGTGAATTGGAAGCCTCTCGTTTATTCTCCAGTTCTTTGTAAAGAAGGAGTTTTCGACCTTGATCCATGGACGACTCGTCCATTGACCCCACCTTGCAGGCGCCCGCTCACCCCAACAATAAGAATAATAATCATGCCAATGTCGACGGCCAGCACCGAGCCCCTGCCCACGCGTATCCGCAGACAACGCTGGCCCAACCAGTCCCCATAGCCTCCAAAGGCTTTGGTTCTTCCTTCGCTCGACCGGCCTCATCTGGCCCTTATTCCGCGTCCCCAGCAGGCGGTGGTGATGCAGACGATGGGTACGTTGTTGACGTTAACGTTGTTTGGATCTATCGGAGTCCAACAACACAGGCCCCGCCGACTCCGTACTGACGTCAGGTAGCGCCGAGCACGTGGGCTCAGCATCCGGGACCGAGTCCCACGAGTCGCCCAACGACCCCAAACGCCTCCGCGCTTGCGATGGATGCCGCGGCCTCAAAGTCAAGTGCGAGCAGCTTCGCCCAGACCTGCCGTGTCTGCGCTGCCAAAAGGCCAACCGGCCGTGCCACACCACGCCCCCTGCTCGGAGGCGTCAGAAGAAGAGCGACAGCCGTGTCGCCGAGCTGGAGCGCAAAGTAGAATATCTCACCTCCGTCTTGATGACCGAGAGATCCGGAGCTACCCCCAGTCGCCAGGAACCAGAGCCGAAAAAGAGGAGGACTGGCGAAGAGAGCAGTTCCGCTCTTCGTTGTCCCAGCTCTCCCGCCGTCCATCACATTGTCGCTGGCACTCACGCACTGTTAGTCGCAAACCCGGATCTCGACCAGAATCACCACGAGGAGCTCGAATACGACCATTCGGAAATCGGCCGTCATATAAGGGATCTCATCGGTCAGGACACGGAGGAGCATATCTTCCGTCGCTATGTTGACGACATCTGTCCCCGTTTTCCAGCCGTGCTGCTCCCTCCAGGCATGACGGCGGAAGAGATGCGAAGAAAGAAACCGTTGCTCCTGCTAGCTATTCTCTCTGGTTGTTCTACTGGCAGCGCTCTGCCGATCCTGGGGCAGCATGCGCAACAACGCTTGGGAGATCTGTTTAAACACTACCTCGGCCAGCTCATGATCTTCAACTCCGAAAAGTCGCTGGAACTCATTCAAGCGTTGCAGGTTGCCGTTCTCTGGTATGTGCATGCATATATGAGTGCTACCCATAGAGGCCAGCACTGCTAACATGTATCAAGGTACCGACCGCCTGTGCGTTCCGAAGAGCACAACTTCTGCTTGATGGTCAATAGTGCAGTGGCCCTGGCCAACGAAATGCACCTGACTAGGCCAGCAGCACCCGAGTGGAACCCGCGTCCATCCCAGAAGCCTCATCTCGAACCGAGTAGTCTTGAGGCGCGGCGCGCATACCTCGTATGTTACTACCTCACCATGAGCATTACCGTCGTGTTACGATACACCCCACTGTTGCGGTGGACAGGCTACACACAGGAGTGTGTTGAGATGCTACAGAGGGACAAGAACGTCCTGCCATCGGACAAGCTTCTCTGCCAATACATCCAATTGGCCCGCATAACTGAGCGCATTGTCCGCGAGTTTTCGTTGGACAATCCCAACGAATCCTCTCTTTTGGATGCTGCCATGGCCTCCTCTGTCTGCAGCCTAGACACGCAGCTCAAACTCGTGTTCGACGGTTTCGGTCCGGACAAGGAACTACCCCGTATGTGGTGCCCAAGCAAGATCTGCACTGTTTCATATTGACAAAGCGCAGCCGCTTTACGCCTTGCAATGCGTCTTACTAGTCTCGTGCTTTACGAGATAGTTGTACAAGGCGAGCTGAACGCCTCACAAGCCGATCCAGGTCGCGCAGCCAATTCCCACCCCGAAATCGTGCAAGTACTTAAAGAAAGCTTACGCGCCATCAAAGCAGCTCTTGACACAGCCCTTGAAATAGGCGTTGAAGAGCTTATGATACTCCCGGTCATCTTCTGTGCGTAGAGTCTCTGCTCATAGCAGTGAGCCAGCTGACCGTTCTCACTAGGTGTCCGAGTGACTTCCGCGATCGTGTCTCTCCAGAAATTTTGGGCGTTGGTCGCCCGGTCACGCACAATTGGCGCTCTTTTCAGGCACGAGGACGTGCAGCTCGACGAGTACATTAAGAAAATGCTTGCAATGTTTAAGCAAGTTGTTCTCCGTGATCGAAGCAGCCCCCACAGCAAGTTTTATTTCATCGTAAAACTCCTACAGCAGAGGATGAATCCAAACGAGGGCCGCACGACGGCAATGGCAACGGCTACAAACCAGAACAGACTCCATGTGCTCTCTGAAGCCGCCCAGCAGCAACAGCAACAGTCGCCCGCCGGCTTCGTAGGCCAGCCACAACAGCAACACCACACACCACACTACAACCCTGTAGTCGCAGGGCCTTCTCAGCAGCTACTACCACAACACATGCAATCCTATGTCCAGCTCGACGACCAGCTGTTCAGGGACGCGGTAGGAATGGGCGTTGAGTTCGACCCCCGTTTATCCTTCTTCCAACCGGACATGGGCGTCTTCTCCGACCCCGGTATTCCGAACCTTGACATGCTTGCCCACCAGTGGGCATTCAACGAACCCCGCTTAGAAAACGGTGGGAATATGTACCAGTAGGCCAAGGGAGGGAACGAGACTTCCACGGCCTCGCATTCTGGAATATGGGAGAAACCTGGACCATGAAACGAGGAGAGATCAATGGCACGTGGAAGAGCGAAAGCTCGTCAGCGTCTCTGGCGGCGCATTGGAGTATGGCTAGCCGACCGCTCCGCAGAGGGGCCTCTTCGGCCTTGCTTTTCGCGTTCAAAGGGGTCCGGTTAACGATACCACGGAGTATAGGAGTGAACTTTTAGAAGTGGATATGGGCTGGTCATTCTTGGTGTAGGGCTCTGGGTAGATTTGTGCTTTTTCCATCTCTGTTTCAAGTGTACGAGATAATGTCGGTCCAAGCGCTTTGATGATTGTACGAAGAATGGGAATGGGCAAAAGTTGGGTTATGAATTCTCGAATCATGTCGATGTTGGTTGCTGGATGTATTTGGATTTTGTTCTCTTTTGAGGGTTAGGTAGGCATGCACGTGGTTTTCTGAACGATGTTATGTACGGAAGAGGGGAGGGCACGGTCTAGCTTATACCCCTTTGGATAGAGAAAAAGATAGCAGCTTGAATCTGTTAAAAGAGAAAGCCTTTCTTTTAGAAAGATCCGACAAGCTTGTGCGGTGTAGTTCAAGTCTCGCGAATGTGAGGGAAGAATCACTGGAGCTTGGGAAGATAAAATTTTGCGAACTTGCTTAAAGATTAATAAATGTATGTAGCATTAAATGTTCCTTGATTTATTTTACAGAAGAATAAGCTAGGATTATAGAGCAAGTAAATTCCTACGCCAACTCTAAAATAAATGCAGGGTTTCACTCTCCTTAAATGTTACTCTCTATCGCCTCTTTACTTTTCCTGTGTATAGGACTAAATATAAGTAAGCCCCCCTTGTACCTAACTATCTGCTAGCACCTATGCACAAAGCGGTTTTCTCTTCTACGCCAGGCGGACGAAGAGACAAGGTTTCTCCTACGTCCCGTCCCCCTAGCTCGCAAAATCGGGTAAGTCACCGACGACGGTTTCGACTTGCTATAGGTAGCCTGAATGCGCGTGCGGATTTTCAAAACGAAGGGAGATGCTAGCAGTGCTTTGGAATACTTTTCATTCACGGCGTCCATATGTGAACAAAGGCGATCTCTTGTACCAAAAGTGGTTCGAACTCGCACGTGTCCCCTGTAAGATGCTATAGGTAGCTCTTGCGCTGAAAGGAACTAGGAAGCGAGAAACGACCTGGGGTGGGTCCAGGAGAACCTGTAAAATGAGGTATTATTAGCGTTTATTCCATCTAGTCCCGACGGATACATAATTATAGCATCAATCGAGCCGAAGTCAGCCACCCCTCCCTACACCCGTACCCATAACCCCGGGTCTATCTATAGGTCTTTGAAATGGATATACTCTATACAAAGATAGACCGTTTCTATCCTTCTGATCCCCCCTCCCTAAACATAAGATTCGCTGCCTAATTCGACGCTGTTCACCGCGCATACTCCCCCTTAACAACGCTCCACGTTGACGCTATATTCTTTCTTCACATGCACCGCGATGGCTCCCATTCCACCATCAAACGGCGTCCCGGTCCCCGTCGGTGGTGGCGACGTCGACGCAAACCCCGGTTGCAATCCCGTCTTGCTGTAGCTATCCCCGAACGTCGCGTTCCGGCCACCCGAAGAACCACTCTTGGTGCTACCGCGCTCTAGCTGCGCGCTGTTCCTCCGGCCACCCGTTCCAATGCCTAATTCCTCATCTTTGGAAGACGGATACGAGGTCGCCCGACCACTTTCATCGTATTCCTCCAAGGGAATAAAGTTCTTCGTATCGTAATGATCGGGACGCGAACTCCTCATCATGCTCGCCTGGCTCGTAGACGTGATGAACGATTTATCCTTCTCGTCACCTGGCTTGGTTGACCTGCTAAACTTTGCTTTGAGGCTGCTACTCATGGGGAACGACGAGGATCCCCCGGCTCCCTTGGAACCGTGCCCGTACCCCGCTCTCGGGCTATCGTAGTAAGAGGTGGATTTCTTGCTGGCGGGGAAGAGGCGGTGTTGCAGGGCGCGCAGGGCAGGCAGGCAGGCGATGAGGACGCCGACATGGACTTCGAGCGTCGACCAGTAGCCGACGGGGGTGTAGTCCCAGGTTACGTTTTGGGTGTTTGCGAATTGGGCCATCCATTTGATGCGGAGCATGGAGACGACGGTTACGCTGGGGAGCGTTAGTCTGAGAATTCGATGGTAAAGGGGGGTGGTGGGGGTGGGGTTGAAGGAGTTGAAAGCAAAGGGGAGCAAAAAACATACAATCCACCTCCCAAGAACATAAACAAAATCCCCGCCTTCCTCCTCCGACTCATCTCTAATTTGGCCAATTCCCTCAATGGCAACGCCACAACAATGGCGTCGAGAATCATATTCAGCGCCGAAGCCGCCAAAGCCAGTGCATTCATATTTATACACTTGCCGTGATGCTCATCGTCCCACTTCTCCCACGCGATGCGGATGGGGACGCACTGGAAAGCGACTCCAGGGAGGAAGGCGAGCATGTAAGCGAAACAGGCGGCCATAGTGGCGTAGGTGCATAGGCGGAACTCGCGGTGGGGGAAGATGCGGAGGTAGAAGAAGAGGATGGAGATTTTGGTGAGTGCGATGGTGGCGATGTAGAAGAGTTCGTCGAAGTAGTAGACCTGTTGGCGTGGGGGTCAGTTTAGATGGAGCCGAGAGCTAGGCGAAGCGGAACGCACATGCAGGATGTTCGTGATGTTGTCGAAAGGGACGGTCCACATGTCTTTTCCAAGACCTTGTTCGGCGAGGACAACCGATAGGACTGTAAGAGGAACCATGGGAATCTATCATGATCAGAATCATGCTGAAAGTTCGGAGAGTTCCTAGGGGTAACAGGATAGTCTTACCATGGTTACCATCATAAACCAATCATCCAAACCCCATGCGCCGCCCCAGCATGGAAGACGTGCAAAGACTCGAAGTATCACAGCCAGGAGCGCGATGCCTCCAGCAATCAGACTCGTGTACGAGACTAGTTTGCTATCATCTCGTTGAGGCACACCAAAGGCAGTCTCCGTAAAGTTCTTCGTTGCTGCGGTGTGTCAGTACTTCAAGGAACAGATCCTTAGAACGGAATTGACCGACTCAGGGCCTCCCTGATTGTGCAATCTCTTTTAACACAGGTTTCGATCTGTGCATTGAGTGGCTTGTCCTGGGCGATGCATTGAAAATCTGAGAGCTGGCAGGACGATTGTGTGATAGAGCCCATCAGGCATTGGAGCTGGGTATAGTCAATATAATTTGAGCATATAAATCGCGTAACGACATACCGCACACTTGGGTAACGATTTGATCGCATGCTGCAATATTTCTGTGCTATTCGCTGCCCGCACGCACGGTAGCAGGGTGAATGGAAGCAGGACCAGGGCTCTTGAAAGCAACATTCTGGCGATAGACACCCGTGTCGACGTCGACGGGGTCAATAGCGTCTTGCAAGACCAGCCGGTTTCAAGTCCGGGTTGGATTTGGACGTGTGCGTAGTGAGTAGAGGAGGTGTAAGGTCACATGTGGTATCACAATCCACAATGGCGAAGACGGCGGTTCGCAATTCAGCTGTGTAAACGTTTCATACCAGTTAACTTCTCCAGCTGCATGTAGGAGCTTTTGTAGGATGAGAGGGCGTGATGCGAGAAATCGGGGGTCAAGCTGTTGTTATATTGTAAGCAAGGGTAGGGTGGCGGGCAGAAACGCGAAGACCTGACGAGGAGGTATCCTCCCCCGCGAGAAGAGAAGGTCCCACCGACTAAGCTTAATTCGCATAAGAAGCTTTTCGATCCGCTGGAAAAGCTTGGTCTCGCCGGGGCAAACCGTGGATCAAGGCCCATGATCCATGTACTGGTCCCGGACAAGTGCGCCGTAGCCCGATTCAACGAAGTTTCATCAAGACTTGAGGGCTGGTGCCGTGGAGGGTTCCGTCAGAAATAGACGTTCAGTCTGAAGCTGACAAAGTTAGTTGAGGGTTGGCAGTCAACCGTGAAGAAAGGCACTGTCGAAATCGGCCTCCTGCGCCGAAGAGACAGGTTCCGTAGTGATTGAAAATGCATGCATGGATTTTTTCTCCTAGGCCATGAGAGCCGGGTTCCCTGGTTGCCCCTTTTTGGGAGCTCTCCTGCAGATCTGAATAGTATTCCTAGTAGGGAGGAGGTCTTCATTGGGCACGACGATTCAGGCATTTGCAATGTGTTCGGGTAAAACACACAGGTGTCCTTCCTCATCGTTGGAGCAAGACCGCTCCTGGCGTCCGCATGGGGCACGTCGTCGGCATGCCGCATGGGGTTCAGGCTCAACACATTTTGTTCGAGAGACGCCGGGTAGAGGAAAAGGCGTGATAGTGAAAAGAGCCAAGCATTTGCTGTTGGACTGCTGCCGATGTGGATCAAAACCCCCGCACCTATACCTCAACTGGCGTAGCTAAATGTCCGATGAGGCAAAACGGTCGGCAGGTAAGATTGGTAAAATCGTTCTGATGGACCAGTCTCCTAGCTGTTTCAGTAGGCTCTTGCAGGTGATAGGCAGACGTTAGGACAACTCGCTGCGGTTGCTATACACAGTATGAATTCCGGCAAGGGTCTATCGGCAGAGGCTCTTCGGAGGTTTTTGTTTCAGGGATCGGAGGCCTGCTTTGTTTCAGTGATCCTCATTTCCGAGCTCGCGTGTCTGAACGACAGACAGTAAATGACGATCAAATGCTGGATAATAATACAAGTAGTACTATGTACTGAAGGGAGTCCGAAAAATCAGGAGTTCAGGTCTCCAGTCTCAACATGAAGTGGGTCGCATCGCTGCCATTCGCACTTGCACGTTATTAAGCATCAGGTAGACCCCCTCAGCTGCTCGAGTCAGGCTCAGGCCGATCAAGAAATAGAGCGATCCCTGAAAGGGGATCCATGCAAATTCCTTTAGTATGATGCCAGCCCTGGCGTGGTAGACCGTGAGTAGTCCTTAACGGAGATGGTGTCGCTGCATCAAGGAAATGCCGAATACTTGGGGCCAGAGGGTGCGTGCTTTCACCATAGTAACAGTAGACTCCAAAGCCTCAATTTCAACGACTGATTTGCGTGTGCGCGCGACGCGGATGGGGGAGATGCCATGAGACAACACACAGTACAGCATGCCGAGGGCTGAATGCTGCGAAGAAAACTCCATGCTTATTCATGGCTGACTAAGATATCATGTCACGGGCCATACTGGACTATCCACCGCCTACCAATGCTCTACCAACGCTTTCTTTGAGTTGATCTGTACAGTAATTGTGCCCTGATTGAGGAATAGCCGAGAATGGAGACGAATTACCTCCGGCCCTGGAGAACTATTGATACAGTATAACCAAGTCACATGATCGAAATTGGTCTCTACTCGAAGGCAAATCTGATTGGCCCTTGGTCTTTCCATGCTCTCCCCAGGATTGGCCCTCATCTCACCTGTTGACGCGGCTTCGACTTCGACTCCGCCACCATCGGCTGTCCGGACAATACAATGAACCCTCCCCCAAGGCCAGCATCCATCATGTCATCGCTCCCTTCTCCATTCCTCCCTGCGTCGAACAATCCGCTACCAAACATCAACACGACACCCGGCGGCTGAACCTCTGCGCCTCGATTGTGGCATTGGTCCATAGTAGCACTGCGCCATTATGGTGATACTGGGAGGGCTGGAGATTGTCGTCGGCGGCGTCCTGATCCATCACTACCACAAGAAGCACAAGAAGCAGAAACGACTGAAGCAGCAGGAGGAAGAGCAAAGTCTTCAAACAGAGGCACGCCGACGCAACAGCTACCCAGGCCCTCAGTCCTCAAACCCCCAGATTCCCCAACCTCAGCAAAAGTCCGCATATCCATATCGCTCGCCCCCTCAGTATGGCTCTCCGCAGCAGCAGCAGCGCCACCCGCGATTCCATATTGCGCGCCAGCATGACCGGTCCCAACACCAACCTGTGTCACGCCCGAAAACCCAGCTAGGCGACCGACCGCCTGTTGAGCCTCTCCGACGGCAAGACTCGTTCGCGACGATACGGGATGTTCCGGATGGCCCACGATACACGGGACGCCAGGCTAACCCACCTTCTCAGCGAGCTCAACACCTCGCACCCTCTCCATCTCGAAGCATCAGGTTTAGCCGGTCCGTCCCTTCGTTCGAACGTGCGACGATGCCCCCACAGATGGGTCCTCACCAACGAAACGGTGGTCCGATCGTAGACGGGAATCGGGATACTCATGCACCTCTTGCCGTAACGACTACACGATATGATGATGACGACGATCCGCCGCCCCCGTATGAGCCTTGATGCATCGTCGGGGGTGGGGGGAAAGAATATAAATGGACGCGTGCGACATATGATATCTAAATGCAGGGCTTCAGGGCTTTTTGCCTCATATGGTTTATTTGGTTCAACATGTTCCTCAAAACTGTTTTCTTCAACTTTCTATTATTTCTCCCTGTTCGAGCGTGGAGGCATTATGATGCAATATTTATTTCAACATGCTCCTCAAGCTTTCCCTCTAACCTTTTTGCTAGCCTTTCGTACTCGAGCATGGAGGCATTATGGTAATTTGACAACTTGTTTTCTCTTCATTTCTTCTCTCGATTTTCTTTCTCTTCTCCTTTTCCTCTTTTCCTTTTCAATTTTTTTTAATTTATTATACCAGGGTATGTCTGTAGCAAATACTGAGTGGCAAGCTTAACAAAAAGCATTTCCATTACTACGTCAAGTTCCTGCTTCAAAAGACCCGTTACGCCCTTGTGACAACATGATGCTGTGTAGCCCGCTTCTGAATCTCCTCTATAAACATAGGTACTCGGCTTTTCCCATGCGTCTGAAGAAAGGCTCGATCTCTCTCCTCAACCTGGACACAAGAGACTGCCTGCCCTGAAGGGTTTCCTCTAGCCCCTTATCCTCGCGATGCTGCAGTTATACACGTTCCATTTCCATTTCTCTACCCGAATACATTTTCTCGCTATAGGTATACCATCCATCCATCCATCCAACACAACCAACCGGCCTACTTTATCTATAATCTCAAATTCCAAAACTCCACTGTATAATGTGGACAAATCTAGCCCTAGACCCTTGACCCCCCTCTTCCCTTCCCTTCCATCCCCTTGCCATCGCCTTCCTCGCCTTCCTCCACTTGCATATCCCATACAGTAGTACATCGAGCGAAAAGGACGTTTCCAGCCAAAGCCGCACACTGCCTATATACCCGTTATGTTGCTGCTGCTGTCTATCTATCCTTCATCATCCTTCATCTTTCGTTCGAAAGGTATCAACACAACACATCACATCCATCTGCATGTACATATATCCATTTCCCTTTATTCATTCCCTCTCTACCCGCCATCACCGCTGCTCAGCTCCCAAGTAACTTGGCCGAGAGAGCTGAATGAGTAGCAGACCACAGCGAGATATGGACATGAGACAAAAAGCCAAATAACCCCATATCAATAACAGTCACGTACAGGGTCTAGTGCCTAGACACAGACTCACAGCCACAACGATCCAGCGTCGCGAGCAGACCACCCAAAATCACCGTATGCTTGCTTTGTAAAACTTCTCATTCCTACTCCTCCCCTCTCTCTCTCTCTCTCTCTTTGTTACAGCACGGCTATGCTACAAGGGAGCCCGAGACGCACTTCTTCGCTGCACATGTCCCAATTCCTTCGCGGCAGCCATTTACGAACGCTCCCTCCCACCCCGAGCATCCCCACGCATGCACGGTATTCCCACGCTCTCAGTGGAGCAAGCCTTGCCCATACTCCAAACAATAAAACGAGCAAGTTCTGTCATAAAAATAGTTTGTGACCCCACAAAAACGCCCACGGTGCAAACAAAGGAAAACTCACGCCACCAGGCCATCACCGGGCCGGATTACTGGGAACGCACAGTAAAAAAATGCCTAGGAGATAAGAATATATACCGCCCGGCTCGTCCCGGACTCGCTTGCTCGCAGGAACAGAACAGAAAACGCCTGGACTCGGTCGGCAGATCCTTCCCAGAATACAGGAATGGTCGGTTATGGGCTATGCACAAAGGGGATCATTAGAAGCGGTTTGAATGCTCAAACTGGTCAGACCGCCGATCGTACAGGTCGATGATCTGTTCCTGCTCGTGGCGTCAATGGTCATAACCCGCTCCTCTTTGCCAGGGGCTCGAGTTGTTGGCCGCTCGGTAGGGCTGTTCGTTCCTGAGGCTGCCCGCACGTCCGTACGAAGGAGTTGGACTGTTGCGGCCGTAGTAGGATGCATTGGCGGATGGCGATGATGATGGCTGCCCGTGAAAGCCGGGGTCTACAGGACTGCGCGGCGGGGCGGGTTGGTAGTGCTCCGTGAAGGCACCCTCCTTGGCGGCCATCTGCCGCTGCTCAAGCGTGTGGGAGCTGAAGGAATCATCGTCGTCATCAATGCCGGCCCGGGCATGTTGGCCCTTACCCTCACCACGGGCGGTGGCACCAAGAGCGTCCAGCTCGGTCGTGAGCTGCGTCTGCGACTTGATGAAGGAGCCGCGGTCATCGCGCATGGGCTGATAACGAGTATCAGGGTTTTTGGTGAACAGGGCGAACCCAGAAGACACCAGGACCATGAGGAGGAGCACAAGGGCGAAAGCGGCGTTGTAAATGAAGAAAATGACACCCATGACGCCGGTTACTATGCCCTGAGACTTGTGAGCGGCCGCGCTCTGGCAGAAGCTTCGGAATACTTACCGGTTGGTTAAACACGTTAGAGAAAACGAGCAGGAAAACTGCGCTAAGGAAGTTGAAGGCGGCGATGGCAATGTTGAAACCGTTAGTCTTCTTGTCCATGTACGGCCGCATGACGGAAACACCGATCAGCAGTGCGGCCTCGATCAAAACAAGGGCAATGGCCTGTACAACGCCGTTCCCCTGAGCGAGACCGACAAACATGGCCTTGATGAGGACGTAGAAGAGAATAGGCACGATGAAGTAGTAGGCGGCCGCCTTGAACTGCACGTAGAGGAAGCCCCACTTGTTCAGGGAAACCGGGTCCGAATACAGAATGTAGGCGGGGTTCTTGTGCATAGCAATGGATCGCTGAGCGATGCGGATGACCTTGGAAGACGCCCAGGCCAAAACACAAATCATCGTGACCATGGTGAAGATGGCCAGGACGACCTCGCCGGATGAGTCGCGCCTGGTGAGCTCCCAAAAGCACAGAACCATCATCTGGGGGAAGCCAATCAGAATGCAGCGGAACAAGATGCCCTTGAGCACGGTTTGCCAACCGTTGCGGAAGTCGGTGAATTGATCGTGCTTCATCTTTCCAGCCTTGACCAATGCCTCGCAGAGGAACTTGAAGGCGATGACACCCAGCGTGACGAGGATCAAGAAGATGATGAAAAAAATGTAACCCGTCATGAAGATGTTGCTTGTTTCAATGCGGGCTCGGAAGCCGACGCGCTCGATACCATGGAAGACGACGCGCTCCCCTGGTCCAGAGCCAGCGTTACTGCGAGTGACCAGGCGGCCAAGGTGTTCCAGGCCACGCTTGACCTTTTGCACATCGATGGAGACGGTGGACAAGGTCGAAAGGTAGGTGGTGGGCTGGCCGCCGGTGGCGCGCTGATACCAAGTGGCCAGCTCCTGCAGGAATCCCACGCGGATGATGCCCATGCTCCATTGGAAGTTCTGAGTCCAAGCTGCAACAACGGGGGGAAGGGGCATGGCGCACATGCCGAAGAGAGCTTGTCCTTGGAAGTATCCGAAGAGCGACATGGCGTTGGCCGCGACGTGCGCAGCGGTGTTGGAGTGTCCTAAGCCGGATGTAATGGCGGACGCGACCAGCCCGAGACCTGCAATGATGGCAGTGACCCAAGCGACAGGTTTCTGGGCGACCGAGTGCCCGTTGGTCAATTCGGCCTCGACGCAGGCCAAAGGTTCCTTCGTGTCGAGACGGGAAATCCTGATGCGGACCATTGCGTCGAGATCGGGGATGGTATAGGCGATGGCGGGGATCTTGCTCATGACATCCGGGGTGATGTCGAGGTTGGACTTGAGCTCGATGGGGCCCGGATTCATGTCGCACAGGCCCTCGAGTTCCTTATTCTTGCATGGGTTCAGGCTCTGTTTGAGAGCGGGGTAGCCGTAGACGAGCAGCTCCATCTCAGCGTTGACCCTTCCACTGATAGTGGAGACACCTTGAATCTTGAAATCCAAGCTCCTGTTGTTGGGTGTGAAGGTGACCTGGAAGAGGTTTGCTGAGAAGCTCGAGTTGGACTGGCATGGGTTCAGGGATGACGACGAGATCATGCGCTCGGCGGAGGAGAAGGGAAGGGCGGCGGCGAGGAGGAGGAGCGACGATTTGAGCAGCGAGGGTAGCATGTTGGCCGGCGGTATAGAAGTTGGGTAGAGGTAGGCAGCTTCGTGGTGTAAGGCGGAGGGCCTCGGGACAGAAGATAATATCTTATGGCGTGTACTCGTCGCGAGCACGGGATACGGGACCAGCCAAACCAGCAGGCGAGGGTCGTAACAAGGTAGCGAAGGTAGGGGCGTAGGCGGGTTCGAATTTAGTATGGCGAAGGAGGGGTTGCAAGAGTAGGTAGTCTAGCAATAAGGGAGGGTCGCGATGACGAAAGCTGGAGTCGCAAACAAAGGGTGGCTGCAGCAAACCGGGAAGGGGAGGCGGGCGACGGCGGGTCTGGGGCTGGGCCGGTTGGATGATGGGCGGAGGGAGGGTAGCGATCGTAGCGGGATTGCGGTTAGCGGAAGGTCCAGCTGTCCATCTGCACGCAGTCGGAGAAGTACAGAAGGCAGGCGGAGAAGAATGGGAGGGAGAGCGAGCGTGGGAAAGTATTGTATGTGTCTCGAGCGAAATGCTGTCGGTGTGATGGAGTGAGAGGGTGAGGATGAGGGAAAGGGGTGAGACAGTGAGAGGTGCAGACGGAGAGAGCGGGTCACGGGCCCTGAGCACTAAATCGGGACGCGTGGCGCCGAGCTGCCCAGAGAGGTAGGATGACAGGACCATCATCGTCTCTACACAGTAGAATAATAACAAACGGCAGTTGTCTTCCCACCCTCTCGCCCCGTCAACAATCATTCTTGCGAGTTCACTACTGCACCGGAGTGCTCTTTGTTTGTTTGAGTGCAAGCCGGCCCCGCCCTTTGTTACCCTCTCTCCTCCATGTCCCCTCGCTCGTTGCGATGCCGTTGTGCCCAGGCGAGCGTCCGCGTCCGGCAGCCCAGCGACCCGCAACTCTTTGCTCCGCCACAATTCATGAAAAGCGCATGCACGGCAACGAGCAACGAGGGCTGGCTGTTTTCCCCTTTTGAGCATTCCCTGTGCTGACTGATGGTGACCCTCAGCCTATCAACATCGTGTCCTCGACCCAACCCTCGTGCCCGCAATCTTAAGGGCTTCCCACCTGCCATCACAGTATTGTATTCACAACAGACCTTTTCTCCAGCATGAATCCTCGCCGTTGTACTCCGTACTCGCGTCTCCAACTAGACTTACGCAAGTCGATGGGTCCGTCGAATTTCCACCGTCCCTGCTGCGGCGAGAACCGTTTGGAGGATCGCCCGCTAGCAGAACCCTTGCAGGAGTGTCGGTCTCATGAATCTTTTTCCTCCTCTCTGACACTCCCCAGACGCTGCCCGTGTCAATATTAGAGCTCCTATCATCTTCTCGCTACGAGAGCCAAACTCTGTAATAAGCACTTAGGACGGAGTATTTAGGTCCACTACAGAGGCGATGGACGGGAAGGGCAAGAGGCCATCCAAGTTAACACGCAACTTTCGTTGAGTGTGCTCTCTGTGCTGAAGATGTATCAAAGTCTTTCAACTACGTCGCTTCAATAGCTGGTTTCACGATCCTACTTCTCCACGCTTACGCGTACCTTATTTGAGAGCCTCTCTTGGTAGCAGGCGATGCCATTCATTCTGCTGTATCATGCTCAGGTTTATGCTAAGGTGAATACGAGTTGTGAATGCGGTTTACCGTGCCAACGACTACCCACGCTCGTGCTATGTCGTACGCGCGGGCCTCGACGTCATTAGAGTTGAAACCAGGAATACACCGAAGCCGACGTGCAACATCACTCACTCACGAATCTCAGGAGAATTACACCATCCAAACAGTCGATGATATCCTCATTTATTCCCCTTTCCCCCCTCCCTACTTAGCTGTTTATGATAATACACTACCTCCAGCCCCTCCCCCAGTACCCTGGCAGGAGAGCGCCAGAGGAACAAGAACAAGAGAGGAATAATAAGAACAGAAATGCTGGTGGTGCCCTCACCCGAGATGGTCCGCTCGCAGACCGGGTATCATAGTTGTGGTAGCCATGCCCAGTTGATGCTCTTTCTTTTTTGCTTTGGCTGATGTTGATTGGTGGACCGGAACGCCTCGATGGTTGTGTTGTGTTGTTTGTTGTGGTTCTTGGTATGGATGGGTATAATTGAAGGAGCAAAGAACTTTTTGGGTTGTGGTAGTTGATGGAGAAGTGGTGTACAGAGGTGAGATGTCGAAGACGGATAGAAGGGAAGAACAAGGGGACTCCGGACGCCGTGCTGAAAATGCCGAGAAGAAATGAGAGTCGTGTGTAGGGGCGTGAATCGCCATTGCCGTCGGTGTCGCAACGACAAGGGACTAGAGTGAGGTTGTCGTCGTCGTCTCCCTCACGAATGCCTCGAAAACGTCTTCGTCAGTTTCTCCAACGCCCCCTCAACGCTCCTCCGGACGCCATTCCCGCCCTCCCGCTCACTCCCCGCACTACTGCTCCCCTGCGAACTTTCGCTCCCCATCCTCTTCATCCTCCGCATACCCCCGGCCTCGTCATCCACGCAGAAGTTCCCTGCGCCTCCCCGCCCAATGTGATAGACGGGCGCCGCATGCTCCCTCAAGCGCTCCTGGGCGGCCAACTCCTCGTCGAAGCTGAACATGGCGCGTTCCCTCTCGGCGCGCATGTTGCCCGCTCCGCCGCGACCCGAGGCGAAGATGGCGGTCGAGGGTGGAGGGGTCAGTTTGATGCGCGAGGCGGGACCGGAGGCGGTGGCACCGGGGGTGATGGAGGAGGGGGTGACGCGGGTGTAGTTGCCGGCGCCGCCGCGGCCCGAGTGGTAGATGTGCGAGGCGGGGAGGGAGGGGTGCGGTTCGGTGATGTGGTAGGCTGGCATGATGATTGCGTTTTGTGTTGTGTTGTGTGGTAGTGGAGAGGTCGATGTCAATGTATGACCTTGTCAGTGGTGGTGATAGTAGAAGTAGTAGTAGTAGCGATCTGAGTAGTGTGGTTGTAGTGGTTGTAGTAGTCCAAGTCTCGATAAGGTGAAGCTGGGTGGCGAATATCAACACTCTCTCACTCTCGCTCAGAGAATCTGGGGTAAAGGGCTAAGAGTAGTAGTATGCCGTAGTGCAGTGTAATAGCAACACCACCCTCCCGTCCGGGCCTCACTCCCTTATATACAGTACAGCCGCTCCGGAGGACAGCCAACAAACGAGGTCCGCCGGCACCTCAGACACTACTCAGGCACACGGTGACAGCACGCGCATGCGGCCAAAAACTTTGCGTGTGCATCCATGACACCACAACCAGGCACGAGGGAGGGCGGCTTGGTCCCAGACTCCCAGGTCCCCGCCTCCGCCTCGCAACGCCTTCGCGCACTTTGCAGTTAACGGCATTTTGGTGATCATGCGGCGGACAGACAAGACCTCGGGAGACCCGCTCTGCTGCAATAAAGGGGAGGCCGGCGTTGCTGCAGGAAGCGCTGGACATGGATGCAAAAGAACGAAGGCGTTCGCGGCTTCTCCTGCTTGGCATCGCGTAATCCGCGGTGGGCACCTGACGCCGAAGGAATGCTGCGACTGGTTCAAAGCCGGTTTTTGTTACCCCCAGGAAATTCCGCATAAGGGGGGACGCAGAAAACTTTTTCATTGTTGAGGGGCCCATTGGCATGGCATGGGCATGGCCATGTTGGCATCGTGGTGTCATGATGGCTTCGTGATTTGGTCACAGTTTGATGAGCTGTTTTCCGGGGCCAGGCTGGCTCTCAAAATTGGAGTTTGCGGGGAAGAAAGAGGGGCAGTGGATGCTTCTCCTCTGTTAGTAGGGAGAGAAGATGTTGCAAAATTGCGAGTCGTTGGTCTGCCTCTCTGCCAAAAATCTTGTTGAAGTCCAACAACAAAAAGGGTGCCATACGGAGTACAAGGGGTAGCACTCAATTCCAATGCATCCCTTCCCCTTCTCTTACCCGAATTCCTGGGACCTCAACACTCCGTCCTTGATGTGCCACTCCCCTCCCCTTACCGTCCCGCTGTGCAATTTGATCCATCCATGGGGTGTTGCCATCCAGTCAGCATATGACGTCGGACATCGTGAACATGGACACCTGCTTCGCTTCCTTTGCTCAATTCCCAAGCGCAGCTGATGACCCGCCTTGCCAATTACCTTCCAAGGTGCTCTTTCGCCCTCGGGGCTTGCGAGGCCCATCGTGAACACAGCGGCTGAGGCGAGTCCATCGGTGAAGAGCGACGGCGACTCTTTTGGACTGCCAGCCTGATGAGCTGGAAAGCCGGACAGACCCAAGTCGGAGCTGAAGAAGGCGTTGAGCTGGAGAGCAAAGCTGAAGAAGTCGCCTGCACCTGCGCCTGCACCTCTTCGCTTCTTCAGGCGCGTCTTCTTACACCGCAAGTACACAGTAACACAGGACACAGTAAGCGCTCAACCTCCAGACATCAGAACCAATAGTACACTGTGCTGCGCTGTTGGCAGCAGTCGTCATGTGCGCTCCCAACCTCATGATTCTCGCCAACTCATGAGCCCTCAGATGCTCATTGTCAACAGGACTGAATTGCGCCATTCGTCACCATCTCTCCAACCCATGGCGGCATTTCCGCTCCATCATCACTTATATATTAGGCTCTCATCAATCATCGATCGCTGTACTGGAGCCAGCAGGCTACTACCGACGCAGCGGTCACGGTGACGGTCACCACATGCACGTCCCATGGTCAACACCAGAGTCAGTCAGCAGACTCGAGAACTCCGGACTCCGGGCTAGCTGGCGATTCGTACTGTAGTCAAGTCGTCACAGACTTCACTTCACGATGCTTGGCAGGAGGACTGTAGCACCGCACAGTTTTAACTGCTTTTTATCATCGATTCGCATCTATTATCTCATTTCTCGAAAATGGGGTATCCCTCAAAACCATCTACCAGCTGCTAATAAAAACGCCCAAAGACAACATGCACTGCCCGACTACTGCAATATTCCCCCTTCCAGCATCGCGGAATCACCCAGCGGTACCTGTCCGCACTCACCCCTCTCCCTTCTTTTGCCCAATTCTCGTAATGAAAACTGGGGACTCCGCTTCCAAAAATGCGGGGAAGCGCAACTAAAAACACGCTAGCACTCCCGCTGTCCGCACCCTTCGCCTCTCTCCGCGTCCGCCAGTCAGAATGGAAAAAGGCGAGGTGTAGATCCGGAGTATATCCGACATCCACTTGTCGTGGACAAGTCCAACAGGAAAATTTGTCGCAAGCTTCGTGCCTGACTGCGCGGCCGACGTGATGCTGCAGCTTCCTACCGCAGAGACGTACCTGAGACAGCTTCTGGAAGCGGGAAGGCCCGTGGTGCGGAATCGCAGGCAAGGAGAGAAGTACCTAGACCCCGCAATGCCACAGCCAATCTCTCTTCTATGCAAACTTGGTGTGAATGATATCCGGATTCTCCTGCCATTCGTCCTTCTCCACCCACATCTGTCGCTCCCGTCAGTCATGCCTGCATCATAAACCTCGTTTCTGCCACGGAAACCTACCTTCTTAAACGTGCTCAATCCCGCCAGGATGCTGCCCCCCGTCCACGTCGTATAGATCCGCTCCGGCGGCGCCAGAATCTTGATCCGCATGTCCTTGACCGCCAGCCGCTGCACCTCGTGCAGCAATCGATTGCCGAATCCCTTCGTCAGTGTGGAACCGCCGGAGAGCACAATGTTCCCGTAGAGCGACTTGCGCAGGTCCATGTCCGTCCGCTGGATGGCTTCGACGACGATTTGGTGCACGCCGGGGTACTCGAGGCCGATGATCTCGGGGTTGAAGAGTATCTCCGGGGCTCGGAAACGCTCTGCGCCGACCTGGGAACTCCGTTTAGCATATATTATATGGTAGGCAAAATAGTGCATAGCAGGGTGGAAGGCCGTACTTTGAGTTTCTGCCCGTCTGGTAGCGTGTACTCGACGCTCTTCCCGTCCGTTCTTGCTGCGCCGGACCATTCCTTCTCTTCCTTCGCCGGGTCCAGCGCTATGTACCCGCATGTTTCCTTGATGTGCTTGACCGTCTCCTTCTCAGCGCTGGTGTGGAATACGCGCCCGCTTTTCCGGAGCAGCTGTTGGAGGTGCTCGGTCACGTCTCTGCCTGCCACGTCTATCCGCCGTATGCTGTTGGGTATTGCGAAGCCTTGGAATACCGGAACTGCATGCGATACGCCGTCCCCAGAATCCAGCACTATTCCAGTAGTCTTTCCTGACGCGTAGAGCGAAAGCACGGCTTGCACCGAGGCGTAGAGAGCAGGTACATTGAACGTCTCGAACAGAATCTGCGCCGCTGTATCTCGGTTCTCCCGAGGATTCAGTGGTGGCTCTGTCAGAAGCACTGGATGCTACAATCCCCCTCATTAGCTCTTGCGCGATCAAAGCATCAACCTCCACGGAGCCGCACACTAGTTGCAAGCGCTACTCACATCTTCGCTGACTGTTTTCAACTCCTCTGTATACACATACTGCCATATCCTCTCCATGTCATCCCAATCCGTGACGATGCCGTGCTCGAGCGGATAATTGATCTTGAAGAGCCCCCTATGCTGCTCCGCCTGCGGTCCAATGAAGACGTCGCCTTCAAGTGCGCCCGCCATGGTCCGCACGTGCTTCGGCCGCCCAACGAAGGAGGGAAAGAAGCATTTTGGGAGGTCTTGTCCAGCGAAGCCCGCTCGGATGGTGCCGCTGCCGTTGTCGAGCACAATGGGCGCGTTGTGCAGGCGGGAGCCCATTGCGAGGGCGGGCAGGAGGGCGGATGGGTCGAGGAGGGCTGCGGAGAAGGGGAGAGAGGAGGGGTTATAGTGGGCCGGGAAATATGAGAGTCAGTCTGCGGTGATTTTATTGCTGCTGTTTAAGACGTTCCGAGAGCTCCAAGCTTGAACGTCGCGAAAGTTGAGAGACGCGAACACGGAGGGATGGACAGGGGGTCAAACTCCAAATCACGTGCAAGGCTCAACTTCAAATGTTTCCCTTCCCCTGCAGCATGACTTGCATAAGGTAGATATAAGCAGGATGTGCTCGTATTAGAATTTGGGACCGATGATAGAACTGAACGAAGTATGTCATCGTCCCTCTGGAAGAATGTCGCGATTCAATGTTGTGATATCTCGCTTGACACTCCAAATGCCCAGGTGGATATGCAAAGCACTCAATCAGTGTATTAGCCATAGTCTTAACAAATAAATCGGCAGCGCAATGTGATGAAGGTTAATACCAGTCAGATAGACGAACTCGATAAGGAGGCACTACGCTTCGCAAAGAACTACCAGTCAGATCAAATGCTTGGAACTAGCAAACAAGGCTGCTAAAACACACTATTGAAAATTCATCGTGTCTGTCCGACAAATTGGAATGTACAAACAGAAAGAACCATGCACCCTGGGTCTAGACCTTTAGAAAAGCAGCAGGGTATTGAAGATCAAGGCAGGCAAGAAGTCGCTCAAGCCAAGTAAAAGCATCTATACAGATTCTAAACAATCCCCATTCACCTCCTCGGTGCAGGCGGCAAGCCACCATTCGGCGGAGCTCTTGATTGCGGCGACGGAGCATTGGGCGGTGGGGCGGGTCGGATGGGGAGGGATAGGGGATTTTGGGACGCGGCGGAACTCGACGTTCGCACAGGATACGGTGGGCGAGGTGGTGCTGAAGCGGTCCCGTTGGGTTCGGAGGTCGTCGGTGTGTTGCGGCTAGAAGGGGGTGACCGCTCGCGAAGTTTCTCGCGGACGGCGGCCGAGGAGGGTGCGGCAGGTGCGAGGTAGGATTTGCGCTTGTTGTGCTCTATCATGCTGATCGCCCACGCTTCCAGGTCGACTGGCGTTCGCTTTGCGGCTTGGAGGAAAGCGTCGTGGTCCTGGGAACTGTTAGCATATGCGTCAGGGGAAGAGGACGGAGACCTTACGTAGAGCTCTTTGGGAGTCGGTCGTTCCGCCGGATCCTTCAATAGACACTTTGCAATCATCTCCTCGAGAATCAAGGGGAAAGCATCGCTCTTGGGCAGCTTCGGTGACGGTTCCAGAACAATCTGCTGCAGGAGGTCCAGAATGCCTTGTGGTCCACCAGCATCGTCCGCATCGCTGTCGCCTCCCGCAAAGGGGAATTTACCAATCGCAAGTTCCATGAGGGTTAGCCCAACACTCCATACATCCGACTTCACTGTATACGGGGACCCCTGTATCCGCTCGGGCGCCATATATGTTCCTGTCCCGACAAAGGTCTCCGCAATAGATCCCTCCAACTCACTCGACACGCCAAAATCGCAAAGCTTGATCTGTCCTTTGGAATTCACCAAGATATTCGAAGGTTTGAGATCTCGGTGCATGATGCGGTGGGCTGAATACAAGTAGCTCAAGCCTCCAAGAACGGCTTCAGCGATCTTTCCAAGCACATCGACACGGACAGGGCCAAACGTCTTTGATACCCAGTCCAAAGAACTTCTCAATATCAGTACATGTGTCCCTCTGTGAAAGATAGTCTCAACTCACCCTACGTCCATATATTCCATACACATTATGACATCGCCGGTATCGTTCTGGAATGCGCCGTAAAAGTCGACGATGCGTTCGTCGTTGCAGTCGTGCATGATTCGAAGTTCTCGTACAATGCGCTTCCGCACTTCGTTCTTTGCTTCCACATGTATGATCTGGATTGTTAGTCTGTGGGTTTTGAAAGGCTCAGTGGACCTTACCTTCCGCGCCATTATGACCTTGGTAGCAGCATGCTGCACCTTGCTTACGGTACCACCATTACCCGACCCCAGCTCGCGCAGGACTATCAGATCTTCGGCTTTGAGGTCCAGTTGAAATTCCACACCAATCTCCAACGTATCCGCTCGTCCCTCATCGTGTCCTAGAGCCCCGGGTATCTGAGAATCGCCTGCAGAGGGAGCAGCAGCCTTGGGTGGCGGAGCACTCAACGCCAAACCCTTTACATTCTTCCTCTTCATCGTCTTCGTTTTGAAATTCGACTCGGCCATGTTGAACGTTGGGAGAGCGCTTACGCGACTTCAACGGGTGCAGAGCGGGGAAGCGCAGTGGGTATGTCGGTGAGGGAGGACACGAAGTAGAGGATGTGGAGTGTGAAAGGCTCCGGAGGCCTTCTGGGCGCGAGTTTCGAGACACGCAGGGCAGCTCTGCCCTTTGGTTTCGGGTTTGCCGCCCAAGATGCGACAGCACGTTTCGCCAATCAGAGCAGCAGAGCTTAGAAGAGGGCCACAGCGTCTATTGGATTAACGCTATCGGGACAATCGCAGAGCAGACGTGTAAAGGCGGCGGAGATGTGGGATACCCGATTGGGAAGCGATCGATATAAGGAGCAGAGGGTGACGGACGGTTTGGGAGATTCCAGGGGAACAGGAGAAGACTGCTGTGAAGAAGCGGGGCGAGAGTTGGGGGCTTTGGTGGGGAGGCGTGCATGCGCTATGCGAGGGACAGAAATAGTAGATGGGCGGCACCTAGGACGAGAGAAGAAAGGTGCAGCCCATGCGGACTACGCTGTCGGTGAATCACAGAATAACAGTATAATGTCACAAACGGAGTTCGCTCTCGAGGGCGCCTTTGGTGTTGTTTGTAGGGCACATACGGCATTATCTTCGCATGACCCTTGTGCCGAGCCTCACTTTGTTCTTTGCCGCTTCAGGGCTCGATATACACAGGACGGAGTAGATCTATACGCCCTAACCAATACAACTCCGGGAATGCTTGTTCACGAGGGGCGCACTTGCATGAAGCGTCAATATTATCAGAGTCTATACAGAAAAGCAGAGTAGGCCTGCAGCTTCATGATACTTTCTACCAGTAGGTTGCTTCAAGGGTTGATATACGAAGTACTTGTGAGTAACTTGTCTTCGCAAGGGCGCTAGTCCTAATTCAAATCAACTCACTAGCCACACCTAGCCACGGTGACTAAGCCATCACTAGCTGCACCCCCGAGCTTTCAGTTTCGCCCAGAGACTGAAGTCCAAATACTCTCTCACTCGCCGCTCTCACCCAATCGCTTTTCCTCGCTGCTGCCTGTGCCGACCTTCCGAGAGGTATCGTCCTCTTCCCGAATACTTTTGCGTGAAGCCGACTATCGACGCCCGTATAGCAGCACTCGTCCTCCTTTGTCAAAGTTGCAATGGCGGAACAATTCATTGACACGACAGCCGAGCTCGCGAGCGAGGAAGAAGATGAGGATTTTGATGAGGAAACAGGAGAGGTTCGCCCACGGCCAAAGCCCGCTGCCAATTTTGAGGACTCCAGCGAAGAGGAGGAGGAAGACGACGAGGAACGTCTGCGGCAGGTAAGCGGGACGCTCTCCACTCAACCCCAACGCGTCACTAATGCCTTGTTAGGAAGGAGCCGGGTTCATCGCCGACGATTCCGACGAAGATGAAGTTGATGAAGACCGTGCCGCGCGGAAGAGGAGAAAGAAACGCAAGAAGCGCGAGGAGATCGAGGAGCTTGACGAAGAGGATTTGGACCTGATTGGGGCCGATTACGAACCTCGAGAGCAGACCCAGGTAGGCTTCCATCCCCGCCATATTAGACGCATGCTCACGCAGACATGAGAGCAAATTCAAGCGCCTGAAACGGGGCCACAAGGAGCGCGGCCCATCACGCGGCATCGACGATATCTTCGCTGATGACGAAGAATTGGAAGACGATGAATATGGCCGACGGCCTGGCGGTATCGAGAACGAGTTTGCCGATTTCATTGAGGAGGATCGGTTCGAGGATGAGATCGCAGACGATCGCGAAGTTGGACAGCCCGGCATAAACCTTATAACCAGCGGTCTTCAGGCTGCGGGTCTCGATGAAGGAGCTGAAGAAGACTACCGAGCGGCGTTCGGCGACGGCACTGAGTATGACTGGGCGATTGAGCTTCAAGAGCGCCAAGACTACGAGGAACAGGGCGAAGGTCGTGAGCTGCAGCTCAAGGACGTGTTCGAGCCTTCACAGCTCGCTGAGCGCATGCTTACGGACGAGGACATTGTCATCAGGGAAACAGATGTGCCCGAGCGTCTTCAGCTTGCGCGTAAACCTTTCAAGCCGCTGGAGATCACTGACGAGGCTATGGCGGCGCGGCTGACTGAGGAGGCAACGTGGATCGCCAAACTCCTCTGGCCCAAAAAGCCCCTTCCTGGTTATTATGAGAAACCGTTCCGGAAAGCAGTCCGCAAGGTACTCGAGTTCCTCAATCTGGAAGACTATGAAGTACCCTTCATATTCAATCATAGGAAGGATTATCTCATCCATGCACCCACCGATCAGCTTGATGATATGGATGGAGACGCTCCGCCGGATGCCAGACCTGAACGACTTCTCAATCAAAGCGAACTTTGGGAGGTATTTGAGCTGGATCTCAAGTTCAGGGCTTTCTCGGAGAAGCGGGATGCTTTGCAGATGACTTATGAGAATCTGAAGAGTCTCGGGGAACACATTCGCGATCCAGTTATTGAGGATCTCATTGGCAAAGCCGTCACCATCGAAGAAGTGCAGGAGCTCCAGGATTATCTTCACTTCCAGTGGTCGTCCGAAATGAGGGACCTGCGCCTCGCAGAATCGGAAAATTTCGGTACCCAAAAGCGAGCTAATAGTGCAAGGTCATTTTTCGACAGGATAAGGGGAACTGCCGCTTACAGCTTTGTCCACGCTATTGGCGTGAAACCAGACGACTTAGCGCGACGCGCCGAAGCTGGCACACGCGATTTCGAAATTGAGGATCCTTCGCAAAGTCCCGAGGACCTGGCTGAATCGCTGGTCCAAGAGCCGCATTATTCAAGTGGTGCTCAGGTACTCAGGGATGCGAAGGCCACCTACATACAAGAGCTTCTGACAAGTCCGAGGTTGCGTAGATATGTTAGAGCAAACTTTTACCAGTACGCCCTTATTGACTGCATCCGGACAGATAAGGGACTGCGGAAAATCACCGAGGATCACCCCTACTATGAGTTCAAATATCTTCGTCGTCAATCATTTCTGGATTTGCATGGACGACCGGATCTCTTTCTGAAGATGCTCAAAGCCGAGGAGGAAGGACTGATACACGTCAAAATTCGCATGGATGGCTACGACAGTTTCAAGCGGAAACTACAAACGTATATTGTGAATGACAGTGTCAGCGAAATTGCGGACGCTTGGAATTCACTCCGAAAAGAGATGCTTGACACCGCCTTAGACAAGATGCAGGCGGCAATTGCGACTGGAGTCAAAGAGACGCTGCGCGCACGATGTGAAGATGAGCTTGCCAGTCGTGCAAGGGAGAACTACGCGAACAAGTTGGACCAGGCTCCATTCAAGCCTCGAGGCGCCCTTCCCGGTTCAACACCCAACGTTATCGCCATCTCCAATGGAAAGGGCGCGCGGGGCGATGCTATCTGCTGGGCCTATGTCGAAAACGATGGTCGTGTGCTGGAAAACGATAAACTGACCGACTTTCGACTTGGTAACCCGGACCGCAATATCCCACCTGGCAAAGACGTCGAGAAGTTTGTTGAAGTCCTTCGCCGCCGCAAACCGGATGTGATAGGAATAAGTGGCTTCTCGGTCGAAACTCGGAAACTTTACAAAGACTTGCAGGAAGTCATCAAGGAATACGATATCCAGGGCAATACGTATGACGACGATGATGGCAACGAGAAAAGCGACCCGCTCGAGGTGGTGATGGTCAATGATGAAGTTGCGCGCCTGTACTACAATAACCCGCGTGCGGTCAAGGAGTTTCCCAAGCTGCCGCCACTTACCCGGTATTGTGTGGCGCTCGCCCGCTACCTCCAGAACCCTCTGGCCGAATACGCTTCGCTGGGCAAGGATATCATCTCCATTCCGTTCGTCGCTAACCAAACACTCATACCTCAAGAGAAACTTCTAGATAGGCTGGAGAACGCCATGGTGGACATGGTTAACCTTGTCGGCATAGACCTTAGGGAGGCTTATGACGATCCCTATCTTTCCAGGTTACTGCCGTACGTTTGTGGCTTGGGTCCACGAAAGGCTGACAAGCTAGTCAAGGCCATACAAGCAAACGGAGACGAGATCTTGTCTCGCTTCGATCTCGTCGGCCTTACGATCGCAGAAGGTGATCGCCGGGAACTCAAAGCGGCCATGGGTCCTAAGGTCTTTCAAAACGCGGCAAGCTTCCTCTATCTCGAGTTCAACTTGCACGAGGAGACGTCTGATTACCTGGACAACACCCGTGTTCACCCGGAAGACTATGATCTTGCACGCAAGATGGTTGCCGATGCGTTGAACTTGGACGAGGAAGATATCAAGGCAGAAGTTGACGATGGCGGTCCGAGCGCAGTTGTTCGACGAATGATCCGTGATGACCAGACGGACCAGATCAATGAGCTGATCCTCGAAGATTACGCTTCAGAGATCGAGAAGAAGCTGGGCAACCGCAAGCGTGCCACGTTGGAAACCATCCGTGCTGAACTTCTTGAGCCCTATGAAGAGATTCGCCAGTCATTTGCGAACCTCTCGGCGGACGAAATCTTCACGATGCTGACTGGTGAAACCAAGGACTCGTTATATGAGGGCATGGTCGTTCCGGTGCAGATCAAACGGACCTTTTCGGACCATATCGAATGCAAGCTTGAGTGTGGCATCGAAGGAGTGGTGGATGATACACAGTTCCCAGCAGGTGTAGGCCTCAATGGACAGGAGCCACGCCATGTGTTCCACCTCCATCAGACCGTACGAGCTCGGATTGTATATCTCAACCGCAAAGCACTCACGGCCCAATTGTCTTTGAACGAGGAAATCATCCGGAAACCTCCTCCGCGAGCTTTTGAGAGGATACCTGGCGAATGGGATGAGCAACAGGAAGCCGAAGACAAGAAAAGCGCGGAGCGTGAGAAGGAAGTTGCTGCAGGTCGTCCGATGCGTGTCGTTAGCCATCCTCTCTTCTATCAGTTCAGCGCTCAACAAGCCGAGGAGTTTCTCGGCAGCAAAGAGCCGGGCGACGTTGTTATCCGGCCTTCCTCCAAGGGTCTCGACCATCTTGCTGTCACCTGGAAGGTCGGAGACAACTCATATCAGCACATAGACGTGCTAGAGTTGGACAAGCCTAACCCATACTCTCTTGGCAAGCAACTTCGTGTCGGGAAGTACACATACTCCGATCTTGACGAGTTGATTGTCAGCCACGTGGAGGCCATGGCGAGGAAGGTCACTGAACTGACTAAAGACGAACGGTTTCTACATCAAGGCAAGGAGTACGCTGGTAAGTGATCTCTGCGACGGACCCACACAAAACGTGGTTCTAACAACGGCCTAGATAACTGGCTCAACCAATACTGTGCCGCCAACCCAGGTCGCTTCATGTACGCCTTCTGCGCCATGCCGAAATACCCTGGTTGGTTCTGGCTCTGCTACCAGGCAGGTGACAAGGGTCCTAAGGGTGCTTGGCCTATAAAGATCATCCCGAACGCGTTTGAGCTTGAGAAGAATCCTTACCCTGACATCACTTCTTTGAAGAACGGATTCAAGATGATGTTCGCTGCGAAGTTCCCCGCAGCCGGGGGCAGGCCGCCGTTCAGGCGTTGACTGGATATCCCACAGGACTCGGGATCGGAGAGAGGAGGAGTTTGGTGGTTGGGAATGGTTGGATTTGGCTTCGAAAGTGTATTGATATCTGTCGGTTCTTAGTGGCATTTGGATGATATTCATCCAAAAAGAGTTGGGGTCAGAATGGGTCTAGGGTTAGTGTCCCTTTGGGGCTTTTTCGCGATTGAGATTGAGCGGTGCAAACGAGGCTGGTATGGGTTGGAAGGTACCCGTAATGCCTACATATATAGATGTAATGCGTGCGGTTCAATCACCGAAACGGAATGAAAAGCTTACTGGCAGGTTTTCTGATCTGTGACAATGGATATTGATTATATTGCCTGTCTTTCAAGTGTGCAAAATGCTACAGATTACAGAGTCATATGTCTGCCATTAGTTATAACATATTTAGCTTTAGTTCATACAGCCGCCGCAGGGTCTCATTGTCAGTAGCGAATTCGCCCATGGCGCCAAAAAGCAGATTCATTGCCTTTCAGAAGGGGAGGTATCACAGATCCATTTTTCATGTCCTGATTGCTACCAAAGTTTCAATCTGGAACACCTGTATATGAAAGCTGGAATAAAGCTTGGCGAGGGGGAGCAAGAAAGCTGCGCATGGTAAGTTTGTCAATTTGATCTAGCAGATATCAGGCTGCATGTATGCTGGAGTTGGATGTGGCTTCGCGATAACTATTTGTGTTGGTCACTAATACTAGATTTACTACCAAGGTCGAACAATTCCCTTGGATCAGAAACCTTTTAGATATCGACAGGTCAGAAGCCGTTAGCTTGGCCCCTAGTAATTCTAGCTCCCAGACAGCAGGGAATTTACACAAGCTTGAATGAATGATGTGAATCGTTACCTATCAGTAGTAAGGTACTCTTAAATAAACGATTAATTTAATAAGCTATTCGCAGTTTCACGGTATAATTGCTTATACTTAGACATGCATGGCTTAATCTTTGAGACAAGCATATGACTACTAGCAGAATTAACTAGGTATCTTGAATTGTTGTTTAGCACAACTTCGACCTCCTAGCTCAGGGGTCCTCTTCTTCCCTCTTCCCTCCGTCACTTCGAACAGTTCATAATGGCCTCAAACCTGAGGCCACGCACTCGTAGTCGGCGTCCTCCTACTGCATCATGTATATGTATGCAAGGGTGCCACGCGAGCACCCGCAGCACGGTTTAATACTCTTCATCGCTCCAATCGGAAATGCCGGCGCGAGCCTCGCCGCTTTGGGTCAATGGATGGTGATATGTGCATGGCGTCCGAGGGAGTGGGCGAATGTATGCGGGGTTTCGGGATTCGGGAAGTAAGTATCTGGAAAATTGGAGCATCGAACTGGAACAAAGTGGAAATGGGTGCGCTGGCGGAAAGGGATGGAGAAAGAGGTAAATATAAGTGTTGGAGCTCCATTCAGGTGAGCAGAAGATTGTTAAAGGATACTGCTGGGAAGAACTGTGCTCGCACATGCTGAAATGAGTTCGTGAAAAACAAATCCACCACGGGGCAGATTTGGGAAGTTAGTCCCAGACCCTCTATAGCCTACATGCACGAGGGCGGCATTTCGAAAGATTGGCTAATAGATCAAATGTTTAAGAAATACGATGCTGTCGTGCAACGTTGCACACAACGGCGTTCCGGCATCCGCCGCTATGTTCCCCGGTGAGCGTTCCACAGATGGATAGATACATATTGCCTTGCTGCGTGATGCCCTATTCTGTCAAGAGGGAACTTTCGAAATTACCCACGGACAACCCACGACGTGCATTTCATGCAGTACCTGCGCCGATGCGCTCGCAGCAGAGGCTCCTCTCATAAGCATGACGTCCGTTGCATCTGCCCTCCATTTATGATGTATGCTGTGAGACTCAAAACGGCGTACAAAGAAAGCCTTTAGCAGCTCATACAGTCCTGAGGTTCATCAACCACATCGCCATGCTCACCGTTCAAGACGTCGTCACTTCCCACGCGAAAAACCAGGATGCGAGCGGGAGATACGTGCAGTATGTGCAGGTCTGCTTACCTGCATGGCTGGGCCCGGACGTGAGTGAATTGGAGGCATTTATTGGTTGAGTGATGGGGATATCCTGGTCTTCTGCGATGAAGGCAGCGTGTCTTTTGGGAGCGGAGATGGTGGTGGATGTTGTTACACTGAGGCGGGTTGACTGAGGGAATGTAAGAACTTTACTATTCAGAAAAGGAGATATGAGGCTGGGAATGAACAATTGGGGTTGGTATCAGAGGAGGTGGGAAAGAGAGACGCACAGTGGAGATGGGCCATATAGGTCCCAGTGTTTGTGAATGGGGTTGTCAAGATAAACATCGAGGGGGATTCAAAACAGTAAGAAGAAGAATCAAACTTGAGCGATAAAGAGATGAAAATAACGGGAATGCAAATCAATGACCTTCTTTGAGGAACATTCGCGGGACGGGCTGTCCCTCCTACATGTGCACTCACCCTAGGGTAGCAACCTTTCCAGTGAACGCCCAGCCTGTGTCACCTCACGACCAAATCCGAGTCTGAAAAACGTACCGTGCACCTCGCACAACCGAAGTCCGCTGCCCACCGACCATCCTTCTATCACACTTGCCCAACACCCATCGCGGAAACCCACCTCACACCTCTCATCATCTCCCACTTCCCACCGCCACCCCCATCACCACGGCTTATCTCATATCGTCCCCACCGCTCGTATCGCCTGGCCTTCCATGCACCTTCTAGAAGCACGCTAAACACAGCTGACGTTACACGACAGCCCTGCACGTGGCTCTTGCGCGCGAGGTTGGGGGTACCCACATTCACTCCCTGGCTGCGGACTGTGGGACCGCTGCATGCTCTCTCCCGGGGCCCTCACATCGACAAAATTCCCAAAAGGGAAAAAGCGAGCAAAAACAACGAAACGTCCCCAAATTATCTCTCTTTTGCTACATGCAGCAGAAGACCGCTAACGCCCTGTCTCACTCCCCCTAAACGGAATCGGGAATTGTGTACATGATAACTTGGGGGCCGAAAAGGATGGAAAGGCTTGGAAAACGGGCCGCATGGATGCGCTGGTTGCGGGTTCTTGGACCCGCAAAAAGCACTGATGCCCCTCTGGATTCCGACTGAGGGAACCGTCTCAGACCGTTGCAGTGTCCCAGCGCGAGGCTGATGGGACAAAAAACGATGATCGGAACGTCGTAGGGTCAGAGCATGGCTAGGCGGAATTCCCCTCCGCGTTTCTCGCGAGGTGGAGAGGCCAGAGCGCGAGGGGAGAACTCAGGCTTAGAAGGTTTTGGGAGAGAGGGAGCGTCATGTGTATACTAAGCTGGGTGTTTGCGCTGTGGATTAGGGGCGTATTGACCGTGTAGGTGGGCAGAGTGTCAGTGTGGCCGCATCAGATGGTGTGAAGGAAAGGAAAATTCGATGCTCTTGCTACTTATTCCTACCTGGAGAAAACAACTTCCACTTCTCTTAACCAGGTGCCTGCAAGCCATCAATTCATACATTGTCACTTTTCACAATGGCACAAACGCGCCATTAAGCCCTTTTCGGAACCCTTCTCAATAATCTCACGCTAGATTCCGTCATTAGCGTGACGTCTCCCGTCCTTTTGAATTTAGGGAGCGCTTTGGCGAGACGGAATTAGCTTCCGCCGTCGACCGAGGCGTCGAGGCAAGTTTGATAAGTTTAGCACAAAGCTGAGCGAACGCTGAAGGAACTTGAACTTGAAGGCTAGTGGTAAATTCGCGGAATGGATGAAGTCGAAAGCGAGCAGACTTGAGCAGTGACATGGACGCAATGGCGTCGATGACGGAAGGGGCCACATAGCGAGCGCAGAAGAAGACCGCTTCTGCTAAGATAGAGGCATGGCCTGAGGTAAATATCTCCAACAATTTGACGGGTTCCATACGTGGTCGTGTACTGTGGTTGGAGGCATATATTTTGTAAATGCCAGGGGGTAAGGTTCCATGTAGTTCCACGGTGCACTGACGTCCTTGGCTAGTAGTTTTGTAAGCTGAAATGTATAGAAATAAAACTAGAGTCTAACAGGAGGCATTTCTTAGCATCTAGGCTATTTCTAATAGTTTCTAAGGTTTCTAAGGCTTCTAAAGCTAATAGCGTAGATAGAGGATTGCCTAAATAGGAAATTAGTAATAGATTGCTTAGAGTAGTATTTTAGAATGTTGTATAACTACTATTAGCCACAATAACTGCCTCTATCTGTAGAGGCATACTGTTAATTAGCTTATCTAGTAGGCTCTCTAGAACAGTCTCCTAAGCCTGCTGTACAAGTGCACGCAGCTAAGGGTAACTAAGGTTAGTGTTTAGGCCTGTACAGGCCTTAATCTAGTCTTTTATCTAGCAGTAAACAGTCTTAATTAGGTTTAGATTAGGTAAAAAAGGAGGCTAAATTACTATGTGTATGCTAAAGTTCTAGGATTTAAATTATATACAGTAATCTTTATAGGCAGATGTATTATCTTATATAAAATATAGCTCTAGGTAATTAAAAATAAGGTACTACTTAACATTGTCTAGAATATACTAACCTAGTAATTTGTTAGGAGAAACTGTGCCTTAATTATTAGGAGTAATAACTTACAGTAGCTTTTCCTAGTTATAGTACTCTAGTCCTTCTCCTAGAATTTTGCTAGCCCTTTCTTAGTATAGAAGCTGCCCTAGAACATCTAGCTGCGCTTTCTATAGTATTTTATAATGATGCAGGTAGGATCTAGCTCCTCTCCTATCTTCCTAGTAACCTATTGTTTCTAATAGCAGCCTAATTAAATCTAGCTTTTGTTACTCTATAGTATCTTCTCCTACTGCTGCTAAGTCTAGTAACAGTACTTAAGGGCAAATTAGAGTTATTTGTACCTGTTAGTCTCTAAGATAAGAGGTTTCTATCGTGTAATCTAGCAGCTGTAACCTCTATATTTTATAGTATATTTTTATCAGATAGTAAGCCAGTTTATAGATATCCCATCTGGGACTGGAGAGGAGGACTGGGAGAAACTGTCTGTACCGGTACTGTCTGAGGATATGTGGCTAGTGATTCTGCAGTGGCTAGTGCCCTGCACAGCCTTGGTGCCCAGAGAAGGAACATCAAAACCGGTGTCAGGCCCCAGCCTCACCCATACAAGCACATACCTGAATACAATCAGTCAACCCATCTTCATTCAATCTTTCTGTCACCATGACATCTTCAGATACTATCAAATCTAACAGTTTTATAGTGCTTGCAGAGATGTTTAAATAGCTAAAAATTATAGAGAGTTTAAGCTAGGAAGCTAGTCTGCTCTCCTATAAGCTAGTAACATACTTTTTAATTTTATTAAGCTATGCTTTAGTAAGCATATAAGGTTAGCTCTTGCGCTTTTTTAGAGTAACTCTAGCAGCATTTACAGTATAGTAAACTTGTTAGTATATTGTTTTAAGTTTACTAGCAATCTTATCTAAGGGTATACTATAGGCAGCGAGAGTACAGGTTTGTAGGTGCTTGTTGCAAGTAAGATAGGAGCTGGAAGTCTTCTGCTAAGGTTGTAGAGTTAATAGAACCTCTGTAGGCGGCACTGCGCTAGAGATAGGAGAATATAATTCTAATATTATATAAGCAGAATTTTAGGCACAGGCTAGAAGTACTAAATTCTTAGTTTACTAGGGAGTCCCTTATAAATCTGTATAGGAGCCTAAATAGAGTTACTTCGAGGTTGTGCGCGCAGTTTCTATGGCCCGTGCCCAGCCTGTCTCTCCCCCTTGCTCCACACCCTGGCATTTACAAAATATATGCCTCCGACCACAGTATAACTATGACGAGCGCAAATCCCGATATGTTCGAGGACACCTTCATGGTCGTACTCAAGTTATATAGGTTGACGTCAGTCATCAGAACCAACCGCATAAATCCATGACCCAAACTCATCATTTCGACACTCCAGGGTGCTCTTGCGCATCATCATCGACGTCATCATTCCATTCGTCGCCACATGTTACTCCTGAGCTCTGAGCTGTGTGCGGAGGCGCACCCTCGTCGTCGCTCTCGTTCTCAAATGCGGCAGGGTCCGTCAAGGGCTGCGTTTCCGGATTGGAGCCCGCGTTATCGGCACGTTTCGGATGTGGTGAGCCCTCTCGGTCGAGGACTCCTTCATCGGCAGAGACGGAAATTCCGCGTCGGCCCCACCGGTTTTTCGGTTGCCCTTCCTGGTCTCTTGCCGTCTCTTCGTCGTAATCAAAATCTAAGCTCTTTCTTCCGACAAAACGTCCAACGAGCCACCCTTGCCTTAGGTCCTCAGAATCTACAACCCCACCTTTTCTTAGCTTCACCCTCTGCCGCGTCCAGTATACCCAGGCGAAGTCGATGATAAATGCCGTTTGTATAGTCCCCCACACCCATGAGGTGGGATCCACATAGCCGGTTTCCACTACCCCGCGAACTATCCAATTCAATATGTAGAGAAAACGGTACGTGCCGAGAGCGACGAGGTAGAAAGAGTCGAGTACAGTAGGGACTGTGGTTTGGCGGAGGAGGAGCAGCTGCGGAATGACGCAAACAGATTCGAGGATCTCAGAAAACACCCAAGACACCTAATTAGAGCACAAATTAGGACTGGACGTTCTGGTACTAGTAGGAAAGGAGGGCTGTTACCCCTATGAACGCATTCCGCCCGATGACCCATTTGCGGAAGATGAGATACCAGAACGGGGTGACTATCAGACTGCCCAACAAGCAGTATAAGCCAAACTTCCAAGCCTTTTCCCGCTCGCGCGTCCGAGCGTAGACACTAGTCATGAGGAAGATGATATAGAACGAGGAACCGATGTAGAAGATCTGATATGGGTCAGGCCAGGCCAATGCACTCCCAAAGGAAGCATACCTTCAAAGTGAAGTTCCATGTGTGCATCCAATCTGCTGTCGCGGATGAGGTGAAGATATCCAAGTACCGTGCACAGAACACTGCGGCGTAAAGAACTTGAGTGATGAGCGAAACTCCTGCGAAAGGCAGTATTGTCAGCCGCATCCTACAGTAGGCCAGGACTTTGTCGACCGTACCTTCAGCGCTGCTGTTGGAATGAATTGCCCATATCAAAATCAACTTTGATAATGTGTGCGACACATCGCCGAGGATATGGAAGATGTTCCACTTCAACTTCATCTTGGACTCCAGGAGCTACATATAGCTCTACCAGTAAGGCGCCTGCTAGACTCCGAGTCCCGTAACTGCAGACGGTAGGTTTGAACCAAGGCAATCCTACGGACACACCATCGAGAAGATCGCAAGCAGCTGTGGTAGTCGAGTCGCCGAGTTGCTGTCAATAATGAAGAGGTGGTGTTGATGTTACACGTTACACGTTCACGTCAGACCCCCATGCCATGCTTGGCACCCTAGTTCCAAAAGGGGCAAGTATTTGAGTTAACTCCACGTGTGTCAGTCAGTTCACTGTGTTAACTCATCAATCACAAGTATGTCTCGGACCAAAAGATCCAAAAGATTGTTCAACTCCTCCTCTCTTCCACCCCCCATTATCATTATTCACTGGACACGGAACAACGTTATATACCCGGTAACTCGTGGGCTTTGGCATTTACAAGCATCAGAGATGCCCACGAGGTAGCAGCGAGTGCTCTTTAAGTTATTGCGGCCTTGAGAGACTACGAGGGCTGTGCTCAAGAAGAACCCTAGCTATCGGTCGGGGCCGGTGTTACATCGCACACCTTACTGAAGTGCCTTCCCCCACCTTGCAACGGCGAAGGGTACACGTACGGTCTCTTCTTACATATGATAGTCCTTCAAAGACGAAGTAATCCCTCTGGTTGTATGCCGCCGGGTAACACCCTTGCAGAAATCTAGCGGACTGCGATATATGAGGATCGGGCTCGATGGGTCCACTTTTGGTGGGCCTCTCTCTAAGAGCCTCATAGACCTGGTTACTGCTGAGATCATCAGAGAGCGCTTATGCCGGACTATCTGTTACACCTCAGTGTCTAGCGGCAGCCGAATCGCGACCCGACTGCGAGTCTGACACGAGATCGATCCCAGCAGTTCGGTGCAGCGATGGCATCCGCTCACCAAAGTCACAACGATCGCACGATGACGAGACTTCTTGAGATGAATGATGTGTGAACCAAGCGCTACCGTAAGTGCACACGCGGTCGCAGTCGTTGCACTGCTTTTCTCTCTGAGACCGGTGCTCCATAGTCGAAGAAGTGAGTTTTAAGATACAGTGGACAGCAGGAGCCTTCAATAGATTGGGTTCTCGCAAGGATATCTCGGAAGTCTGTAGCTGTAGGGCGATGCCTAGAGATTCACAGTCTACAAGACTACAATGCGACGGCTCAAGGATTTCTTGGTCGTGCTATCTCGGATGATTACCGCAAGGCCGTCAAGACTCCAGTGTTGACCTTCTGGAAGCTGACATTTTCCCACATGGTGTGCTAGGACCAGGCTTATACCCATGCTGAAACCGCGATGTAAACGCATCGATCACAGGAATCTGGATATATTCGGGTGCATTGCAGCTCAATAGGTGACAGCCAGGAGGAAAACTGAAGAGGGCTTTCGATGAAGGAAGAGAAGATGCAGAACCTCAAGGAGGAGAGCCGCCATCACTTTCCTAGTCACTATGAGAAATCTCTCGCGTGCGATTCTGACCAGATATTGAGCAGAATGTTAATGGCCACTGAGTCGCTTGACGCAAGTATGCTTAGCGTCCAAGAACGACGATGTATCGTCGGAGTCCGGAAGTAATAACAGTGTAAGGGGTGAATAGATGCGCTCTCGTAGGATATGCTCTCCAATAATGCTGTGACGGGCGAGTGTGGGGAGGCGGTGCAGACGGGAAACAAGCAGCCGCATGAAAACGCCTTGCGCCAGTGAAGAATACCTGGTCACTGTTTCGAGCACGTCCGTTTATCGTCGGATCTCCCAGGGATCAGCAGTAGGACAGTGCTTGTCATCCTGGCAGATGTGCCTGGCCGAGCCATGAGAAATCGGGAGACCAGGACTGCATCTTAGCCGCCATTGCAGCAGCACAGTAGCATTCAGCGCAGCCCATCAGAGAAAAAGCTGTGACCGTCAGATGTCGTGGCTGCGATGATAGTCCAGTAGAACATCACCGGGACACTGGCTGTTTGGGGTGAAACACTGTACTCCATACTCCGTCGAGACGTCCGCGATAGAGACAGGGCAACACCGCGCCCCACCTCTGCTTCTACCATATCTTGAAAAAAGTTAACTGCCTTTCTGCTGGCGTCAATTGCTACATCTGGATGTTTTAGGCGCTTAGACTAACTGGATGTTTTACAACTGGTGCCAATTCGAGGCTATTTAGTGGCATTTAGGCGCCCGCCATCCCTTGGTGGCTGCTCCACGCCGTCCGCTCGGGACACTCTCATGCGAAATACCTGTGTCATAATGGGACCTGTGGCTGGAACTGTCGGCACGGCGTGTTTGTCATCGATGGTCGAGTAAGACAAGTGCAGAACCTGGCGTGTGCGTAGGAACGCCATCCCCGCCTGCTAAATCGCATCAGATCACCAGGTGGCCGTTTCGAGCCTTGAGCACCAGCACAGACAGCAAGCCCGTCACAGATCCACCGTGCTGTGAAAAGAGCGGTGCGGGCTCTCAGGCCGAGGGACTTCGCCTTGTTTGCGCGAGTGAGCGGCGGGGGCGGCCGGTGCTCTTCGCCCTGATGGCCGACGTGCCGCACCCGCGATCCACCGCGGCTCGAAGTCGTTGAGCCGTCCGGCTTGGAAAAGAAACCACCGCGAACATCCAGAGATGGCTCTCGGTGGTCGTTCTTCAAGTACGTAGAACAGGGCTGCTCATTCCCACGAGGTGAACTTCATTTCTGCAGTGTTGGGGCCGCGGGCCCAGCAGACGGTTCCTGGCTTGCCTGCAGCCTGCTGTTGGGCCAGCCAAAACGCGGCTCACCAAAGAGAGCTGCATTCCCAAGCCCCTGGAGGGACAGCAACGGTAGGTAAGCTTGGGCGGTACATCTGGGGAGCAGCACGGCTGCATCGTTGAGGCCCTTGGGCGCTAAGGTCCATGGCCCCAGCGCGCCAGCAATCCTTCCAAATCCACAAACCGGGGGCTACGATAGACGTCCCTGTCAGTCCATTGTCTGCACTGCTGTGTAGGTAGCGGGTTGCAGAATCGCCATATCCTATTAAATATTCCTGTGCCGCTCCCTCAGTGCGGCACTGCAGTCCTCTATTCGAACCTCTATAGAGCTGTGCTCCCTCTTAACCTGACCCGGCCCGACACTGCGTCCCCTCCAGCACTGCACATCTACCGCGCCTACCTTTGCCCTCATGCCTGCTGTGCTCGAGGGTGCTGTGCCCCCACCCCATCTTCACCACCTGACCACATTATCATCGTGGTCGCCCCAGGACTTCTCGTTCAATTTCCCTCATACTCCATCTCCAACAGTACCCTCGATGTCCCCGGCATCTCTCAATTCCTATCCATCACACCACGAAGACGAGACCGTCCCGGGCCATGAACTGACCTCCGTTTCAAACTCTCCGTTCGCAATGCAGAACAGTACCAGTGGACCTCCATCCTTCATTAATCAACCTCCGTCACCTCAAAGCACGCCAACCCACGGAATGGCCAATGGGCTGGCCATGGCCTCATCAAGTTGGTATACTCCCTCTATTCCCGCCCAGGACCATAGTCAGGTATGCCGACTGCCCTAGCCCATCTTGCAGTTTGCTGACGGAGCAATCCAGAACATGAACAACCTGCAACAGCCCAACTTCAACTATAACGCTCCCTATATGGCCCCTCACACAACGCCTCTGCCATATTCGTCACCTCACTTCCCGAAGACCTCGGAGGCCTCGGTACCATCGACGAGTGACCTTCCCCTAGCTGAAGCATTCTCGCCAACGCCTAGTCACTCCAAGCTTGCGAGGTCCGGAAACTCTCAGTGCGACCGTGCATCGGGAAGACTCTATCCCCTTCGTCTGAGGACGGTGGCGGAACATTCGCCGCACTTGCGCCTCGAAACCAATCCGCCAGCCCGACCCCGTAGCAGTCCCAGCTCATTCACTCCCATGCAAACAAGCAACGCTCCTCATTTGGACCTAACCTGGACATTGAACCCCGCCGATAACCCGCTCGGCATCTCCACAGCACCTATGCATGACGCTTACTACAACCCAAGCTACATGGGTTCGAGTGACATTGCCGCACCGCAGCCTCGTCTCAAGTATCCTCTGATAGCTCCACACCCGCACGGGCCGCAGAGGAGTGTGCCGCCAAAGCGACATCGAGATGACGACGAACTATCCGAGCAATCAAAGAGGCGGAAACGATCGGATTCTAATACGTCCATGGAACTTGGGGAAGAAGACCGCTTGTTGATTAAGCTGAAGGATGAAGAGAGTATGCCCTGGAAAGACATCGCCGCCCGCTTTCAATCGGACCTGGGAAAGACCTACCAGATTCCCGCACTGCAGATGAGGCTCAAGAGGCTAAGGGAGCGGATGCGAGTCTGGACAGAGACGGACATCAGAGCGCTTCGCATGGCACATGATTACTGGGTGCAGAATAAGTTCGAGATCATTAGCCAGAAGGTAATTGAATCGCTCGAAGTTGCCTGACTCGTGCTGACAATACCAGATGCTCGACTTCGGTTGTACAGAGAAGTGGACCACCAAGCAGTGCTCGCGCAAGTGGCAGGAAATCGACCCTGGACCAACGACATATGCTTCCTATGACGTTAACCCTCCAACTTCGTACGCTCCGTACACGATGAGCCCTGTGGAGGCGCCTGGTTATATCCCAGACCTCTCCCTCTACTGAGCTTCGGCTGATGACCGTCGCTCCACCACGTTTGGAAATCTGTGGTATACTTCATATTATACCCTTTACCGACCTTCTGTCTTGTTTTTACGATGCATTGTATATATTAAGCATAGTTCCGGCGCCAACATCATCATTCCTAGACCTTCCTGGGCGGTTGAAATCTTTGAAGCGCTTAGCATATGGCCATCCATCTCGGCCTACTCATTTTCAAGATAAAATCAAAAATTCCCATCAAAATTCCCATTTTCTCTTTGCTTCATCACAAGCGGAATTCCGCCCGCATCGCCTCGTCCAACGTTTTACCAGAGCAGTGCCCGCACACCCACAACCATGCACTTTGCCGCACTCCCATATAACTTTGGCACACGGCAGCCACACCGATAATTCTTCCGCCTGAATCCGCACCTCCTTTGGCCCGCCATATCCCTCCGCTCGAAACAAAGACGGCTCAGCGGAATAGCCGCGCGTGTGCAAACGGCGCAGCCCACGCCTGGCTTCCCCTCCGTCTCGCCTCGCATCTCCAGAGACAGCAACAGCGAACTTGCATTTGAACCGGAATTGCGGTTGACGACAGCGCCCTTCCCCGCCCCACGCGGCGCATCATTATAAAAAGCAAAAACTCATGGTGCCTCGCCAGCCAAAGAGCGGACAAAGAAAGAAAACCAAACAGAAGAAAGGACAAAGCCACGTACCCCACACAAAGCGGTGAGCTTTGGGTGCTTCAGGGTGCCCAGGAAGATCAGCAATGAGGCTGGTCACGCCCCTCAAATCTCATGCGGGCAGCCGCCTGAAGCACTGCCTTAGGCCTACATCGGAAAGTGGGAGCATCCGCAAGATCTCAACAGCTAGCATGTGCAGTTTTGGGCCTGCAATCACGCGGCGATGAACATGTATGCTGAAATGGTCTTAAAGATGCGGTGCGAAATGATAGCTGCCACGTTCTGAGACATGTCCCCTGGGGTCTATAAACTGGGCGGGGGCAGCGCTACCCGGAACAACGCAAATGAGCCAGTAATTTGAACGCCCAGAGAGGTCTGAGATAGTCTTTTGCACTTTTGCCTTGCTATCCATGTGGTCACGATGATGCTGGTTGACGGCAACTATCCCACCCGTGCGGTTATCACCGCCGGTGAGAGGTGACGGAGACGCAAATCACACTGAACATGCAAGTATTTCTTTGATGACTCGAAAGAAGTCTCAGAGAGAACGCTTTGTCTCTATGTGCCGTCTGATTGGAACTGGTGATACCAAAACCTGCTGATATCGCCTCCACCTCCTCCCAGTCTGACCTCTAGCACACCAAGACAAAGTATACCCCACCGCTCAACACCAGCAATTTGTGGGCCCCGCGGCTACAGACAGAAAGTCCTTCACACGCCGTCACACAGGTCTGCTATCCCAAGATCCTTGGAGCAATGCAGCACTTCTCTCTCGCAACTGGTCACGTTCCACACTAATTCCAGCATCACTAATAACGGAGCCTTCCTGGAAAGCTTCCGGTCTGTGGAAAAAGCGGCCCATGGCCAAGCCTAAGCTGGTTTTGCAGAATTCCAGATGGTGAGTGGTCGTTGCGGCACAGCACGTTGCGTGTGCCCCATCAGTGACGCGTCTCATTCGCCCGCGAACCGATGAAGTGATGAGGCACAAGACTGACGTGCAGATTGCTATTACGCTTCATTGTCTGTGCCGCGATGCTGCGTGAGGAGGAAAGATGATGTGTTTGGGCGTTGGCGCCGTTGAAGCCTGCGGCGAGGCAATCCTTTGATCGGAATACGAGGGTTGAATCTGTGCAGATGAGATGGGGCGAAGCTGTGCCTCTTTGATCGCGCGAGGAAAGACTTTATTCGTGCGCAGGAGGACCGATGGATTGGAGAACATTAACTGCTTTTCAACAGATGGACAGATTGGATTTATGGTAGTTCCGGTTCGTACCGGGGGTTGAATGCTTCGCTGCTCCACTCGATCTCCAGGTAATGAGCGCTGTAGCTCGATAGTCCAAAAAGGCTGTACTCCCAATTGCAGATTGTTAATTTCGGGACTGTGAAATTGCCAATAGTCAATGATCCGTGATGAGGTCCCGCGAAGGGCAGCGTCTCTTCCGACCGCCCTCTCCTTCCTGTTTCCTTGTACTCCCTAGACGGCATGATTATACTTTTACCCGGTGAACAGTGCGGTAGAAGTCACTAGAGGCACGCGTTCAGAAGGATTCAGTCTTGGAGAGAATGATGGTGGCGCTTTGACGGCGGCCTGAACTGGCTCACGGCAAGGTATCCGTACCGTCACTTTGGATATGGTTGATGCAGGAGATGACTCGACGTTCAGGCGGCATGCGGCCTCGGTCTCCGATCTGGAGCTTGCATATGGTTTGATCGAAGGGGCGAAAAGATGTTCTCTTACGGAGTACAATTATACTGATTTCTTGAATTTCGTTGCGCTTTCCGGTTTCTGCTGATGTACCAGAGTTCCTTAGTCGTGCGATCTTGACCGCTCACGTCCGATTTCTTTGAAGGATTCAGGATTTTATCCCTTATTCTCCGCATCTGCACACTCGCCCTACAGCGGGAGCCTGCAGATTACTGACCCGTCGAGCAAAACCAACTGGATGCAGTGTCACAAAATCGGAACGTGCTGAGGTAACATGAATTCGCCGCTTATGGTGTCGAGAAAGGGGCGTGAGGGGATCATGTCGTCGGAGTGCATAGGTATGGGTCTGAGACGGATCTTTACGCGTACGCGTACGACGCGTGGCGTTTTTGCTTAAAGCGACTTAGAAGACACAGTCCCAGTAAAAGGAGGTATCTCCTGGAACTCGTCGACGGTGGAGGTACTAGCATACTGCACAGCCATTGTTTTCTGCATGTGTACGCTCTGATGGCATTCCTAAGACTCTGAACTACATAATATATTGTCGAAGTTAGGCTCTTAGCGTATGGGGCGAAGAAGTCATTGTTACTCTAAGAGTGTCAAGCTCACGCGTAGTTGATCACCAAGCCTGGGAATTGGCACCGCTGAGAACGACTGTGTAAAGACTAATGATAAAGCAAAGGCCGCCTCACGGATACCGGTATCCAGAGTGTAAAGTCTATGCACACCTTGCTCATGGTACGTGCGCGGGTTCATTCGCGGCCGATACTTCCCAGTGTATACACACTCCCATGTCATGTGCATTCGAGACGTTTCAAACGTTTGCAGTGCATGAGGATGCATCGCACCATATTCGTGCCTCGGTCTTATTACCCATCAGTCCTCAGCCTCCTGGACCAAGTGTCGCATGGGCCAGGACATCCCACGTGCGCGTAGGATTCACTCCCTTGCGGCCTGGAAGAATGGCACTACGGACAAGGGTGGATCCTCGAAGCTGTCAACCTGGCACGTCTGCGCTACATCTGCAGAGCGCTTTTATGTTAGAAGCAAAATGAACTCTGAGTAGCAGGATAGCAGACGGTGATATAGGGGCGTGTTGCACTCGTCCCGCACGATTCTCCCTAGGGGAAAATAGATCAAAGGACTTATGACCCTACTTCAAAAATCAGAGGGTTGCTGTACTGTATGGAAATACCAAAACGCGGAAAGTGCCGCGAAGGATTGTCGTGCAGCAAGCGTACAGATACCCCTGAGCGTCTGAGGATGTGAGGCGGAATAGTGTATTCCACTCCGTCTACTTTCCTACTTGAGTAAACATAGTCAGGCCATCTACCTGCCAAATAGGTTGTAGTATCTATCTCCTCAAAACAATTCCCCGAATCCCCGTCGGCAATCCAGAGCCGCTTGAAGGAAACGGCGAAGTATCTGCGAGCTCGGCGACTCCCGAGGACTTCAGGGGCCTACATCGCCGACTGAGGGTTTTCCACAGCAAATACATGCGCGTTTGGCTGGATTTGGTGGTATTGACGTCCAACCTGTCCGTTTCGAGGAGGAAACATGTTCGTTCAAAGGTGGGGCCGATCCGAAATATTGGGAGTCAATTTTGTGGCAATTCTGTGGGTATTCCCCTCTGGGGTACGCATAATCCGTTATTGCTTCAGAAAATTAGACATTGCGAGTGAGTGTCCAGCTGTTCATGAGTACTCCGTACAGGATAGAGGTGAACCATTCCTAAGTTTAGGCTAGATGATAAGAGGAATTGCTAGTCTCTATCAGGCTAATCAATCACGTGTGCTACCACGGATTTAACGGGGATAATACTCTGTGCTCCATGACCAACCCTTTCGTCATCAGTGGATAGTAAACAACCCACCCAATTCGCAATACCTCCATCGTCTTCCTTGAATAATATGATCACAACTCCATCTCATCTTCTACGGTTGCAAACTCCAATTTTCCAATCAACGATACAGCACCTGAAGACTCCAAAAAGATCCATTTTCACCACCTCAACCATGTCAAAGCTTACCATCAACTCTACGTACCGCCTACCATCAGGGTACGACATCCCCATCCTAGGCTATGGCGTCTACCAAACCCCTGCAGACATTGCCTCAGAAATCGTCCAGCACGCTCTCAAAGTCGGATACCGCCACGTGGATTCCGCAGTGGCATACCGGAATGAAGCCGCATCCGCCGAAGGAATGAAGAAATCCGGGATCCCGCGGGAGCAGCTCTTCTTCACCACGAAGATCCCGCCCAAGGATATGACTTACGAGAACTCGAAGAGGCATATTGAGAATACGCTAAAGGTTACTGGGTTCGATTACGTGGATTTGTATCTGTTGCACTCGCCGTATGGGGGCAAGGAGAATCGGATTGGTGCGTGGAAGGCACTAGTGGAGGGTGTAGAGGCTGGGAAGATTAGATCGATAGGGGTCAGTAATTATGGCGTTCATCATCTGGACGAGCTTGAGGAGTATATCAAGAGCACGGATGCGAAAGAAGGAAAGGGTAAAGGGGGCGTCCTCAGCGTGAACCAAGTTGAACTGCATCCGTGGCTTGCGAGGAAAGATATCGTTGAGTGGTGCGAGAAGAGAGGAGTGATTCTTGAGGCGTACTGCCCAATTGTGCGGGCCACAAAAACGGACGACCCGCTGCTCGTACCTCTTGCGAAAAAGTACGGGAAGACGACGGCGCAAATCCTGCTGAGATGGAGTTTGCAAAAGGTGTGTAACTGCATAATCATCCTTGTGTTTTCCTTAAGTTCCCTGCTAACGCATTGAAGGGTTTCGTCCCGCTCCCCAAATCGGTAACCAAGTCTCGCATTGAGGAGAATGCCCAGATCTACGACTTTGAGCTCACTGACGAGGAGATGAAGTCGCTTGATCTAGGAGTGTACGAGCCTTGTGCATGGGATCCTACTGTTAGCCGGGACTAGATTCCTTGGATTTGGAACAGTTTGAGAGGCAAATTTCCCAACAGCGATCCGTCGCTTGCATTATCACATCTACCGTACTACAAAGATTACAGGCCCTATCGTGAGCATTGACATGACCAGTGGCGTTCTTGTGGAATCACCATGGACCGCATTACCTATCAACAAAAGCTTACTTGGGACAAGCCGAATCCATCATTTCAACCATCCGTGAAGTCCAACGCCAATCTGCCGTCGCCAATGCAATTCTCAAGACGAAGAAGCGAATCCGAGGACGCCACCGTACCACGTATTACCGAACCCCAGCTCAAAATGAAACCAGCGAACACAACCATGCCCAAAACAAGCCGCCCGAGAAAATTAATCCAAAACCTCGTAGTCTCAACCTTCCATCTCCCCCTCCAAATTCACTCCAAGGGCCCACCTACAAGCCATCGCAATCGTATACTTCACCTCGCCCACATCCATCCCATTCGTCTTCTCCCCCGCATCCCACTTAATCCCAACAATCTTCCCGGCCCCTTCCCCCCTCAAATCAATCACAACGAACAACTCTGCAATTTTCATCCCCGTCCAACTCCGATGGAAATGCACTTTGAGCTTCCCGGAATGATCTGGCCCTTCGCTGTATACGAACCATTTATCCTCCATAGTTTCCGGTCGGAAGCCTTGGACGAGGGCGTAAACTTGGGCGGGAGTGAGGAAGACGTTCCAGGGTGTGGTCTGGACTCCGGGAGAGCGGGGAAACGGGGCTGTGGGGACGTCTGTGGCAAGGACACGGGTACTTGTCCTTGAAGGGGTAGAGATTGCCGAAGGGCGAGAGGCGGTCGATGGTGGGGAGGGCGTTGGAGGGGGAGTGAGTAGATGCGAGGTGGGTATCGGGACGTGGATGCGTTGCATGTGTCCCATCGTCATCGTTGACTTTATGTCTCCGTCACTCTGTCGATAGTCCTTGCGCGGTTCGCTTCCGTCGTTGTGATCCTGGGTTCCGTCGCCTGGCGCTCTTCTGGGCAGCTCAATAGTGCGTTTCTGAAGCCTGTTTCGACCCGGCGAGACGGTCGAGTGGTCCACTTTCTGCTGGTTTTCGGCTCTCTCTACTCTCTCCTTTGCTCTCCTCGTCGAGAAACGTCTCCATAGCGAAGTCGATCTCTTCAGTAGCGAATGCTGAGCTTCCTGATCCATAATCACTGCCCAATTCAATCTCTACAGCCTCCAACTCTTCAAACTCGTCAAGCCTTAACCTCAAAGAAAAATGACCTCGAAGAGAAAAGAAGTGAAAGCCAAAACCTCAACGCAAAACCTCAGCCTCCTGGGCAGCTATATCTAGTCAGCCGCCTTATTCGCAGCAGACGTACTCGTCATGGCTGTGTGCGAAGCCTCGACTCAGCCGCAGCGATTGTTCTTTTTTAGGACGAGGCTGATCGTGATTCGGGTGCCAAGAGGCACTGGCGAGAGACGGCGTGAGATGGAGAGATCCGATACGATGGTGCAAAAGGACCTGTCTTTGTTTGAGTGGTGGAGTTCCGCTGCGCTGAAAACGGAAACGTAGACAGGTCTGCTGCTCGCTATAAAGTCGTATGCATCATAATATAAGCACAATTAAACATTGAGCGCAGGATCGCATATCCAAGTCCTATTTGCCAGTGCTAGGCGGATCACTCGCCTTGAGTTAAGGTAGGTCAGGATGTTTGATAGGGAGTGGTTTTGATCAATGTCGTGAATGGTGGTTGCCTTTGAGCGTGCACGGACGGCGGGGATAGATGTGATTAGGTGGTGTTACTGAGTGCATGTGAAATGCTCACACAGTTCGAATAATATTCGCCAGAGGCTGAGGGATCCGCTATCGTCTCCTCTGATTTCTAGGTTGTACAATCCAATTCGCAACTGTTGTTTTTCTCTTTCTATAACTGAGCCCATCAAGTGCGGAGCTTAGGTGGTGATACGCTTTGATTGCATTTCCAGTTCACTTGATATAGTTCTCCCATCAAGATTGTCTGTGAGTACATTACCTTTTACTTGCTCATGCTATGCAAAGAGCGCTGGTATCTGCTACCTGCTTAAGGTCCTCTCCCAGTATACCTGTTCATTCGAAATAGGCGAAGCTGCCCACGGCAACTGCAGAGGTTTCTCAAATGCATCGACATGGACCCGAGATCACCACCACCATGACATGTACCAGCTTAAGGCCGGCGCATCACGATTTCTACCCATCAGTTTTTCAGTCATGTGGATGCGATTTCTCGTCGACCCCCACGGTGGGGTGTATGGAGGAGAGATCCGCTGCATCTTGATTGGTTATACTCTGTTATAGTGAGTGGGGAATTGAAGCCAGGCTCAGCCGCACTGCGCCACAGTCTTTCTCCACACCTGGCAGCCGTCATATGGCAGAGGTGATGGGTGCGGGCAAACTGCGGTGCAACATTGACATCCCAATATCTTACTACTGTAAATGTCGGCCAGAGAAGCCGCGAGAAGCAGCGAGGCGAGCAATCATGGAGAGAATGGAATTCGCCGGAATCGAAGAAGCGTGGAGACGAGAAGAAATGATGCTGGATCGCGATCGCTTGTGCCTCTGAGATCTGTGGTCTTGCCGACCGGACGGAGCTTTCGAACTGGGCATCAACAAGATTCAATCCTGGCGACACATGGCATCATTGCCATGGCGGGCTTGATGGAGATGCAGGACTGGAACGTGGGATTGCGATATTTGACTGTTTGACAACACCAGAGATGCCGGGTCCTGGACGATCTGATGCCAGATGATCGAATATGGCCTGATGGCTCCCGGTCGTCCCGTCGTGACCTACTGTGACGCTAGGCAGTGGGTGAATGGTGGTTTCCGTATTTCCACACGAGAGCTAGCCGGTTAGTACTGTGTAGGCCTCTGAGGAAGGACAGTTCCCCAGGTCCAAGGTTGGCGATGTGTGACGATGATGGCAACAGTTTGAGCAGGGTCTCAACCAAGGCTCTAATGGTACTGTGTGTGCAGGAACAAAGAAGTCAACGTCCGACAACCCATGTTGCCAGCAAGGAAGAGCGTTCGAGGCTGTCCCATATGACAATAATGTGCTCTAGTTTCGGGTGGTTTATCAAGCGCCCTTGCCGGCGGTAGAAAACGGTGGAGTAGCTGGGTTGAGGTCTGATTTGCGCGCCGAAGTACATGGGAACCTTGTGAGCGACGGCCAGGATAAACTTAAGGCGGGAATGAAACAGCAATCATGTCGTCATACAGTAGTGGGCCATGGTCCTGCTTTTGATACCATCCCATTTCTCTGACGATGAGCGATAGTAATCGAGCCCAAAAAAATGCTTGTGGTGGTGAAGACGCTTGGAAAGCGCGCAAAAGGAAAAAAGAATGGTCGACTCACATCTCTTCTGTTTCACAGATTTAGAATGAGAAGCGTGGTGTAGCGCAGTTTGCCGTCTGTGTTGAGGTGTGAGGCGTCGCACCTTGTTTGCTGGTGGTCTTGGGGTTCTACTTTGTACCAACGATCATTCTGCCGTCCAACGTGCCTTAGTGAAGTTAGTGCATGAGCCGTCGCATCCAGCATCCGCGACTCACGGCGACAACGCCGCGGCGCCGACCACAGAGAAAGCATCAGCCCATCTCCTCTTCGCTTGCCAGAGCTGAAAAAAAGGCGTGCTGCCGCGGTCGGCCCGGATTGGCCACCCGTGAGACGGTGGGAGTGTGCCGCCGCCCGCGCTTGACTCGATGTAACAGTAGTCTCTCAGCTTGCCGCCATCCCTCATCACTAACCACTCGACTATTCCTCGTATTTCCACTATCTTGATCATAAACAGTCTCTGCCTGAACATCAATCACCGTCCCGCTCGAATTATTATTGCTCGACCGACCCAGGACCGCCCCGTTGCAGGTTTCGCCGCAAGCAGAGTGCCCCGTTCCCAGTTTGACGCAAGCGGTACCGCCGTCAGCCAAGCGCCCTACACATAGATACACTTCGCCGACACGTTGAACCCCCCTCAGCTCACTCACCTCCTCATTATTGCCGCCTCTCCACTCCTCTCCTTCCTTTCGCTCACGTCTTCTCTGGACCTGCTGCCCCTGCTGTTGGAGCGCAGTATCAAGACGAAGGCGCAACCCGCTGAACACAATGGCTCATGTCATACAGCCGTCACAGATGCCCTACGCCGGTACCCTTCACCGCAAGCCTATTCCTAAGCCTGGCATCTCCATGCGCCCTCCGCAGCCCTATTCACATCCGGGACCTACCGACCCTTACCAGCAGATGTCGAACCACTCGCGCACACGAACATCCTCCTCCGGCGTCTTCCCAATTCCCTCGGCTTCGCCTACCACCTACACGCCTCCAGGCACAATGCACTCGCAATACCCCTCGCAATACCCTCCACAGCAGCAGCAGCAGCAGCAGCAACAGCAGCAACTAGCCCAAGGCACACGCCGCACCCTGTCCAACGCCACCTCCTCCACCTCCTCCACCACCGGCACCCCCAACCGCTCCAACAGCGGCACCCTCCGCCGCTCCTCGTCCTCCCGCTCCGGCTCCTCGCCCACCTCGTACGTCGCCCTCATGCGCAAGCAAAAAGCCACCGTCTGGTGCGACCGCGCCCAGTACGAAGACCCCCGCATCCTCGCCGCCCAGCGCGCCGCCAAGATGCGAGCAAACATGGAGGTAGCAGGAGGCCCCCACCACGGCGCGCCCCGCGCCTCGTCGAGCAGCTCGGGCGTCGCCGCCGGCGTCAGGAGCAAGATCACGCACAGGGCGCCCAAGGCGTCGCTCTATGCGCCCGGAAATCTAGCAGGCACGGGCGTGCCCATGCGGCTCAGTGCGTCCGAGGTCGATGAGGGGGATAGTGAGGACGGTGCGTCGGTGGGCGGAACCAAATTCCATCAGCGCACGGGGTCCGGGCGTAGTTCGTTGGGGTCTGGGCGGAGGGTTGCGTATGCCGGCAGTGGAGCTGGAACTGGGGCCCGGATGAGTTCAAATTCGACGCCTCCCGAGGGTGTAGCGAATAATGAGGCCGGTATGGCGGATTTGGTCGAGGAGGAGACGCCTGCGACTGGTTATAATGCGGGGGATTATCTCGAGCATACAGGGACGGGCTTGTATGGGCGGAGTGGAAGTGCAAGTAGTGGGGAGAGGCAGTTTGGGGATGTGGGACAGATGCCGCGCGTGCAGGAGGGGAAGCAGAAGGAGAAGAAGGGGGCGGACGACCTGCATAGGAGGGGCAGCGTGATGAGTGTGGATGAGAGGACGATGACGATGAGTGGGACGCGGTTGTTCATTGCGAATCCGGATTTGAGCGATTAAGGGACAAAGGGGGAAGAGGAGTCGTTTCCATCACTTGCAGGATACCCTGAACTCGACCCTCTCTATCCGCAGTTACTCTCCCTCGGTGCGGCGTTTGGCATCGTTCGGTTTGGGATTGGTGGGCGAAGGGAGTGACTGTCGAGCATGCATCTGGGCGTTTCAGCGGCGTGTTAGTAGCTTCAGCCTCCTTATTGGAGTGGTTTTCTTTTGTATTGTTTGGCATAGAGAATTACTTTCTTTTCTTTTCCTTCCCTCGCTCCCTCCCTGTCTCACTCCCTCTCTCACTTTCGAACAAGTCCACGCACATTTAATGGTTATCGGGGATTCTGGTTGCAGTCTGCACATTCACTGTCTCTCACAGAAGTCTTCACGGGAAACTTGGAGATTTGCCCCGTTTGGTGGGACGGGGAGGAGAGCGGAGATTGGGCAATCGACATGGGGCGTTCGGCAGCGGTTGGTCTTTGTCATTCTGCTTTTTGAAAAACTGGGAGATGGGGGATGGATGGGAACTGAGCAATGGGTACTTGGCTTGGATGGTACTTGGGATTATCCGACTGCGCAGAGAGATATGTAAGGGTTGCCTTGGAGGGATAATGTAATCTGCCAGTGGGACATACTCAATGCTTTTACAACTATTTACTCGAGGACTGTAGCCTTGCCCGCATGCTTGCCTCTTGATATATCTGGACACCCGTCCAAATTTCCTGATATTTTGCCTCAGTGAACCCAAACTGTTAGCCCTCCAATTGGCAAAGGATGACAGGGACATGAATCCTACCAAAGTTTACCTGTATCTGAGCAAGAACACTTACCGAGTCTTGCACTTACACACTACATCTACTCACGTAACCCGTTTCCCTATCCGCATATGCATCTGGAGCTCTCTGCTCTTCGGCATCTCGGACCCTTCCTTTCCGGTCGCCCTCTCCACAATGCGCTTTCACATGCCAGCGCAGTGGGGTCCGGATGGAGGCGGGGCCCGGTTAGCGTTGGTCCCTGCCAAGCATTCAACCTGCAATAAATCCGAATACACCACCATGCGGTAATGAAGGCGCGCCTTTCGCACGGCCCTTCGACACGACTCTCTCTTACGATAGCGATTTCCCTAAAACGAGGAAATGGCGACCACGGTGACGGGGAGGGCCAATGGCACGAATGGCCGTCTGGAGAAGAGGGGGAACGATCGGAAAGGGGAAAGGAGTTGGAGAGATGCAGGGAGGCAGGACGAGAAGACGGATCGGACGAGATGGCGGATGAAGAACGACGGAGGGGTGCATACGTGGCACTATCTGAGTGAGGAGGAGGCGGCGAGGTGGCCGATGAGTAGGGCGGATAAGTGGTATTTGGGCATGGACACGGTGGGAACTCTTCTTATCCTGTTCTCCATCTCCAACTTCAGAATCTGTAGAGATATCAATTGAAGCTGACACTATATCAGGGCGCCCCGACTCTCCCACCCCCCAAAACCCCCCTCCAAGCCGCCACCAACGGCTTCAGCTTCTTCTCCGCCCTCCAACTGCCCCCTGGAAACTGGGGCTGCGAGTACGGCGGCCCCATGTTCCTCCTCCCCGGCCTCGTCATAACGTGGTACGTGACGGAAACCCCGATCCCGACCTCCCACGCCATCGAAATCAAAAACTACATCTTTGCCCGCCAGCATCCCGTCGACGGCGGCTGGGGCCTGCACATCGAGGGAGAGAGCTCCGTCTTTGGCACCGCGATGAATTACACCGTGCTCCGGCTGCTGGGCGTCGATGCCGAGGACCCGCGGCTCGTCAAGGCGCGCGAGACGCTGTGGAAACTGGGCGGTGCGCTAAATGGGCCGCACTGGGCGAAGTTCTGGCTGAGTGTGCTGGGCGTCTTGCACTGGGACGTGGTGAATCCATGTCCACCGGAGCTGTGGCTGTTGCCGGATTGGGTGCCCGTTGCGCCGTGGCGGTGGTGGATCCATATGCGCCAGGTATTTCAGCCCATGTCGTTCATCTACAGCCGGAGGTGGAGTTATCCGTTGAATGACCTGACGAGGGAGTTGAGGAAGGAGCTTGTGCCCGAGCCATTTGACAGCATCAACTTCGATGCAAGGAGGAATACGATTGCGCCGACGGATAATTATCACCCCAAGACGTGGATCCTGAGAGTCTTGTTTTGGTTCCTTGCGTGGATCTGGTTTCCCCTACTGCGGACCGAGGGGTTGAAGAGGAGAGCCGAGGAGCATGTGTGGTGGCTCATTGAGCGCGAGGATGAGAATACAGACTATGCGAATCTGGGGCCTGTGAACGGCCCTATGAATACGTTGGTGTCGTATATCAAGCTGGGCCCGGATTCTGTGCCGTTTAAGGAGCATCTCAAGACGTTACCGGAGTTTCTCTGGATGAACAAGGAGGGTATGCTGATGAATGGGACGAATGGCGTGCAGGTGTGGGACACGGCCTTCACGATTCAAGCGGCTAATGACTGCGGCTTCACGGCCGATCCTAAATGGCATAAGACGCTCACCAAGGCACTCGAGTTCCTCGAAGATCACCAAATCCGCGCAGAATGTCGCGAGCAGGCGAAATGCTACCGCCAGCAACGCAAGGGCGCATGGGGCTTCTCGAACCGCAAGCAAGGCTACACGGTCTCGGACTGCACCTCCGAGGGCCTCAAATCCGTGCTGATCCTGCAGAAACACCCCTCGGGCGCATACCCCCAGCTCGTCCCCGATGAGCGCCTCAAAGACGCCATCGACGTGCTCCTAACCATGCAGAACCCGTCCGGCGGCTGCGCCAGCTACGAACCTACACGGGGATCGGAGCTGCTCGAGTATCTGAATGCGGCCGAGGTGTTTGGCAAGATTATGGTCGAGTACGATTACCCAGAGTGCACGACGGCCGTCATCACGGGCTTGCACCTCTTCCAGAAGTACTACCCGGATTACCGGACAGAGGAGATTCGGAGATTCAAGGAGAGGGCGATCAACTACATTCGACGCGCCCAGCGCCCGGACGGGTCATGGTACGGCGCGTGGGGCATCTGCTTCACGTACGCTACCTGGTTCGCTCTCGAGAGTCTGGCGTGCGCGGGGGAGACTTATGCTAATAGCGAGAGGGTGCGGCGGGCATGCCTCTTCTTGCTGGGTCATCAGATGGAGGATGGAGGGTGGGGGGAGACGTATAGGAGCTGCGAGATTGGCGAGTGGTGCCAGCATGAGAAGAGTCAGGTTGTGCAGACTGCGTGGGCGTTGGTGGGGCTGTTGGAGGCGGAGTATCCGGAGAAGGAACCTATAAAGAAGGGGATTCGGCTTATTATGGAGAGACAGCAGGCTAATGGGGAGTGGTTGCAGGAAGCGATTGAGGGGGTCTTCAACAAGAGCTGGTAAGTACTTTTCCCCTTTCCCGCTTTGCAAAAGACGAGACGCCGACGCTAACGTTTGTTTGTGGCAGTATGATTTCCTACCCAAACTACAAATTTATTTTCACGATCAAGGCGCTTGGTATGTATGCGAAGAGGTTCGGGGATGAGGAGATATTGTAAGCTTAATAGCGGCTTGGGGTACGATATAATGAATCTAGAGCTGGAACCTCGTCTGGAAATGAGTAATGTAATGCGGGGAAGCTTGGAGGTCGGAGGAGGGAGGAGGATGTCATCGATTATGGATGGTAATCTAAATCACGGAGACCAACGAGCGGTATGCACGTCTACCCCGTACTTAATTCAGCTAAACCTAATCCAGAGAGAAACACAATCAATCTACGGGCTCGAAAAGAATAATCAACAGAAGTGTGCAGTTCGCATCCTGCTGTGAGAGAGGCATAGCGGGATTACGACCTGTGTCCTGACCCCAAGCGTCCAATATGCGTCCAATCTCAACAGGTCAGTAGTCACTGAGGACGCTCCAGATATCGTGCGAAAACTTCTTCATCAGATGGATAGGCGGGAAGTTGGTAGCCCCCACCGCGCAACAGTGCGGCACGCGGTACTGTAATAGCATGGGGCTACTTGTTTCATCTCATATCCCTGTAAATATAACCTTCGGTCATGGATGTTTTCCGGCTCGTTTGTCTCATGTGGAAATAATCAACGATGGCGTCTACTTAGGTGGCCCCCAAATGAGTAGTCCAGTCAAGATTGATTTCAATTTTAGATTCTGAGGCCCTGGTGCTCCCGTCCAAAGCGCTTCCCGATTTGTCTTGGCTGAGCTTCTTTTTCCTACCCTGGGCTACGCACACGCAGGAATCCGCCGCATTACCAGAACGCGCGCTACCAATGTAATACCTGAATTATGTGCAAGAGTGTTCACCATCATTAAAGCTCTCCATTGACCAATAAATCGCTCGCTATCGCTTAGAATTGTGTATTATAGGTAACAGAACTTGAGAGTGCGTTTTGACGCTAAACCACTGAACTTCGAAGGAGCTTCCAAGCTGGCCAATTGTAAATTCCTCTTCCGTCAAACCACAAAAACAAACGTAAATGCGAGCAACCCCAGATAACCCAAGAAAGGGGCATTGATTCCAGCGGATGACCCTTGGGCAACAAGTCCTGCCTTGGTTTCCACGAACCCAAGGCAGCTCAGCTCAGCGTTGGTGTCATCCGCTTCCCTAAAGACGGTCATCACAGGCGTGACGGCAGCCAGCTCTTTCAATTCGCGGCTGGAGGGGTGTTGCCGCTGGCTGTGAACGAGGAACAAATCGTAGTTGTCACCCGTGGTGGGCCGACATTGGCTTTGGTCCATCTTCTGCAAAGCCTGGTCGCCAGTTAGAGCTGTAAACGCTGTTAGTTTCTTGCACAAGACGGACGTGACCCGTGAATGCTTACGACGAGCGACCATCGTTTCCCACGACCCTTGGACCCCGTTACAGGTTGAAGGTCGCTTGTTACCTAGAGCTTCGCGCAGTTTATTGCAGAAGTCTGAGTCGTTGGCGGCCTCGCCTGGGTTAACAGCGGTCTGCGCCTGCGTAATCAAGTCCGAGATGCAATCTTTATTGAGAAGATCGGAACAACTGAAGTTGCCGAATCTGTCCGGCGGCGTAAGACTGGCAGCTATTCCTTCGAAGAAGAGGGCACAACCAGTCGTATTCTTCAGCTGAAGCGAGGGTGGGGTCCCCAGATAGAAATTGCGGTCATACGTTATCTGCGCGCCATTACGTCCACTTTCAGCCTCTTGTTGACCGACAGTCCAGGTGAGTGGCCGGGTGTCGACAGTGGTGGTGACATTCGCAATGCCGATGACTTGCAGAGTCGCGTTCCCCACTTTGCATTGGGCATCCTGGTACGGGGCCATTGGACATCCGACAGCATCACAGCCTAGCAGTTCGGCCGTCATGGCGTTGCTGAACAACAACTGCAACAGCACGATTGCTCCAGATGGACTTATGATTGGGAAGCGCATTGTCGCTGTCGTACACGCAGAAAATTGCGACTGGCACAAAGAGACTTATGAGAGCGAAATCTTTAACAAGTGAAAATAAGAGCGAATAAGGGGAGTAAACGAGGACGATGAATGAGCAGAGGAAGGGGTGGGAAAAAAAGGGCACGACGATAGCAACACTTATTACTTCAGAGATGTACGACGTTCTGTGGCATAGGTCCGCAATTCGCCCTGCGCTTATTTGATCAAGCGCCAGGTGCACATCACATCCAGTCGCGAACTACCCTAGGGTAGCCTGGTCTTGAGGTAGAGGAATGGAGCTGTAGGTAGGGCGCTTAGGCTTACCTAGGGGCTGGGTTAAGCGCTGAGTTGTATGTACCTAGGGTACATCCAATCTTGCTGCAGCTGAAACACGCAGGGATGGCTATCGATAGATATTTTATAGCCTTAAGTGCTCGGGCTCTGGCGCCTAAACGTCTCATTCTCGCATCCCTGAAACAAACATCTCCCCTTAAGCTTGCCTACACGTCACCATCAATAATACACCTCTTGAATTGCAGCCCCAGCGGTTTCGTTCCCAGACACAGTTTAACATAGCTAAACAGCAAAACCAACACGCACCCAGCCCCGCTAGCGCTCGATGAGGTGTCGCGGGTTCCTTCCTAGGGTACATAGGTAGTGGACCCGCCTGTGGTATTTCAGCTCATTCCCCACCCATTAGCATCCCTTCATCGCCATGCAGCTCTTGGAACTCCCTTCGGACGTCTTCAAGCTCGTCATAACCTTCATGGTGCGAGAGCTCGGGTTGACGCAATCGATGAAAGCCCGCCGAACATGCCGTCAGTGCCGCCTCCTGAATTTATCCCCTCTTAGCTGATTGTGTATAGGCACGTTTGCTGATGAAATCTTCGATGCTGTCATTACCACAAGAGTTATTGAGGAAGTTACGGAAGGGTACTTGATGCAATGGAGGCTCGCTCACCATCCGGAGGTGATTGCGCGATACCTCTATCACCGAGTTCGTACCGATGGATCTGCCACACATCCCTGGATTACCACTATCCGCGAGACCAGCCAGATGCTCGCCCAGCACACCGGCTCGGAGAACGACTTTGCGCGAGTCGAGCTACTGGAGCGCAACATGTGCTTATGCCTGGCAGTAAACGCAGGCCCGAGAATATTCAGCGTACTGAAGGGAGAGGACGAGGATGGGAAAACCCAGCTCGAGGGTGGCACCTGGGCCAACTGCCTCGCTATAGCCGCGTGGATTGGCGACAAGACTCTAGTAGAGTCACTGAACAGGGGATCAGATCCGCCATCGTTCTTCGGGAGTCCATCGTGGGCTGCGGCCGCGCAAGCGCATGTCGACATCCTGCAGTTGTTTCTGGATCAAGGCGCCCTGCCATACGATCCAACATCCTCTCCATTTAGCACTCCGTACTACGATCTCTCCAGGGGCCCTCTCCCTGTGGCAGCGTACATGGGTCGCGAAAATATCGTCCGACTCCTTCTCGAGCCCCCATACTATTGTTCCGAGATCCAGGATGACGAAAAAATGTCCATTTGCTATGCAGCGGAGGGCAACCATCCCACCCTTCTCAAGCTTTTACTGGAACACTACAAGAGAAACTCAACGCCACAGGAGTTCCTCGCAGTAATCAACCATGGTCTCGTCTGCAGTTGCAGGTGTGGGGTCCAAATCCCTGCCAAGATCTTCGTGGACTACGGTGCAGATGTAAATGCGTCAGACTCCTCTGCAAACTCGTGTCTACAGCTAGCTGCGCGGACTGGCAATGCGGCCGTCGTCAAGATGCTTCTCGACGCAGGTGCTTCCCTTAAGGCCGAGAGTATAGTTCACCGGCATATCTCTTCAAGAGTAACACATCGGCAGCGCCAAAAGGATCCGTTGTGGCAGGCTCGTCGCCTGGGGTATACGGAGGTTATAAGATTGTTGGAGAACAAGCAGCGAGAGCTATTGGAAAGGGGCTCCTAAGGCTGCCGTGTTCCTTCTCTTCCCGACTGGAAGTTAAGAGGTGCTGGAGTCGAGTTTTTCCATCTCTTAGATCAATGCAGAAAATCAGATAGGGCAGAGTGGCCGTCTACCTTGCCAACAACTGCATCTAGCTATCCATCTCCTCCTCTTCTCGGGCTGTACCTACCCGTCCTTCTCGCCTAGGAATACCTAGAACCAAGTTCCGGATCCAAGAGGATAAAATGTTGATGCATGTGCTTTCGTTTGAGTTAGCGTTGATGACTTTCACAATATGGGAGACGCCATCCTAGTCTCGCTAGGGCATGATGCATTCCCTTGCTTCTCATCGACTCCAATAGGCAGTGGTGGAAATCAACATCTGGGGATGATTGAATGAGCGCCATCCAATATGCCGCTTCTGAAGAGTGGGATCTGAGCGAGGTAATATACGCCTTTCGATCTTCCTGAAGAATGGGGCTCGGGGGAAGGACAAGCTCCGACAGCTGAAGGAGACGGGGTAAACGACCAGCCAATTGTGCGGGAACTTTTGAAGCAAAACCCCAATCAATGATGCTTCTATAGTCAGCAACACACTTGTGCCTGATTTGACAGCCTGCTTACCCGGTTATGTTATATTCCGAGTCCACTATTATGTTTTGGGCTGCTAGATCGCCATGATCGATGGCGAATGGCGCGTTCTCCAGTTCCGGGAGAATTACTTGACGGAGAAGATCTCTCTGGTCGAAACAATCTTGCTCAGTCAACTCGGGAAGTTGGCCGTTGCGTACTCGGCGTAACTTGTTATCCATCAATCTCGAGAAGTACTGTGTAGCGGTGCCCTCTACAATTGTTGGCATGGGTTCACACTTGAAGGAGGGTACTCAAACATACTGTTTTCCTTACTGCATTCAATGATAGCCATCTGAACCTCAGCGACTTGGCGAAGCACTTTATCCCGAACAGGCCTTGGTGGATCAGTGGTAGACCAGGTAAGGGGTGAGCCCTCGATCCAAGACAGTGCCAGGAACGGAAACCCAACCAAGTTATCGAACGTAAAGCTAGACCCGCGGTGTTTCGGAGCCCAGTGAAAGCCTCCCCTGTCAAGCTCTTCTAGCACGTCTCGCTCATGTCGCAGTAGGCTCGCAATTGTTTCTTGGGAATCGCTCTGCACGTGGATCGGAATCCGTATAGACCAGCTTTCTCCCTCTGAGAAGTCTACTTTGAAAATGCGACACTGGCCACCATCCCAATGCTTTTCATTGAGGACTGGGACTTCGCCGTCAGCTCGAAAAGTAGAGACGGCGAAGGTTAGATTTTGGGGATTGAGAGAGTGTATCAGGTTTTGTGGCATCGTGTGGGACGCGTTCTACCAGAGTGAGACTGTAAGAGTGAGAAACCAGCAGAAGTGAGGGGGTGATGTATGAATTATGCCCCAGCAGAACACAACATTGTTTTAACCTGTAGATCCCAACTCGGCCTAGTTCGAAGCCGAAAATTATTTGATGTGCGACTACTTATTGTACCTACACGAGTCCTCCCTTGATAATAAATAACTGCAGTTCAGTATGCAAGTCCTACTTGAAAGAAGGAAACAATGCCACTGGTTTAGAACAGACATCCAATTTTGGATTTGGGAAGAATTGTGCTATGAAATTCGAGATACAGCTCCTATGTTACAGGGAAATTGCAGACCTCGGCACTACTTATCCTCCGCTCGTAGACCATAGTAGACATTCTCTGTAGGTCTGTAGAAGTAGGCAATTTTACTTCATTAAAGTAACAGCCGGAAGTAGATGCTAGCAACATTCTATATTACCTTTTACATTTCCATTAGCTTGCTATTTTGATAAAGTTTTTAAATTAACTTCAAAACAAAAACAACATGGCATCGGTGGTTTAGTAGTAAAATTAGCCGTTGCCATCGGCTAGCCCCGGGTTCGATTGTGAGTTCCATTAACAAATATTCAAATATCAACTATACTAACAGTTCCTAGCCCGGCCGATGCAACTTGAACAATTTTTTTGGCCTATTTTTTGGTGTTCTGCCAAGAAGCGACGCACGGGGAAATTCACCACGCCAGACCGGAAAAGGAAGGTGTCTCGTTCTGCGTTCCGTGGTGACATCGAACATTGGTCCTATGGTAATTCAAGCGGTTCAACGACATAGAATCCATATCGACATGTGGTAGTTTACGGGCAGCTTTCTTCGCGATTCCGACGTCCGCCTGCCCATTCTGTAGACTTGGATGATGGCATGTGGTCGGACGTACTGAAACCTACGCGGCTGTTCTTGAAGATACGCATGTCCTCACTATAGCAATCTAGCCACCATACGTTCATCGGCGTAATTCTTCCATTCGGGTATCCATTTCCCCACGATTTTAGTAGTTCCTACGCGTTAGTCAAACGGGTTACTATGACTATCTCATGCTGCCTTCATTCGACCTACACTTATACTATATCCGGTACAGTGTTCGCTAACTGCCTAGACTTCTATCAACACAAAACCTCACTTTGATGCTTATTATCCTAAGACACGTGGGAGGATCTCGTCGCTTCTTTGCCGACTCTTTGACATTCTTAGATGGATATATACATTCACCCTTTTCAGACCTTCTTCAACACGAGTGAAGACATCCGTGTTTCGGCCGGCTTGTATTCTGCCCACGTTACCCGACACCTTCAAATATTTCCAAAGTTCGATAAGTCTTTACCCGCTATTGGAATGTCGCGACGTCGTCGACCACTCGGTGACCCGAAGTGAGCCCTTTCGTTATAACGGACGTTGGACAATCGAGTGTGACGACGACGGGGAGGGAGATGGGGAAACCTATTATTTAGAATTCTGTCTGTGTCAATAACTGATTCCAGCTAGGGTCGTCATGTTTCACTTCCCATCTCGAGTAACACCTCGCGCACCCTGCTCAGCGCCACTTATGAGACTCGTGAATGCGCGCCCTCATATCTTTTTGCCCAATGCGTCCCTAGGCCAGAATTCGGTATTTTAGAGCTCGAACATGGCCGGCAGCATTCAGAGCGCTGGCTTGCAAGAGGTCGCCGATGCTGAGGAGTGTGACGATGGGCAGTGAAGCAACCTGCACAAAGGGAATCTCAGGATTGAGCAGGCGGTGGGTGACGGGAACTTCTCTTTTGCAAGCGGATAAGAATTAGTTACGCTAACTGAACGGGGAGTCAATGGCCGCAGTGGCCGTTGAAGCCCTATGTGGGTGGTATCGATGAAGCTTATGTATCGACACTGGACGATCTGAATTTGTGCAGATGGTCACTCCAAGAAAGAAGGCGCATTTTCAAATTTCGCTCGGATCAATCCGATAGTGTGCTATTCATGCAACATTTCTTCGACTATAAGTATTGAAAATCAGGCTGCATCACTGTCAGTGCCGACGAGAAGTTCCGACTCTTTTATAGTATCTAAGAAAGACCGGTTCAGACCTGCCCTAAATCTCCTCTATACGTCATAGTGCTCATACTTCCCTAGCAGCGCCAGCATAGATTCTAGCCCCAGAGACCGCGCTCTCTCCTTTGCCTCTACCATAGCACAATTGACATCCGCACCATGCTCAAGTAACAATCGAAACATACCCTCATGTTCTGCTTCCACCGCACCGACAAGTGGCGAGATAGTTCCCGTATTAGGATCCACACCGGCTTCAAGTAGCAGTTTCATTGCGTCCATGACCCCTGTTCTTGCAACGGAATATAAGCCGTCTCTTACATGTCGGCTTCGAACGTTGCCGCCATGATCCAGACACATCTTGAGGATGGACGCGTTTCCAGAACGGACAGCTATACCAAACTCCTTGCCATACACTCGCCCTCCATTCTCCAAGAGCAACTCAAGAACCTCGCCATGTTGCTCCCTGCACGCTACAGCCACCAACTGGTCCGGAAGGGAGACCTTGGTATCTGCTGGATCTGGGATGATTGCCCCAAGTTCAAGGAGCCACTTCACCACAGAGGTTGCGTTATTTGTAACGGCTATTCTGAGAACATGTTGTATACCCAACTCACGGAGGAAGTTTGGGAATCTAGTCTCCAAGTCGGCGACAAGTAATTTCAAAACTCCAACGTTCGGGCTCCAGCTGTGGACATGATAGTCTGTGATCCTTGGATAAGGGAGCGTAGAAGGCTTGAAGGGGTAGCAGCCCGAGGGATGCTGGTAGTGAAGCATGAACTCGGCGATGGGTAGGCTTCCTGAACTGAATGCAACTTCCATCAGGTAGGTCCGTTTATCATCATCGAGGACGGCGTTTTCTGTTCGCTCGTCCACATCGAGAAGCATTCTCAAGGCAGCCGTGTTTGACGTTTGTATCGCTGCGAGAAACGGAGACCGCCAAACATAAAACGGCGGTGGAGGTCGATGGAGAGTGGAAGGTATGCGTGAAGCAAGCCTTGTTGCGACAGATAGATGATTGATATGCACAGCCGCGGTGGCGATATCCTGATCTTTGACGGTAGGGGAGAACTTTAGTGAATGGTCCATTATTGGGGCATCGGGTCGAGCCAAACTGCAAAGAAATGGTGCAGCATAGAATGGAAAGTACAAAGCCCGCCGGAGAAGTAATGAGGCGTATTCCTCGTATCTCGACTCTGATCGAGGTTGCTCCGTTCTGACTTCTATATCGAGGGCTTCCGCTATATCCCCAATCGCACGCAAGTAAGGCATATCAGCCATGCATCTCTCGCAGAGTTTTCGCTCCAGATATGGTATGATCCATGCGCAGTGCTCCAGTTGTACATCCCAGAATAGAACTACCAACGAGTTGGATGCCCGAATAGCGTCGATAAGCTCATCGGAAAACCTTTCTGGTACGGCGTTAACTACTGCCGCAGTCAATCCATTTGCTCAGAGTGTCTTACTACTAACCAAGCGAAGCCTCAAAGCCCGCTCGAGATTACGTCCACGGACGGCTTCGATCAGAATCTGTCTGAAAATTTCTAGGGGTAGACTGTCGAGACTGATCGAGTAACTGCGCATGGTGGCATAAAAGTCTGGGCGACCATTCAATATTGCTTGTAGTAGGAATGATGCTGCCGATGGGCCTTGCTTGGATTTCACTGCGTTAGGGGGGGGGACAGATAAGGGTTCGGCAGAAGCTTCCGTCCTTTTCAGGCAGCCATCTCATTCGAGCTTAGCGTATAATTTGTCGGGACGCGCAGCTAAACATTAATATTAGTGCAACTTGTCTTTTCGTAAACTGAACCGAATCTCGCCATGATAAATGCTTTTCAATGTCAACTTGTTCTTCAAACACCAACCCTACGCTGGATCACGGCTACATTCTCTTCTCCTCGGATCGTAGTCGTTGCGAAGCTGTTGTTAGCAAGGCCACAGTTCTATCTCGGATCTCAGAAAAATCCCTGTTCAAGCATATAATAGTTGCACCCCTTTCGACTCATTTCGAGATGTGTAATTGAGAAGTCAGGTCTATGAAGCTCAGAACCGGCGCAAAAATGTACTAAAGAAGGAGAAGAAAAGTTTCACGGTAAATACATCCATATCATTCTCCCACCTGCCAATACCTCACCCGCTATACTGCGTTTTTGAGGAAATGGAACCCTCTCTCAAACGCCAGAATACATCGTCAGAGGAACCAGCGTGCCGCATTCAAGACACATTCGAGTGATAAGAACCTCAACGATCCCTAAATAGCCCCTCCGAGCTTCTTATATTCTTGCAAAAGCGCCAGCATCGATTCCAATCCGGACGATTTCGCCACTTCCTCAAGCTCTGGAAAGATCGGTGTAACGGCGGCCCCCCTTTCAATCAACAGTCGAAAGATTCCTGGATGCTCGGAGTGAATGGCCCCGACAAGGGCAGACGGGCTCCCAGAATTCGGATCAATACCCGCATCGAGTAATATCTGGACAATATCCCTGAAACCTTTTTTTGCTGCAGCATATAGGCAACCTTCAGCGAGTTTGCTATGAACATCTGCGCCTCGGTCTAGGAGAAGTCGGACAGTGGATGTGTGTCCTCGAGAAGCCGCGAGTCTCAGTTCTGTACCATTTACTTCTGCCTTATGATCTAGCAGAATTGAAACAATTTCATCATGTCCCTCTTCAGAGGCATAATGCAAGGGTATAAACAAATTTCCATCTTGACTTGGGTTTGCTATGTGTCCGCCAAGTGCAATCAAGTGCTTCACCATAGCTACCCATCCGACCCAAGAGGCAAACCATATTTTGGAATCTAAGGGGACAACATTTTCCCAATCTTGAAGTTCAGTTTGGAGTTCCGCCACCAGTATATCGAAGGTTTCTGCATCGGGGGTGTTGAACATTCGAGACAAGTCTAGCTTGGGACGCCAGAGTCTTACTCTGAGTCTTTCCCCTATTTTTGGGTTGCGCAGATAATATGTGGCGGGGTTAAATGGTGTATCACCTGAAGGATCCCGAAAATGTATGAGAAACCTAACCACGGTTGGATCTCCGTGGCGGGCCGCTGTCCGCATAAGGTCTATAATTTCCCCGGGCGTGAAGTGCCCGTTCCTGGTACGTAGTGCCGTCAGTAACCTTAACCCATCATAGTTCTTTGCCAGGATAGCCGCTTCAAACGGCGTGCCGAATATGCCTTGCTCACTGATTGAGGAGTGGTTCGCTAAGAGGGATGCAAGTTGATTGTGGCCTGTGAATATCGCGGCAGTCAGAAGGTTGGTGTCAGACGATAACGATCTCTTTGTATTGTTGTCTCGGGCAAGCAGATCGCGAACGCTGAGGGGACTTATGCCCGCGCCAGAGAGCTCGAGAAGCCTCAATGCATAAGAAGAATAATGGGGTTCAGTTGTTATTCCGTCTTCCTGCGCGAGTCTTTCCGCGGAGTTCTGTATAATATGGAGTACTGGAAGTTCGCGTGTCCGGCGATCGAGCAAGTGATCTTTTACATAGGCTGTTGCCCACGGACAATGGTTTAAATACTGATAACATTGCGCTATCAATCCGGTGACAGAGAGTGCTTCGGCGATTTCAGATGAGAAGAGCTCTGTTATTGCAGTCAGCTCTGGAGGATAGTTTGTTGTGTTCGCATACTGTTAACCAGCCGCAGCCTCAGTGCGCGCTTAAGCCCACGGAGTTGAACGGATGCAATCAGAATATCCTTGAAAATTTCAATGGGCATATCGGTAAGGCTCAACTTGACAGGAGGCATAATATTATCAGGATCGTCTCAGCGTTTCAAGCAGTCCTAAAGTAAGCATGAGTGCACATTTATTAAACATTGTCACGGAGCTTGGTCTTATATGATTTTACTGTGCCGCTTCCACGCTGATTGTCCTCCGTCATCACGTTTCACACTTGCCCCTTTTGTTTCACATTCTACCACGTCATCTTGCCGCCGCACCCGAAAACAATCTGCGTCCCTTCTCGTGAGCATACAGTGTTCTGAAGCTTCTTTGAATAGACCAAGGGAAAGCTATACTCCTTGTATACATTCTTAAAACTTAAAAAAAAAAAAAAAAAGAAGGGAACCTTTAATAGTTTTAATACTAATAGACTCAAACTGGTCCATAATTGGCTGTGCAAGGTAGTTATAAGATTATTATCTAATATAGATAGGTGGAGCTCTACGGTCTTTTCCCGCCACCAACTCTTGGATAATTGACCGTTGATTTCCACAATGGATCCATCGACGACTAGCCAGCTGACATCAATTGGAAGAGAATGGATGAAAGTTTACGCACTTGATTAGCGACACACTATGAAATCTAACGCTACCTAGGCAATACGCGTTGGCACCGTGTGCTTGTTTCCTACTGTTTTCTCAGCGATGTAACCGTCACCGAGAGCCCTTACTGCTATTACTAGCAGAGACACTTGGGACTCCTCTTACAATTAGCCTAATGTATAAGCTACAAACCGAAAACTATAACTTTCAAGTCTCTACGATAGCTACTAGTACATGTGCTATAAGCTGCGAGAAATCTTAAATCGAGAACTACTGATATGTATCATCGTTGAGAGAAGAAAAATCGGGAAAATTCAAAAATAAGAACAGAAGGAAAAGGAGAATATCTGTCTAGTCTCTAATAATAACTTTCCCCCAGTTAGTAAAAGCAAAGCGTGCTGTGATCTAGTTAAAGAACTAGTCTCCCCAGATTGATTACCTTTCCTATTACCGTTCTCTGTCTTTTTTTATTCACCTTGTCTCTCAATGCTAATGACCATGTCGAAGTTTGTATCTGGTTGAATAACTGTAACTTTGGAAATAGTCCTAGGTCCGATCTCCTCGTGGTAACTGAAATAGTGTTAGGGCATTACAGTCCGAAATAGCACGGTTGCGCAAACTTACTCTAGAAGCATTTGAGCTACACGTTTTCCATGTACCGTGCCCATAATTGCCTCGAAGCCTTCTTCGCCTTTCTGAAATTCAGCGAGATCATTCTCATCCCTGAGGGACTTGCCAGATCTTTGCAAAGCTGCTGTAATAACTTGCTCCGTTTCCTTGTTATCAATGGCTTGTCGGACGACATTTTCCAAGTCGACGTCCTTTGGATCTTTCCCAGCCTCTTCACTGGCCTTTTTCCAACCATACATGACCTGGTCCGTGAATTTGACCGAATTTTGAGGTTCAAGTCCCATCCTCTCCAATTCCCAGTACCCTTCTGGGTCGTTTTCGTAGTTACGGTAGAGATCATATTTCTTGTTGTAACTCCAGTTCAACACTATCGACTTCTTATTGATGCTTGAGTATGTGGTCAACATAGGGGTTCTTATAAGTTCACGGCGCAGGTCATCGAATAAGTCGACCGCAGATTCTCTGTTGTCGGCTCGCATGTTAGGATTCTGATTCACTTCTTCCACCTTCATATTGTAGTATCTATCCACGACGTCCAGCTTGTTGTAGACGTCGATGCTGTACCTAGCATCAAGGACATAGCCATTAGCATGTAAACACTTTCAACGGAGGATGACACACCAATCGCTGGAGTCTGCGAAGTTGTTCGCCATTCTTAAAATTGGGACGTTGCCACCCTTCGTTCCTGGTTGACGGATAATGTTGTATCTTGACTCAATCGTCGCCGGGCTCGGCAAATCTTTGGGAGCAGGCGGCTGCGTTCTGACATTGTCTAACGCTCTGATAATTTCTCTTCCCGGGGCTTGAAACTTTTCTGGAATTTCTAGGTTGTCCCAATCGCCGGGCTCCGGTGTACCTTGCTCCGGTGCTCCGGCCGGTTCCCCTGTAGGCGGATTGTTCGCGCAACCAGAACGACGCCAGAACAACGTCCCGGGCCAGCTTCTCTTCTTGTCGCAGGTGTTCGTAAAGCCGCCTTCAGTCTCACCCTCGTTGGTGTTGCTGAATCCGCCTTCGTCTCCAGTTTGCTCCCCTGCACCGCCGCCACCGTCGGGACTTTGGTGGGAATTGTCACCGTCCGGATGTCCATTCCTATTGCCACGGCCACCCCCTCCGGCACGAGGAGCAAGATCTGGAGGATAGGACGGTTGCAATGCAGTATCAGCGCTGCTCTCCCTTGGCCGAATCAAATTCCCGTTGCCGACGAGGATACATGTGGACAAGAGCCCTAAAGTGATGGCTCTGGGTAGGGTATTCCGCATGTTCGCGGTTGAGCCGGGGCTTGGTTGAGACAAGTACGAAGGATGGAAAATGCAATGATGTTCTCAAATAAGGAGATCTGGAAGCTTGTCGAGGGAACATCGATTGTCATTGGGGATTGAACAACTTAAATACCTCCACATCTGGGGAATCCTGCGTTATGGGATGTCTTTGCGATCACCAGACCGTCGAGTTTGACAAATCAATCCTTCACACCGCGGCGGCTTGCTCCGTACACAGTGCCTTGCGAAGGCTTCGGGGAAGTGTTAATTCCCCCTGTATTACCTGCCATTTTGCGGCGCCACCTGGTAAGTCGTATATGGTATATGTGTCTTCCGGAGGAAGTCTTGACATGCTCCTTTTCTCCTGTGCGCCGCTATCGCCTCAGCGACTCATCCTGTAAGGAGTCGTTTCAAGGAGGAAATGAAGGTAGGATGCCACCACCAATGCCTTGTGCCATGACCGCGATTATTTTTTGGAAGGACCAGATGTAGACCGGTTTTCAAGGCTAAGCATCATCTCTGTGTGCACGCCTCCTTCAACCCCCATACGGCAAAGTCGATACGGGTGTCCGTCCCACAATATTTGGACCAAACTCCAGTCATCAACAGAGCAGACGAAGTGAACCTAGCTATAGAGTTGGAGATACCTGCTGTGAGCGGCAACGGTGTACGATTCTGCACTACGCCAATAACTACCCAACAGTCAGTGGGAAGGTGTAAGGAGTGAAGATGTCTTCGCTATGAATTTACTGCATAGACTATTTAGAACGACAGGAACTGTAAATAAGAGTACGGACCTAGCGCACTTTTCGACACGACAAGCTGGCTTTCACGTATTCTTTCCGGGGGCACGAAGGCAAAACCGTGCCGTATCACCAACACAGAGCTGCCTGGCTTACATCATTCCCTTAAGTTCATCTTCCTTCGTCCCCACTAAACGGCTTAATTGGTACAGTTGAACGAGCACGTGTACACCATCATTCTTGTAGCACAGCCTCCCGCATCCCAAAGAGTGCGGCGAAAGTGCGGCTCAGTGTGGCGTCACAAGGCAACTTGTCCTGTACAGGGTATGCCTCTACGGTGCAACCAATAATACTACTCAGAAACTTTTAATGTAATTCTGGTCTCCAACTGATCTTGGTGGAGACAGGGTGCTCCAACTTAATGGAAGTTGAACACAGGTCCAGTGAGAATATATCGACCCTCGCGAGCTTTCGGAGCTTGTTCTCTTTTATTACCAGGTAGTATTGTCAGACGTTCATGCAGAGGCACGGCTTCCGAGGCTTTTGCCATAACGGTAATCATGATACATATCCTTTCCCAGGGTTGGCTTCACCATTGTAATTTGCTGTAGGTATGTAGACGCTCTCAAAAACCGCTATTAACAAAAACTTGCAGCTTGTCTGTTGTTGTTCTATGAACTACAATTTTGAGAAGGGAATTGGTACGTCTCCACACTTACGAAGGTAGACACGATGGACAGTTCAGGCCCTAGAACCCAACTTTCTGAATATGATGCGAGAAAAGGATCGTGACCAGCACTTGAAAGCCGCTTCGTTCGGTGATGATCCAGCAAGACGTTGTGCCCTGAAGGAAGCGGCGTGGGCGCAAGTCCGCTGGAGCACGTATGGTGGAGAGCTATGTTGGCAGAATCGGCGATACCTTCCTTATCTTGGCATATGACTGGCCTCGCAGGAGTAAATCACCTTGCGATGAAGGAAGCGGCGTGGTGTTTGACATACCCCGACCTGAGCCTTGAGTTCGGTTCTCCGACGGCAGCTTGAAACAATAATCTCGTAAGGCTTCTTCGATGGGCCAGAACCGTGGCATCGTCAAGAAGGAAACGAACACGTTAGGGTCAATTCATGGACAGACGATGTCACCCTAGGAGTTCTTCAAAGCAGGTATATAAAGCTTGAAGCGAATGGTACCTATCATCCAACACACAGGAAAGGTCCACACGTCTTTATCATAGATCCTTTCTCTATATCAAGCTTCTCATACTATCATTCTCTCGCTCTACCTCAGTCCATTGCAATGGCTCTTGGTATTGAAATAGGATTGGGCGTCGCTTTCACTATGATCGCGCTCGCACCAATGGTCCCAGACTGGATCCGAAACAATCCTTTACCAGAGACGAAGATCAACGTTATGGTCGGCTTACCCAAGCTCACCCCGGAGGAACAAGGACGCAAGGAAGAAGTTTACGGTCAATTGAGCTTTGGCGGGTGCGCTCCTGCGATAGGGTTATTCAACGCAAATGGCGACCGTATCGGATACTATGACAATGATGCGTGCGATGATGTGGATGAAGGAAATCACGTTGATCAGAACGCTCCCAAGGATCTCATGGCAAAATATATCAAGCCCGGGAGTAAGTGCTCAGAAACAGCTAAAGCTGGTTGGTTAATCGTTCAATAGGTACGGAAAAGACAGAGTACATCACTGTAAGCGCCGCTGGCATTGACGCCATTTGCATTTCCGCCATCACCGTCACCTTCCCGTCTTCGAGTGATATCTACGCGTTCCTGCCAGGCGAAGTCGCCGCTGTGTGCAGGGAATATGATCCAGTCAAACACGACTACCAATACTCCGACTCTGAAGCCACCGTGCAATTCAAAGACCCCAACAGCCAGAAGACCCAAATTGGTCGTCCGCGCTGCCTCTGGATTGATAAGTCCGACAAGGATGGCCTCAGCGCGACGAAGTGGCAAGGCTTCCAAGTACATCTCCCCGACTTCAAGCTCGACAACAGCACCTTCAAAGGCTGGGAAGAGGACCCAGGCCAGATGTGCAATGCGCTGGCTCGATTCAGCGGCTACGAGGTTTTGAACCATATGATGTGTCCCCAGGTTTTTAGTCCCGCGCCAATGGCCGGTGAAGCGCTACCGCTGCAAGAGATCACGCCTTGTCTTCCTGGAGTGGTGAAACCCAGCGACGGCCGGAATAACGGCAAACCCTTCACCACGCCGTGCGACGACACGCGCTTGACCTTCCAATATCGCTACAATATTATCAAACAATACGGCAGGGACTGTCGTTGGAGGAGGTGGTACGGCGATTGCGAGGATTCTCGCATCGGTTGTCCAGCGGATGGAGAAGGTCTCGACGATGTTCCGGACGATTTCCAGAGCGAGGACGCAAGGGACACATGGACACCCAGTACGCGGCATCGGCGTTCCTGTTTCTCTTCCCGAAAGCAGCCCCGTGTGGTGGTCAAGAACACCGAGTTCGTCACTGACGATGACTTTCCCACTGAGCATCACCCACTGCAGAAGCGGTTTGCTGGCATGTTAGTCAAGAGTCGAGATGTGACACAGAGTGCTGAGCGAGCTTGCACTGATTCTGGAATGGTGGGGCCGGATATCTACGACCATAAGGGGATGTTCTGCGATATGGTGACGCGCAAGTTATACCCGACATGTAAAAGCGAGAGGGACGTAGAATGTTTTGATCCGGCACTCAATGTAACGCGTAGTGGGCAGATAGAGAAGAGGGCGGCGATGAAGAAGTATGTGCGCATTCGAGACCTGTATTAGTTTCTAGAGACGACATATGGGACAAATTCTTGGGTATATATTCCTTCCAGGTTAGAGCATGGAGTTGGGCAGCTCTACCCAATTCCGCTTATCTTTCTTCGTAACTGCTAGACCCTCAACAAGGATACACCGTCCTAATAGACTTGTGATAAGAGATGGTTAAATCTGCTTCCCTGCACCCATTTGAGCACAGAAAGGAATATTTCAACTTTTCAGAACTGAAACACGGTGCTGTGGAACTAACCTATTTCTGGCATTGCGACTTATGGACGGCAACATAATGGACTGCCAATTATGTGTTCTTTTTAGTAACATCTATGGCTATTTCCTTCTGCCCAACATAACTTCGTTCTTGACGCCACTCGACACATCAAAGTGAGTTGTATCAGCTTCCAATGGTTGTTGTTAGGGTACAGAGTCCTCAAGCCAACTCTCCCACTCTTTCCAGTCCTTCGAATCTGTTCCCTCTCCCCGCAGCAAAACTTTCCATGTCGTTCATTCTTTCTACACCATCCTCGTCCGCTTTCTCGCTCCCCCTCCCCCGCCAATCCCCCACATTCCAAGAAATCCTCTCCGCGCCCACCCTACAACCCACCAAATTGGGCGCACCAGGACCTAATCTCAATCCCGCCAGCCTTCCCGTCACAAACATGGGCACATCATCATTCCACATCAGATCATCGTTCAGACATGGAAGTCCTCCGACGCAAGGAATCGGATACTTCTGTAGCATAGTTTGCAGCATCGGTATTGTAGAGACGTCGGTTTGGACGCCTGTAGCGAAGACGATGAAATCGATTGGTGGGAGTAAGAGCGGTGGGCCAGTGGTGATGTTATTCCAGACGCGCAGATCGGGGTCCCAGGATTGTGAGAGAGACTGCAGAGTCGTGTGAGTGTGTAAAGATATCCTTCCACTGGCGACGTGCGTATCGAGGATTTTGCGGTAGCGCGGATTCATGCTTCCGCCATTGCGGGCTTGGGTGTACATTTCGTATCGCTCTGGTTGCCGATTCCGTCAGTGACACTCCAATTCAACAACAAGTCTCTTCCCCGGTATAAACATCAATAGCGGAAAGAAAGACTTGAAATATCTCGTACCCTCATCTTCATCCGCACTCCAGAATTCCGCCTGTTTGTAGTTCCTAAACTTCGCCACCCAATCCAAATCGATGTCGAAGTACTTCACTTTGACGGGGCCACGCCTCAACAAGTATACTTTTGTGACACCGCGTTTCAGAGCCAAGTCAGCTATCTGGACGCTTGTTAAGCCTCCCCCAACAACAAGGAGAGCGGTCTGTTGGCCTGCCAAAACCTTGGATAAGACGTGCGGTGGTGGGATTTGTGAGAGGTGCATTGCGTGCGCGTACCCTTCGTGCGGGTAGTGTTGGGGAAGACCCAGCACAGGAGGAATCGCAGGCTTATTCCCAGGGCCTATAGCGAGAATGACGACGTGAGCGAAGTATATGCCTTTGTCCGTGGAGACGCGGAATATCTTTCCCTCTGGATCCACTTCGAGATCCGAATCCAAATCCGCGTGACTTTCTCCAGCCTTTTCCCCCAGAAACGAAGCTTTAGTATCAAAGTCAATATCCGTCACCGCCTCCTTCCTCACCATACCACCATCTAACCCATACTTCTGCACCACGTCCCGGCAATGCGAAGCAAACACCCGCGCACTAGGAGCATAATAATCCTTCCGATCCCTCTCGTCGACTTTCCGAGTTCGATTCAGAAAGCTTGACGGTTTCGGTTTCGCATGAGCGAGCTTCTTCTTCCGGTGCTTGCTCACTTCCTTCCCCACGCATCCCGGCAGCGCGAGCAGCTCCTCGTCAACCTTGTCAGAATTTGCGTACACGAAGCTAAGTAGTGCGTCTCTATCTGAAGGGTCTACGTGGAAGAACATCGGGCTTCGGAGGAAATCGATTCCGAAGGTAGAAAAGAGTCGATTCCAGCGCGACATCCACGCGTCACCATCCGCATCGAGCACCACGATGTCTGTATTTGACGTATTTCCGGACGCATGGTTGTTGCAGCCACAGTCGGAAGCACTAGGTGTAGAGGGAGGCGTCGGACGCGATTCCGCGCCTGTTTTGTGGTTCTTGAGATTCATCTTGCGTCCGTGTTTGCGGATCCAGTGGTAACGGTGGTGCTCGTCGTCGGTGAAGGTGGCGGACGGTGTATGTTCGCGGAGGCGAGCTGCGGCTGCGAGACCGGCGGGGCCGGCGCCGATGATGAGGATGGGGTGGATGGGCATTGAGGCGTATCTACGGTTGTTCGATGATAGAGTGTTAGGTAGTTGAGATGTTTAGATTTGGATGTAAAGTAATTGAGTAGTCTTTGTATGTCAATAGTCATGCTGGTATGGATACCATGATGGACACTGTTGTCGTGCGGACCATCAGGGTACTCCTAATTCACATTGCAATGCATGCTGGTGCACTCATAGGAAACGTGTTGGCATTACTACTGCATAGCCACTACAGTAAACCTGTCAATGGAGCTTGCTGAGTGTGGACGGGAGGCTTGCGAGCTGGGGAGGCGGGGGGATGGGGTAGATCTCGCTCACAATTTACCTCAAGGTACCGTCAACGAGAAGTTCAATTCCGTAGCTCTAACCACTATTTACCTATGAGTATATCCTGTTTTCCTTCTGAAACAATAAAAGTTGAAGAGCTCGTTTTACTTCACTGACTATATTGCCCCTAACTGATCTGCAAGTTGAGATTCCACCAACTAACCTACCCATTTCAATAATGGCAGATTGATACCGTGGGCAAAAAGCTAACATTCAAAAGAATCGTTATTACTTGCTCAAAACGAGATCAAGGTGTTTATGCGTCGTTTTCACCGCACTAGCATCACTATTTGAAGTGACTGCACGAGACCTATGAAACAAGGGAATCCTTCTCTGGCAGATCAGATGATAATACCTAGCCCATAAAACACGCATATAATTCATTACCAAGCTCTATACTGTACAGGAAGCCAAAAAGGTCACAGTATTCGACATTCACTATCGCGATGAGTGAGTGCATTTACATGTTATCCACTTCTCACACGGACCACGAAAAGACGCTCAGAATGCATAAGCATCAACATCAACTTTTGAAACTAATTCACTGAATCTCTTGATTTTTGTTGGTCTGCCCTTCTGTATGTAGGGAAGTTTAAGTAATCGATTTCCCGCAATGCTCCACGAGTAGATCCCGTGCCACTTTTCCAGGAAACCCAACGCTAAGGACCCCGAGACGCTAAAACGCCAACTACAGTTACAAAACCCTATCCGATGCATATGCCAACGCCATGCAAACCAGCTATAAGCCCGCTAAGCAGCGATTTCCAAAAGCATCCTTGGGTATCTCTCCTGAACCATACCCCGTATTAGGGATATGATAACATGACAATCGCCAGATATGATTGCCCGGAATCCCCATAAACTCCCATTGCTCCTTGATTCCCCCATCATGATATCGTTAAAACAGTCCTCAAAGCGAACCCAAAGCCACAAACACAAAACCCAGAGCCCATAGGGCGGACTCAGGGGCCCGGAGACCATTCCCATTACCCCTGGCGCCCGTCTGCTTCGCCTGCACACCACCCACCGTCGGTCCCGCGCTCGCCGGATTCGCCCTCGTCAACGACTGGCTCCCCGTCGTCGTCGCGGGAAACAGCGTCGTCGTTTCCCTCGTCCCCGCGCTCTCGACGATCATCTCCGTGGCTAACGGCGAGAGACTCACGGTCGTCCCATCGAAGATAATCACCCCTCCGGGCGTCAATATCTGCCCGTGGATGGTAAACGTGGTCCCGGAGTTTGCGGTGAAGGTTTCAGAGCCGATGGTTAGAAGCGGGGGGTTCGTGATGGGTATTTGATTGCCTGGGACGAGGGTCGTAGTGACGCCGTTGATGATCAGGGCTGTTGCGCCTGGGGCGAGAGAGATGGTCAAGGTGCCTGAGGTTATGACGCCGCCGGGGGTGAGGCGCAGGGTGCCGAGTTCGTAGGTCGTGCCGTCGCCTGGAAGAGCGGTGAGGACGGTATCACCGATGGTGAGCGGCGGGGGTGTGATTTCCGCGGGGATGACGTCCAGAGTCGATGTCATGCCGTTGACGACGAGGACATTGGAGGCTGCGAGGGATAACGTGGTCCCGCTTACGGTGACGGGGTGACCGCCGATAGCCAGGGTTTGGCCGTCGATGACGAAGGCGCCTCTGCTGTCGGCGACGAGGGTTGAGGAGTCAAAGGTGATGACGGGTCGGGGTGTTAGGAAGGGGGAGTTTGCGAAGGTGGAGGTGGCTTGGTTGTTGATCACGACGAAGCTGGGGCCGAGCGAGATGGTGGTGGAGTCCACGGTGATGGACTGGCCGACGGAGAGGGTTTGAGAGCCGATGATGAAGGAGGAGCCGGGGAGTTGGGTGAAGGTGGATTGGCCGAGGACGATAGTTGGAGGAGGGGTGGCGGCTGGTATAGGAGGTGGGAGCATGCGCGTAGATCCTCCGATGACGACAAAGGATGCCGATGGGCCGAGGCTGACGACGGTGCCGTCAAGCGTTGCTCGCCCTCCTGGGGTGAGGATCTGTCCAGGTGCGAGAGAGAATTGTGTTGCGGCGTTTGGAGTCAGTGTAGAACGTCTAATAGTGATGATAGGAGGAGGGGGATTGTTAGGGGCAGGGCCGACTGGGACAACGGGCAACGCTGAAGTTTTCGTGCCAACCACTATATTACTCCCTGCTGGTTCGAGAGAAACAGGATTTCCTCCCACCGTGATCTGGGAACCTGGCTTCAAAGTTTCGGAACCCACTACGACAACGGAGCTCGGACCGATCACAACAGGAACCGTCCCAATGGAGCCAACAGTCGTGGGCGTAGGCAGGGGAACATTGACCGCACCAGCCGGGCTAGCCTGTCCCTGGTTTGCAGGAGATGGAGAATCAGTCTGTAGAACGCCCGCATTGATACTAGGCGTTCCACCGCTGAGGAAGCCGTCAGCCGGAACTTCGATGCGCCCAGAGTTGAACGGGTCTTCAGGCCCTCCCTTGGTTTGGACATGGGCGCGGATGTCTGTTTCTGGGCCGGGGTCGTCCCAACCAAGGACGGACTCTTCGATACGGAGATCAAAAGGATCTACATGGATTATCTGTCTGTATATCAAATCGACGACTACCAGCACAGTGACGGAGCCAGATAAAGTCCCGGGAGAACATGTCGCCTGTGGTATCTGTTGGATGAACTCTAGCGGTACGGTGCCTGAAGCGGACTTTGTGCTTTCGATTCCCTTCATCCAAAAGGAACAGGCATAAGGTGTCGAGAGGGCGAAGGTGCGTGTGACTGTGCTGACCGCGACAGCCCCATCCCCAGCGGTGAATGCTACTGCCGATTCGACTTCATACGCAGAGAAATATGCCACTGGTGTAGCCGACGTGGCGACAGGCACGGTCCGGTTGGCAAGGGCGACGGTGAAGGATGCGGCGGGAAGTGCACCTGGCTCAGTCTGGTACAATCCGAGGTCGTTTTCGGCTATTATTTGGCCAGAGGGTAAGGGCGCATACGCCGTCCGCGTAATGACAGATGTCACAGCCGCGGTGGGCTTGACGGTGTAGTCCAGAAGATAGGTGAAGGTCATATTCCACTCCGAATCGAAGTCCTCAGTCGTCGTGTAGGCATACTCGGTCAGGACGGACGTCACATTGAAGGTCGCCTGTTGGGGCATGGTGGTATAATGGCGTTGACTGTCATTGAAGACACCAGATACGCCCATCAAGTCTGCCACCGGCCACTGGTACGTTGCGGCATACCACCAGCCGATGGTAGCCTGAGGGACATTGACGGTGCATGGTGGACCAGAGTGGTTGCCGGTTCCTAGTGAGCCTGTCGGAAGGGGATGATGAAGCGAGGCCCCAGTTCCAGAGAGCGGATATGGAGGGGTCTCTATCCGTGTTGAAGTAGAAAGAGGAGTGGTGAGGTCAACAACTGTGATGCTAGAAGACGCAAGTGGTGAAGGCGTCGGAGCAGTAAAGTTCCAGTTGGTTGCTGGGGGCGGGCTGTTAGTGGGAGCTTGATACGAGGTTGGCCCACCAGACGTACCGATTGCGGTCTGGTTACCGCGGCCATGGAATCTGGCGGACGATGCGGGCGTGCCCAAGACCAAAAACCAGGCGCCGATCAGCAGCAGATTGCGCAGATTGCACAGAGACATGCCTCCGCAGAGAGCAGCAGCGCTCGCAGACGACTTTCGGCATCGGCACGGGCGCAGGGAAACGGCAGAGGGAGCAACAGCGGAGGGCAGCAGGCTGTTGTGCTGGAGAGTGCCAAAGGGGGAGCATAGCAATTTACGGAAATCCAGCGTCGCTCTGGGCCGGACAACGCGCTCAGACAGGAGGAGCGGAAGACCCGCGATCAGAGCCGTCGCGGCTGGCTAGCGTGCAGATGGACAGGGAGATGGCAGGGAGAGGCGCAGGGTCAGTGGGGGAGGAGTCCATGGGTGGTGACAGTGGTGTCACGGGGATTTCTGGGGTGTCGCAGGTCGCCGATTTGAAGCTGATATGATATATTGACCCTCGACCCGTGTGAGACACAGCTGCAAACAGCCGGACGGCAGGCAGGTTCTGACGGCAGCAAGGAGCGCGCTTCTTCTTATTACTTGTATTACTCGAGCGTGCTATCCCGCACTTAGCGAGGGTCAATGAGCTCGCTGTGCAAGATGATGCCCCAGTGAGGGAACATTCACAACCGTCAGAGTGAAGGCATCAGAGGGAACAAAAGCACAGGCACATGGAGGACACAGAGAACGGCTAGTCCTGTTGAAAAGTCCGACAGCGACCAGGGACGCCACGTTGATGAGATGCAGGTTCGGCTGCGGCATCAGCATAATTGACAATTTGTGCCTCAGGGCCGGGGAGGCGTGGCAGATCATGGCTCCACGGATCCTCACGGATCGCTCCCACGGCGGCTTCGATGCAGGCTGGGCGGGGTTCGTCTGCGGACTCTGGGCTGCCATGGCATGCGAATGGGTTGCAAAATGGGTTGAACACGACGGAATCGACGAGTCACAGACGAGAACGAAGATGCGCAGGCTGCGCGGGTCCCGGAGCGGCGACGTTCGTCACTTGTGAGGCGGAGAATTGGAGAACTCCCTGTGGCGCTTGCTTTGCTGAGGTGGATGCGGGGAGGGAGGAGATGATGGGCCGTGAGCGAAGTAGCAGAGTATCACGCAGCTGGCGGCGAACGACTGGCCCGTCGTCTGGGTGAAACGGGGAGTGGGCGTTCATATAGAGGACGGGAAAAGTCCCGGCTGAAATGCGAAGATGAGGGCGAGGCTTCTCTACACAGGACACGGCGGGCACGGAGGGTACGCGGCCGTCTTTCACTGCTCAGAGGGTGAGCGGACACTGAGGGGCCCCCCAGACCACTACCATCATTGGCCCATGGCTCTTCTGAGCAGTGAGCGGACGCCTTTCCATATGTGCATACGGTGAGGTCTTCCCCGCTGTGACCTCCTTTCTGCCGTGGGAGATCACTGATGATGAGACTCTATACCGAGTACTGCTGTGCGATCAGGCGGACGGCGACACAGCTTACGCTCTACTGGAATTCCTCCTACGCAGAGTGGCATCCGCGCCTCTCTGCGATCGCGGAAAGAGGACATGATTGCACCTTTACTTTTCTCTTCCTTATTGTAAAAGGCGACGCTCAGTTGCAGGGTTTCGGAAGGGTGGTCGCATATTAACGCTTGGCCCGTGCTGGGCAATCTGGGTCAACTGGTTGAGGTTCTTGCCAGCTCCAGAAGCCTGAGGAGAGGAGACGAGATCGCGGCTGCCGACCGACCACCCGCCCGCACGCCCACACCCACACGCCCACACCTCCCTCACCCTCACCCCCATTCTCATTCTTCCATCCACTCTGTCCATCTCGTCCTCACCGTCTTGCATCCACACGACTCTCCTCCTCTCACCATTCCGCTGCCCGCCCACTCCTCTCCACCAGACGATGCCCTCGGTGCGCCCTCGCCATCGCTGCTCCTTCACTCTGTGATGCCACTGCCGCCTCTGCCGTGCTGGCTTTGGCTCTGTGGCTCTCTGGCGCCTCCCGCTTAGTAACCCGACCCGCCACGAATATGGGACTCCGAGTCGCCCTCACAACCACCGCCTGCGCTCTCGCCGCACTGCTACCCCCAGTGCTGCCCCAAGTCCTCGAACCGCGTGCCGACACCACCCCCTCACCGTTGCCTGCGCCCCTCTCCATCGACCCTGCCCAGAATTGGGACGGCATCGATGGCAGCTGGAACACCTTCCCAATCCGCGTGGGCACCCCCGATCAACCACTCCGCGTCTTAGTGTCGACTGCCTCGCAACAGACATGGGTCGTCTTCGAGAAGGGCTGTTGGTACGACGAGCCAGATGCCGCCGACCCCACCGGCGAAAGGGAAATCAAGGTCTTGGACAGAGGCTGTCAGGAGAGGCGTGGCCGAACCTTCAACATGAGCACCTCGTCGACCTGGGACGAAATTGGATTCTACCAGCTATGGCTTGAGAAAAATCTGGGCATCCTGGGCAATGGGAAGTACGGCTACGAAAAGGTTGGACTGGGCTACACTCCCGACAATGGCCCCACGCTCGACAACACCACCGTCGGAGCCCTCATCACGGACGTCTTCTGGCTTGGCCATTTCGGACTCAACCCCAAGCCTACCAACTTCACCTCTTTCGTCGACCCGTCCCCGAGCTATATGACGCTACTATTCCAGAAGCACATGATACCCAGTGTAGCTTGGGGTTATACTGCTGGTGCCCAGTATCGTATGTGCAGCCCTCTGTGTTTGTCAATGAATCACATACTAACATTTCCGCTCGCAGACCATAATTCTGTACTCGGCAGCTTGACGCTCGGGGGCTATGATGCTTCGCGCCTCATTCCCAACGATCTCACTTTTGGCTTCGCTCCGGACAACGAACGGGACATTGTCGTAGGCGTCGTCGGCATTCATGCGAACGGTAAGACGAAGAAGAATGTCGATCTCCTCGCCCGGGACCAGTTCACCATGTACATCGACTCGACCGTTGCCGAGCTGTATCTACCAAAGGAGGTATGCGCGGCGTTTGAGAGGGAGTTTGGCCTCAAGTATGACAACGCTACCGACCTGTACCTCGTTGACGACGCACTTCACGAATCACTGCTCGCCGAGAACCCCACCATTGTGTTCAGCCTCGGTCAGAAGTTCTCCACCAATGCCACCGTCGATATCGAGCTGCCATACGCAGCCTTTGATCATACGGCAAAGTGGCCTTACAGGAACTTGACAGAGGACCATCGCTACTTTCCCATCCGACGTGCAGAGAGGGAGAATCAGTTCGTGCTCGGGAGGACGTTTCTTCAGGAGGCCTATTTGGTCGTAGACTGGGAGCGGCAGAACTTTTCTGTTTCCCAGTGCAACTGGACCTATGGCGTACCGAAGCAGATTGTCCCCATCCTTTCCCCTGTCTATACTGGCGAGGACATCCCAGGACATGCGCCTAAGCACGGTACCGCATCGTTACCCCTGAGCACAGGAGCCATAATTGGAATCGCCATCGGCGGAGGGTTTACATTCGCCATGTTGGGCTTCGCCCTGGGATGGTTCTTCTGGCGGCGACGACAAAGGAGAAGGCACGAGGAGGTCAAGGCGCGCTACGCGGCCCAGGACTTCGGAAAGGATGAGAAGGATGACTGTTTGGAGAAGCATGAAGAAACGCCAACGTCGCCCAGCGAAGAGGGCACCAATGTCTTCCCCAAGGCGGAACTGCCTGCAGATCCGTCGAGCGGGCTGGGTGCCGACTGCAAAGACAGAGAGGGAGCCTCGCCCGTGAGTCCTGGCGGCTTGCCAAGCCCTGTCGTGGAGGTGGAGAACACGGAGCGCCAGATCTTTGAGATGGAAGGGGATATCCCTACCCGACAGGAGGCTGACGGCCGCCTACTGTCGGAGAAGGAATCGATGATCGTGCGCGAGAGGAAATACAACGGCGTGGATCCGTACGGGCCGCCGCCGATATCCCCCAGCTCAACCGAGACGCCTCGACGACCTGCACCCGTGTCGCCATCCGAGGTGACATTGGTCAGTAGGAGACCGGATCTATCACCAGTGACTCCTCGCACTCCTCGCACTCCTCGCGATGGGGCTTCCCTCGAAGCGAACGACACCTTCTTCCAGCCGCCTACCAGCCGCACGCCGCGAGATGGTCGGTTCCTCGAAGCAGAGGACACACTGCTCTCTCCCATTTCTCCTCTGGACGAGACGCCGAGGCGGCGGTTCTCTTACGAGTCATGACGAGGCCAGAAACCTGCTCTGGCTTCGATCTTTTCACTGGCATTTTCCGGGCATTCCAGCGTTCTAGCATCCACATCATTTGGCGTTTATGGCGGGATTATGATACCTCAGAACTTTTCATTTATCTGCATACTTGATAGGGGTTCGGGAGCGTGCTTCTGGGACCGTTGAGCGGAAAAATAGATAACTGCTGGGGTATTCGGACATGGGGAGTTCCTTTCTAAGGACGGGACCCGCGTTAGGCTCCCAGCCGTGGAGATGGGCTGGCATACCATACACTTGTCTTTTAACGACATCATCTCCTTGCTGATATTTTCGACTCGGGCGTCTACAGGCCCAAGAGGCTTATTACACAGTACATAGCAATTAGTGGAGATTGACCAAATCGGATCCTATCTCACAAACTCCAAATAATGAGCGCAACTCTACTTTTACTGTGTATCCCGACCGAGAGCCGCTTGGGGGCCTAAACGGCCGTTAGTCCATACTGTGCGGAGTACTGTGTCGGTAGGGCTGCCCTGGTGGAGCCGTGTGGCGCGTTCAGCCCCAAGACATCTGCTCAGCCTGGCGGTGCACGCATTCCTTTTTGATGGATGCCCCTCGTTGGCACCAACAACCAACCCACCAGCTCTCATTATTTATCAACGGTCGCTAGCTGCTCTGCCGCAAAACCCAACACCCGCTCTCTGCCCGCCTGCGTGTATCGTCGCCCTCGTTCCTCCTTTCGCCTGTTGCCCCTTGTCGTGCTCCGTGAAGGGCTCACCAAGGGATCGACCGCGGCCTGTTTTGACAGCCGCCCGCAAGCGCCTCGTCATCATTCACACCACATCCTCGCTCACTCCCCCGGGCGCCTAGTCGAGACCCTTAAACGGCCTCCTGCCCCTAGCCTTGTTATCCCTCTCTTTGTTCTGACAACTGTCACTTTCCGCTCTCTTAAAAATCGTTCCTGAGAAGGAATCTGTCTGGCTTCCCCTGATCTCTAGTACCCCTCACCAGCCAGCAGCCTCCACCCCGCATCAGCCTGCACCGCCGCATTACTCGCCGCAACCATGTCTAATCTTCCTGATCGCAAGGTAATTGGAGCTGAACCGTCCGTCTTTCGAGCTTCTACTAACTCATTTCGCAGTAAGCATCTTCTTCTAGCGTAACCAACACTCAAGCGGCTACCGTTGTGTACTTTCCCAGCTACTTGCTCTCCCGGACACGCGCTGACGCCTCCCATCACAGAGTGTTCAAAGTGTTCAATCAGGACTTCATTGTCGACCCAAGATACAACGTCACAAAGGGTATGGACACGGCCTACGTCTTCACGGCTACGCGCAGGTGCTGACGTTGTACCTTCCCCGCAGAACTCGGTCAGGGTGCTTATGGCATTGTCTGGTATGGCCTCGCTACCTCCTTCGTCCTCGAAGCCCAAACTCACCCGCATCGTACAGTGCCGCGACAAACACTCAGACTGGCGAGGGTGTCGCCATCAAGAAAGTCACAAATGTCTTCAGCAAGAAAATCCTGGCCAAGCGTGCCCTGCGTGAAATCAAGCTGCTGCAACATTTTAGGGGTGAGTCCGTTCCCGGTTCGCTGTTCTGAGAACTGGCTGACACCGTCTAGGGCATCGCAACGTATGGCAAAACTCGGACCGCTGCCTTCGATCCGCTGACACCCGCGCTTATAGATAACATGCCTCTACGACATGGACATTCCTCGACCAGACAACTTCAACGAGTGTTACCTCTACGAGGGTGCGGCTACCTTCTCTGGGTCATAGGACGACACTAACTGGGGACAGAGCTCATGGAGTGCGATTTGGCTGCCATCATCCGATCCGGCCAGCCCCTCACCGACGCCCACTTCCAGTCCTTCATCTACCAGATCCTTTGCGGTCTCAAGTACATCCACTCGGCAAACGTGCTGCACAGAGATTTGAAACCCGGCAATCTCCTTGTGAACGCCGACTGTGAGCTCAAGATTTGCGATTTTGGACTCGCCAGGGGCTTCTCCATGGATCCTGAGGAGAATGCGGGGTATATGACCGAGTACGTGGCAACACGATGGTACAGAGCCCCGGAAATCATGTTGAGTTTCCAGAGCTACACCAAAGCTAGTATGTCCTTTTCCCATTCCGATTTCTCTCGCATCACCTGCGTTACCGGGTGCATGGTCGACTGCCGTCTGTACGCTTCCGTGTTCGTATCCACTAACACTCCCCAGTCGACGTCTGGTCGGTAGGCTGCATCCTCGCCGAACTGCTCGGCGGCAAGCCCTTCTTCAAAGGCCGCGACTACGTTGACCAACTCAACCAAATCCTGCACTACCTCGGCACTCCCAACGAGGAGACCCTCTCCCGCATCGGCTCCCCGCGTGCCCAAGACTACGTCCGCAACCTGCCCTACATGCAGAAGATCCCCTTCGCATCCCTCTTCCGGAACGCGAACCCGGACGCCCTGGACCTGCTAGACAGAATGCTCGCCTTCGACCCCTCGAGCCGCATCTCGGTCGAAGAGGCCCTCGAGCACAGGTACCTGCACATCTGGCACGACGCGTCGGACGAGCCATCATGCCCCACGACCTTTGACTTCCACTTTGAAGTCGTTGAGGATATTGGCGAGATGAAGCAGATGATTCTCGCAGAGGTGAATCGCTTCAGGCAACTGGTGAGGATGCAACCGGGACAGCAGCAGCATGGGCAGGGCCAGCCGCAGGTGCAGGCCCAGGTGCCCATCCCAGAGGGGTTCGATAGGAGTGGGTACGAGGACCCGAGACCGCATGAAGCCGGGGCGCAGTGGCAGGGTAACGAGCTGGAGAGGGATCTGCAGGGCTTGGATGCGAGAGGGATGAGGGCTTAGATGGGGGCGTGTGAGTGTTGGGTATACTTCGGGACGCATTTTGTTCAGCAGCTTGAGCGATCTTGGTTGGAAACAAGCCATGCTGTGGAGAGTTTGGATGAAGGATAGCCGTCTTGGATATATGGCTGAGCTCAAGTTGGTTCCATTCGTCGACGATCTTGGACATACCCTCGATACAGTATGCTGGTTCTACAAGAAAGCGATGATAAGACTAGGTACGGGCGGATTTCTGGAAATCTATTCCTTTTCTTCTTCTTCATCATATACCACCGACGTAAAAACCAAAAAATCTCACGCATAGCCGTCGGATCAATTGAAGAATGAGGAGCGGTCATTGGAGTGGAACGGGTAGGAGCCTGACAAGTATGAGGTTATCTATCCACTCTTTCTCTTCCCTTATCTCCAGCTCTTTCTTTTGGTCGATTCGATCAGTGCGATGAATGAGTCTAACTCTGGACTTGGGCAAGAGATGCTGCAAGAGTTCATATGTGCGGCTAAGTTTTGACTTTGAGAGATTGGCAAAGGAAAACCGCACTACCATGAAGAGCTAATAGGCTCGGAGGTAGTCACATATTGTTGATCCTGCTAGACGGAATCAGAATACCTACGTATGAAAGCTGCAAACCTCCCGCAGAAATGTGAAAACACGTGGCACGTGACCTCCCTTCTTCTCCGACCTGGGTCTCCTTCACACCTCTCTGTTCGGGTCACAATTACTTGATAAACGCAACTCGAAGCTCTCATCAAAAGTTTCTTCACTTTAACAGCTCCTGTGGGCCGGTCTCCCTCCGTGGGGTATCCGAGGGGTGGATCCTGACGTCAAGCACCCCCTTCTTTCATCATAGCTGTGTCAACACCTCCTCAGAAGAAAATATAAAATACCTACCGGCCAGATTCTTTCCGCCCTCCTGAAATACCTTGCTTACCGCGAAATTGCTCTGATAGCGTACCTTGCATCTCCATCCTCTTTTCGTGAAATACCATCAAATCTCGAGCAGTCGTCCAGGAGCAACCGAGCAGCTACAATGTCCGCAGAGTACAAGAACACCGACCCCATTAAGCTCGCGAAGCAGGCGGAGAGAGACTTGAATTCTCAGCAGGCCAAGGGTGAGCAGAGGGGCATGAGCGATTCCAGTACGTGCTTTTCCTCTTGTCTGTCCTGTGCTTCTTCTCTTCCCGTTTCCTGCTCTCCCTTACCTCCTCTCCCTTACCTCTTTCCCGAATAAAATCAAGTCATCTCCCACTTCCAATTCCGTTCTTTTCTCCACATCAGATTGGGAATGATCCGCTGATACCTATATGCAATAATAGCAACCGAATCCGGTGTCGACGCCTCTGCAACGCGCAAATTCCCCGGTGCGGACGTGACGTACGGCTCTGCTGCGAGCGGCACAGGGGATAATCGCGAGATCCCTGAGTCGGAGGGCGGAGGTGTGGATGCGCGAGGACGGTATGTGGGATCCTTCCTACATTGATTCTGTTTTGAAGGTTCTCATTCTGAGGGGGTTGGAGATGCTGAGAAGTATGATGCATCAATGTTGGGACGGAACAGGAGGGCCGGAAGAACCTCGGGAAGAAAGGAAATAAGAGGATTGAGATGAGCCTAGGCTAACGTATCGTTCTGTAGACCGTACAAAGCGGGCGACTTCGAGGGGCTTGGGGGACCAGAGGACAAGGTCAAGGCGTACGCGGCACAGCAGCCTGGTGATGATGATGTGCGGAGCAATGTTAAGAGATAAGGAGGGGTTTGGAGGAGCAGCAACCCTGGTGTGAAGAGAGAGTTGAACGGTATTATGTTCAGGGGAAGCGTAAAATGGAGTTGAGACAGTGAAAGGATGATAATGAAGAAATGACAACCATTTTCGATGAAGACACGATCAGGATGATACTGCGTCTTACGTCACAGTAGAAAAAAGAGTGTCTGGTGCGATTCAACCAAACTGCAACAGAAAACACCTCTCAAATACTGTAGGTGTGACTCGATTGTTGATGTTGACGTTGGCGGAGGACTACACCTGTGGCTGAGCAATGCGGCTGAGCCATCTGGGGGCCTCTCAGCGAGCACGATTCAAGTCCAACGAAGTCTCTGGAGGTCGATATTTCGTTGGAGATCTCGTTTAATCTCCGAGTCGTTAGCGTGACAAACAAACAAACAGAGTCCAAATAAAACCGAGGAGAAAGCTACGAAGATTGGTTGATGGAAGGCGCTGTTCCATCCGAAGGGTGTGCCACGGTGCAGCAGATGCAGGCGTCTTTGTGCAAGACTGGAGCGGTGTTTGTGACACGCTTCGAGTCCTGCTGTGCGCCATGATTGAACCGGTTTCGAGGTGCACACACACGCCCCCGGATTCTCGCCGTGTCAAGAAGCGCAAAGACGGCCATGTTTATCGAAAGAAGGTCCATGAGAATGGCGGACGGCGAGGTCGGCAGTGATCCGCAGTGAATCTGCCCGGACAGGAAATGTGCCAATAGTGCATCTCAGTGCATCTCATCATCTCAGATCTGGAGGACAACAGCAGAGACTGATGAGCGCCAGGGAGGACGATGGGCTGGGACTCCTGGGACAGGGCGCCTTTAAATATTGTATCACGACCCGGCCTGTGTGACGGAGCATTTTCAAGGCACACGTCCTGTTGCTGTGAGCTGTGTCGAGTTGTAGAGTCGCAGTTTTTGGTCGCCGCGGCTCGAGGCTCGTCTGTCTCTCCTGTGCGCCCTGAGCCCTCTCCGATCCACGTCGAGAATGGGCGTCAAAGGGTCCGCTCGTGAGGCGTTCTGGCGTGCCACTCTAGGTCGCAAACGTGTTGGGCTGAGGAAAAGGGAGTCTTGTGGAGCTGAGCTGGCGTCTACCAAGACCCAGTTACAGGAGTCGCCAGCCAAGCCAGGCGAAGAAGCTAGCTGTTTCTGTATTAGCATACACCCTGATTCGCTTTCGAGTGACCTCATATCGCCCAAGCTTCATCGCGCGCCCCATGCCAGCTCCTTATTATTTTGGCTGTGCGCGCATCTCTTGTTGTGACCTCTTTTCCCCTCCAGCTCTCCTGCTCCTCTGTAGACTTACTTTGCTTCATCTTTTCCTTGTCCCGGCAGCGCTCCTCGAGTAGCCGCAAACCGGAGTTGCCCGCCTGGGTTTGCCCACCATGGATCTCCTATTTAGAAGAGTACGGCATAGCAATTGGGTCGGGGGAAAACAAAGAAGTGCTGATATCTGTACTGCAGGCCGAGGGCGAACCAGGCTCCAACAGAGACACGGCCGGATCCAATTCTGCATCGTCGCTCGTGTCGACTCTCATCCCCAATCTTATCATCGCTGCCATTTTCATCACCCTGTTTATGATATTCCGCCCCCGCTTCAAGCGACTCTACGCCCCGAGAACTTATATCGACAGCTTGGGCGACTAGTGTGTATCCCTCCGGACCTGAACAATAATGAACATGCTGATATCCGTGCAGTCGAAGGACGCCTCCTCCCAGCAGTGGCTTCCTCGGATGGATCAAAGACTTTCGCCGCATCGACGACAAGTGGATCCTCGACCACTCTTCCATTGACGGCTATCTTTTCGTCCGATATTTCAAGCTTATTGTCATTATCAGTATTCTTGGAGCCCTCATTACCTGGCCGATCCTCTTTCCAGTGAATGCAACTGTACGACTAAGCTTCCTTTGTTCTGTACGGATACTAACTTGGCCAGGGCGGCGCCGGAAACCAACAACTCGATATCCTCTCCATGAGCAATGTGTCTAACCCGATACGCTACTATGCTCATGCCCTAGTGTCCTGTGTCTTCTTAGGTATGTATTGACATGCGACTCAATATCAACTTTGCTGAACTAGAGCAGGCCTGGTCATGATTATCATTGCACGGGAGTCTTTCTATACAGTCAATCTTCGTCAGGCATACAGGCGCTCGCCATGGGGAGCCAGCCGTCTCTCTTCCCGGACCATCTTGTTTACCAGTGTCCCTACTAAGATTAAGGTTGCCGAACTGTTCCAGCTGTTCCCAGGAGTGACGCATGCATGGGTGGCTTCGGACTGCAAAGACTTGGAAAAGCTGGTCGAGGACAGGGACGACACCGCGCTGAAGCTGGAAGCCGCTGAGATTCGGCTTTCACATGACGCCAACAACAACCGCCTTAGGGCTGCCAAAGGAAAGAAGCACTATGCGGGACCCGAAGAGGACGGGACCAAGTGGCTGAACCCCAAAGACCGACCGACCCACAGGCTCAAGTTTTTGATAGGAAAGAAGGTCGACACCATCGAGTACGGACGGCAGCACCTTGCGGAACTGATTCCCAAGATTACCGAGGAGCAGGATAAGCATTGGCAGGGAGAGCATAAGCTTGTTGGTGCCGTATTCATGGAATTCGCTACCCAGAAGGCTGCCCAGGACGCGTGGCAATTGATGCAACAGCGGAAGACCAGGCCAAACAAGCAGATGGTCGCTCGCCAGCTTGGAGTTCTCCCCCAAGAGGTCGTCTGGAACAATCTCAGAATCGGTGTTGCCGAGCATTGGGTCCGGTGGTTGATCGCCACGGCTGCCATTACTGTTTTGATTGTGTTCTTTGCCGTTCCTGGTATGCCACAAACATCTACTTATACGTCGTTAGCTCTAACGCATTACAGTCGCCTTCGTCGGTGTGGTTTCCCAGGTCAACTACCTCGCTTCGCGCTTCTCGTGGCTCGAATGGATCCTTGACATCCCTGCGGTCATTCTCGGTGTTGTCACAGGTCTCCTTCCCGTTGTCATGCTGGCCGTCCTCATGGCACTCGTCCCAATCTTCTGCAGACGTAAGTATAGTGCTATTCCATTACGGGCACTAAGCTAACCACATGCAGTCCTGGCTAAGCTGGCCGGATGGGTTACTCTGTCCCAAGTCGAGTTGCAGACCCAGTCTTGGTACTTTGCCTTCCAGGTCATCCAGGTCTTCCTGATCACCACCTTTGCTGGTGCTGTGACCACCGTCATTAACCAAATCCTCGATAATCCCGGCTCTGCCATCACTCTGCTCTCGGAGAACCTTCCCAAGGCATCCAACTTTTACATCAACTACTTCATTCTCTTTGGTCTTTCGGCTTTCGCGGGCAGCCTCCTCAACATTGGCGGCTTCGTCACCGTGGTTCTCCTTGGCCGCATTCTCCCTGGCAAGACCCCTCGCAAGATCTTCCAGAAACTCACAAAGCTCTCCGCACCAATGTGGGGTTCCGAGTTCCCGAAATGGGTGAACTTGGGCGTCATCGCTCTCAGCTATTCGTGCATCGCCCCTCTAATCCTTGGTTTCAGCACCGTCGGTCTCTACTTGATCTACCTCGGCTTCCGCTACAATTTCCTGTACACGTACGAAGTTAACATCGATACTCGGGGTGCCGCCTACCAACGTGCCCTCCAACAACTCACCACAGGCGTCTACATCTCCGAGCTGTGCCTCATCGGCCTCTTCGCCATCGCCATTGCCGACTCCCGCGCCGCCATCGGACCCCTTGTCATTGAAGTCGTCCTCCTCGCCGCCACCATCCTCTTCCACCTCACTCTGCGCCAGGCTCTGAAACACCACGAAGCCCGCGTCGCCTATTCCGACCCCGTACCTACCCCCCAAGACGGAACTGTCGAGGACGGCCCCGTCGATGGCGCAGGCATGCCCGCCGAGAAGCCCGCCCCAACCCAGCTAGCACCTGCCGTCGGACCCCCCCGCCCCTCACGCCTCCCAGCCTTCCTGCAGCGCATCATCAACCCCGAAATCAACTCCGTCTCCAACCTCTCCCTCTCGCTCGAGGGCTTCTACCACAAGCCGCAGGATCCCTTGCCCGTGGACATTGCCAAGCGCGCCTATTTCCACCCCGCCATCACGAGCACGACGCCCACGCTTTGGATCGTGAGGGATGAGATGGGGATTTCGGAACGGGAGTGCAGGGATACGAAAGCAGCGGTGCCCGGGCTGGAGATTACGGACGAGGGAGCTGAGTTTAACGAGAAGAATAAGGTGGTTTGGAGTGGGGTCGAGACGGGCAAGGCGAGGGAGGCGCCGGTTTGGGAGGAGGATGTTACGTATTAGGAGTGTGTTCTTGGGAAGGGGAGCGAGGAAGAGGGAGGAATGGGAGGGGATGGAAAGGAGAAGAAGGTGAAGGGAGAGCAGAAGCAGGAGGATCCAGATGCCATTACCCTGGTTCCGCAGGATCCGAGGTCGTGAGCATTTGACCTTGCTCTTCCAACTCCTGCAAGGTACCCTGGCGGTAATAGGCTTGATGGGTTCTGAGCGATGAGTTTCTCAGTGAACAGGCCATTGATTGATTGATTCCCCCATTAGTAATTAATACATGCATAGCGATCATAGTGCTAGCGATGAGTTATTGTTTCTTCTGTCATGCGGGATTGGGGATTGGGAATTGAAGGCAGTAGGAGGGGAGATATACCACAGTACGAATTATTGTAATGAGCAGTACATAATACGGTTTCAACTTGGAGCGTTTGATATGCGTGATGTTAGTTTTACAGTGGATTGTCCAATTGACGACCTGCGAAAGCAAACTGATTTGAGTGTGAGGAGGGGAGTAAGAGGGCACCGTCAATTCTGAAAAAAATGGACACAAGCATCGAGTAGAGGACGCTGAGACGAGACAGGAAGACCGATAGAAATACTAACAGATAAAGTCGTGGTATCATTGATATGAGAGGGAAATTGAAGCCGACGGAGACCTCGCGTCAGCACTACGATAAAGATAAGAATCCCGAATACGAAGTAGAACCCCCTCCCCTTGAAGGTTTTTGAATAGTATACAACCCCCTCCATCCCCGTCCCATCATTCTCATCACTTCATCTCTCATACCCCGTCATCATCTATATCGTCGTAACATCATATTCAGTATCCTCCTCCCCCATACCTCCTCCTCGTCGTGCCCCTCGCCCTCCCCCCACTCGCGGGGCCGATATCGATACTCTGTAGCTCAAGACTCAGAGCCGCTAGGTCCCCTTCGACGGGCGGTCCGTCCTCCAGCGGGATCTTGGCTGGTATAGGCGGTGCAGCGGCGACTGAGTGTCTAACGTTAGCGCTGTGCCGGGGACCGCTGCCGTAGCCATTGGTATTCGGCATGTGTATATCTGATTGGGAAGATGAGGCCATGTAGGAAGATGCTGGTCTCGGGCTTCGTTTCTGCAGTCTATTACGTCCTGCGGAGCCGGGAGAGGTGGATTCGGTCCCATGCAGCACCATCGCTGAGCTGGTATTCATGGACGATGAAGTACCTCCGACACTGTCTCCAAAGCGATGTCTGGATGGCACGAGTGCGGAGCTGTTAGACGGGCTCCCGTTTCCACCATCCGCATGGATACTGTCCACAGCATTACGAATCCTTTCCCTTTCCAGTCTGTCACGGCGGTACTCCTTTTCTCTTTGTCTCGCGGCGTCGAGGTCACGCGCACCGCTCAGCACGGGCCTTTCTCTTACCGGACGTTCCTTTATCGTCCCCTTTGGTTCGGGTTCCGGTGCCCAGCTATCGAGGGGAAGGTGGTCGGACGCATCGATGACGCGACCGCTGAAAGTGACAATTTGGCCTTTCTCATTGACTTCGACCGCTCCACTGCGGTCTGCACCGTTTCCAATGTTATTGGAACTCGACTGTGTCTTCTTGCTGGCGACGCTTGGGTTGTAGACGTCGAAACTGTCGGGGTCGAAGGGTACGCCGGAGAGTCGGCGTTCGCCCGAATCCGCGGAAGGTGGAGGCCGAGGCGACACAGACTTGCGCGTTGGCATACTTCGGAGGTTGGTACGGGAGGTCCGGTAGTTCGGGCTCTGGCTTTCATGAGGACTCACAGCTCGGGGTTTGACGAGGGGCAGATGGTCCTGTACTGGAGAGGTGTGGCGTGGTTCTTCAGGAGCAGCATGGGGATAATAGTCTGGCGCATCTGCCATTGGTAGCGGTTGATGAGAAAGCGGAGGGTGTTGTGGAGGAGTTTCGTATTGAGGGGGGTGCGCATAATTGGGCTCTGACTGCTGTCGTAAGCGTTGCGGGGTTCCGTAGGATGGTGCTGCTTGATAGACATCAGGCTCATATGCGACAAGACCATTCTCTTCACGAGAAGCATCGTAGCCAGGTACTAAGCTTGATGGCAGCATAGTCACCTCACCCCTCAATGGCGACGGGACCATGACATCTCGAGATACCGGACGACTAGCAGATTGGGGATGTGTGTATCGTCGTTCTGCAGAAGGCGGAGTGCCATAATATTGCTGGTTTGAGGAGTCGTAGCCGCCATTTTGAGGTTCTTCACGGTACCTGTTTATGTTGAGAGGAGAGGGTGCATCGCTGTGATAGGTGGGGGGTCGGTCATGGTGAGGCTGCGTGACTGTGTGCGCATTGCTCCTATGCACTGGGGGAGGCGGCGGAACCTCGTCGTCGTCTTCCACGGTTGGTTGCATCCCAGCTGGAGAGCGGGAGTATGCCATGGAGGGGTCAAATCCGTTCGGAGGATCATAACTGTTAGGCGCATAGTAAGGATCTCGTCCTGGGCTTTGTCCAAATCCGGCATCGTGACTGCGACTTGTCCTCAAGGGCTCCACATGGATCGGCGCATCCTGGTACGGGATTTGGGAATAAGAATGCGCAGCTGGTTGGGGGCTGTGGTGATTGTTAGGATACCCATCCGTATGCTGCGTCGGAACTGCTGGAGCTGAATAGGAATGGGGCATCACTTCGTGCTCTGGTAGGCGACCTTGAGACGACCTGTAGTTATCCTGTAGCACAGCGCGATGCGACTGCTCCCTTTGCTGTGGGGCTGGGTCAGTCTGCGTTTCGTATGGCTTGGGTGCAGCATATGATACGTCGTAACCAGATCGGTCATACTGTGGAGTATTATGACTCGACTGGTGTGATGGGTTGGGTGATGCATCATATGGATCCGGCACTGGTTGTGGCGTCCGTTGGTGATGCTGAGGAGTGTGGGGGCCCGGTACTGGAGCCCCATTGAGAGAAGAGCCGTCCTGCAGTGGTCTCCGGGAAGGCTGAATTTCAGTCTGGTGACTTCGGTGCTGAGCTGCCGGAGTATGCTCGTTTGTCCTGTGCTGCTGTGGAGGAGTCTGATATGCGCGCGGACCAGACTGCGCTCCTTGGAGTCCACGATGTTCTGGAGTGCCGCCAGGAGAGGGCGCCGCACCTGCAGGCCCAGCGGGAAGCGGTCTTCTTTTCACAGGAGTGCTGTCGCGCGGTCCTCCAACCGCAGGGCTCCCGTTCTCCGGACGTGCGGTTTCCCTCCTCTTCTCCACAACTTTCTCCGCCTTCGGTCGCGTATCGTAGTATGTGAGCTCAATCCGAATCTCTCCGGCATATTTCCCCTTGCAATTCAATCCATGCCAGCCATCGCTCTGTCCTCCGCCAGGTAGCAATACGTTCTCGAGGCTGACCCAAGTTTCTCCGATCAGTTCGGTCTTCTTGTCGTCGTTGAATACCGAGACCTTCAGACTCTGGTAATCGGGCGAGTCATGCACGGTGAAACGTAGCTCCTGGTCCCTGTACAGAGTTAGTGATTGTTGCCTTCCCTCTCATGCAGTGTGCTCACCATCGCGGTGTTTGGCCTCCCCGCTTGTCCGTGGTCGTCTTCTTTGCTTCTTTTCCGAGTCTTGCAGCGCAGTAGGGGTCTTGTTTTCCCATGCTTCGTCGGTTGGGCAGGTTCTTCGCTCTGTCCATGATCACGACCAGCGTGCCAATATTGGGCCCATCCACCGTCATGTCCGAGAAGATTCCAGCCGTATGCATCTTCCCAAAAGACCCTATCGAGGCCGCCTTCGTAGCCATGTTGGACTGCTATAGCGTTTTTGGAGAGCTTCAATCTGCAGGAAGTGTTTCTCCCAGCGGGGTGGGACGTTGTGAAGTGGAATTGATAGAGCGCATACGCAGCGATCGTTTGGAGCGAACGGGAAGAATGAAAACGCTGAAACTCAAACTGCGGGCAAGTCTAAAGAGCGGCTGTCGGCACCTGCTGCAAGTGATGCTGGTGGGTCAATCTGCGTCGTCGGCCCTCAAGTGTCTTGAGGTTGACGCAGCTTGGTGGCTGGGACGACCAGCCACACTGAGATCTCACGCCAGCCAATCAGCGCGGCGCATCGTTTCAAGCTGACGCCTCAACTTCTGCTATTGTCTCCACCAGAGTGCGCCTTACAAGAAACCGCCGCATTGCGCCGGGAAGATGCATGTATGTGGATCATCGCATGATGGCTCGCAGTTTGTTTGGGTTTCCTCCAACCATTGGAGGCTGGGAACGAGACGGAACGCGCGGCTCTATCACGGATGTATTACTCTTCTCCAGTCAGAACAGGATATGGATTCCGAGAAGTAATCAGAACCGGTTTCTCGCGCGTACGAAGAGTACTGAGGGATCCCAGGAGGTGAGCACCCAGCTGGGCTTTACCGAGGTTGGAAGACACTGGCCTATCTCACATCCTATCCTAGACTCATCATGCAGCCGAAGGGAGTGGTGTGAGCATCTTTTATACCAGAAAGAATCTCCTTGACGGGTCCGAAGGCTCGTCTCAGTCTTGCTTGTACTCGTGCACGTCCTCTAGCGCAGCAGTGATAAGAAAATTGAAAACAAGAGTTCCCAGATCCAACTACATTAAGATCGCTTCAGGCTTTCGCTCTGAGAGAAGAGCCTCCCCTATATTACATGGTAACTATGGTCTTGAAAATTAGAAAAATACTTACGGTCACTGCGGCGCACCCATATCCTGCAACCTCGCCAACTCCCAATACACTCCTCTCTTCCCCATCAGTTCCTCATGCCTGCCCTTTTCTACGATCTTGCCTTTATCAAACACATAGATCACGTCTGCATGCTGAATGGTGCTCAAACGATGCGCAATGGCGACGGTGGTGCGGCCCTTGGACGCGGAGTCCAGAGCGTTTTGGACGACGCGTTCGGAGGTGCTGTCGAGAGATGACGTTGCTTCGTCAAGTAGCCTGTGCGACGAGGTTAGATTGGTTGATGGTCAGAGGGCATCTCAGACGGGTATGCCTACAAAATCTTAGGATCGCGAAGTAGAGCGCGTGCAATGGCAAGGCGCTGTCTCTGGCCACCGCTGAGGAGAGCGCCCTTTGCTCCTACTAGAGTGTTGAAGCCGTCCGGAAGGGATACCTGAGCAGCGTAAGCTATTATCTGTATGAGCAAGGATTGAGGCCGACGTACAATGAAGTCGTAGATATTAGCATCTTTGCAGACCTGCGCAATTCTCTCGTCGTCCACATCTTCCTTATCCGCCAGAATGTTCTCCCTAATCGTACCGGTGTACAGCGTCGTCTCCTGACTGACAATTGCCAACTGAGCTCTGTAATCCTGCAAATTGTAGTCCTTCAACTCCACGTCATCAACCATGACAGAGCCGGAATCGGGGTCGTAAAAACGTTCTAGCAGCGCCATCACCGTAGACTTTCCGCTTCCGCTTGCTCCGACGAGCGCAACGAACTGTCCAGGCTCCGCAGTGAGGCTTACACCGCGCAGGACGGGATGATCAGGGCGACCGGGGTATGTGAAACGCACGTTATGGAGACAGATCCTACCCTGAAAATCATCCACCCTTTTCCCTTCGGTGGACCAGTGATCGATCTTTGGAACACGGTCGATGAAGCTCTTCAACAGGGTGGCGCCAGCCCTCGCCTCCCCCATGTCCGGTGCGAACGAGAAGATGGCACCTGCGGCTTGTGCTCCGTTGATGATGGCAGCGTAGACGATAAAGAACTGGACAACCGTGTACTCCATGTCCAACATTAGCTTGCCGCCATACCAAAATACAAGAGCAAAGATGAGCAAGTTCAAAGCATTCGACAGGGCAAAGAGAATGGCGGACACATTATTGTAGAGGATGTTACCCTTGGCTTGAACCACGAGTTTGTCGTGGTACTCGGAGATCAGATGCTGTTCGAGAGACAGGGAGGCCACAGTTCGGATGGAGGAGGCAGCTTCGCAGGCGAACGAAGCGGCTTCGGTCGATCGTTTGGTACGCTTTTCCATACGGACGAGAGCCTGTAACAGAGATCAGCATGAGGTATCATTTTTTGCGTATCAGCGTACTCACCTGAAACCTGAAGTATCCGGTGGCAAGCAAAAGTGGAATGGTAGATGTGCATACGAGCGCAAGCTTCCAGCCAAAGATGCAGCCAACAATTATGGCAACGACGATTGAGGATAGCGATCCTAGGATTGTACCGAGTGTTGATCCCGTCAAGCCTGCGAGTCGGTTCGTCTCGGACGACAAGAATGTTGCAAGAGATCCGGACGTCACTGTATCACCATCGAAAAATTCGATGTCCTAAGACTTGTTATTTCTGCGACTCGACGCATGTTTGATGTTAACATACCTGTCGCAGGGCGGCACCGAAAGCTCGCTCTCTGACACGTGCAATGAGGCGACTACTTCTAGTCAGTAAGAGAACGCCCCCTCTGGTTCCCATGTACTTACGCAGATGCTTTGGACAGTGCGAGGCCTTGGGCGAAATAGAACGCCCATATTACGATACCCAACATGAGAAACATGAGACACCAGAAATTGACGTTGTGGTTGCCAGTCGTCAGCTCGGGCGCAACCAAGGCTGTAATGGTGTTTCCAAAGAAGATGGCCTGGATGGCTGGATTTGTGCCGCCACCAAAACTAAAGATGCAGCCGAGAAACAACAGGAACTGTTCTGGCTTGTTCATCTTCCATACAAACTTGATTAGTTGCGACGTGGGATACTCCTTGTCCTTCTCCTCCCCAGCAGCTTTTCTCGGCGCCTTCTCCGTCGTCGTGGCGGTGCGGAGCAATTCGAGCTTCTCGTCATCTTCTGTAATGTCTGCGGTGTTCTGTGCGGTCGTGTTCCCGGGACGAATCTCGGAGCTGAGTTCCTGCGCCCGGACGAGACTGTGATATACACCCTCTGACTCAAGCAGCTCTTCATGCGTGCCCTGCTCGACGATTCTGCCTTTGGCCATAACCACAATGTTATCTGCCTTCTTGATAGTCGACAATCGATGCGCAATGACAAGCGTGGTCCGGCCTTCCGAAGCACGATCCAGTGCCTCCTGTACGGCCCTCTCGGATTTCGTGTCCAAACTCGCGGTAGCCTCATCAAGAAGGAGAATTTTCGGGTTAGACACAACGGCTCGTGCAATCGCAATGCGCTGTTTCTGTCCTCCTGAGAGCAAATTCCCTCTTTCGCCTACTCGGGTCTGGAACTTGTCGGGCAGGCTCTCGATGAAGTCAAATGCATTAGCCACTTTGGCGGCCTCTACAATGAGGTCCATCTTCACGTCGTCGGATGCCTGGAAGTTGTGAGAACTGATGCCGTGAGAACAGAACATGACATACCTCGGCCCACTCCGTTCCAACTAGCCCGTGTGCGATGCTCTCGTAAATAGTAGTACTAAAGAGCGTCGGTTCCTGGCTAACGATTGCAATATGCCGCCTCAGCCACTTAAGATTGAGTGTGCTGATATCTTTGCCATCCAGCAGGATCTGGCCGCTCATGGGTAGATAGAAGCGCTCAAGAAGGCCAAAAATCGTCGACTTGCCGGACCCCGATGCTCCAACGAGCGCCAGCATCTTCCCGGCAGGAACCTTCAGGCCGAATCCGTCCAAGACCGTTGTGTCGGGGCGAGATGGATATATGTGCTTGACGTCTCTGAATTCAATGTTGCCGATGAACTCTCCTGGCCTCTCTCCCTCATCTGTCTCTGGATCAATGGGGGACTGTCTCTCGATGGTGTTGATGACCTTGGTCGCTGCTGCCACTGCTTGACCAAACGCTTGCAGGTGTGGCAGGTTCTGTCCTATAGAGAAGCCAGCGATCATCGATGCCATAACGACCGTCAGGATTTTCGCGACGTCGAGTTCTCCTGAACGCATGAATCTGTTCCCCTGCCAGAAGGCCAAGGCATATTGTAAGTTGATGACGATTTGCATCGCAGCAATCAAGGAGGAAAGCCACATCTTGGCCTTGAAGTCGGATACAGCGGCCCGGTCAAGGAAGGTTTTGTATTTCTTCTGCAATTTCTTTTGTGTGCCGTAGGCTGTGACATTGCGGGCCGAGGACAAGACTTCTTCGGCCAGGGTGCCCGCCGTGGCATATTCGTCGACCGACTTCAGCTGGTTGACTCTCATATTGCGGCCGTTGACGCCCATCATGAGGATTAAGGCAACGGTTGCAGACAGCATGATAAGTGAGAGCTTCCAAGACCTGACAAATCCAACGACAATGCCTGCCGCGAACATGGAGAGCCCGTTAAGGAACAGGGCAATCTTTTGACCAATTCCGTCTTGCACAAGGTTCATGTCCGAGCTGATACGAGTTGTGACCTCTCCAGCACCCAGAAAATCGAAGAAAGCAATGTTCTGACGGAAGATAGCCCTCAGGTAAAGTTCGCGAATGCGCTGCGCGATCTTCTCGCCAGTGTACGAGAAGCCTATGATACTGATGTAGACGGTGACCAATGAAGCGACACCCAGGTACACGAAGTAGAGAGTGAATGTATTGACCTGGTGTGTAAACTGCTTCTTCGCGACATCGTCGACGGCGAAACTCGTAAAACTTTTGGCGAAGTTGCCATAAACAAGGGTCATCAGGGGGAGAACGGCGCCTGCAATGACCGATGCAAGGAAAGAGATTGCCATGATGATCTTTTCGGTTCGGTTGGCGAATGCAAGTATCGAGAATAATCCGATCTTTCTTTTGGGTGCTTCCAGCTGTCGGTCGATAATCCTCTTCTCCTCATCTGAGAGTGCGTGGGCGTGCGGCGCAAGGTGGCCACCATCACCTTCGGAGATCTGCTTCTCCTCCATTGTCGGCAGTGGTCCTTTGGGCGCCATTGATGCTGAGGTTGGCAGCAACCGCCCAAGTTATCTGGCCGCGCAAGGCGGGAGAGAGGTTGAGATGTGTGTCGTAGTGAAGTTTAGGCATCCACGGAAAAGTTCCAAGGTTGCGTCTTCACAAGGCCGCGGCTCGCTCGATTTGGATGCCAATACGAGCCTCGTCGAAACAAGCAACAGCCCGAAGCTTAGCGTGGCCGCTACGGACCAATTCGGAAGGCCGCTTAACCAGATTATGAAACAACGCGGACGATTTCTCGGTTTCAGCTGGAAGACGTGAATGCTGGATTGAGGGGCGACGTCAAAAGAAGAATAAGATGGTGGAAATCTCAATTGATGTTATGGATTCGTTTGATGAATGGAAGATTGGCAATCCTCGTAAATAATCATGTTCGAGTCCTGCAGGACGGGGAAATTTTCGCCTGAGGGCTGCAAAGTCCTTATGAAGGGCGGAAGGGCGTGCCCAGGGGGCAACCAGGCAACTCAGGGGAACTCGGGTGACAATCAACAAGAAGTGCGTCCGGATACGCTTACCGAGGGATATGAAGGCAGTGTGCAAACTGTCTTCGGTGGGTGGATTCCAGGGGATGTTCGGTTTCGAAATTCTGTTCCGGGTGTAGCAGAAGGATCACGATGGGATGGGTTCACCATCGGACACTGCCGCTGTCCCAAATTGGAGGGTTCAAGTCAGTTTTCCCCAAAGTTATCCTATAACCTGCGCGTTTGCTTCAACCGTTGTGCTTCTGCCGGACATGATCTTATCTGGCAGACATGCGCGGCTCAGCTCAGGGGGAATGGGGGAACGACGAATTGAGCACTCCACTGTGCATGAAACGAATGATTTGGCAACCATTGAACATTTCATACCAGCGTCGAGTCACTGCGTTCACTAGCGTGAGAAGAGCGCCAAGTGAAAGAAAAGTGCAGCAACTTGATCCTAGGCATTCTGGCCTGCCTGCACCCATCCCCGGAAATCATAGCATGGCTGTTACACGGCCTAGGCCATCCGATTACCAAATATTATTCCGATGCTGTTCATTAAGGGCTAAGGCGCCCTTCAGTGAGGCTTGGGAAAGCTTGTTCTTTGCAAGAAAGGCCAAGTGGACACGTAAGCCAGAGCTGGGTGGAAAGAAATGCGGTGTGCAAGGTGGGTGAGATAAACATGATAATATTGCAACCAGGCGTCCAGGTCCAGGTCCTGTCAGATCACGTCAATTCTACGGGCAAATAGCGGGTGTCTTTCCGCATCCATGATCGTTCCAGTAGAAATGAGGCCTGTCGTATCATTACCTGCATGTTATATGTGCTGCACCGTCCTCATCATCAAGCAGGCAAAGTGCCAGCCTTGTTGTCCGTACTTCACTTCGGGGCAGAACTCTTCATACATATGAAACGCTTTCTTACTCACCTCCTCTTCCTCCCCTTTCCAGCTCTTTAGACTCTCCTCAAATTGCTTCTTCACTGTCTCGTACTCCACCTGCCCGAACTTCTTCTTCAGTGGCTGCTCGGACCCCGGTTTGCCGTTTCCTTCAGAGCCCACGAGTGCCAGCCCGTCCTTCAGCTTAAGCTTGAAATGCATGACCTCAATCACTTCTAGATCCTTGGATCTTTCCTTTGCCTCCTCGCGCTTGCGTTGCTTTTCTTCGGATTCATCGCGCTCAGCTATCGTTCCAATAGATCTGCCTTTTGCGAGCGCGCAGATCGTGGATATCGCGGATCCAACGCTGAGGCAGGTTTCCCATGGCAGGTGAGGATAGCGGAAATTGGTCACGCATGCACTCCAGAGCTGCAGAACGGGTGCGCGATTGATACGAACGATTCGCTTGTCTTGGTCACTGCTTGCAGATTTGACGAATTCCTTGGACGCAGCGGCACTCTTTGCTTGCTTCTTTGCGCGTTCTTCTGGACCTTGTGCAGTGCTCCGTTGGCGTTTCTTGGCCGTGGCTTGCTTTGTATGTGCGCCCATCTTGATGACGCGGTTTGAAGTGCGGCTGACCTCTGCGTTTCCACCCACGCCTCGTGTTGTCTTGCTCCGGGTAGTGACCATGATTAACTTCGCTGCGCTATCCTTCTGTCATGGGATATGGCAAAATCATCGGGGACGTAGGAGGTGGTTTGATGTATTGCTATGACGTAGTGCGAGACCTTACCGAATGCGGGACCAATGAATCAACAAGCCAACCATACCAAATCGGAAGATGAGAATCTATTAACCAGAACCTCTGTCACTATGCAAAGTAATCCATACTCTGGAATCACTTCTTATCGGCAAACATCTTTCCCAGTTGCTTCGTAACATATTTCTTACCCTCAGTCTTGATCACAGGGACAGCGTAGGCAATAAACAGATCCTTTGCTTGCTTCTGCCACTTGCTTTCCTTGCGTCTTGACTGTGTAGGTCGATCTCTGCGGCGGTCGTCGTGTATCGTACGTCTCTCTTCCGGTGGCGGTCTCCCGTCATAGCGATCTCTCTTGGGTTTAGAACGCTGGTCCCGGTGATAGTCATCGTACTCTCGTCTGTGTTGTCGTCGCGAGAATTCGGAGTCGTCAAACCTGTCACCATAGCGACTTCGTCCACGATCGTTATCCTCTTTGTGTCGGTGGCGTCGCTGGGACGAAGGCAAATCGTCTGATACGTGACCGTGGTAGCGGCGAGGTTCTGGATAGGTTTGTCGTCGTCGAGGCTCAGGAGATTCGCCTGTGTAGACTGTAAATTTACCGCAGTGAAAGGACATCAGGAGGCAGATGGAGTGGCTCACGTCTAGAGCGATCATGATGCGCATTATGCGGGTATCGGCTATGAGAACCGCTTCGTTTGTCGCGAGGAGCGAAGTCATCGTGGCGAGCTTCGTCGTCTGGATCCATTAGAGGTCGCACAGGTCCATATCTGGATCATTAGTCTTACAGAACCGCGGGTTCTCATATGGGAGAGGCATCGCGCGGTGGTGGGTACAATGAAGAGTCGTGGGTCGGATATCTGAAAGGCTAGTAACTGTGCAGATTGACAGGAAAATGGCTCCTCGTCGCCAGAGAGTTGATACCGAGTACTGCGTCGAGGCCTTGCAAGCGTATAGCGGCTGAAGGAAAAATATGCCTCTCGAGTGAACTGGGCAACGTGACCGTCATAGTGCATGACCCTGCACAAGAAACGCGTGATACCCGAGCGTGATCGACGGATCTACCCCAAGACATCCAATCCGGGCGAATAACGCAATCGCTAAGAACCGCCCTCGAGAACTCTGAAGCACTTCACGGTCGATCAAAGTGATTTGAGTACATTCTGAAGGAGTTAGTAAATTGTGAACCTTGGATGGTAATTGACTCACTGGAATGAAACGAATACCCGGCCTATCTCACGATAAGACAGACCGGCGCGCTGTGGATTCTTTGCACAGTGATGATGCAGGATCTGTGCGCGCTTCTATCCTCGTCCGGTGACCACCTGCAGTATGGTAGCCATCCTGAAATCTGTGTATCCTACGGACATGAAAAGTATCATTCTTCCGCATCACCTGTATCCCTATCCGGGCTCCGGCTTCGACCCCTACCGCCACGTCCGCCTCCCCGCCTGTCGCGATCTCGTCCACCCTTGTTGGCCGGCGGCGGCCGTACGAACGCGAAGTCGACTGACACTTTCTGCTCCAGGAGCTCGTGGCCGTTGGCGCCCTTGATGGCTGCTTTCGCTTCGTCGAGCGTGGGATATTCGATAAGGACGTAGCCCTATGAAGAGGGTCATCAACCAATCCAACAGGAAATGTGCGGCAGCCAGCCTACCTTGACATAACCAGTTCTTCGGTCCAGGTTCAGGTGCAAGTTTTTGATTGTGCCAAATTCTCCAAACATGTCCAGTAGGTCCTCCTCGCTAGCTTCTTCGTGTACATTGGTGACGATGATGATCCAGCCTTCGATCGAACGTACGGCAGTCGCACCCATCGCTGTAAGGGCGTCATTGGAACTTGGAGCGGCGGCTTGAGGGCGTTCGGGCTGGTCTAGTTCCATTTCTTCAGCCATGATTGAGGATGCGCAGCCGGGTGGGAAGCGAGGAGATTTCTCAGTAAGATTGCGTAAGAATGCCAACCTAAGCGGTCCGTAGCTGCGTCCGAAGCTGTCCCTGGGAATAGAGCAGTCGTGGTGTTGTGGCGGATCTCAAACAAGGGAATACGCCAAGAACTCCGTGCCCCAGAAGAGTTCCCGCATTTCGCTTACATAGATTCAGGAAAACCGCTAACCGGATTGGGCATTCTTTACGTCAGGCTGACTATCCGACTCTGAGGTTAGAGACCACACCTGCAAACTTGTTATAGAAATGTTGAGGATGTACGACTTATCCATTCTCGACGGTTGGCTCTATTACAAAGATCCTTCTCTTCCACCGCTGTCTTCTCTCACTTATCTTTTTGTTGCTGTCCTTCTATCTTCTAGCATTATCGCATTAGACATTGATTTCCGAAAGGCGCGGCAAAAGAAAGTCAAAATGGCGGAACCACCTCGATTCACCTCAGTAAGTTATGCAGGCCATCAACTGTACTTACAAGGTTACAATGAGTTCATAGTGAATGTAGGTGGCCATGATTGGGTGTGGGAGTATGGGTTCAGGCCTTGCTCTGCTCCTCGCTGAGAATGGTGTGAAAGTCTCACTTCAGGACCCGTCGGAGGAGATGATGGATGATGCTATTGACAAAGCTGAGAAGTCTGGCTATCATAAGATGCTCACAAAATTCAAAGGTGCTCCAATTACGACGGGCCGTTCGAGGGTCTGATGGTACTGATTCCCGTCACAGATTACAAGTCCCTCTGCGCTTCTCTCTCCTGCCCAAGACTGTTTGTCTTCTCAATACCTCATGGAGATGTTGGTGACAAGGTACTGGACGGCCTGACACCTCACCTCTCTCAAGGGGACATCATACTCGACTGCGGCAATGAGCACTTTCAGACCACAGAGCGCCGTCAAGAGAAGTCGAAAGGAGTGGGAATCCGGTATATCGGTTGCGGGGTTAGTGGCGGCTACCAGTCAGCGCGATCAGGGCCCTCCATGTGTCCCGGTGGAGACGAGTCTGCGCTCGAGGACGTCATGCCCCTTCTGGAAAAGATTGCAGCGAAAGACAAAGACGGCAGCCCCTGTGTTGGCTTCATTGGAAAAGGAGGAGCAGGTCATTATGTCAAGATGATGCATAACGCTATTGAGCATGGGATGATGAGTGCCATTGCGGAGGCGTGGGAAATGCTTCGCAAGGTGGGATTCGGGTACGAGGAGATTGGAGATGTGTTCAAGAAATGGAATCAGAGCGGCGAATTCGTAGGTCATCCTTTTTTTATACTAGAAGCACCTGCTGAATATAAACAGAGAGGCACATTTCTTATCTCGATTGGAGCGGACTTGTCATACAAAAGAGAGCCTGATCAAAAACGCACGCCAGTCATTTCGGAAATCGTTGATAAAGTTGTACAAGACGTGACCGGTGAAGAAGGAACAGGCATTTGGGGCAACACCGAATCCATCGACTTGCACGTTCCTGCGATCACTCTCAATTCTTCTCACGCACTTCGCATTGCCTCGGCATACCGTGGCGACCGCGAGCGCGCGAACGAGGTTACAAAAGGGGGATTTCCGCCTCGCGAAATTAAGGTGCAGGACCGAGACGGCTTTGTTGAAGATTTGAGGCAAGCGACATACGCAGCGTGCTTGGCTAGCTATATCCAAGGAATGAATGTAATCTCGCGGGCTAACCAGCAGCATCAATGGAATATCAACTACGGCAACGTTTGGAAAATATGGCGGGCAGGCTGCATCATTCAGGCCGACTACATCTCCGACCATATTCTGGGCCCGGTTTTGCTCTCAAATCCGGGGTCTGAATCCCTTGACCTCCTTTTCAACCCTCGCACAATGGAAGACGTGGGGAAGACATTCCCCTCCCTAAGGCGTGTGGTCCTGAAGGCCGTGGAAACAGACCAAGTGGCTCCAGCTTTGAGTGGCACGCTGGAATACCTCAAGACGGTTACTGGCACATCCCTTCCGACAAGCTTTTACGAAGCCGAATTGGATTATTTTGGGAGCCACATGTTCGATAAGAAGGGCGAGAAGGGGACTGAGCAGGCAAAGAAGGGCGAGCACCACTATGAGTGGAAGCCCGCGCAAAGTCAGAAAGAGGTGTACGGTAAAGCGTCGGACATTTAAGAAGGCGAAGAGACAGACTCGAGTTCTCCGGTACGCCTAGCGCCCAACTACATGTTATCCGGATAATGCCTCGTGGATCCTCTTGAAGAAGGAGGAGAGGACGATCACTGATGAAGCCACTTCTTGGTCCATGTAAGGAGTTTGACAGTCACTATTCGTTCCTGGCGTCTAAGGTGACATTATCTGTTGCCAAATGCGAAATTACTGTTATCAGCTGGATTCAAAACCCGGTACAACGAGGCGGTCCGCATATATTCGTGTCGATTGCAGAAAGACAAGCCACTCAGCTCAGCCTTCCGATCCAAATTCTGACCGGTCCGAGAAGGTGTGCTCTCGGGACAATGGGCGGTGGACATGGCGCGTTGGTTGGCTGGCACCATGATCTAGGCCCTCGAGCATTCCCTAGTTGGACTGTTGTTTCATCGTGATCCGCGTTGCAATGCAGACTGGGTCCTTGTCTCCATGGCCTAGCTGCGCCATTTGGGTATTTCTGAGATTTGCAAACAGCCTCTGGGCGCCTCTCTCGATTGCATACACAAAGCTAATTCGACGGGGCCTAGGACGGTAAGACTGGTGTCTCAAGCTCCCGCATCTGGTTGCTAGTCCAGTTATGTCATGGTTGCAGCCGAAGAATCACTGTTGATGTCTGTTGAGGCCGGTGGCTCTGCATAAGCACTCTTTTGTGAGGCGCAAGTTTGTCAAGAAATCGAAACGAAACATATCTCTGCGTGCATTGGGTTGGTGTAGAAACATGATAATGAGTGTGTCGATCATGTAGTTGATTTTAAAGGTCGAGTTAAGGTTAAGGTTGCGGACACTAAGAAGGTAGGACCCACATGGAAAGCTCCAAGCCTCCAACAGGCAGTCGCGTCTCGCACTGAGACTCAAGCGCCAGCTCTCCCAGTGAAGAATCATCAAAGACGATCAGTTTGCAGTGAAGTGGAACCAACCGTCGCAACTTGCCTCCTTTGACAGTGTATCACGCAACTTCAGCTTGCCGTCAGACAGAGAGCGCAGTCAAGGCAACCAGAAGGCAATCAGATGGCGACCGTGTCCGTGTCCCGACCAGTCATTTTCGCTCCCGATATCCTCGGAGAGCTGTCTGCCCTACGCTGTACTCGATTCCCTGCTGGAGGACTACCGGTGTGCGTGCTCAGGCTGTAACTCGACGGGTTTTCTCCAATCACGCTGTGTTACGCCACACCATTAGCCTACAACAGGGCAAGGCGAGGGACTGGATGCTTTAAAGCCACACTTTGGATTTGCTTCTGACTGTGACCCAAGACGAGGCAGACGACGCCAGCTGCCGAATCTCGGAAACCCGTGGAAGCGCAATTGGGTTATATCTTGACCGGCTGGCCAGGCACGGAGACGGAATGCCTTACACACGTCCAATACGCTCCTGATCCGAGAGGTAGCCTTGCTTGCCTCGTACAGCCTTGCCAGTCGCGAACTCCATCGTCGGATTGTTCCTGAGCTCTTTCGAAACACCAGGAGCAGAATGGAGCACCCACTCATCCTCGTAAATTCCTTGTCGCCGGATTTGGAGTCGAGTTCACCTCCAGAAGAAAGGGTAGAAATTCCACAACCTCAGCCTGAGGCAAAGCGTAAAGGTAGAGATTATGATAGCTTGAACGAACTCCTGCGCGAGTGCAGCTTTCCTCATGAAGATCCGGCAATCGGGGAGTTTTGGCCATGTACGCTACTGGAGCGCATCCTTACCAAAGCGCGAATCATGGAGGAGCTCGCGGACTATCAGAAAGAGTGGCCTGAAATGTTTGCCGGTAGAACCAAGGAAGACTACGCCGACCAAATTTTGGGCTTGGGAGAAACCGGAAATCGCTATCTCAGGATGTTTGCAGGTCTCGTCTTGGTCGGGAAAGGAGAGCAAATAGGCAGGCTCATGGAGGCCGGAGTATGCGACAACGACATCCCTCTCGTGAGGTGTATCTCAAATCCAGATAAGCGAGGGAAGTGCATGTTGGCTCGCAAGTCCTCTCCCAATGTTCCGCTAGATTGCTTCAGCGTGCCTGTATGGGGTATACACGATCGCGGGAGTTTTGATAAGCATCAGCGGTCGCTTGATGTCGTACATTTGGGTCTAAACTCGGATAAGACTGTGAAGCACGAGGATTTCGATGCCGGAGTCGTCATGCCCTGGACCACTCGGACTAGAACTGGCCAAGGTGGATATGGGACAGTGTACCGAGTCACAGTCCCTCGTGAATGCCACGATTTTGACGGTGCACTCCAAGCTGTATGTGTTCTGCTATCTACCTTCACCCGCAACTGACGGAGCCAGATCGAAATTCATGATACATTTGCTGTCAAAGAGATCATAAGAAAGAAATCCAAGCTGGACAAAGAAGATGTTGAGCTCTGGAGAGAGGTCGAAATGCTGAAACGCTTCAGTGGGGCATTCCATGATCATCTGGTTACTCTACTGATGTCCTGGAGCGTGGAAGGGCAACATTGTCTGTTGTTCCCTTGGGCAGGGTGTGACCTTGACAAGTATTGGAAACGGGAAACTAACCAGGTGGAAATCGATCCTTTGACGAAAGAGATAAGATTTGATGACGTACATTGGGTATCAGCCCAAATCCTCGGTCTGACCGGAGCTTTGAATCTCATCCATAACCCGACGCATCTCCATCTGAACCCGGAGGAACGGAAGTACGGACGGCATGGTGATATAAAGCCAGAGAACATATTATTCTATCCTTCACCGAAGTACCCAAAAGGAATTCTTGTTATCTCGGACTTCGGTCTCTGCGCCCTCAATTCGGACTTGACCCGGTCAAATATTCCGGGGGAGGCGATTCCTCAAACACCAGGGTACCGGCCACCTGAATGCGATCTTGAAGGAGGCAAAATATCCCGCTCGTATGATATATGGACATTTGGATGCCTTCTGCTCGAGATGGTTTGTTGGGCATTGGGTGGAAGAGCCCTGCGGGACCAGTTCAGCGAAGACAGATTTGCAGTATACATATCGGGCGTCCAGTTGAATATATTCTTCGACCTGCAGAAGAAGCATGAGGGGGATAAGTACGTCATAAAAGTGAAAGATACGGTCAAAGAGGTGCGTCATACATCTCATCAACATTACGAAAGCGACGCGGGATTTAACCATTCTTCAGTACTTCATCAAGCTGCATGCGGCGCCCAGCTGCACGCAATACTTTCATGAACTATTGGACATCATTGAACAGGAAATGATCATAGTTCTCACGCCAGATAAAGAGAGAATTCGGTCCGGTGCACTTCTTCAAAGGATCGAAGAAATGCATTCCAGAGTCTCTAATGCTGAAAAAGGCTACTGTCAGACACCATGCCCTCAATTCAGAGAATTAACCCAAGATGTGGCTTTTGAGGCTGAGCTCAACAACACGGCAAAAGGCAATGTGCAGATACATAAGGGTGCCGGTCTCAAAGTACACAGGGGCGAAGTCCGGAAGTCGATGGGTCCCGATGAGCTTCAGGCCATGGAATATGCATCTTAGCGATTACGTACACAATAGCTTTTTCTCCAGTATTGGGATAAGTCTCTCAAAAAGTCAGCCGTGTGGCACCGCTGTCTTGTCTTGATTCGACGTCTATGGCTCGTTTGAGATGTTGCTCGCAATCGCACTTGTGGTGGTCAATTTGTGGCAGTGGCTTCTCGTAGTCCAGTCCGTTCGTCAATATTATCAGCCCTCATAATGCTCATTCAGCATCTCTTCCATCATTTCGATTTCACACTGGATCTGGTCAGCCGCTCTGACAAGAACTTGAAAGTATTCGGCTCAAAGCTCACGGCGGTCATTGGTCGCGGGATGGTACATATGAAGCGACCACGCTTTTGCTATGGCAAAGTCAATTGGAGCCATGGTTAAGCAGGGGCTGCACTACCTCCACCCTCACAGTTCCCCACCCGAAAATACCTGCAAGATAGCTCTCCATCGTAGCCTGGTCCGTATAACGTCCCGTGATGACAATTTTCATTGTTTCTGGAATGGATAACGAGTCTCTGAGTGCTTGAGAGAATTTCTCTTCGGAGTATGAGCCTGTATTAGGATCTGGATATCGAAATTGTCGAAGGAGGCGAGCGCGTGAGGCTGAGAACGAGGCTGAGTGATATTCGAGAAGTTTTGGTGTGCACACGTCAATCTACAGGCGCTTTGAGTAGGTTACATCAATTAGCTAACTCGAACAAACATTGCCGCTGGTGTCCGTACAGACACAGGAGACGACTGGAGAGTTGCCCTCGCTGTGCTACGTGTCGTGGCACCGGTGAATATCCCAGCATGCAGTGGTGGGACCGCGTTCGGACGACGCGAGAACTCCGCAAATGCAAACCAGTCAGCTGGAACGCTTCGCTTGTTACCCGCGCCACCAAAACACAGTGCCGTTGGGAACTGACCGGAGCACCAGGTCAATAAGGCCAGCGATGGCCATAGTTGGAGCTTAATCTCTCAGTCTTCCGGCACTCTTGAGTCAGTACTCTTGTCCGCAAACACATGGATTGGGCGCAGGATAATGTTGGGCTAAGTGAGGCCGACCTTCGGAAAGTGTTCAAGTATGAGCCGAAGCAAACCACCGTCGTCAAGATAGTGAAGAGTAGAGGCGTGAGTGTGCCGCTTCATAACTGCAGACACGGTCTGTCTGACCGTCGCGTAGTACAAAGCTCGCATCTGGTCGCTCGAGTCATCGAAAGATTGGGAGTGTTGGATTGAACATGTGAGTGATGAAAGTAAACGCTGCGCAATTTGCTTATGTATACTAGGAGATCCAAGGAATGAACAACTGTGATAGCGGGCTCATACTGATGTATATCCGGAGCGCCATAACTTTCTGAGGTACTGGACTGACACACGACAGACTCGCGAAACGAGCTGGAGAACGTTCTTGTCTACCATCTGCCGGGACGTCGATAGAAGATTGGCTTGCGAGATCAGATGCGGCCCTTGATCAGCAGTCGCCCGGTCCATTCAAGTTACGTCGAGCGCATACCTATGCAGGCCTTGACGGGAAGCAGCCCATGTCCGCAGAAGGTGCATCGCAGAGCCGCCCTGGTGGGAACCGTAACTTGCGAACGTTGCCGTTCTCCTACGAAACCTTCAAGTTTATCGCACACAGCTTCCACATACATGGCTCGATAGCACGTGTCGTGAGTCGTGCTGATGTACCGTACTTCTCGAGCGAAAAGGCGGTCATGTCCGAGCCAGCATACAGTGAGAAGATCGTATAGCTCCAGCACTGTACGAACCTATGCTAATCATTTCTGCTAGTCTACTCCTGTCGCTCAAGCAATGCCTGGGATCAAGACCTTGCTCTATCGGCGACGTATTTCCCAGGTAGCGGACTGACATTCTCCATCCTCTATGGCTGCCCCTTCCAAACGGAAGAGAACATTATCAGACGGCTTAGACGTGTCACCTACGAGGCAGCACATCCTCTGCTGTTGCCCGGTATCTTCGCCGAACTCGAGGTGTTGCGACACACTAGACTTGTCGAAACCACAATAAACAAGATTGAGACAAAGATTCTGGAGCTCAACGACGCTGCTGCAAACTTCCGTAGCTCGCAAGAGGAAGTAGATCGTCGCAACGAAGACAAGCGGGAGTCATGGCTGGACTTGACATACCTGAGGAACTCTCTAGTAAGCTGGAACACACAGCTAGGCAAACTGGCCACCCATGCAACGGAGTTGAGCGATGACGTGTACCGATGCACGAAACAAGATAAGGCGGATGTGCCGAACAATATTTTCAATATACACAGTATGACGGCGCACACTGGATCAAGCAATGTCTGGGAGAGCAAATATTCCCTCTACGGAGACCACAACTGGTGTCCATCTCATAGCGAAGCACCAACTGCCACTAACAGTGCGGTCGACGAGAAGCACCCAATGAACGAGAAGTTCTTGAGCGCAAGTATACCAGAGAAATCAAGAGCATATACGGCGTTGATGCGTGAAGCTGGTGACAAGATCAAACGTCGTATAATGGCAATAAGAGACGACTACGATGAGAAGATAAGAGACTGCACAATGCGTGTTGATGGTATGGCAATGGCTACTCAATGGGTACGTGTCCAGTCTGAGTTTAGTATGAAGCTCATAGTAGCAGTCCCATGGAGAGACGAACGTGGAAATTGCCTTAGCCACCAACAGAGACTCAAAGGTCATGCGCTCCATTGCCCTGGTAACGATGGTGTTTCTGCCGGGCACATTCTTTGCTGTGAGTGCTCGTCCCCGTCCATGTAACTCATGCTCACAATCAACCTAGACTGTATTTTCAATGACGTTTTTTGACTGGTTCGGAGAAGGGGGTAAAACGAGAGTCTCAAGTTACCTGTGGATTTATATCCTTATAACTTTAATATTTACCTTAGTGACGGTGGGCTGTTGGTACTTTTTCGTCTTCTATCGACAAAGGTATCAGGCATCGAAAGACGGTGGCAGTGGGGCCTAACACGGCGAAATCAATGAGAGGTACAGATTCTCTAGGTTAGTCCCAGAACAAGGTTGGCATTTCTTTCCGTCCTCGCCGCGACATTGACTTCCCACAGTGATAGAGGAAGTGTAATGTTGGCCCCAGGTCCGAAAGCAGAGTTGAGTTGTCAAGCTAAAGATGTACAGCTCCGCAAGTGATTGGACGTCAATGGACCTTCTCACCTTGAGTGGCGGTGGACTTGTGGATGGGTCAGGACAGATGTTCGTCATTTAACTACACAAACACATACCACTAGTGCGGATTATTCCCTTTTAAAGATAACGTTTGTAACGGCCAGAGAATGTTAGTATGCTGACATCGAGACGGGTTGCAGCGTCAATAACGAGGGATGTTCTAGTGGCTTCGCTGCTTAGTAACCGTTCATCCAATAACCGTTAAATCTTAGGACGTCATCGTCGCCTTTCCACACCTGCCACAGAAGATCCCTACACCACGTCTACACGGTCCTCAACCCGACCTTCGATACGCACACAACATGGCTTTCATTCTTCGGCGACCGTTCGCTTTTTCAGGGACCCTACGACAGCTCTCCAAGCCCTCGCAGTCAGTAACGGTGCGAGCATTCCACCAAGCGACACCGAAGCCGCAATCCCCGAACGTCTTCAGTCAACGCACAATCGCCCCCTCACTCTCAAAGTCGCAACATGTCTTCCGCGCTACATTTCGGAGAAACTACCAGCAGGCTGCATACAATCCCGTTGCGCAGGGCGATCTGCGACAGCGTCTACTCTTCGGAGCTGGTATCTTCGGGGCCACTCTGCTCGGAATCAACCTAATCTTCAACCGAGAGACTCGTGAAGATGGAGGAATGCCTGCATATGAACGGGAATACCTGAATGACACTTTCATGCACACTGGACTGGGCGTGGGTATTATCGGACTTGCTGCCCGCCAGCTGCACGTTAGTGGATGGAGCTTCCGGTTGATGGCGGCGAACCCGTGGCTTGTGCTCGGCTTGGGTCTTGTTGGCAGTATTGGAACGATGTACGGATGCATGGCTACTGATCCTAATAAGTAAGTTGGTCGACCTTCTCATTCGAGCTCTGCTGACATGCCACAGCTATGTCCAGAAGTACACCCTGTGGGGAGCTTTCAATGTCACGCAAGCTATGCTCCTCTCGCCACTCATGTTCTTCCAGCCCGCTCTCCTCGCTCGCGCCGGTCTCTACACTGCTGGAATGATGGGCTCCCTCGCTTTCGTTGGCGCCACCGCTAAGCAGGAGAAGTACCTCTACCTCGGCGGACCACTTCTTGCAGGCGTTGCCATCGTCGCCATTTCCGGTCTCGCTCCGCTCGTCCTCCCCGTCACCGCTGCCAGGACTCTCGCTTTCACGGAGAACATCTGGCTCTACGGAGGTCTAGCAGTCTTCGGTGGCTTCACTCTGTACGACGTCCAGAAGGTTCTGCACCATGCGAGATTAGCGGAGCAGGGCGTCATCAGGAAGGATGCTGTCAATGAGTCCATTTCGCTCGAGTTGGACTTCCTGAACATTTTCATCCGGATGGTGCAGATTTTGAGCATGAGCCAGAACAGGAGAAAATAAGGGTGGGGCAAAGCGGATTTAATGGCATGGCATTATCGGCGTCTTCAGGGATGTATATATTAGGATGGACTTCTGTTTCAACGGCACCCCTCTCATATTCGTAGTGCTTTTAGATAGGGTGTATAATTACGGGACAGCGTATGATTTGTAATCCTCCCAGGGTTTGTGACGAGGAGATGTTCAGCATCTAGGGTCACATGGTTCCAAGCCTATGCCTCTGACGTGGACAGAAGGGCACATTCTTTGACGTAAAGGAGGACTAGTATCATGAAATGCGCTCTATATGGCTTTAAGTTCCAAGGAGGGCATAGTTGTACTCTGCTAGAGAGATATGTGATGACACGATCTATCACAGCAGAGCTGGACTCCTCGCACGCACATTCCATTGAAAGTCCGCGACCCTGACTGTATATTTCGGGTCTTAATGTCCTGAATAACTAGCTAGTCAACGTGTATTAGCACCCTCACCTCCTCTGATATCAAAACTCTTTAAGAAGCACTGAAGATAATTTCATCGTCGCTGCATCTGTGCGGCTCGCGTTGATGTTTGCGTTTATCTGAGATAGAAACGTCTGGAAGAGTACACGCAGAGTAAAAGTATGGCAAGCTATCAAACGACCTACGAAGTCCATTTCACGGAAACTAATCATTAAACGAATACTGATATCCCATTCCGAACAGCACACGAACACCTGCTTCCCCTGGAGATAACCCTAAGCGCCTGAAGCATGGAGAACAGCAACCCAGACGCTTGACCCGTGGCGGAACTGGAAAGACAAGAAAAACGAAGGCCGTAGCCGTGACAAAGAACATACAGCGGCCCAGCGCTTCTACATTGGAAATCCAATAAGGACAGGCGATACCGGAAAAGAGCGGAGTCGCATGGTTGGCCCCTAATCGAGAACCGGCTTACTCCAGGCTTCCCGATCTATGCGTTATCCGGTATTTTGTCGAGCCGCGCAGTGGACGACCTCGCACTCCGTCGGCGGCCGCGGCTCTTCTACCTCGGCCGTGTACCCGGCTGGCTTACTGTCGTCCTTTACGGCATCATATATGCCATCGACAGAACTACTCGGGGTCACGGCTGTCTCAGGACGGCACTACGATCCTTGGCCAACACTGTCAAGACCTCCAAAACTGTTCCGGCCGTCGCTTACAGGGGTCGAATCTCCGCCGTTCATATTTGCACCGCTCATGCCTGAGGCGTTCATTCCCTGGCCAGTCATATTGGCAGTGCCTACGGAGCCGTTCATGGTGGATCCGCCCATGGCACTGTCGTTCATGCTGCTGTCCATGGGACCCACAGTGTTACCCATTGATCCCATGCCGGTAGAGCCTAGACGCGCGCTCTCGTCTTCTTCGCCCATGCCGTCGACGTCCGGCCAGAAGCGCTCTTCAAGCCAGCATATCTGTCGGAATATCTCCTCGCAACGTAACATCTCCTCCTTGCCGTCCCGAGTGGTCGTGCTGTTGGCGAGCTCGTCGACAAGATTCCGGGTGGCATCGACGAACTTGCTGAACGCTGGTGATGTCCAGTTCGGGATGAGCGCTTGGTGTAGGGCAACAATGTGCGATTCGTTGCTTGGGGTGGAGAGAGACGAGCTGAACGACGAGGCGTACTGCCACGCTGATCGGTAGCACTACGATGTGTCAGAGAAGCTACTTGTTTCGATACCGGAAACTCACATGCTCCGTGCCCCACAGGACCACTATACCCTCCAAAAGGGACGCGCTCGAGCTGCTCGCACTCATAAACAAGTCAAGGAGCGCCCGCGTGATCGGGGTTGGCGGATCCGGGCTCAAGTTTAGACCGTATTTCGTTGCTGTGATCTCAAAGAACTGCATCTCGCGGCGCATGTTGTTCACGGCGGAAATGAGAAGATCCATGGTCCTGAACATCGGGTGGAACTGGGAGTTTGAAGTCTGCGGTAGGCGGATCTTTGCCAGCAGCTGTCCGACGAAGCGAATGTATCCTCTTGCGTAGTGTCCATCCTGCACCAGCCATTGCGTGAGGGGGCCGACCGCGAGAGAGCCACAGCCAGCATGCGAGAGGAAGGGCTGCTGAGTTGCTTGAATGAAAGCGTGGTGGCAGCGAGCGAGCAGATGAGCAGTCAACGATGGCATGACATTCTGCGGTATCTGGGGGTGTGGAGCGAGCAGCTCGCGTCCCCTCTTGTTCGGGCCGCGACGCTGGACTTGAAGGTTTGGGTTTGGCTGTTGTCCGGTCAAGATGTTACCGCTGCCATTGTTTGCCTTCTCTGCCTGGGTGGATGCGTGAGGATGGGTCTGTAACATGTGGTTCGCGTCGGGCGAGGCGAGATAGGCCTGGCATGTCTGGAGATGCTCAATCTGGCGCGTCGTGTTCTTCGCGCGTACGAAGCCGCAGTGCACGCATCTGACCTTGTTGCACTGTTTATGGGTCAGCGGGGATTTGTTGAGACGCGTGGAGTGAAGAATCACGGCACAGGAGGAGACGTGGGAGGGCGAAGAGAGAAACTCACTTTGGATGGAGTGTCGGCGTCCTGGAACTCTTGAAAGGCACGGCGGATGTCTGGATTGGCGCTGGAGGTGTCAGCGGGGTTGGTGTGTCGATATGATTTGCTTACTGTCGGCCCATTCTTGATGCTGGACTTTTGGTCAGTATGTTCACGTACTGTATCGAGGGGTTGTATTGTTCAGTCACGTAACCGTGCTGAGTGGGAATGGGCGGAGTCCCTAACTAACCGTGACTGTGACTAAGCCGAGCCTATCCCGTTCAGGCGTCGAGCGGATGAATCGTGGTCTGCGCGTTGAACGTGGGATGGTCAAGAAAGCCACTTTTCCAAACCTCAAAAGATAATGCGATCTAGTCAGCTCTCACTACACGGACGCAAAAGTTCAAAGTATTAACGGAGAATGGCAGGAAAGCGTCAAAATGGATCTAGGTGCAGTGCCTCCCGACGTCTACTCAACCTTTACATCGCGACGATTGTAGACTGAACTCTATGGATCCACCGACGCTTTCTTATTACCCGATTGCTATGCGTTCGTCCTTGGCCTCTTTGATAAGCTAGACTGTGCTGAAGGCAGGTTAAAGTATCTAGTACCAGAGTACATATTCGAAACGGAACCCACGCGAGCTTAATTGCACTCCGAACAAGGCCATATATTTCACACCATCCATGATGCTACGTGCTCCACTGAATTTCGCACCTCAAATAACCTCTCAAGCGCGGAAAATATGCGGCAAAGCTCCCGTCATCAACACAGTTCTGTATCGTCGTACCAAGTTGCTTACATCGTAGATCTGCCCCACCCGCATCTGATGTCACAAGCCGAGGATTGTAAAAATTCCATCTCTCGTTCTCCCAACCCAGTACCATCTCATATCAGCCGCTCCATCTGTGTCGCCGTATATGTCCTCTTGACGAAAAGCTGGGCCACCACTCACAGCTCGACACGAAACGGGACAACGACAACCGCTGTACACACTGTGCCCGATGCACGAGGCATGGCTCTGAGCCTCCATCACGACCTTCTAAGCGAGTCTCTCAGCCGGATCGCAATCATGCAAATCTCTTCGGTCCTACCGCAGTACTGTTATGGCCTCAGGGAACGCGCCGTCCAATCCTGTCCTGCTGATGAAGTCATCGCCCAGGCTGTAAATGATTAACGTAGCTACCCGAGATGCATTTCAATCCGCTGGAAACATCCAACCTTTCTTTCAAAGGGAGAACACTCTTGTGACTGCAATTCGTTCGAAAGAGCTTGGCTGATGCCGTGTGCACTGTACTGTTATCCGACAGCATTCACCGTTTTCGCCACAGCATTTTACCGTTCTTGGCATACTGTGTATGTCGACCACCACGTGGTGAGTTACGGTGAAGGACTTCGCAGATCTGAGCCACAAGAGGACCCTCCCCGCAACAATACCGCCTTACGGAAGCCAGTATTCATGGATGCAGTCCAGTTTCTTCTGTTTCTCGTTGATCGCTCTCAGACCCAACCCGCCGCAGCTAGTCGCAGGTCGATCATCCCATCATAAGCAATCGTCTCGCGAATCAAACCGCGAGATCGGACGGTACCTGGGCTAGCACCGATAACCACAAGTATGGGGTTACCTGTGAATGGAGCTTAATTGCACATCGCTCTGAGAACAGGACGTCAGTCACGGTCGATCCGAGTGCCATTCCACTCCGCGGGAGTAACGATGTGCACATGTCGCCAGTCTCAGTAGCTTTCTCCACAGCTTCCAAGTTGATCGCTTCTCGCCGGACAGGTGACTTGGGATCCGCTCCGATCATGCCTCGATGGAATAATCCTCGTGATGGGGATGTGGAGACGGGCGGTGAAGCTCTTAAAGACACAGCTTCCCGCCATCGTGCGACTTTTGCGCTATCCATCTGCTGGATACAGTCCTCCCCGTCACACGCATATGCGCTTGTAACCTCAGGATCCAGCACAATCATTGCACTGCACCATGTGGAACCTCCGCAAGGCTGTCGTCGGGGTCGTTGGACTACTCTCAGTGAGCTCCTACGCCTCGCCCATGTATGTGTCCGTTCTGCGTACTTTGACTCGCCTAACCCGTGCAGTACCCATGCCAGACGGGACCTGAAGTTCGACTACAACGGCCAGAAAGTTCGCGGTGTGAACCTAGGCGGCTGGTTTGTGCTTGAGCCGTGGATAACTCCCAGCATGTTCGAGGGAACCGCTGCCGTGGACGAGTACACTCTCACCCAGATCCTGGGCAAGGACGCCGCCTATAGCAAGCTGTCACAGCACTGGAACTCGTTCATCACTCAGGACGACTTCAGGCAGATCGCTGCTGCCGGTCTCAATCACGTGAGAATCCCAATCGGCTACTGGAGCGTCATCCCCATCGATGGCGAGCCGTTCGTTCAAGGCGCGTATGACAAGTTTGGTCAGGCGTTGGACTGGGCTCAAGAAGCCGGTCTAAAAGTCATGATTGACCTGCACGGTGGTAGGTAGAGGTGCGCCTGCTGTCGATCTTCGTCGTCACTAACGCCGAGATAGCTCCTGGTTCTCAGAACGGATTCGACAATTCGGGCCGCTACGGTCAGATCCTGTGGACCCAAGGAGACTCGGTTCCACATACGATCAAGGTCCTGAACAGGATCCGGGACGACTTTGCCTCACACCCCGCTGTTTCGGCCATCCAGCTGCTGAACGAGCCTCTGGGTCCGAATCTGAACATGGACACGGTCCGCCAGTTCTACATGGACGGCTGGGGCAACCTCAAAGACTCCAACGTCGCCGTCGTCTTCCACGATGCGTTCCAGGGCGTAACCTCGTGGAACGACTGGGGCGCAGGCATGTGGAACCTGATGCTCGACACGCACCACTACGAGATCTTCGACAACGGGCAGGTTGCCATGAGCCCTGCGGAGCACATCAAGGCAGCGTGCAACTTTGGCAACCAGATGGCCAGCAACAACAAATGGACCATCTCGGGCGAGTGGACGGGTGCCATGACCGACTGCGCGAAATGGCTCAACGGCAAAGACAAGGGCGCAAGATATGACGGCACGTTCAACGGCGCGCCTAAGGTCGGCGATTGCACTGGCAAGTACTCTGGGACCGTTGCGGCGTTGTCGGACGAGGACAAGAACAATATCGGACGGTTCATTGAGGCACAGCTCGACGCCTATGAGAAGGCATCCGGCTGGATCTTTTGGACGTGGAAGAACGAAGGTGCGCCGGAATGGCACATGCAGGAGTTGCTTGCCAACGGACTGTTCCCGCAACCGTTGACTGCGCGCAAGTGTGAGTTGTTTTGATCTTGATGTCAAGGCGACATACTGACGGCTCTGCAGATCCTGGGCAGTGCGGCTAGGCGTGACATAGAATGATGAGCTTCACCCGTAAATCTATCATCACGACCTCAGATTGTGCTCTGTATCCGCGTAACGAATCACGAATCTCCTTCAAGGATACCCATTGCATTCGCTAGACGAAGGTTTTGTCGGACAGTCGTTTGACTGCAGCCAGGCGCCCCATCATTTGTTCCACCCGTCAAACAGATCCGTCGAATGGATATGAAACCAGGGCTGGGAGAATCGGTTGGTAGCGAAGATGAGGGACGCCATGTGCATGTATTGGATATGACCACCTATATTTCACATCAATAAGATAGAATTGGCATCCCGTACGACATTGATCTTTGCCATTCTGTTGGTGACTCGCGAAATGGAGAGTCAGTGCTGCGCCACATTCGCTGCGCCCCACAAGCTGGTAACTGTGGCGTCTCAGGGGCTACCAGATGAGGCCCACATGTCCGGCTTCAGGGCCCATCTGCGGATCGGCGAACCGGTTGCAACCGTGCGATTTGTCTCACACTGATAAACAGCAAAGGGCCTTGATAAGATGAGGGCTTCACCCAGAGCGGCGTTTGCGTCTGTTGGAACAGTCCTTCGACAGTACGTACGAGAGCGGTCTTACTCCCCCTTTTCACGCTGACGGCCAACAAAACGATGCAACATTAACGGCGCATTCCAGGCAGCACTGGACACTTCCCCCTCGCAATTTCAGAGCCATCCCTCAGGCCGCAGACGGTGGTTTAGCGAGTGTGCGCGTTTCATGCAGACGATGGCATTGAGGCACAGCAAATGGCGTGCAATGCGCTGTTGAGCACGCTCTGCGCCGTCGAGTGTGGCGTCTCCTTTCCTTTGTAGCTTTTCTTTTGGGGGGTCTGTTCGATTTCAGCTCTCGACGCGTTGGAGAGTTCCTCCACTCTTCCTCCACGCTCCGTCGGCTGGGGTGCTGCGGCGCTGACATGTCCCAACGCCAACTCGCGATTCCGGTGAAGGCATCTAGCTATTCTGGGAAATTAGCTGCGAATGGGCTGAGGATTTCAATTTTGCCAGGCGAGCGCGCCAAAAGAAGCTTGATCGAATCGAGAACGCTGGGGGCGGTGCCGGACTTTGGGCCTCGTGTCAGGTATGAGCTAAGGGCCGCGCTATAGGTCACTCCCGAATCCCTCTAGCGGAGATGGGCTAGACCGGCAGAATTCATCATCCGTCATTGGGTGAGATGCTCAGCGCTGCGGCAGGAACAACAATTTACTCTTTTCCCTATGGGGCTAGCTCTCACCCCCCAACGCTCCTCCCCTGGCCCTCCACTAGAGATGCAATATAATCATGGGGGCTTCTCACCACCTCGTTCTCCTTTCTCCTCCCACCTCTTCTCGCCAGTCAATACTTCCTCACCGCTGCCTGCGTGTGCTCAGCCTCGAAGACTTGTCTTCAGCCGTTCTTTCTCCAACCGTCGCTCTTTACTACAAATACACCGTCGCTCTTTTTACAGCCTAATACGCTAATCGCACCCTCGCAACTTCACACGATGTTCGTCAAGTCTGCCGTCGTCGCGCTTTTCGCGGCCTTTGCTGCTGCCCAGCTCCACCCGCCCGTTGGCGACAAGCCCGAGGGCAACCCCATCACGCGCCCCTTGAACGAGGTATGGGAATCGTATCTACAGTGAATGGATATCAGCGAGACCTGACACTGACTTGCGCAGGCCGTCGAGGCGGGCAAGCCCTTCACCATCACCTGGCAGCCGACCGAGCCCGGCCACACCGTCTCCCTGTTGCTCCTTAAGGGCCCCTCCAACAACGTCGTCCCCGTCGGCGAGCCCATTGCTGAGGGTATCCCCAACAGCGGCAGCCTCGTGTGGACTCCTCCCGCCGAGTTTGGCCCCGGCATCACCGAGACCACCGGCTACGGCATCCAGATCATCGACGACGTCACCGGCAAGTACCAATGTAAGTATCCGAAAAGACCCCATTTGCGTCCTTTCCTAACATCCGCCAGACTCGACCCAGTTCGGCATCACCGTCCCTGAGGGCTACAAGCCATCCAGCACCCCCTCTGGCTACCCTACTGGCACTCCCTCGGCCTCCAAGAACGCCAGCACCAAGGCCCCGACCGCCACTGCCACCATCTCGGCCTCCTACACCGGCATCCTCAGCACTGGCGCCCCCATCTCCAACTCCAGCATCATTCAGCCCACCAAGCCCATCACTGTGCCCTCCTCTCTCAAGACCACCACTTACCCCACCGGCCCGACCACGCCCACCTCCTCTGGTGTCACTCCTGCTGATTCCACCGGTGCGGCGGGCCAGCTCAAGGCTGGTCTCGGTCTTGCGGCCGGTGTTGCTGGTCTTTTCTTCATGCTATAGAAACCTCCTATATGATCAATTTTCCCTGTCCGTATCTGCTTTGATTTGGTAGTAGGGATTGGATCGGATCTTGTGTATATGGGATCGTTATTTATGGTTATGATTTTTCGTTTCTGGCTTGGATGCGCGGTGCTAGATAGCCGATGCTCTTTTGTTTGTGGGAAAGTTGGTGGGTGGGCAATGTTTAATGAGTGAGATGGATGGGTGTTGTTGATAGTTGTGGTGGAGTGAATGAGATCGTCGCATATACCCCTACTTGCTTCTTCCTCTGTTATTTCTTGCCGCGTCAATGAGTCGATGATGAGTCGCAGTGTCTTTCATGTTCTTACGTTTCCGTATTCCGCGTCGTACCAGTATGCTGTGCCAGGCCGATCTCCCGCCCTTGCAGCTCGATTCGCAACGTCGACATCGATGTCGTTTGCAGCAGTGGCACGACAGGAATCCCCTCTTCCGGCACCACTTACACACATGTATTGTTCCTCGAACCCGTAGCAGCAATTCGTCATCCGTCCACATTCTCTTCCTTTTTTTTTACAGTCATCTACTCTTCCTCTTCCCTCTCTCCACTCCATTCCCTGCCCCATTCACTCCCACCAAAACAGCAGATCCCAACTTCACGATCCCCTTCCCACCAACCGATGCCATACCCCTCACCTCAACAACACGCCATTGCGAATACTTCATCAGAGGAAGGCTTGGAAAGAGACGCTTAGTGATGACGAGGGGCTTGCTGGTGCATCATCTTGCCTGTGGTTACGTTAAGGAGTAGTAGGGGGGGGTGTTGAGTGGGAGGTATTTGAGCTGCAAATGAGTGGATGTTTGCTGCGCTCGAGGGCAAGGCAAGCGGGACGACGTTGAGAAGGGGGATTTTTTTATCGAAAGTTTGGATGGTTGTTTGAGAGGGAACGAGCGAACGGAAGCGATACGAGTCTCAAAAAACCCAATACCATCACAATTATACTATTCCTCTACCCCGCTGCACCGTATACGCTGTATGTATCCCTTGTAACCCAACTACGCCAAACGCCTGGGGTATATATGCACGCCGGAGCTGCCAAACAGACAAAAGAACTGCACTTTACATAGCAAAGAAAGGATCAAACAGTGACCGACTGCCCCTACATCAATACACATCCAATCTTCCTCAATGCCGACTTCTCGCGAGTGCCGGTGCTGCCGTCCGGACGGGAAGTTCCCCCCGCCTGCCTAGTATGGCTGAGTGGAGGTGCTGAGAGAGGCCCCGGCGCATGAGGGCCTTGGTTCGTAGCAAGACGAGGTAGCATCATGCGTCCGGACTGGGGCCCCCTTGGGTGAGTATGGTAGGCTGCTGGTGCATTGTGCGGTGGTGCTCCAGAGGTGGCCGGGGGACTCAGTGCTGCGTCCGGGGCAGAACCACGCCGTAGGAATGCAGGATCAACAAGAGGCGGGGGCCGCAGTTCCACCGTACTCTCTATGCGGCGCCTACCAGGGACAGCAGTGCGTGCGGCGGCGTGATATTCTGATGAGACTTGGTACGCTGAGCGCTCATGCAGCACTGTTGCGGCAGGTGGATAATGTTGACGAGCCGCTGAACTTCGCCTGCGACTATGTCCGGAGGATTGCGGTGACGGGAATGTCGAAGGATGGACGAGCGATGGGCGGCGTGGTCGGGGTTCCACCGTAAGGTCGGTAGATGAGATAGATTGGAAGCTGCCTCCCCGTCGATATGGGCCTGTGGATGGAGGCTGCGAAGGTGAAGCGCCTGCAGCCAGAGGAACACCGGGAATGATGCTCCCCGAACCGGGATGACAGCGCCCAGGAATCGGTGGTGCGGTGGGATGGCTCAAGCTGACACTCTGCGAAGCCTCCGCTGTAGCCGTGTATGCTGGTGGAGGGGGCACCCAGTTATCCGCATCGCTCTCGTGGGGAAATTCTCGAAGTCCGTCCGCGCGACGGTACTCGAGGGGTCGGAACGGAAGAGCTCGCAGATGCCGCCGGTTGGCTGGGGACACGGCTGCTACAGTTGCTGCTCGTGCAAGGGAGTTCTGTGAGCGAGGTTGGGTGTTATCATATGGCTCCTCGAAAGCGGCCTGCGCCTCCTCCGTCGTTAGCTCGTCGGAGTCGTTTCTTACAATCGTGGGAACGGCCGGGCGGATAGAACTGGGACGGTCGCGATGGGCGCTGGTATGAGCCCGACCAGGGGTGCTGCCTCTAGAATTCCTCCTGCCCGCAAGCTGGTCCTGCGCTCTCCTTTGGGCCAGCGTTCGTGTCCGCACCAACTCGACTTCTCTCTCGAAATCAATTGAGCCTTCGGGGAGTTTCTCTCCTGGTAACAGTGGATCAAGGTCATATTCGGTCCTGGTAGATTCGGGCGCAACCCCAACAGGCTTCGTCTTGTCGAAGTCGAGTGCGATTATGACCGCCTTTGAGCCCTCAGGAACACTTGGACGATCCGTTTCTGAGGTAATGGTCGTGATATTGCCAACCGCCACGAGTCGTTGGATGTTGGAGTCGACCCTTACCCACCGCAGCGCTGTGATCTCTTGATTGATATCGGCATTCTCACGCAATATCGGGATGCAAAAGCAGGGCTGGATAGCGTCGAGGGCCTGCGACTTCGGCTTGTAGTCCCATCCCGGAACCTGGTAGATCCAGATGCTCGTGGTCCCACGCATCCTCAGAGCAACAGCTGCGAGATCTGCGCTCGGGGAGACGGCGGGCATTGCGTCGTCCAGGAACTCGGCCCTCGTCCACCGCTGCTGGTCGGGCAGGAACATCTTCTTCTTGGTGAATCGCTGGGTCGGAATATCGTAGATACCCCATGTATCCTCCTCTGCGTTGAAAGCAAACAGCCCGTCGATATGCCCCGTCTCCGCATCTGGAAGCAGTGTGGCCTGCCGAGCGATACGCGTAGTGTCCGGGAACAGGACCAATCCGGTCCACGCTGCGTCTGGCGGCGTAGGAATCGGGACCCCCTCCTCGTTCAGCGGACCATCGTAGAGACCTGGGAGGACAAACAGTGAAGAGCTACTCGACCTGCGCGCACATCCCGTGATCAGGAGCGTCCGTCCATCCTCGGAAAACTGCAGCTTTTCTCCGATAGGGCCCGAGAGTGTCCTGCGGCTGGACTCCGAAGCGTTAGGCCCAATAGGCACAACCTCAATGCCATAATTGTTCCCAGTGATCAGGATAAGTCCGTCCGGCGAGAGCGCCATTGACGAGGCTTCATGTACGAGCATGATTGTCCGTCTCTTCTTGATTGATCGATCCTGCTCGCCCTGGATCTCGTACAAGTCCACCTGCGACGGGCGCGAGAGGACAGCCAGAAGAGATCCATCCTCCATGATGTCCACCGCGACAGGTTTCCGCTTGACCTCCAATGTGCGCGCCCACAGTCGAGGGAGCTGCGCCGTCTTGATCAGCCAGATGTTCGAGGCCGTATAGAGCGAGATGAAGCTGCCCTGGCGGGATATATCAAAGCCGAATGTGTCCGGAAGCGCAGAGGATGACGCCGTGTTCGACGTCAGCTCTAGGACCGTCACGGCGGGGTGCGCGTAGGGAGCGCTGGTCACCGCTTGAGGTCTGTCATCGTCGCTCATGGTGGTGTAAGCCGTCTGGGCAGATCCGTCGGAGGAGAGCGTCGCTCCAGTGGACGCCGACAGATGGGTGTCGACCTGGTCGTCCGCGGTGGAGAGGGAGTTCGGCGAAGCGCTGCGCGAGAAGGCCAGCGTATCCCGATTCCCAGCGTCGCCTGCGACATGCTCCCTAGCAGCGCCTTTTCCCCGTAGATCTGTCCTGATTCCCAGCAGAGCTCCATCCGCTTGTGCATCTCTTTTCTCGGTTCGGTGGCCGCTCGGGGAGTCGTGGGTGCGCATGCTTCGCGGACGTGTTCACAGCATCAGCTCGGCTCCATCGATCATGCCACGGCGTGCGTGCTGGAGGGAAACGGCTGTCCGGGCGCTCATTCAGTCCCGTAGGAGTGAGGAACGTTTGTGTCGGGAGTGGGCGTGGATCCTGCACAGCGGCGTGCCCAGGTGGATACTTGGCAGGCGGAGACTAGCCTGTGCCGTGGTACCCTACGCTTTGGGTTAGTTAACAGTTAAATATCTCGTACCAGTACATGACAAAAGCTTTGTATACCTCGACCACATAAATATGGGCAAATGATGCGACAAATAACCCTTTTTGTTTGGCTGAAAGAAACAGCTTGTGGCCGTGTAACTGGCCTTGACCATACGTGTTGCAAAGACGCTAACCCCACAGTTTCAGACTTAACCTCAACAGGGCAACTCAGACCGAACTGTCCTATAAATAACTATGGTTGCCATCACGAAACGTTCCTATGCCAGCATACCACAGATTTCCTCCGATCCCCTGCACGGCACCTCCGAGATGTAACGCTGGTCCCAGTATATCCACGGCCCTTACGCCCTCATCAACCTCAAACACCTCAGGCATACTCCTCTCCCTCCAGACCTCTCGTGCGAGCAGAGATGCAACCCTCGGAAACTAGATATGCCCCTTTGTCCTGCATCGAGGCAGGGCCGAAGAGGGGCACCGCTTGCTGCAGATCGGGGGGCAAGTTACAGATGTTGAGCTTCCCGTCCCAGCGACTTGCGGTGGTGGCCAGAGTAGACTGGCGATCATAGCGTTGCGGGTTTGTCGTGCAGCTGCGCCTGTAAAAGTCCAATGTCTCCCTCGTTTTATCGTCAAAACGACGGGTCGTGCAACCAGTGTGCATTTAAACGGGCGAATAGTATTCCAATGCTGTACGGGGGAAGCAGGGTTCGCAGTAGCAGAGATCACGGCGCTGCAAACTTGCGCAACGAGGCATAGGATCGACGTCCTCAGTACTGTGATGAATTCATTACACACGGAACGATTGGGAGAACGTATCTTTGGCGTGTCGCCAGTTCGGGATATATCAGGGGACATTCTTCGGGCCAATACCAGACGGACTGCAATAGTTAACCTGGCTGGGCATACCCATCGTTGCGGGAAAGGAGAGTATCTTAGGCTCTCGCTGAAGGCCCTGTAGCCGCGTTTGGGTCGTGAGGTTGTACCAAGCTGGCGGTGCTCCACTAGGCATTGCATGGCTCTGCCAGCGTTGTCCGGGTGTCGGTGCGAAATTGGTCGCCCTTACCAAACCAATACAGATACGAAGAAATTGTAGAGCGACTGGCATAAACTGTTGCTTGAGTCCCCTTGGTTGCATTATCGTAAACTTTCCTCTTTCCCCAGAACTCCATCTACTGACAGAAACCTATAATCGAGAGTTTACAAAAAGTAATACAAGAATACATCTGTACTTACATAATATATGAGCCCACAGCGAATGGACCCAGAAGAATGAACTATCCTCGGAAGCCGCCCGAAAGATCTATTCCAAACCGACAACCTACCAATCGCAGGGCTTCGGACTGCCATCTATAAATCATTTGCCGACGGAATCCAAGCTGAATTCGTGAAATATTCTTCCGAAGCTTTCGTCTGGTACGAAATCGTATCGTCGCACATCCCGCCACCAGTGGGCCCAATGTGGCTACAGTGTACCTCTGGGCGAAATGCGACCATAACTTCATGAACATTTCGGCACAGTAGCGTGTCCATGCCCAGTTCAAAGCTTTGGCCAACGCGGATGTCTTGCGTGAGGAACTTGAAGCACTGGTCGAACGAATCGTATTGCTTGTTCGTACCGGTGCAGAATTTCTCGTGCTTCTTGCAGATGGACGTCGCTATGGCTTGTGCGGCGTGATGAGCGTTCTCCTCGGGCGTGCCATCACCACCAGCAGCAAGGAGGGTCTGGAGAAGATATCCGAACCACCGGAAAACAACGTCATACTGAGTGATTTCGTCGTTCTCATTCCAGGTAAGCCAAGTATCAATGACCACGGGAAAAGAGAGGTTCTTGAAAGAGGGAAATGTGAACTGGACCCGGGTCGTAGCCGCCGCGATGTTTTGGTTCGCAGCGAACTGGAGAATCTCGTAGTCCCCGGGCCGGCCGATCACGGACACTGATTCAGACGGGATAAAAAGACCGAAGATGTATTCGGTGTTGAGCTCACGGCCTTCAAAGTTGCGCGTATCAGACACGCGACCTTGGACCTATAACTGTCAGCACTGGAGTTTAACAGACGAACTCGAATAAGATGAGGATTGAATTGGTTACACATGAACGTGACATACATTCTCGCTGAAGATGGTAGAATTGAGGCTCATCGCTTCAGCCACATTGTTCGGATACTTGAAACGCGTCCAGAACATGTTCTGGAGGTCCCATAGTTTTCTGTATCCCAGATTTGGCCCCGAGGGCGGTGGAGGCGGAGGAGATACCGATTGCGCTGCTGCGAGCACACAGAGGAGAAGGATGTGAAACATTGTCGTTTTGAGGGGGACGGAGATATCGTGTAACTTCGAAGTAACGCGCTCAGTCTACCAAACGGTAATTAATTGAAAGCGGGAAGAGTCAAGGATCCGGAACTCCACAAGCTAGTTGACAACAATGCCTCCGTGCCTCCGGGACGCCGTGGGGTATCGTTAGGATTCGCTCTCAATCGAGGATTGGCCCAACTCTCGCCAACCCCCACACCGATTTCAAGACGAATGCTAATTCTAGCGGTTCCAGCAGACACAGTTGAGATATGACAATGAAAAGGAGGTCGGCTAAGAGAAGTAGAATAGATGGAGGAAATGGAGAACTTTACACACATTTATTCCCTTGATAACTCGCCATGCATAAACTCCAATGCGAAAAGATACCTACCACATGCCGCCCTGGTACGAGGTGGCGTAAGCATGATATTCGTGATTGGGTACCTAAATAGGGAGATGGGGGAGTTGCACATGTTGGGACCACTTGGCCGGGCCGGTTGCGAGATGTCAGACGGGTTCCGAAGGATGCTCAACCCCCTAGAAGCTCATTGGGTGAGACATTCGATGCTTGGCGCAGGTCGCCGGGGCATGCATATGAGAGCATAAAGAAATCACCCTAGGATAAATACAGGTTGTTCGAAGCCGAATGTAATCCGTAGAGGAAACGAGATAGGGTTCGATTGGGCAGGTTGGTCACTATCTTCCACATGTTCAACAGACGATGGTGTCAATTTCAACAATCTCGAATCCAGCCGAGGATCTCGATGAAGATCTGTGGCTAGGTTACAGCGCACAGAAGATGGGTTCGCCGGACCTGCGGAAGCGACATAGACAGCTCCTGGAGATCATTGAGCTCTGTAGCACATGTCCACTTGCTCTTGTTCTGGTGTGCGAACCCTGGGAAACTTAATTGGACAAAATGTTGCACGCTGTTCGACGGCCCGCCCCGGGGGTACGACCCAAACTCAACTACTCCTGGTGGCAGACCCGTAACGACAGCCTCGTTGGCGATGTGCAAAAAGATTTGTTTTTCAGGGTCGTCCAGAAGCAGCCCCTCGATCGGGTAGATTTAGACATGGGCACGGAGCAATGAGATCGAATTGTTGACGAGGAGTGACGTTTGTTGGAGCCCAGGACTGAGACTCAGGGCAGGAGGGACGTGGGGCGCGTACGAACGAGCAGGCACGGGTATTCAACCGTTGGGTTCGCAGATCGTTGGTAGTTGCTACCCTGACGAGCAGAGTTGAAGTTGCATTCTCAGTTTGTTCGTATTGGCAAGTAGCTGTCGCCCTATATTCCAGATCGTCCCGAGTGCTGTAAGCAAGTATTGTGTCAGAGCAAGGTAACTGTTGTGTGACGAAAGGCGACAACCTCGGTGGATTTGCTTGAATCATCTCAGGCTTCCTAGATTGCCGCCGGATCTCTGCTGGGCTCACGGTGGAAGACCCGAGCGGCCGTGGTTATCGACCCAACGAGCGCGGCGTCTCGGGCAGCGGCCTCAAGTCCCAGGAACGCTCTTTCGTCGTGAAGGCCGCCTGTTTACGCTGAAGACGGTGCCAGGAACGAAGATCCGGAGCAAAGGCTCTCACCAAACGCGAACAACACCGGGGAGGAAAGAAGCTGCAAGGGATTGGGATAGGTAGAGATCCGTGGTATAGCGAATGGAGGGCTTGGTGTAGTAGGGCCCGGTCTAGAGATGCAGCTGGAGAACGTCAACTTCGATTCTGGTTCCGCAGCGGAAGTGGGGTAAACATCAGGGAGCTGCTCGACGATTGTGTGCGGAGCTCGGGATTACGCAGACAATGGGCTTCATGTTGCCGCTGTTGTCTCATCTCTGGGCTGTTAAGGGTCGGAACCCGGGACTGCTCTCGCGGGCACGTCGCGTGATCACGTGTGGGCTAACTAAATTGACTCACACACGTTGTACGTAAGCACCCCTTTTTCAAATTATCCTTTTGATATCTACTACCTATCGTTGATGTATTCCTTGTACTTACCTGATACTACCTTAGTTGGTAAAACGTGTTGAAATAATTCCACGCGTGATTAACGCCGGCCATGAGCGGATGGGTGAATGTCAATGCATATGGCTGGGGAAGGCCGCACAATTGTTGCATAGTAAGGGTGAGATGCGAATATGTGATAGCATTCAATACTACCTAGGTATACTACAGTAGAGATACAGACCCTTGGTCACGAGAAATGCATTCCTTTTGCGTCAGATTCCCTCTGCTTAGAAGAGATGTCACCAAGAATTACAGGTGAATAACGCTTGAGACATGCCACAGCCCCACGACCCCAACCCCCCAGAAGCAAAGCACGTTGGGAGAGGTTGTTGCGATGGGAAAAATATCACACGAAACTATCTTCCCTTATTACTTCCGTATAGACTGTTTCAGCATTGCACCTCTTAACTTAGAACTTGGGAGTTATCTGATCGTCGCTGTTGCGAGCCGGATACAACATGACATGAATGCCAGTCAAGCCGCCCGGATTGAGTTCTTGGATTATGGTGGATGCAGCTGTACCGGTAGGTCCGAGCGATTGCACAGGAAACTTGGCATCGGTGGTGAGGGAGAACTTGAAGACATTCTCGGATGCCGCTGATGTGATACGTGTCATCATGTCGTATTTCGAGGCGTTCGGGGATGTCGCCGCCGCTTCCCAGATGATGGCCTGGCCAAACACGTTCTGCAGATGCCGCCAATTCATGATGTGACGAAGCGGGCCGCCCTCGTGAGAGATCCACCTCATGTCGTATGGGCTGCAGTACGACTCGGTGCCCGGGACCTTCCACCATGTCGGTGATTGAAGTGATTCGGGCTCCTTCGAGAAGGCCCTGTAGCCCTGCTTTGGTTCGTAGACGTCGAGTCTGGCTGCCTTGCGCTCCACCACCACGCGTTGGTCGGCTGCAGACAAAGGGCCGGAGGTGGCGATTGTCCAGGACTTCTTCCCGGAATCCCGTCTTCCTGAGCACGGGTGCGGTCGCCTCGATGAAAATCGCCACTCGGTATGCGCATTCCATCAGAGCCTCACGCAATGTTTCACCCGCAGCAGCTTTGCTCAGGGAATGTTCAGTGTTCGCCCCGCCAACCGCCGAGTTCTTCGTCAACGTCAATTCCCCAGACACCTTCGACCCCGTCACCATGTCCCGGTACAACCAAGGTGGCATCAACATGATCAGGAAGCTTATCGGTGAATTCTTGACGGTTCCCGGATTACAGGAGAAGGATATTCTGGTGGTATCCTTCTACTCACTCGACGTCAAGCATCTCACCAAGGCACTTCGAGCTGACAACCGAGACGGCATGCGAGTTTCCTCGATCGATGGCTCGCAAGGGTCCGAGGCGCGTGTGGTGATCCTACACTGTGTGCGAGGGTGCGCCGGCGACAAGAAAAGTCCCTTCACTCCCTTCATGACAGACTGGAAGCGGTTGAACGTGGCCACGTCCCGCGCGAAGGACCTACTCATCATGGTGGGTAACATGGAGGGGTGGGATGCGTGCAAACGCGAACATGAAGCTCGGTTCGAACAATCAGCAAAGACGCTTGGGCTCCTCATCAAATCCCTCAAGGATGGAAGATGTGTCACGGAATAAGCTTGATTGTTCGGTAATTTCATTTGAGCGCTCTGTACTATGTACATGAACTTTTCTCCTCCGCGACGAGCTACCTTCCGTGGCATGACATGGCTTCGGTGAAATGTCCAATTCTTACGGCGCATGTCATCGTGAGTTGGGCATGGCCTCCACCCTGATTGCGAGTCTCAATTTGATAACAAGTGGCGTGCCCATGGTGACAGCGGAACTCGAACGCAATGCGGATTAAGGAAGGGGGGGCAAATCGATCACTGCGAACCAAGGGATGACATGTCTACTAGCATACCTATCACAGTCTCGTATACAATGACATATGTAACTCTGCAATGTTTGTACAATTCACTTGTTTTCGAGTGGAAGAGGCACCAGAATGGAAGAAGATCACAATATCTGATTGTGTCATAACTACAAAGAGTCGCCACGACAAATTCATTTAACATAACTGATGTGGTTCGTGAAGAGACGCCCCCCTCCCACTCGTCTCAAAGCAAGTCGTCGTCGGTGAATTCAGTGTCGTTTGTGGATTGGCCGATGGAGTCTTTGTCAACTTCGTCGCTGTCGAGATCGATGAGGGTGGCTTGACTGTTTGTATTCGTGGCTACCGCGAGTAAGACTCAGGACAGATAAATGAGTGGGCCAACTTACTCCCAAACTTGTAGTCGAAGGCGGTGTTTTCAGTGAAGATTTTGTCTAACGCATCGGCGATTGACTTCAACAACTTGATGCGCCGGTTGAGCAACTCGACATCGACGGCCATCTGGCGAAAGAAACTTGATTCATCTTCGATGTTCTTCGCGAGCCGTTGGCGGACATGCTCAGGTAGGAAGATCAGCGCCGGCATGTTGACCTTTTGGCAGAGAAAGATGATCTGATCTTGCTTTGGGCCCACGGCCTCGCCGTCGAATCTGTAGTACCTCGTCCTTGCTGGCAAAGGAGAAGGGGCGGGGGGGTGGGGGGGAAGGAGGGTGGGTGGTGGGTGGGGAACATTTTAAGCCAGCAGTTTGCGGGTTTGCGAGTCGCGTAATGCGTAGATGCAAACAGACGTACTAGGCAGCCACGATATCTCTCGTGGAAGCTTGCAGGAGGGACAAGAGAGCAACAAGGACGGCACCCTGAATGAAGCCTTGTGAATTTCGATGGCGCATTGAAATTTACGGCCCCGGATGCCACCCGCAGCTGCACTTGATCGAAAGCCTGTCTCTGCTACCGCTTCGGGCTTATCCATCGACTATCGGTGGTGAAGATGCGTCTTTCGTTCAAGCATGGCCAGAGCAATGGTACTGCCTCGACTAAACCCCCACCTGCACTTCCTCTGTACTGCAGTTTTCCAGGTCCATTCCAACAGCTAGAAGTTGCATTGTTTCAACCACCCTAGCAGTAGTGTTTATAAAGCTTCTGTTTGGGCATAGCAATCCAAAAAGCCTAGGCTACCCAATGGCCTAACTAGGTTGCAGGCAATTGACTTGCGCTGAACAGGTAATAAAACCTACAGAGGACGCGCATAAGGGTGTTCAGTCGCACTAAAATTGTGACTTCCGGGAGGCCGTAGAAGACCTTTTAGCACAGTTAAGTGGTTACTCGGGTGGTTGAACCTGCTGTGGGATCATTCGTGGTTACCACCTCAACATTGGTCCAGGGAAGTACGAGGCGCCCGTCAGCCTTGGCGTCGCACAGCCAACGCTGCTCAGACAGATTCTTGCTCTCGAAAATCTGGCGCTCCCACACACTGACAAGGACCTCTACCTGTTTTCGTGCCGTGAGATGGTCTTCTCTTACCAGACGCCTGAACGAACCTCACCCGATCAGATTTCCGTCGCGCGTGAGAGGTGGTCGGACTTTCCTACAAAACTCGAGCATGTTCTCAAGGTAATCGATGCGCTCATGGACGGATTAAACCCGGAACAACAGGAGTTTGTCGGGTCAGTGCTCTCGGGTGGAGTGGCGTCGTGCGCGCTCTTCCTACATGGCTGCCCAGGCTCCGGGAAGACGACCGCCCTCGCCATCGCCATCCTCGCAATCTTGGGAAGGAAGACCCTCATCGTCGCGCAATCAAACCAAGCCGTCGACGTGGTCGTTTCCAGAGTGCTGAATCTTGTCGACTCGGTCAACATTACCTTCGACGTCGAGGATATCACCCAGAAGGTGGTGCGCTTGTATCCCGCAGCCATCGAGGATAGGATTAGTCGGGAGCTTGCTGCACAGACCTGCGACAGAGTTGTGCTAGAAGAGGAGGAGATTGTTCTTCCACAAGAGGCCGGTCTCAAGACCGCCTCATTCGCCTACAGGCTAGAGGAATATTGCACCGAACACGAAGAGGACGAGCTCGTCCAGCGCTTCCGAACGGTCAGGGAATACAGGGCAAACATGAACAAGGACTTCAGCGAGACCAACCAGAAATCCTACGACGTAGTCATGGGGTACCTAGAGAAGCGCATCTTCAAAGCCGCTCTTGTCGTCGGGACAACGACCACCATGTCCCACGACCTCTTCGCTCGCGGGTTCGAAGCCGACGTCGTTGTGATTGACGAAATGAGCAAATGTGCCCGAGCCTGCCGCGCTGGTGCCACTGACATCTCAAAGACCGGGACTCGCAGTGTTCGCCGGAGATCTCAAGCAACTCCCACCGCCGACGTTCTCGCCCCCTGGGAAGAACCCATTCGCCGTCGTCCTGCAACTCAGCTTCGCCGAGCGATGGCTGCAGACGTCGGCCGTGTCTCTCCAACAGATCCGCCTTACAAGGAACTACAGCCAATGCGCTGAAATGTTCCATCTCTCGGACTCCCTTTTCTACACGATGGCATGACAGCCCACCGCCGGCTCATGGACGAAGATCGCAGCCAACATACGTGGTATGAACAGATGAGATGTGATGGGGAGGGGGTCCTTGGACAAGGCACCTGCCTGCCACGCCGACCTCCGATCTTCGCCGTCCAACGGGAGATTGAATTGGATGAGCACGGACTGCCCCTCCGACGGACAGCTTGTCGTGATCATAGGCGATCCGTAGAAGGCATGTACGAGAGGTACTGCTGGGCGCGGGGCGAGCAAAGTAGTTGAAGCCGCGACGTGGAGGGGTCGAGTAAGGCCAGGTGAAGCAATCTGAATTTGCCCGATGGTGACTCTGACAGCAGCCAGCAGCAGGCTGCGGACGCAAATCGTAGGCCGTAGAGCAATAGAAGTATTGTTTGCGACGTCACAGAAGCATTCACAGCCAACTCGTCGACTCCGCGCGTTGTCAACAATGCTTGGCGTCGGCGGCACTTGCACACGTGGGCAGTCACCAAAGAAGGCATGTGACCGCAACGCTGCCCAGATGTCTCCGTCTACAGACCTACCGCCTCCATCATATCTACTCCAACACCATCGTTGAACTCTAAACATTGGCGGTGGTTCGTTCAAGGCGCACAGCTGATCCACAGCTGCGACCGGAACGACCCACCGCCAATCCAATACCTCCTCTACTCGACGAAAAGATATACTCTCAAACACAACCCTGACATCAAAAATTCGCAATGTTATGAGTAAGTTTGGGATAGAATGTCAAGATCGGGCCCCATCTAACCCGTTATCAATAAGGAAATGTGGGAGATCAAACATTGACAGCGGTCACCCCCTCAGCACCGTGGCCGTTGTATATAAACTTTGGTGCCTCAGGCTTTGTTCACAATCAGTCCTTTCTGCGCATGTACCACCCAAACACGCCCATCTTGTCTCCAGCCATCATGACAGAGGACGTTACTCATTCTATCCTGTCGACAGTCGGTAACATAACTGTTCCGAAGCTCCGTAAATCTCGGAAAACTGTCAAGTGGTCCTTCAATCGCAGCCCAGCGACCCTCGCTGCTCCTTAATTAGGTTATGGTTCTGGGGTTCTAGGTATCGTTGTTGCGCCTTCCTGGAGGGTTATATACGCGCTTGTCATGCCTGGCGTCCGCGGATACCCGTGGACTTCCCCCATGTCGTCACCGGCGAGTTACCAGATGGCAGAACAAGGCAGGAGCACTGGGAAGATACAAATACCGTCCATCCCCCAACTTTCTTCCAATTCTCTTTTCCTCCACTCCATTCCTTCAAAGCTGTCGGACACCCCGTCCTCAGCGCCCATCCATCCCCCACACCCACCCATCCTTCCATAAAACTTCTCCCTCTTCAGATCGTCCTTGACCATCGCACCTCCTGATACAGTAGATCCATGTCCAAATCCTCGCCCACTTACCAATTGATCATCACTGACTTGTCACAGACGTCCTCTGCCAGTCCTACGTCCGACACGGATGGCAAGCACCCGTCCCGCAACAGGACTTCTCCGTCCACGAGCACACACCCCTCCGATCTCTCTCGCCATGCAAACCAATCCCGCAACCATCTGACCTCCTTCGAAGATCACTTCCCGCTCCCCACTGGTCGGTTTTCCCAATCTCATGGCAGTCAACGACATGGAGACATCCGAGCTCGGGCTGATGGACGGCCCCAAGCTCCTCAGCCAACAACATTCGAATACAGTAACGAACAGGGGGATGCAATGGAACTGGTGCCCCAACAAGAACCATCCAACGTCCCAGTGCAAGGATTCTCATCAAGCACATCTCGGCCTCATCCGGAGCGGCGACAGCAGAAGAAGAAGTACCCGCCCCGTCCTCAGGTTACCGGACGACGCCCAGCTGCTCAGTCGACGATGCTGGATGACAGTCACGGAGTCGGGGGTCCGATGGACTTCGCTCAAATATCCGCGACCGCAACATCTCGGCCTCCTTTGGAGCCGCGACAACAGAACCAAAGGCCTCCACCTGGACGGGCAACGGCGTCCGGAACGAACCTTGCCACCTCGTGTGTGACCGGATCCCCAGATGATGAAGTGTGTCCTGTGGAGCTCATCCCCGCTGAGCTCGCGTCCTTGAGATCCTTGGTAGCCCTCACCAGTCAAAAACAGGGCAATATTCACTTGGTGGAGTCAAGGATGCAATATCTGGAAACTCGGAACAGAGAGCTCGCCCAGGAAAACCAAAATCTGAAGGAACGGTTGAGCGACCGAATGGAGAGCCACTCGCGAGATAATTCTGCCGTCAACGCAAAACTCGGAGATATCCATCGGGCGCTGGAATCGCGCAATCCCGTCGCACTCTTCACTCAGGTCCTGTCCAAGGTGCAAAGCCTGAGTCAATCTTCGGCAAAACACGGGACCAAGCTCGACGAGGTGATCAAAGCCAAAGACCAGGAAGTCGACCGGCTACGCTCCGCTGCGGTGGCTCACGCAGCAGAACTTGCCTCCAAGCACGGGGATATTCGGATGTGGCGCGAGATCAGTTCCAAACGCGACGACAAGATTCAGACGCTCCAGGCCGCCGCCATGACCCACGTAGTAGAGATTACTTCCAAGGACGAAGAGATCGAGAAACTGCGCAAGGCCGTTTCCACACACAGGGGCCAAACCCACGCGCTCCAGATTACCATTGCAACATACACCGAACGTCTGAGTTCCAACAACACCAAAATCTAAGGCCTGCGAGACGCCACCGCCAGGCGCGATGAAGACATTCGCGAACTCGAATCCATTGCCACAACAAGCACAGCACAACTCAAATCAAAGGAGAACGAGCTTACCGCACTGAGACAAGACGCTTCCAGGCACCAAGATGAGATCCAAAGGTTGCAGTCTACCATCACATCACAGCTCGTCGACTTGAACTCTCGAGAGAAGGAGATCCAATTCCTGAAGGACAGTTCCGCCAAACGCGAGGGAGAACTGCACCAGCTCAGGTCCACTGTGGCATCGCACAAGGCCGAGTTGGCGTCGAAGGAAAAGGAAATCCAGCTCGTGAGAGAGGCTCCACCAAATGTGAGGAGGAACTGCGCCAGTTGAGGTCCGCTGCGGCATCACACCTGGCTGAGACGGTAAAGTTTGCGTTGATGGAAAAGGAGATTCAGTCATTGAGAGACGCCGCTGTCCGCCACAACGCCGAATTGAGTCTGAGGGACAAGGAAATCGAGGTCTTGAAGGCGGCCGCCGCCGATCGAATGGCGAAGATTCAGCTCAAAGACAAGGAGATGTTCCGGCTCCGAGAGGTTGCCGCGAAGACTGCCGCGCAGCTGGAAACCAAGGAATCCGAGCTTCAGGAATTGAGCGATCGTCTCAACGACGCCAACGCCACACTTGAAAATCTCGATGAAGTCATGGAAGACCAGCAGACTCAGCTCAAGACCAAGGAAGACAAGATCCACGAACTCAAAGACGCTGTGGCACACTCCCGTGAGGATATTCGCAAACTCCAAGACGCTGCCACCGCAAAAGAAGCCCAATTCCATTCCGTCGAGAACGAGAAGCAAAGCTTGAAGGACAGGGTGAGGCAGCTTGTGGAAGAGCTCGAACAGACAAGGACATCAGCGGCCTCTTCCAGGGAGTCGTACGAACAAAAAATCCAAGGCAAGGACTCGACGATTACGGAGCTTACCACTCGGGTTGCTGGCATCACTTCGCTCCACAATTCACTTCACACGGACAAGGAAAAGATGGCCCGTGAAATCGAGCAGAAAAATGCCGTCATCCAGGGGTTGGAGGCCCAGATCTCTGCTCTGAATGAAAGGATTTCCATTCTGAGCCCAAAGCGATTGGGCGGAGTCCTCGCTGGGCAATCAGCGAAACGACAGTGTCCTTCCTGTACGCTCTATCCCCCGGGCCTGTCTGATCCAAATGCTAACCTTTGCAGCTCCCAGGAGAGCACCAGGTGACGAAGACGATGACTGCTTTATCGTTGACATCCAAACTCCGCCGTCAAACGGGTCGTCCGCAGTGGGCACCCGTCCTACTCCGTTGACCCTCCCTTCGTCCGTTCCACCGATCCCATCTTCCATCCGTTTCACTCACTTCCTCGTCGTCACCCTCATCGGCGAACCCTATCACATCGGCGCCAGCAAGCCCCTTCATCAAAGGCTCGGGTTTTGGAAACACTGTTGATGTGGAACCGCGGCTTCTGGTGGTTGTCCGGCAGACGATCGAGAAGGCCAGTTTCAACCCTGACCAACAGCCGACATTGAGGACCGTGAGTTGCGTGAATTCGAAACGGAGGAAAGTGAAGTCTTCCTGGTACGAAGGGCGCGACAACCAAGCCTGTAGTCACTGCACCAGGAACCGGGTGCCTGCGTCGTGGCCGCGGGTGGTCTGTGGAGATTATTGGGACTCCGAGACGATATGCGAGGCAACGCAGAGCCCGGCACACGGGCTTTCTATATCAACGGGGATGCGGCTGAGGACGACTTGAATTCATCAGCATAGTATGTTGACATTCTCGCGCACGGCATCGGTAGCTTTATGTATTTACAATTATTGTTGTCTCTTTTGCTGTTGTTGAGCCGCCCGCGTGTTGACCCTTCAACGTGTACGTCTTCCGGTACCCTCTCTTGGTGGTATGCTTCTCCGTGAAAGGCGCAACACTTAGCAGAAGCAATGGCACATCAGCCATAGGCAGAGTAAAGAAGTAGTACTGAGATGACAATCAAGCGAGAATTGCAGAACGAGAGAGAAGAGATTTGATTCATTTGTCCCACGATTGACTATTGCACACAGAGTCTTTAGCTGACGGTCCACCGCCACAGGATTCCCGGCACCGGCGACACCGTGCACTCTCCACCTCCAGTCTCCATGTGTGGCCCTCAGTCTTCATCATCTGCCAGATCCATAATGAAGCTGTCTGACTGTCCGATGTCGACACCTTCCGCGGGCCTCCTGGTCTTCAATATGTTATCGGGGCTCGGGAAATCCCCTGGATCAGGAAGGTCCACAAACTAGTCCTGGGCGGGGACCACGCGGACAGCTGAATAGACTCTCTTGGAATCGATAAGAGACCGTGGACTTCCTGTGGCCGATCCAATCATCTTTAAGCATGTGGACGATGGCAGTACCTGCAGTGAGGAAGAGGCTTCGACAATATGTGTGAAGCAGTCCCCGATCCTCCCAGATCTTGTCGAGGTCGAGGCACTGTCTGAGGGGGGACATCATTTCCGTGTACGCGTCGTATTTGAAAAGACTTGTCATGAAGGTGCCCAGATCATTATCGTCCATTTGGTGAGGAGGTCGACCCGTTGGGTTCTCTTCGCGGTACGCTTTGAGGTTCTTGAGTATCTACAGACACGTCAGTAACCATCGTTCATCACAATCAGCAGGGATACATACGATATCCGTGAACGCTGGAGACATGAACATCTTCCTCATCTGCTCCCCGCACACCTTCTTGGCCTCACTCAGCTTGAATTTAAACCTATCCGGATTAGCACCCTTGGTGGCTATCCAGCGGGCCATGAGGTCATCCGTGATGTTCATGTATCGAAAGGACACCAGTCTGGATCGGTTTCTGAAGAGCTTCGTGTCGTCTTCGCTGACCATGCGAAGAGGATCCTCACGCGTCTTGTCTCTATCCTCAGTGGTAGGAACTGTGCCAAAGGTACCCCGAGCACCATGGGTATTGTTCGGAGTGTGGACCTGAGCAGGCATCCGCGGTCCACGAGCGGAAAAGCTGTAGGGTGCAGATCGATTCTGCTGTCTGTTCGATTCGCGGCGATTGACTCCGGGGGAACTTTGCTGGGTCGAGGAGCGGGAATAGTACCTGTGTCGGGTGGGACCACGGTGGCCGCCACCGTTGTTGGCCTGTGAGGTGGCTTGAGCTTGCCGGGCCCGGAGACGGTCTAGCATGGATTGGCCGGAGAGATCATTAACACTTGAGGGGGCATCCTCCGATGACGGGCGCTCAGTATTCTCCATTAAGTCGGACGCTTGAATCACCAGTCAGTAAACAAAACGAGGCGCGAGCTGAGATTCACATACTTTCTGTGTATACCGGGCCCAGAGGGCGCAGGATGTGCGGGAGAGGAAGAGTGGAGGAGCAGGATAGAGAAAAGAAGTTGTTGAGGAGAGGGAAGGAGGGAAGGGGGAGGGTGGGCGGCAGAGGGGTTTAAGTACCCAGAGGCGGCAGGTGGCAAATCTCTCTCACCTGGGCGCCCCAACTCAACTTCACCTGCGACAGTGGGAGGCTAAGCCCAAAAAGGCGGAATAAACAGTACCCCAGACCAAGTGCAAACGGTGGTGAAGCGGTGGATCCAAGTGCAAAGGGAGGAGAGAAGCGGAAGCGGGTAAGTGGTGCGAAAGTCTTTCTGACTCGGTGATGACGAGGTCCACACAACAGAAGACGAATGATTCGATATCGGCGTCTTCGTGGCTCTGGAATGGCAACCGGTAAAGAGCACTTATCTGTCTCTACCGGTTCAGCTCCCGTTAGCAGGGTGAAGTTGACTTAGAAATGAGGGTGAAGTTGACCTAGAAGTGAGCGTGAAGTTGACTTAGAAGTAAGAGTGAAGATAGACTTAATGAGAGTTAAGCTGACTTAACATCACCACTGTGTATGTAGTTTCAGACATAGCACGACGCTATCATCCTTCCGACGAGATTCTTAATATCAGCCTCCACCTTCTAACCACATAGTTGATCTGATCTGGACATTATAGTTCGACCACTATTCCGCACCATCACCAGCTAACTCATCCGACCCGGGCAAGGAATCGATGGATATCGTCTATCTCTTCTGGGACCTTGAACCAATGCCCTTCCAGTTCCGCGCCGGAATATTCCTTCCACTCGACCTGCAGTCCAGCTTGGGAGAGAACGTGGGCTGCCTGTCGCCCGAGCGTCACATCCACATATGCGTCGTCTATGCCATGACCGATGAAAACTGGAGGGAGTCTCCGAGAATCTTGACCGCCATCGTCCATTCCCCGGCTTGTTTTCACAGCCATCATCTGCTCTACGAACGCATCTGACTCCGCTTCCTGGAGACTATCAGGGGCCTGCCATCCTGCGAGTGCCCGCTCGATGTTGCCGGCAAACGGAAGCCATGTACTCGCAACTACAACAGCGCCCGGCCTTATTGCTGAGTTTCTTTGGCAGAGTAGGGTCCACAGTGCAACCGCGCCTCCCTGACTGATTCCCCCAAGCACCAGTCTGTGCGTATTCCCGTCCAGGCGACTAGCCTCGTCGTTGATTATACCGATGATGTAGTTCACGGAATCTTTTATGCCGCTCGCTTGAAGATCCTGGCGCTCGGTAATATCGGTCAATGAGTGTGCTTCGAACCAAGCAGGTATGTCTTCTTGGAAAGCGGCGCTCCACAGTGTTCCAGAAGATGGAAAAACCCAGCGACATCCGGGCAATTTTTCATACAGTGAGCAACCGTCGGAGAGCTTGGATTCAAGAATCTCTTCTGCGAATTCCTCCCCGTTACTGCCACGGCCATGCAGCATCAGGGCCGTATGGGTATGGTCAGACTTGGGCTCAATGATATGAACCCGGCCAAATGACCGATCTCTGGTTTCCTGATCTGGTTCCGTCTCGACTCGTGCCATTCGGCCTGTAGTGCTTGACAAGGGAATGGTGAATCGCAGAACTGTATCGAGTGTTAGTAGAAAGCTTGGGTATGTACATGTACATAGATCTACAGATCCTTAGCGAGCACTGCGGGGCCCGCTCACTCACGTCACCTGATCACACAGGTGATCATAAGGTAATTCGGTAATTATCGACCCTCATGCTGCGTCCACATACTGTGTACTGTAACGAGCTGTAAGGTCGGCTTGATTCTCAGCGCTTTAGGGAGGAACCTCGAATTCATGGCTTATAGTGTCGAAGGAAATTTCTGATATCTTTTTAAGGTTTGACTCTTGTTCCAATCTCGGTTATTAAACCAGATGCAATCAGAATCGAGATGACTTGGGTGTAAAATTAGAGTCTGAAGTTCGCCCTGCGATGTGCTGCTGGCCCTGCTTCTCCTCTTGCCAGAGCGGTCGAACCCTCCTCACCGACCGGCTTCAAAGGGCGATATCTCGCATCCCACATCTGCTCGCGGATCCACTCGTCTAGTTCAGCATCGTCAACCGGGATATCCTTCTCTTGCGCAAGGCCTTCATCACGTGAAGCTTTGATAACACTCTTTGCGATGCGGACGCTCACTTCTCTGACATCCGTGACGTCGGGCAGCAGGGCCGGTCCGGTGCCTTGTACGACGGGGGCAGCAGATGCGAGGGCTTTCACGGCGGCGACGATTAGAGAAGGGGCCAATGAACGAGTACGACTTAGGATAGCCCCAAGGCCGATGCCTGGGAATGTGACGCTATTATTGCATTCGGCTGTTTCGGTTAGCGATACGATTGTACAATTGTTGGAGTACACTGACAAATCTCATACTCCTCGCCTTTATATTTGACAGGTGGAAATGGCGAGCCGGTTGCTACCAGCACCTTTCCGTCAGTCCAGTTGTACAGATCTTGTGGTTTGGCTTCGTGCAAGCGTGTCGGGTTAGAGAGAGGGAAGATAACAGGTCGCTCGACATGCTTGGCCATCTCTTGAACAACCTCCTTCGTGAAGGCACCCGCAACAGTCGAAGTGCCGACCAAAACGTGCGGTTTGGCCTCCTTAACGATGGACAGTAAATCCCCATGCGATTTGCCTTCCCATTCGCTGTCATCGCGAGCATACGGCATCTGTGCCGGACTGAGCTCATCCTTCTTGGACCTCAAAAGCAGCCCGGGCTTGTCGACGCACCAGATCTGCCGGCCAGCCTCTTCCTTCGACTTCCCTGTCTCTTGGTTGATGGCATCCCGGATTTGATCCGCAATGCCTGTGCCTGCAGTCCCTGCGCCAAAGAGAACAAATCGGGCCTCGTCCCACTTCGTCCCACTGACTTTGAATGCAGCCATGATCGCGGCAAGTGTTACAGCCCCGGTCCCCTGTACATCGTCGTTGAAGCAGGCAATTTTCGGCTGGTACTTTTCAAGAAACCGGCGGGCATTGCTGATACCGAAGTCTTCGAAATGAATGTATGCTTTAGGATATTGCCTCCTGCAAGCTTCGACGAAGGTGTCAACGAACTTGTCATATTTCTCGCCGCGTGCACGGGGTTGGCGGAGTCCAAGGTACAGGTTGTCGTCGAGAAGTTCTTGGTTCTACAATCATTAGATAGAGTGGGAGAGCGATAAAAAGCACTTACATTCGTTCCCGCATCAAGTACGACGGGAAGTGTTCTTGAGGGGTGGATACCAGCACAAAGAGTGTATATGGCAAGCTTTGCAACAGATATGAGGATGGCGCCCACGCCTTGGTCTCCAATTCCCAGAATTTGCTCTCCGTCGCTCACAACAATCAGATCAATGTCGTCAGGTTCGCCCCATTGGGATATGTTATCCTCAATCCTATCCATGTCTTCGATGTTCAAGAAACAGCCTTCCGGTCTTCGGAACAACCGAGAGTAGTTTGCAATTGCTTCGCCTTCCGTTGGGGTATATATAATCGAGAACATCTCCTTTAGGTGGTCGAGGATGAGCTGTTTGAGATCCGTCAGCAATACCTCGAGGTAGATCCCTTGCAAGACCCACCCTGTAGTATAACACCTCATTTTGCTCCTTCATACTTGTCATAAACGTGTTCTTCGCTATATCGGTTGGCCTTGAGCTGTATTGCTCGTAGGCGCGCCGTACTTGTTCTTCGAGGGTCTGCACATTAGGAGGAAGGAGGCCGTGGAGCTTGAATGTCTTGCGCTCTTCTGCGGTAAAGGCGGAGCCTTTGTTGAAGTATGGCGTACGTAGTATTGCATTTCCCTGGAAAAGGTCAGCCAAAATTCCAAGGCGTCGATAATCATGCACTTCCAGTTAGTGTTGTCTCGAGAGGGCCGGATGTTGAAAGGGGAAGATGGCCGAACTTGGGGTTCTTCTCAATTTTTGAGTGGGAGGACATTGTTCTAAGTTGGCTGAAAGGAAGAGACGAGCGGGAAAGGCGCATTGAGGGTACATGGCTACTCGGACGGTACTGCTTTGGCAGGTGAGGTTGGGCTCTGCGGCATATGACGTAGCGAGGATCTCGTCCGCTTCAATCAGGAATTCCCACAACTATTGGAGGCCAACGCTATCCTAAAAAATAGGCCACTATAGCGGCGGTCACATTTTACATTTCGCTCTCCTGATATATTCCATTGTATACGTTCGAAATGTCGCGTCTGGTGAGAGCCAAGCCGCCAAGAAGAACGCTTCCGCATCCACGTGGACATCTCTTCGTTCGCTCGAAGATAATTCTCGAGGCGAAAACTACAAAAGGGGCAAAGATAACTTTGTTGATTTTGGAATGGAGGAACCGCTGGTTACTGACTTCAGGATTGTGCTCGGGTTTGGATTATCACGTGATCTGTCATCTGCCTTCCATTACCTGCCAACTGTTTTCTCCCACAAAGATATCGGTGAGTTATGAAGACAATGTCCTATACATCTCTCAGTTGCACAACATGAGACTGTCCTGCACGGCATTGCAGCAGTTCCAATCAAGAGAGCTGGCCGCCTTCGACGTCGTTTCACGTTTCAATGGGATAACTGTTCTACCGTACGAATGTTCGGCATCGACTGGGCTGGCAATCAACTCATTCAGCTGCTACGTGTGCCATACATGGCGAGGTTGGGTATCGGTCCCGACTACGACTTCTGGGGCGACTTAGAGGTGGCGGAGCTCATTGAACCTTGACACACGTTTGACCATTATGATGGGTCCTCATCTACCGTCTGCTCTTAGATGACGTGACGAGATCTAACCAGAATACTATGTAGGCGGTCCTATTTTATCCTCCGTCTCCGTTTTGTTCTGGTCGACCCCAGCTCCATTCCCCGATCAAACAGAGTGGCGAATATCGTGGGCGACATGCAGCTCACGATTCGGTTATTCCTTGAGCGATACGCTTTACTCGGAAGCGTGTTTTACATTGCATAATTAGGAAAGCAAGTTTCGCCGGAATTTGCGCGGGAGGTGGAGATTGCGAACGCGGTGGACAAGGCCATCACTGAGCTGTTGTTCGCAGCTGGACGAAGTAGCGTCTTAAAGAACAGTAGAAGAATGGTCAATTGACTGTATCTCTATGCCACATTGCCAACTAAGCTGGCGCAAGTACTACATTCTCTGACTGAGGACCGCTAGGTCGCCAAACTAAGAAATTGACATGACCATGTGGAGAAGCAACCATGCTCGCTCCCTGCACTCGGCTACCATAACATCAAACGGATATAAACAGTCTGCACTCTGGATTTTGTCACGTGCTTGAAATGTGGAATACCGGAGTTTGGAACGTTGGTGTTTGTCAAGGCGCCTTCACCGCGGGTTTGGTGAAAGGAGCGAGCGAGGGAGTACAAACGCCATACCGCCCACCAGAAAACCTCACTCCCTCTCCGCGCTCAGCTCAAAGGTATGACTTAAGCCACTCCTCCACCTTCGGCCCACGTCCACCACTACCACCAACTCCAGCAGCCCCCAGCAACATGAGCAGTCGCATCGACGCCACCTGGGAAGATGCGGAGCTTGTACCTTTCCTTCGTCGCGTCTTTGGTGGCAAGCGACCTGGTTATTCGCTGAAGCACGACTTTGCGCAGGATGTCCGTCGCGCGGAGACCTTGATCCACACTATCGTAAGCTGGATACGGCCTCCACCTCGACTGCAGGAGCCCCAAGCTGACTACAAATAGCGCGATTATGATGATAGCGAGATTACGATGGAACGATTGCGGATGGCGCTGCTCGACCCCACTGTTTTGGCCGACCGCGATACCAACGAGCTACAAAGCCTGATCCAAGACGTCGAGTTGTGCATCATCCTTCTCGTTCGCCATGCCATCACTCATGGCCCGTACCGCCTAGCGTCGTTGGGCAATCATCGGAATGAGATGCTCGCGGAGCGAATGCGGGAGATGGTCCTGGCAAATGAATGCTTCCCGCCCATCCGCCGTACGCCAAAGTAAGTACAGGCTTGTTTCCAATGCACAATGGCTCACCTCTATCTAGCCGCTCCTCCATGCGTTCACTGATGGACGCCAAAGCTTCAGCATGGACCACTCCAACTAAGTCGGACCGCGCTGCTGCTTTGACGAATGCGATGGTCAACAACAGCCAAAAGAACTTGCATGAGGGCACTCTTCAACCGCTGGCTGGAAATTCTTTCAACTTCGCTCCTAATTTCGCCTATGGCCAGGGTTCAAACTTTCTTGATGTTCGGACTATGCCCCATGGAATTATGCCTCCTTCAACATTGACTCAACTCACCTCCTATCATCCGACCGCTAACCATCCTCAGTCTTCCGTCGTCAACTCACCAACCGCGTTCTCTCTGCAGCAACAATTCGCCGCCGCGTTGCAACTGAACAACTGGCACATGCAGGGGATGACAGGATCGGGGATGCATGGTACGTGGTATGGAGACTGGATGGCTCCACAGGCAGTTCAGATGCGCGGAGGACAAGTTGCCCGACGGAAGGGAAAGAAGGGTCGCCGGGGAGCCGCACGTCTCCGCGGAGACGCTCTCGAATTCGTACCCGGCGCCCCTAGTCACGGTGAACACGGCCATTGAGTGTGCCGTGGCAGGTCTTCGCGCTATGATGCCGTAGGCAGAAGTATACATCAATCTGCCCCTATGAGAGCGGATGTGATGGACTACTCAGAGGGGAATTGGAACGCAATGCGGATTAAGGAAGGGGGGGGAAATCGATCACTACGAACCGAGACATGGCATGTCTACTAGCATATCAATCATAGTCTCGTATACAATGACATATGTAACACCGCAATGCAGCTCCGATGCTCGTATCTACTCCGGTAGTACGGCCTCTAACAGATCGATAACCCTATGTCCCACCCTTGTATATCCCTGAACGTACTTTTCCCCCCAGTCACCCACAAAATTCGCGTATGTCATTTCAGGTTTCAGAACACACAGTCCTATCATCACGCCGCTGAAATACCCTTTCATGCCGGGTCTTGGGAACTCGGCAGCAATTCTATCCCATTCCGCTTCTGGGACCGTGATCAGTTCACCCTGTCTACACTTAGCATCCGCCTATAATGAGGTAGCGGACGTCTTTGACTTACATATCTCTGTTTAGCTATTTCCACACCAACGAGCTCCAAGTATATGCCCATTGAGAGATACGCGACCTCCCTTTGCTTGTAGGGCGCAATGTCGCGACTTGTGTGCAGCGCAATGGCGTCCCAGACGAGTTGAATGCGGTGTTGGTCCCAGCCTCTTCCCCCTTTCTTGCGAATCAGGTCTCTGGCGGCATTGGCTCCGTCAACTTCAAATATCTTGTCGTTGGAGACGAAGCTGGTGTTGAATGCCCTAGCCCTGTTAACATGCTGCCGATGTTTTCTCGGAACTGCTTACCAGCCCATATCATGCAGAATTGCCGAGACCCCGAACGCCTCTTCATCGAATTTGGCACGCTCCGGTTGTGGGAGGCGGTTGACAAGTGCCTGACCGTTGAGCCATGAACGCATTACATGGCCGAACCCGTGCGATGGAAGGTTTTGGCGAGCGAGTTCAATGCTGGAGTTGATGAGGGCGGTGTTGGGGACTGTGACCCCGGCGATAACCCGGGTTGCGAGAGGAAGAAATACTACCATTTCGAGATCGTATATATGTGAGTCTTCAAAGAGTGAGGTGAGATAGTGTGTTTGCGAAGTGTATTGGACGCGGTGGACTTCCAGGGGTTTTCAATGTGAACTGGGAGCGACACCTTCGCGAGCATTTGAGCACATTTATGTGTTAACGATCTAATCTTACAAATCACCGCCTCAAACAATGTCGGTAACGTACCTCACGGGCGAGTCGGTCACACAGGCGAGTCGGTCACTATGCCAAGACCCCACCAGAATGTACTCTCACCTCTACTATAATCATGATGTCTCAACAA